GGCTATTCTTCAACGACGAGTAAGTCAATTAAGCACGGATTCAGGTGGATTTCTTACTGGGCCATTTTTGGCAGATTCCAAAGGGATCACAGATTTAGGGTGATTTTTCCGAAATGCTATTTTATTTTGATTTTGGAGGCTACAGATCACGGATTTAACCCCGAGGCTATTCTACATCGAAAATGAAATCTATTGATCTTATTCTCCACAAATGATTAAGTCCATTAGGCATAGAATTGGGCCAATTTATTTTGGGTGCCACTTTCGTAATTCTTTGGGCGGTTTTTTTCGAATAAAAACAAAAGAAAGTGACATTTTGATAAAATCGCCCGAAATTTGTGATATTAGTCGGATAATTATCATAAATGGTCATAAAACTATTCACTTTGTACGAAACGGTCACAAACCTTTAATTTTGCACGTTTCGGTAACATATGTCTGGACTAATAACAAAACGGTAATTCCGTCCATCTCCATCCAAAAAATCGTTACTTTCGCCTAGTCAGCACGCCACTTCATTTAAAATATCAATAATATATTAATGATCAAACCCAATTAAACCAATAACCTAACCGAAAACCCTAATTCTATACCCACCAACCCAAATCCTCGCCTATTCCTCCACCCGCTCTACTTCTTTCTCCCTTTCGTCGTCGCCAAGGACCTCTGCTTCTCGATAGACCACCACCTTGCTGTCAAGATCACCCAATTGGCGGAAGTGCAAGCTTGCTTCTCCCCCCGCATCGTGGCATGCGGGGCCACCGACGGAACCTCCGACCAACTGCTCGCCGCCCTCGGCTACCAATCCGCCCACAAGTTCGCTAATGTCACAAGGTCTTTAGCGCCAGAAATATCAACAAGATGCTTCGGGTAATTAATTAGCCAGCCTTCTTTCTGTTTCTTCTTATGCCTTCGATTGGTCATAAGTACAATAGCTAGCTCCCAGCCATGGCCAAAAATCCTCACTGCTCGAATTCATTTGGTCAATTTTCCTTTTCTAGTTGGCCCTAGCATTTCCAGTCCACTCTCATAACCAAGAGAGGCAGCCGATCCTGTCAAATTCACTCTTTCAAAGTGAAAGGCTGGGGGATCTGGTACCGCCATAGGATGAGGAGCGGGTGGGGTTGGGAGGCGAGGAGATGGCGGCGAGGTAATTGATGAACGCGGTGGGGAGGCGGTGCTGGAGTCGCCGGAACTGGCGGCGTAACTTGGCATGTTTCTGTCTCTAATAATGCGAGTGGGTGGAAAGAAATAGTATTTTCGGTTGGGTTACCAGTTCTGGGTTTGGTCATTGATATTTTAAATGACGTGGTGTGTTGACTAGACGAAAGTAACGATTTTTTGGATGGAGATGGACGGAATTACGTTTTTGTTATTAGTCCAAACATATGTTACTAAAACATGCAAAATTAAAGGTTTGTGACCGTTTTGTACAAAGTGATAATTAGTCGATATTAGTCACTTGATCGGTGCAGTTAGCGCCCTGCGCCCATATATCAAACTACCAATACAAATAGGGAATTCATAAACATCGTCCTTAAAATTACTATTGATCGTCCTAAAAAATAACAAAGTTACACTTTTAACCTTTTGTCATCTTTAGCAAACAAACATCACTTTAACTAAAAAAATGAAAAACACTCAATTTCCCACACTCTCGAATTCATCGTTGACATTCTCGAGTCGTAATCGTTGGGAATACGTCTGAATCATGAGTAGCGGCTCCGACAAGGTAAAAATCCACTTTTTTTTTCAAAAAAACCCAAAATCCCTCAACCGAAGCCAATTTTCGGTTGTACCATGGCTCAACCTAAGGCAATTTTCAGTTGTACCATGGACCAACCGAAAATCACCTTCGGTTGCACCATGGCTCAACCGAAAATTGCCTTAGGTTGAGCCATGGTGCAACCGAAGGTGATTTTCGGTTGGTCCATGGTACAACCGAAAATTGCCTTAGGTTGAGCCATGGTACAACTGAAAATTGGCTTCGTTGAGGGGTTTCAGAATTTTTTTGGATTTGTTTGGTTTATATCAATAATTTTCTATTCTTTTACTACGATTTATGGTTCGGTCCATAAGATAATTTGTTGGATTTTGGTTTATATTTTTTTAGATTTATAGAAGGAGAAGGGTTGTTTGCTTTGTGTTTGATTTTGAAATTCAAAATGGACAATTCGATAAATTACATATTAAGTTAGGACGATAGTTAGTAATTTTTAGGACGACCTTTAACCATTCAGTACAAATACAATACATCCAAAAGCACAAAAAAAAGTGACGTGTACCATAAACACTGGTGCCCAATAAGCAAAAGGGAGGATAAAATATCTCAAAAAGCGAGAAATATCATGTCTGACGTGGCAGATATTTCAGTCCCCAATACCTTTACTATTTAAATAATCAAAATCCAATTTGGACAAAGGCCGCCCCAACCAAACCGCAGCTTTACAGCACAAAGAAGTGAAGGCCTCCCATTCCATTCCCAATCAACGCCAAACTATCCGCCAACTAGATAGATCTCCGCCACCACCGCCCCCATGTCCTCCGCCGCCGTCGCCGACGACCAGTTCGCCACGCCGACGCTGGACGCCGAGTCATCCAGCATCCTCCAGTCCGTCTCCTCCCACGGCGGGTACGCCTACGTCAGGATGGCCACGCTGGCCGCCGCCGGCGACTCCCGGGGGGCGGAGGCCGCCCACGAGATGGCGTGGGAGCAGCTCCACTCGGGGCCCTGGCACTCCGTGCTCCCCGTCTGGCGGGACGCCTACTCCATGTCCTGCCTCCACGTGGCCAGGTTCCACTGCCGGGACGGCGAGTTCAAGGAGGCGCTTAGGGTTTTGGACATGGGGCTGATCATGGGCGGAATGCTTCTCCGGGGCGACTTGGATTCGGCCATCCAGATCATCTCGGCGAAATCTAGAGGTGGGGGCGGGGAAAGGGAGGGAGGGAAGTGGAGATTGGTTGAGGATGGGGAGTTCAATAAGGCGGAGGTGAGGTTTGTTGTCCTCCAACTGTTAGATTGTTTTCCTGAGAGAGACTTGGAGAAGAAAAGGTTGAAGTCAGCGTTCTTTTGGGTTTTGGCTGTTGAATTTTTTTTTTTTTTTCAGGTGCTTCGTGTTTTGCCTGTGAAATCGTTGACTTGCAAGCTTGTGGCGAAGAGATCGGATCTATCGCTGGAAGGGTTTCTCCGGGATCATTTCTTAGCTGGATCGCCGGTTATCATCAGCGATGGTATGGCTCACTGGCCCGCCAGTAGAAAGTGGAACGATGTTGATTATCTGAGAAGGGTGGCCGGCGATAGGACGGTTCCAGTTGAGGTCATTACCCCTTCTTCCTTCTTTCTTCCCTTACAAGTTAGAACTTCATATGAGAATTTTGATTGTGTTGCTGATGTAGTTTCTTAAGTTCTCGAATCTTAAGTGTATAATCGTTCAAAGGGTTTCTGTGATGTTATATTGATGAAGCTATAGTGGGGCTAATAGGATGGATTTTATTTGGCGTTAAGAAAAATGCAATGGGGATCTTGGGTGTCAAGTTGAGGAATTTCTCTGAAGTTTGGTTCGAAATGCGTTTGATATAGAAACTAACTGGTCATATGGTCCTTCTATCCCGACGGGAAAGAAGGAAAAAAAAAAAAAAAAGGGAGCTCCATATGTCCAACATATACCATGGTTATTTTTCTTGTATTTGTAGCAAGCCAGAGTGGTAGTATATCCCAGCAACGAAAACAGGGGGATTGGCAAATGTTTTTGCAGGTTGGGAACAACTATTTATGCCAGGAGTGGAAGCAAGAGCTAATAACCTTTTCCCAGTTTCTCGAGCGTATTAGTGCTTCCTCTGGTGTCCCCACTTATCTTGCTCAGCACCCATTATTCGACCAGGCATGTCCTTGAGTCCTCTTTCAATCCGACGATCATTGTTGAAGACCAAGTTTTCCAACAATTTGACTTTGCAATTTGTGTCCGAAATGGTTAGATAATTCAACTGCGGAATGATATATGCATCCCTGACTACTGCTGTGCTGGCGGCGGAGAGCTTAGGTCTCTTAATGCTTGGTTTGGCCCTGCTGGCACGGTTACACCTTTGCACCATGATCCTCACCATAACATACTTGCACAGGTACTACTGCAGAATCCTTTGATTTTCCTTTGATCAACTTCTTTTAATGCATGCATTCTACTTAACTGAGCTCTGAATAGATTGTCTTCGAATTGCAAAATTTCGATTTCCTTTTCTCTTTGTAAACATGAAACTGCCTTTGCAGGTTGTTGGCAAGAAGTACATCAGGCTTTACTCTGCTTCACTGTCGGAGGAACTCTATCCGCATAATGAAACCATGCTCTTCAACTCCAGCCAGGTGATCCCCTGTCTGAGTTTTCGACATTCATGCTCTCATCATTTCGACATTCATCCTTATCTAAACTAATGAATGAATGTGGTCTTTCATTCTCATTCGACAGGTTGATCTCGACGACATAGACGAGAAGCAATTCCCAAAGCTGCACGACCTGGAATTCCTGGACTGCATTCTGGAGGAAGGTGAAATGCTCTACATCCCACCAAAATGGTGGCACTATGTCCGGTCTCTAACGACTAGTCTTTCGGTTAGCTTTTGGTGGAATAACGACTCTGGAAGCTCATCCATGTCTTCCTAGCAGCAGCCATTCTTCTCATCTGGCTTTAATCCGGTAGTAGGGGTGGATTGATTAATCAAGTAGTTGCTAATTTCCAGCACCAACAAGCACTTTCTTGCTTTGCTTGGTGGGAAAAGGGGAAGGAGGAGATTTTGGTTTATTATGACAAACTCACTATTTCCTCGTGTATAGGGCTATAGCTACATTAATGCTGAGCAATTAGTTGTGGTTTGTGAGGGTTTAGAAATAAGAAGAATTATTGGTGTTACAGTTATGAGTATTTCCAGAGTAAACTGGTGTCCAACTCTTTCTTCCTTTGGTACTTGGTACCGCCTTTCATGAAATAATGCTACACCTTCGAGCTTTGCTTCTGTGTGCCTTCTATTAAGTTATGATGAAATTCGGTGCATCAGTAATGGTATGATTGTGTTTAGCAACAATAAAAATCGTGATTGCAGCTATATTATTATCCAGAAACGACATTGTCACCGAAGATTCCAGTTTAGTTTACTACACGAGTGCAAAGCCCAGGCTAGCGAGCAACTATTATCAAGTTTGGACAGCTCTAGCAATGCCGAACGCAGCGGCAGAAGCAATGGCACCTATGAGTGCGGTTTGGAAGGCACTGATGAAAGGCCTGCTCCCCGTGAAATGACCCTTTGCAAACCCAAAGAGCAGCAACGCTATTAGCGTCACGATGACCGACGCAATCACTGCATCCTGAGCCCTCGCGATGAACATGTAAGGAAGGAGAGGCACAAATCCCCCAATGATGTACGAGATCGCGATCGTCAACGCACTCTGCACCGCTCTTCTTGGGTCCGGCTTCTCCAGTCCCAACTCAAACCTGCATATATACCAGAGTTGTTGCATTCAATACCCTTAAACCTGAGGCTGGAAATCCAAATTGGGCCAATAAATGTGCCAACCTGATCAACGATGATGCAAAAAGTTTATATACAGGACAACCATGTAAGTACAAAAAGGAAGCAACTTTATGAATTATGATGTTGGGAATTGAGATACGGAATCTGAGTTTTGAGTGGGAAAAGAGAGAGAGAGAGAGGCGTTTTGGTGATAAAATGGAAGTGCTGAGTGACCACAGTAAGCCCACCCATGACTTTGATTGTCACTACAACTGCAATGGGACAAGGCAACAACGAGAAAGTGCAGCACCGTGCCAGCCTGCCTCCGTTTCGTCGCAATCACATTAGAGACGACAACTTCGATCTGACCTGTGTAATGTCTTGCAAGTAGCATTATCGAGTAGGGCTCGATATTAATCGGACAGAAACGAGTGGTGAGCAATTGACGAGTAACTAACAATATCAATGTTTTGAATGTATCACCTTGATATTAGCACTACCCTCTAACCTACTGAGCTAACGGACTGGATTTTCGAGCGTATTAGCTTGATAATCGATCTAACTACGCAAACACTGTACTGTACAAACACTACAACGGCAAATTAACTGCTTTCAACTGGATCAAATACCCGTAAACTGAAGTTCAATAGTCCACAATTCCCGACGAAGAAACGAACACAAAGAAAAGAAAATGTTGAGATACAAGTAGAGAATTCAGTGTCGAGGAGTACTTACTTCATCATGAAATCAAGCCAAGCTTGAGGCCTCTTACGGAGAGCGTTCACCACCGGCGCGTATTCGTGTGGCTCAATCCCGTATTCCGCCAGGATCTCCGCCACCTCCGCCGCCTCTGCATTTTACCGGCCGCAACCACATAACAAAAGAAAAACAGAGCAAGCAATTCAGGTTCCGATAGAATTTTAACTTAAGAAGAGAAGAAAGATTAAACAACCTGTATCGGGGACGGCGACGATCTCTTCCTGTTCTCTCTTCAATTCCCTGGAGTAATGGTCCGCCTCGCTCCTCGCCGCCAAATACCTAGCCCACAACCAATTCCACCGCCGTAAAATTTTCCAGAATTCGATCCCAATCTCGTAATCATCCTTCCACGGAATTCAATCCAAAATCGGAGCAATGGCGCGATAAAATTGAGAATCATGTTATGGAGGAAATGTGATCGTTATCGAGTATACTCACCCTCCGAGTCCCATTGAGATGGCGCCGGCGGCGACTTCCGCGAGGCCGGCGGTGAGGACGATGGAAGAAGGGGCATTGGCGCCGGATAACCCGGCGGCGAGGGCGAAGGGCACGGTGAGGCCGTCCGAGACGCCGATGATGATGTCGCGGATGACCTCGCCAGCGGTGAAGTGTTTCTCCTTGTGGTGGTTCAGCAAGGTTTGCTTCTCCGGCTCGATGTTCGCCATTGAAGAAGATCCCGTGAGTGAGAGAGGTAGTGTGGGCGCGAGAAACTGTGACGAGACTTCTGAGACAGAGCAACTGCAGGGGAGAAAGAAGGTCGGTGCTCTCTATTTTTTTTCGTATTGGAAACTGATGCTTGTTTTCAGTTTGTGACAAGCGGCGGTGATCGATTTTATATTGTACTGTATCATATGTGAAAAAGACGGAAATAACCCCACTCTTTTCCTCCGTATTACGATTTTAACGAGTCGAAACGGTCGTTTGGAAGTTGCGATAGTTTTGTTGAGATTGTCATTATGCATGTATTGTTTACAATGCATAGTTTTTTGTTTTTCTAGCAGAAACAATACATGGATTGTTTCTGTGATGTGACAGAAACTATCACTCATTTTGAGTGATTGTTATATCTCAACTTTTAGTTGTGATTGTTGAGATAGTTGAGTTGAGATTGTTTTGTCTCAGCTTTTCGATGATGCGACATACACAATCACACATACCAAACGTTGTATTCTACAATGCATCAAATTCGACAATACATGTATAATATTATACATGCATTCTCAACAATACATCTATTTAACAATCGCAACTTCCAAACGACCCCGAAATGTAAGCAACAATCCGAATTTTTTTCGTGGTTTTAGGTATTGAGAAAGAAAACTCATAATTGGCCACTTAGCAGTTGTAGAATCACCATTGCAAATGAACTTATGAACACCTAATTAACTTCCTAATCTAGGAAACAAATAACAATTCTCCTTATCAATAACCTAGGATTTCTCCATACTTAACCCAAGATTTCTTAATAATATTGGTGAAGGTTAAAAAAGTATCAAGCGTAAAGAGGCATTATGACTCTGCCTAGTGCCTATCTCGTCTAATATAATACTAGCAACCCAATGTTCTTGATTCGGCGAGTGCTTAGGCACACTTACTCCATACGATCGAGTTGAAATTGATTACAAAGATATAAATCTGTGTTTTATTGAAACTAATCAAGTACACCATTAACTTAGTCTTACTTATAAAAACATATCATTAACTGTAATCGGAGAAAGAAATTCTCCGATCTAACCCACAACAGGCTCGTCGGACGACCGTTCCGCCGTCGCTGTCATTGATTTCTTTGCCGCCATAAAGAACTCATCCAACGATTTTAAGGAAGAACCTTTCCCGCCGGCTTCACTATCACACATAGCCTTCCTCATCATCTCCTTCACCTCCGAAGCTTTCCTCCGAATCTCAATCCCTTTCTCTCCCTCCCCATTCATCACCATCTCGATCTTCTCCCTAATCGCTTCAGAGCTCACCTCGCAAGTCTTCCCTCGCGCGGCTTCCACGCAGACCCCCAATTCCTCCTCCAAGAACTTCACATTGAAGAACTGCTCTCCCGCCATCGCCCAACCGATCATCGGCACGCCGAAGCTCAGCGATTCGAGCACCGAGTTCCACCCGCAGTGAGTCAAGAACCCGCCGGTGGCTCTGTGGGAAAGGATCTCCACTTGGGGAGCCCATTTCTTGACCAGCAGCCCTCTCCCCGAAGTCTTCTCCTCGAACCCTTCCGGCAGCCATTCTTCGGATCTGAAATCGGAGTTTATGTCGAACCCGATCGGCGGCCTCACCGCCCAGATGAAGTTCCTCCCGCTGGATTCCAACGCTTTCCCGAGTTCCATCATCTGGGCCGGGCTGATCGTGTTGTGGGATCCGAACGACACGTAGAGAACGGACCTCTCTGGCTTTCCATCCAGCCATGCCTTGCAGCTGTTCGACGAAACGCCTGACTCGGAACTTTTCCCCGCGCGGTCTCTGCTCTCGGAAGAGAGAAGTACAGGCCCGATTGCCCAAGCTGGAATCCCTAGCTTCTTCTTGAAGTAAGACAATCCAATCCAATCGAATTCCTCCACCGTGTTGAACAGGATCCCGCTCGAATCAACCCACGCCGGCAGATTCTTGTTCTGAAACAGAGACCAGGAATCCGACCCATCCGCCTCCAGAATACTCAGCGGCAGCTGGGTCTTTTGAATCCGAATCCCTTCGAAATCCTCGAGCGCGAACTCCTCCGATTGCCGGGGAGGAAGCGATGTCCAGATCGAGTAGTAGCAGGCCAGCCCGTACCCGCCTGCGCCGCTGAACACGGCGTGGAAAACCCCAAGCTCCTTGGCCACCGTAGCCGTCCATCCGAAAAAGATGTCGGAGATTATACAAAGGGGGCGATCCCCTCCGGCGATGAGATCGTGTACAAGGGTCTTGAAAGCGGGGCGGAGGGAAGTCGAGGCGTCGAGGAGGCGGACGATGAGAGGGTAAGGGAGGACGTCGGTGTTCTCGGTCGCCGGGGGGAGGCCGTGATCGGAACTTTCGAAGGGGATTTCGAGCAGGTGGATTGTGGAATCGGGCGGGAGGGAAGATCGGAGCTTTTGGATGTTGAGTTTGGTGTTGACGAAGGTGATTCGGGAGTGGTTTTGGGTTCGTTCGATGTGGTGGGCGAGAGCTAGGAACGGGATTATGTGGCCCTGCGCCATGAAAGGGAACATCACTATGTTGTTGCTGTTCTTGTGATGATAGGATTCTTCTGTTGCCGACGACGACATCGTTGTCGGCGGAATCCGGCGACGGCGACTGAGGGGGAGAGGGAGAGGGATGATTGGTCAAATTTGGAAGGGGAAAGTTTTGGTGGGTAGCTGAGAAGTCCCTTCTCGGAAAGAAGTGCTCCGCCTGGTTCGTCAAAAGTGGAGACTGTTGACTCTCCTTTGTTTTTGGCTTTTTGGTTTACTTTGGGTGGTAGGTAAATTGTCTTTTTTAATTAGAGATGACAATTTCAACCTAATTCGAGTTACCCGATCTGTTTGAACTGTTTTGAGTGGATCCGACCCGTCTCGTAGGCGGGAGGGGAATGGGTATCTCTCATCGACTCGATCTGCCCTGATCCGCCTCATTCTCGACTCATCTGGCCTAAGTTACATGTAATCTTAGTCAGATTACTTAGGATTTTCCTCTTATTACATCATATTTTATGTATAATAAAGTTGTAAATAAGTGAAAAACTTAATTTCTCCAATAATTTAACTACATTTTATCAAATTATGGTTTCTTTCTTGGTCTTTTAATTAAAATAACGAATAATTCTAATGTTTTTCGCATAAATTATATATCCAATGGGTCGACCTGCCCCGCCCGCGCCGCATGATAAATTACCCGACCAGTACCCGACTTGCCACTGGGCGAAAATGGGTATCGAGATACCCACCCCGGACCTGCCCATTGTCATTCCTATTTCTAATCATTAATTTCCATAAACATTTTTCTTACTATGTTTTCAGGTAACGCTAATCTTTTTACTATAATCAAATTTCCAAATCTGTTCTTCTGCTTTATAGAAGAAAAAAATATGTTCTTCTGTTACATTGTTTTGTTCAAAGTTCAGGAATCATTGTTGAACTAAGTTTAGGTATATATTATGTGACTTTTTGTATAGAATTTTTACTACCAATCGTGCCTCTCCAACCTTCTCTATCTTTATGAATAGTAGGGGCAAAGGGGTTAATTGATATCAATAGGTACCAGTTCGATCATGATTTACGAGCAAGTATGAAATGAAAAATAGTATAAGGATATATTTGACAAACACAGCAATACAAATTCACTTTATTCTATTAACTCCCTTTCTTTTCAAATATTGGTTAGTGTCATTCATCAAACATTGGTTGGCGATAGTGATGGTAATTTCTGACCTAATCCGTTGTGATACAACATGTCCCGACCTATTTACGCATTGCTTCTAACATGTCCATCTTTGTTTTCTACCTGTTTTGTCATGATTTGCAACAATATCAACATATATGTCTCATCTTTTGACAATTATAAAATCATATTTTAATCTCAAAGAAATTTTAATACTCTATCTTTCAACTACTATGACTCAAAAATTTCTTCTACTATATTTCTCATTTATTTATGAAGTTTAATTTGATGACTACTTGTAAAAAAGTTAATTGTCGACGTTCTTTTTGTAAATAGCAAATGAGGATGAATCGCCATGCCTCATACCCGCACAGGTATTATCCGACTTGTCTCGCGCTTGTTACAGGGTAGATATGTGTATTGACTATTGAGTAACCCGCCCGTCCCATTTTCATCACTAGTTGGTGGACAAAGTTGGTAGAATATAATAAATTTGTTACCGATTGTATCGATATATAGGGTGTTCATGTGGCTAATCACCCATTTGGTTATATTCTCATGTGTGTTTGTCCTATTATGTTTTGACGTAATCAATGTGCATATATGTGAATTAAGAAGGCAAATGGCAAGCACATGACAAGGCAATATCATCATGTATTCGTACTTATTTAATGTAGGAATCCATCAACAATCGAAATCTAGAAGTGGGGAAGATTGGCAAAAGGAAGAAATACATATACATTTATGGAAAGAGAATATCATTGTGTGGGTACTTCAATTGTCTTCATATAGTATAAGATGTGCTGTTCAATCCTACATCTGCGAAGCGTTGACCGTTATGGGATTTCTTAGCCGTATTATTAGTGGGCCGGAGTTTCCCTATTATTTTCTCTCTGGCCCAATATAAATCTGTTGGACATGGATCCAAGAACTCGTTTAGGCCTAAAAGTTATGGGCCGAACTGCTAACCCAAAAGCTGATGCATCTCTTCTATAAACACTAGAAAGTCTCTAACAACATCTACATTGGTATTGCATTCTCAATTACAAAATGATATGACATAGGTGTTTGCAATTACAAAACCAATTGCAGTGATGTGACTACCAATTGTATATTTGCAAGTTTGCAACAAATGCAATTCCATATGCAAGTCAAAAAAGCCTACAAAAATGGGGATTTTTTATTTTCTTTTTTACTTAATTATCTATAATTTAAACATAATATTTAATCACATTTGCAATTGCAAGTTAATTGCATTGATGTAGGTGAATGAAATGAATGTGATGTGGATTGCAAAAAAATTGAGTTGACATAAAAAAAACACATGCAATTTCTTTTGCAATTGCATTGATGAAGATGCTCTAACTAATCTTCAACCAATCGAATTGCACCCCAAGACTAGAACATGTAAAAAATAAAGAAAATCACAAGGACACTAAAAAACCAAATATAACAATTTTGCATTCTAGTTTACTAACATGATTATTGTTAACTAATGTACGAGCATCCTTAGTAAATACATATTATAGAGATTGTGAAGATATTTGTAATATATTTCGAGTGAAATATAATTTGTTTTCAAGTGATAGCAACAAATTCACCAATACTAACTTTTTGTTATTCATGCTAATCATTTATATTTGCACAACTCAAATATTAAGACATAACACACAATATTAAAAGAATGACAAATTCATAAATTCGCCATAAAAATTTCTAACACGAAACATCTCTTTACAAAGAAAATATCAAACACAAATTGGTGTTAATCCACAACGATTTCAACTAGAAAAGTTACCACCAGAGTGACCATAAGAACCCTTGTACCTACACAAAACCTTACACCTCAAAACCCTCCCTTGGACATAAAACCCAGGCATCACCATAACCTTAACCACCTTGCTCGAGGAACCACCACCATTTCCCGCCCTTTCCCTCGAAACATCTTCCATGTACCTAGGATCAAACCCCCTTTCCTCCTCCACCCTCAAGATCCCGATCGCCGCCGGATCGAACGAGAACGCCAGCAGGTGAAGCAGCCACACGCACTTCGCCGCCACGAAGAACGCCTGCAGCAGCTGCTCCGGCCACGGCCGTGTCCAATTCAGCGCCGCGATGATGCAGCTCATCCTCTGGTCGCAGAACTTGCTGAACTCCTCGCTGTAATACTTCGTCCCTTTTCTCAGAACTTCGTTCCAACTCAGGTTCCGCAGCGAGACGAAGGATTGGAACTGGGCCTGCCGATCCTGCTGCGGGTCCAAGTGCTTCGGCGCGCCGTTCTTCTGGAAGGCTGAGTTCTCGAAGTCCTGGTGCATCGTGTCGTTGATTATGGATTCCAGGTGGTGGAGGATCTTCTTGGGATGGTTGGAATTGAGGGAGAGGATGGTTTCGATCAGTGGGGAATCGGCGGCGTCTTCGATTTGGGTGATTAGGGATTTGCAGAATTGTTTCACTGACAGTCTGGATTCGGCCACCATTTGGAGGAACCCTTCCACCATTGCTTCGTCGGTCACTGGGAGAATGGATGGATGATGACTCGAGCTGTTGTTGTTGTTGTTGTTGTTGTTTTCTGCGTACCCATCGATTGATTTGGCTCGCCCTTTGGATCTCGAGGCGGATTTCAGAGCCGCCTTCAGCTCCTCGCAGTAGCCCTCCAGGTGTTCGATCTTTTGCCTCAAAGGGCCTAACGAAGCTCTCGTCTCCGCAACTTCTGTCATTGCTGCGTCCCTAGTTTCATTCGATTCCTTCAACTCCTTCCTCAGATTCTCGATCGACAACAAACCCAATTCTCCGAATACCTGCGAGGCCTCCTCGGACTCTGTTCTCACCGGCGAAGTAGTAGCTGCGTTCTTTGTGGGCTTCTTCCTCAGCCTCGGAAACAGCCACGACATCATTCCTTTGCTCCTCGGCTGAGACTGGACGGAAGCGTGGGAATCCGTCAATGGAACTACAATGTTGGAATGAATCTTGCTCTTTCGATTCTGAGCTTCGAAGTCTGCTATTGCGCGGGAACGGTTGCAGGACGATGACGATTTGAAGCCTGCAAAGTTCAGTCCCCTGCTTGATTTGTAGAGCCCTGCTGTTGTTCCTCCGCCGCCGGGGGAACTGTGGAGAACGGTGATGTTGTTGTTGGCACAGGGGCCGGTGACGGATTTCTGATCGTCGGCCGAATGAATCCCTTTTCTGGTTGAAGAATTCTCCTTCTTGAAGTCCGACAAAATGGTCTCGTAGCTCATTGTTCCTCCACCTCCTTCTACGCCGCATTCGTCCCAGCTTTCTGATGCTGTTCTTGACTTCGCCGGCATCGAGTACTGACTCCCTGGAAATGGCTCATCCTCGTAGCTCTGTGCAAAAGGCGTTAAATTCGGTAAGAATCATTACTATCTCAATAACTTCAACTCCGTTACATCAACATCGAAGTCGATCAGTTTAAGGCATGAGCCCATTAAATAATTAGGCCAATTAGTAGTTTAGTAGTTAGTACAGATTATGCGGTTAACAATTAACATAACGACGGATGTTAATAAAAAGTTAGAAATCTGAAGTTATTAATTTAATCATTCAGCCAATGAACTCGAAAGTTCAAAACTTTTTCTCTAACTTGGAAGCAACATCTATCTAGCTACAGGGCAATGGTGGAAAAACAAAAAAGGAACCAACTTTACTTGAATACAGCATTCAATCTATCCTGGGTTCAATTTTTGCAGCAGGAGAAGAAGACTGACCGGAGTGAAGACGGGATAATCTTGCGCTGAGAACTGAGGAAGAGGGCGGGAAGAAGCAGGAGAAGAAGAAGGAGGAGGAAGGTATCTGAGATTTGCAGCAGCAGCAGCAGAAGAAGAAGGGCTGCTAGCAGTAGTAGTTCCTTGAATCAAAGCGGCATGAAGAGCTCGAAGCTCCACTGCTTTAGCAATGGCGGCTTGGATTTCCTGTCTGCTGATTTCCCCTCCTCCACCGCCGTTGCTGCTGTTGTGGTGGTCGTCGAAGATTTGATGGGTGGAAGAAAGAACGGTGGACGCCATGAAAGGAGAAACAGAGTACTATTGTGTTGGAGCATATGGTAGCTTGAGAAGCCGAAAGGGATAACGAGAACAACAATCCAATGGCTCTAATGGTTTTTGGGTTTATCAAGAAATGGGTTCACAGTTGTTGGATTGTATATAAGGAGGTGAACAAGAGAAGAGAAGGTCTGTAATCCAATGAAGCTTTTGTTTTTCTTTCTTTTGTCTGTGAGTCAAATGGAAGGGAGAGGAATGTTGGCATGTGAATCTCTCGAGTGTGTAGAATAGAGATAGAGGAGATAGAGAGTGAGAGACAGTTCCAAGTTGTGGTTTCTTTGCCTAATTGGATTTGGATGTAAGCAAAGGATGAGAGGAGGTTTCTGTTGTTTTACCAAATTGCCCATTGGCTTCCCAGAATAGCCAACACAAATGAGAAACTTTTTGTGAGTAATACTAAAAGAAATAGAGAGCTTACTCTAATGTGGAATTTTGAATGTGATAGGCCATGCAAGTGGTAGATTACCACCGGTTGTACTTTATTTCCCCTAGAGCTAACTAGTTTCATTTAGAGTTTTTTAATATCATAATTCATAGTAATGGATACAAGAACGACAATACTTGTGGATTTGGTATTTCAAGACTCAAGCGTTATATTGTTATGTGGAAGGTTATGTGTAAATGTTCAAAATAATGCAGGTCATGCAATCAGAGGAGATACATGTATGTTATGTGGAAGGTTATGTGTAAATGTTCAAAACAATGTAGGTCATGCAATCAGAGGAGATACATGTATGATATATCTCAAGTCATGCCTATCTGCAAGACAAATCAAATCGTCAAATTAATCAAGCGAGACAAGTAAACATGGGTTGAAATTGTCGTCCTTTAAAAATAAAGTTTCACGAATCAAAGATAACAATACTTCTAAATCTGGAACACAAAACTTTCAATAAGTTCGAATAGTTTCTCGCCTAATTTTCAATATCTTTGTGATAACCATATATATTTCATCACAATTGAACAAACCATCTTTAAAGTTGAGAAGCTCATTATCAAACAAACCACATGTTCTCTACTCATCATTCCTTGATACCTTATATCTACTACTACTTAATATTTTGTACAATAAAAGGAAAGAAGAGGATAATGGGTGGTGCCATTGTAGGTATGATTGCTTAGGTACTTGAAAGATGAAATCATGAGGAAGATGATTCTAGTCCAACCAGCAACCCACCACTCCACTTCCTTCCTACCCACAAATACACCAAAAAGGCAAAAACCCCAAATTTCTTTTCTCCATTGGTTGTGGCTATTATACCATAATTAATTATTATTCTCTAATAGTATACTCCTACTCATTCATACCCCATAACACTATTGCTTACCATCTACAATCATCACACATAACTACTACTTCATCTTAGTGGGTTGCCCACTTCTTTGGTTCCATTCAAACAACCAATCCACACCTTGCCATGACTTGTCAAGACACCCTTGGAAACCAACATTTATTGGTGATGTGAACTTTTATCTTGCTATAATTTAGTTGAGGGAAATTGATAAATTCTACATACTTATAAGTATAACGATAAGTTCAATTCAATTTTGGCCTCATCAGACGATAATAATAGCAAAACACATATGGGAGAAACCAAAACATCCAATTATATTACAACTACTTGTTTAGTTGAAATCAAGTCATATCTTAGCACTATGAAACTCTCTGAACACAATCGAACATGAGCACAAACAAACACTTAGCAGCTGGCTTTTTTTGTGGGATTCTAACGCTCTCACATAGGTTTCATAGTACATAGGTCCTTCCAAAACATTTTCATTTGTCTTCAATCTCTAGGCTGGCTTTCTCCATTCTATTTGTGAGGTGAGGAGGGCACGCTTTGTAAGAAATTGATGGTGGTGGGTTATCCAACTGTGTTTAGGGACCAAGATTTTTGTGATTTATTCTTCTCCTTGTGTTATATATATACACCTAGCTTTAGCATGTAAATCCAAGGAGAAGGTACATTATTTCTTTCATAGTTTTGCGGGGGTTTCTTGGAATTTTAAGAAGTCTAAGAGAAGAAGGGTATTATCATGGAATCATGGGAATGGAATTCCAAGTAGGATCAAGAAAAAGACATGTGGGGAAGAAGAGATTACTTATCTTTTTGGCTTTTCCAAAATGGACTAATTAATTGTTAATGATATCATTATCTTCTATTGTTGTTTTTTTTAAACATCTATCTGTATATATATGTTCAACCTCTTTTATGACTTGTGATCCAACCACTCCCCTAAAAAAGGCTACCAAGGTTTTTCCAACCTCCACATGGTAAACCTTTTTCTAGTTTCATTTGTTTAATCAAACCAAACACCCATGCCAACATGAGTCATGGCTCTCTGTTATTTCCTCTTTTTTTTTTTTTTTTTTTGTGATCAAACCAAAAGTAAAATTGCATACTCATAAGTTGATTCATTTATGTTATCTGGGTATCTTAATAGTCTAAATCGCATTAATATATACTTTACTTGATTTTTCGTCTTTATAGTTTTAAAAATGTTCGATATGAATCCACCATATAGTTCGAAGGGGTAAGCAGCCTTTCACTCTAAAAGGAAAACCCATTAGTGGCTATAATTTTAATCACCATGTGTACTAAACATTCAACAAACTCTATTGGTGGCTTCTACTTGCATCGTTGAAATTCATTGTTGATGTCCAAAGCTCGCTGTACAGCTAGCCAGCTAGAGTTTCATACCTCTTAAACAAAGAGGAAGGATAAAGGATTAGGTAAACTGGCATTCACAAGAAAATTCTAGCTAGGGTTAGGGAAAATGAAGATCAAGGAAGTTAATTAGGTTTTGTAGCCCGTCATTGTCACTAAGACATAAACGAGAGCTAATCATGATCACAATATTGATAATAATTAGTTGAAACTTTCAACTCAATTACTATTTGATTACTGAAACTTGTGGTGATGTGCTGATTATGCTTAAAAGGTTACTTGGGACTCCTGATTAATCCAACAAAAAGTGGGGAATGTTAACTAAAGCTTGTTCTTTTATGTGATTTAGGTTGCCACCTTTTTCATGGCTATGTCGTTTTGGGGTTGTTTTACTTGGTTGGAATTACATTGAGCCAAAACTTGAGATGTAATCATAGGCAAGGTTATGAGGGGATCCATACACCTCCAATATGGGTCCAAGCTATAAGGTACATATAGAAGAAAAAAAGATATGTAATGGAAGAATCCATTTTCCTCTTTTTTGTGATGTTCAAAGTTCAAACATTATTGATGGATAACCCATTTGACATTGCCTTGCTTTAGACAAGAGGAAAAGATGAAAACATAACTACATATGGGTGTCACTACTTGTGTTTGATTATTAATGCTAGTTAGCTAGCCTTTGTGGTCCTTGTGTGAGATTCAAGCTAGGCAACATTGCAAGATATATAGTCATCATAATCCGATGAATGGTTACTATATATGAATGAAGATGAAACAATTTGCAATGCAAGCATATAGGGTCAATTATATACTTGACCTTGAGCATCTCTCAAGAAGCCGAGTTGTTTTGTTTAGATGACTTTTTAAGTGGTACTAGAGCTAGCTTTGATATATAGTTGAATTTGTGTATGTTCTGAATCACGTTAAACCCAAACATTCAATGTTGATATGAGCACATGCACGGTGCACATCTACGCACGCTACCTTCAGGTCCATTAGTTAACTTTTGTTTGATGGAACGCCTATGTATAAGAAAATAATATAAGATTCGTGCTTAAAAGTTAAACCATTGCTCCTAATAATTCTCGACTCGACTTGAAGTGGGAACAAACTCATTCTTAAAACAACTTGCATCAAACTATATATCCAGAAAACACTATGTTGAGACCCGTCAGTTTTCATTAGTAGGGTTGTTGCTGGATTTGCGCAAAACCTGCATGGATTTGCTTTGAGACACCTTCCCGTAAAGCTAAGGTCCCGTACTAAGAAAACTAGGTAAACACAAGGTCCCGTACTAAGAAAACTAGGTAAACACGTACATACAAGGCACAAGGGTCATTTTCCTTTTATTCTCGATGTGATATTTAGATAATACCTAACACACTCATATTACTCATCTTCAAGCCTATGGATCGACATTGTTTGTAAAATTGGAGACTAGGGTTACTTGAAGACTAGACTTCCCATCATGTGAACTCTCATCGCATGCCCTACAGATTACAAGTAAACTTTCAAGTCCCTTTTCCCTCTACACAAAGAAATGATACATAAATTTTGGCAACAAAGCAAACGAAACCATACCCAACCCACTAGCTAGGCAAGAACACCACCACAAGTCCACAACGACTATATATAGATGGATCGAAGCTCTATTCTCTTTTACATCGTTCAGCTTTTCTGGTACACTTTTTTACTGGCTGCATATCACTGTATATCAGCACTTTTTTCTCCCAGTCCTCAGTAATTATTGATGGTTGACGTAAAAACAAGGGCATGCAAAAGCTAGGAGGGAAAAGGGCATGCTCTTCGACTCGAAATCCTGGTTCATTGCCTTTCCAATCTCCTCGTTTGCTGTTTCAGTTTTGTCCCCTTTCTCTTGTTATTTACTAGCCTAGATTCCGATTCTGGGTTGCTTTCTCCACGCCATCTTCATATACGTACTTGCAATCTTGTACACTCACGGGTGGAAATGGTTAATCTTGTAGCTATGAATGATGCAATGTAAATGTGGTTTGTTTATGCCTGGTGATGCATATGAATTATTGATTAATTATGTTAGTCATATACAGGCTGTAGCTAAGCTAGATAGGTTGTGGTAAGCATATTGTAAAGTTTATACATACAAACCGTACTGACGGTCCAAGCGGGAACCTCCTATCACATTATAAACCGATAGACGATTTTTAGTGGTGTGAACTTGTTGAACTATGATATTGTTAACTTTTTCGTTATAATCTCTCTTATGGGGTTCCAATACTTGGAACATGCATGTGAACGTTAATCATGATCATAGCCTCGTGGGGTTGATTAGTTGCCCCACGGTGAGCTATAACTTGGATCTGATTAAACCTATTCATGTCTTTGTTTAGCAATAATTCACTATTCTAATTCCCTTTCACCCATTAACCACTACCCGTGAATTGGGTTCTAGCTTATCTATCCTCTAGCCTTGTTGCGTGCATGTATGGCTAATTGGATAATCTACACAACGGCTACATATAATTGAGTAAGAAAATAAATTAGTTAGTGGGAATGAACTCTCAATTTTGGGTGGATCTATATATGTTAGTATAAAACTAGACTTTGATGATCATCTAGGTAGATGTGTTTCCTTTCTATCCAAATCACAAATAGTTTAAAAAAAAAGAGAGTAAGCGACTGCCCATACCTAATTGGTTACTTCCAATTACGTAAATCAATAGTTCAAACCGCACTCAAAGGTAGGGCATTTCCCATTTTTATAGGAACTTCTGTACAAGAAATAATGATATCTCCAATTGTAGCCCCTCTGGGATGTAAAATATATCTCTTCTCACCATCCCCATAGTGTACGAGACAAATGTATGCATTTCGATTAGGGTCGTATTCTATGGTTACAATTCTACCATATACTTTGATGATCATCTAGGTAGATGTGAGCTCGAAGCAACAAAATTATGTTAGTATGTGGTATAAGAGTTATTATTAACCTCTACTAACAACTCGAGTTACCAGCTTGTTCTTGGTATAGTGACAAAATCTTCAGTGAATGGGAGGTCTTTGTTCAAATTCCGATAATTCTCATTGATAAGGATGTGGTGTTGATATTTGTGCAAACTTGAAGCTCATATGAGTAGCTCTCATTTGAGGGGTACATGTTAGTATGTGGGTTAAGTTTGGATTGCAACTTGCTCATCAAATCCAACTTATGCACCCAATCCTAGTGATGGATTTCCTCACTAGAACGAGAGATGCAGATGATATCCCACTGAAATAGGCATTCTATGTCGGAGTATCCAACGATACTTGTCGGAAATGGGTATGGGGACAGGGATAGCACTCATCGTGAAGCAAACGTCGTGGCACACCTCATGGCCCACATGTAATTTTGATGGAGTCGTCGCATAATCTGGACATGTAGATCCTCTGTGTTTTTTTTATCGATAAGAAGTTGAATGATGTAGCACCTATTTCTTATTAGTAAAAGGTGACAATTTAACGATGAGAAACAATACTCTATTCATCAAATTTTACATTTTAATAACCGATGTATTTATTTGGTATAGCCTAACAACTAGAATTAATCCATGCGTTAAATTATCCATGAGAAATTGCAATTTATCATTAAGTTTTTTTTGGTACATAGGGCCAAAAGCCCAAAACAAAGAGGATTCGGACTAGGAGAAAAGTAAAGGCCGAACCCATGATTCAAAAAAGCACATGATATCTAATGGACCAAAGCCCAGTAGCCTAGTCCACATGGCAATCCGTGTCGCTCATATAGGAACTAATCTCAACCGCTCATAATCCAAGCAACCGACGGTAGAGATAGAGTTATAAAACTACTGGACCGAGAGAAAGGAAAAACTCCCATTGGTTGAAACATGAAACTGGAACACATCACGCGGATCGCCATCTCGGGCCGTTCAATCATCTCCCCAATCAACGGCATAGATTTAATCTAACACTTCTGGCGGAACCCACGAAATTTTTCAAAATTTCCCTCCTCCGTCTCCCCTGAAAACCTTCTCCCTATATATAGCCCAAATCCGCCATTTCCAAAAACCTCCATCTCAAACCAATTCACTTTCATCAATCCTCTCTCGCAAAACACAGATCTAACTTCTCTTTTCCCTAAAAAAAATGGCCCGCACCAAACAGACGGCGAGGAAGTCCACCGGCGGCAAGGCCCCGAGGAAGCAGCTGGCGACCAAGGCGGCACGCAAGTCTGCCCCGGCGACCGGAGGAGTGAAGAAGCCTCACCGATTCAGGCCCGGAACCGTGGCCCTGAGGGAGATCCGCAAGTATCAGAAGAGCACCGAGCTTCTGATCCGGAAGCTTCCGTTCCAGAGGCTTGTGAGGGAAATCGCTCAGGATTTCAAGACGGATCTGAGGTTCCAGAGCAGCGCCGTGTCGGCTCTCCAGGAGGCCGCTGAGGCGTACTTGGTCGGACTGTTCGAGGACACCAACCTCTGCGCGATCCACGCCAAGAGGGTTACCATCATGCCTAAGGATATCCAGCTTGCCAGGAGGATTCGGGGCGAGAGGGCTTAAACAGAGGGTAGTTTGTTCGAATGGGTTTTTCTATGTCTGGTTGTTTAAGGGTTGTTGCCTAATGCAATTCTGATTGTGATTTTGGTTATGTATTTGCTGGGATTCAGAATTCCAGTGTTTAGATTTAGGGTTTTCTGAAGGGTTGTAAATCTATTATGTTATGATTAATCCGAGATGGCTACTCATATCTTGCCTAGTCCACATAGTGAAAGTGATTCTTTCTCTAGTTCGCCCTTAATTAGCCGTCGAATTTGAGGTAAAGGCAGAAACTTTTTCACAAGTTCTCAGTAGTCAGTACGCAGACAAGAAGACAAGTGTATGGAGAATGAATACTTGTTTAAGGATGACTATTGGCAGAGAAATTTTGGGACCAGTGAAAGAGCGAGTTCGAGAACAAAAAGCAGTATTACAATTTCAGAATATTTAGAAAATAGATTGGGACGGTTTCCACTCTTTAGGAGGAGATGCAGATCCAAGTTGTTAAGTCTTACAGATCAAAATGTGTATATTTTAGTAGGGTGGTCTTACAGAGTTACAGTTCGATTATGTTATATGTATCTTACGTTTGGAAGAACTACATGCAATTTGCAAAACTCAAGGCTTTGATTTTGATTTGTCTGTTTCTAAGATTTGTACATATACAAGTAAAACTGATTCTAACTGTCTTAATCTTCTGCATTAGCTTCTATGGGATCCAAGGACCGTCGTCTTTGGGAAATGAGGAGCAAGGAATATCTCTCAGTTCCGGCTATGATAGTACCATCGAGGGGATGAGCAGCAATGGCAGTAACGCCCTCGTTCAGCTGAATGTAACCGTTCTGCTTTTGCCTCTTCTTTGATCTGGGCTGAGTCTTGTCTTCTGTTCCATCACTGATCATTGTTGGATCAACAAACATTGCACAAAATTAATTAGAGTCAATGAAACAATAGTAGGGATCGGTGAGTTTTCCACGAGCGAATGGTTTGTGAGTGTGGTTCTCTTCACATACCTGTAATCGACATGGCAAGGGGATGAGGAGTTGGGATAGAAGTCTAAGAGATGAATCCCATCCCCAGACGATGATCCAACCACATATATCTGCAAGACCAAAATCATAAGTTTTTAGCTACCTTAACTAGTGAAGTAATCATGAGAAGAAAGTTCGATAGAGATCTTACTGAGTATGTCAGCAGCCATGATGGTTTTCGACAATACAACTCATTGGCTACATCAGCTGATCCGCTCCTGATGAGAGTCGGATTGAAAGCCATGAACAGTGAGTAACAAGAATCGAATTTGAGGATGCAAGATATCATAGAGAGAATAAACAGTACTTACACCCAGGCTGGAGGAGGGCAATGGACATGCGTTACTTGACAATTCTGAATATCCAAAATGCCTGACCTGTATGACCGCAACCACCATGTTCAAGTTCTGATATTAAGCTATCAGCTCCTTTCTAGGTTATAACAACTGCATATAAAATTGGTGATTCTCATTTTGTCACATACCAACCGTTGTCGAGATGAAAGGCAATCTGATATGGGCAACTTGGGTTCATATCAATGGAGTGTATTTCTCTAGCCACAATGTTTGATTGCGCCTGAAAGTACAAAAATGACAATGGGGGCATTAGATAGGATCATATCATTAGCAAATTTCAGCCTATAATACCAAATTGTGCTTATAAGATATTTGTTTTGTACCTTCAAGGATCCAATTTTCTTGAGCATAGAGTCTATCTTCCAAGAAGTTACAGGTTGATATGACAATGCCTGCCCATAAACTTGTTATTAAGCAAAGACCAAAAATAGGAAAACTCAGCAAAAGAGCATGACTATATAGATACCTCTCTGTGATGTTGAATAGCAGAAGACTCCCTGCCTCCTCGAAGATCCCACATATAGATCGTTCCGAGCCTACCAGCTGCAAATACTGTCTGTAAAATTAATGAAAAGCATTAAACATTTCGCATGTCAAATTGGCCTTAAATTAAAATGATATATCAATTAACCACATTACATAAGGGAAGTCATTGCTGACAACTCATTGCTGCTAACCTGATTATCAACATGTAGTTGGATACTCAAGAGACTAGAATGAGCATTGTTTGAGAGCTCAAGACATGGGAAAACACTTTGCCTTGCATCCCAAATGTTAACAATGCCCATAGTATCAGAACCAAAGAGCCTATCATTACATAGACATTATTCACATATTATATGTGGGAGAAAAAAAAAATAGAGATGACCAAATAATATTGCTAGTGTCAAATGAAATCGAATCAGAAGCCATTATAGTTTGGGCAACAAGAATCGTTCTCCAAGGTTGACATATAAGTCCTTTAAACCAACCTTGACTGATCACTTTTTGTAAAAGCTATATCAGTAATGCCTTTATGAATCTGAGAACCGGAAAGGGTGGCATTGCTCCTCAGTCTCAAGACCTGCAAAAAATAGTTCAACTCCAGTCTCAACATACATAGATGGAATTAGTCATAGAAATTATTGTGCCAAGTTTATCTATTAATCAAGCAAGCTGTGCATATTTGTATCACCGAAGTTGTGGATCTGACTTGAACTAACACATTTGGCCGGGCAGACTACTGAAGCAAGGTAGACAAAACTTCCCAGCAACTTGTATGACCTACTTTCTACTGAGCACACACTGTGAAGCATACCAGCAACACTATCTAGCTAAAATATGACAGACTGTGTTCCGAGATGACAAAGAACTTTAGGAAGGACACATACATGGTCGCAGAGTTGCTGCCACCAACAAAGAGAAGTCTAAAAAATGACTCAAGCATGCACAAAAGCAATGTCGTTTTTATGCCCAAAATGAGCTGTTTGAAATGGATATGGGAAATTAGAGTCCCTTACCCGAGTTGGCTCAGAAGAGACATAACCAATATCGTAGATTAGTACTTCACTGGTACTCGTAGAAGCACAGGCAACCTAGAGGAGAAGTAAAACCACAGGTTAACAAATTAGCAACAACACGAAATAACCTTACCAAGGAAAACTGGAAATGTAAGAACAAGCTACTGAAAAAGAATCTAAAAACCTCGTCTTGGTTGGCATAGTTCCATCGCACAGCCTCAAGTAGGCGTCCAGATTGTAGATGCAATACGACCTTACTTTCATGCAAAGGCAAGCCTGAAAAGCAAGACATAGTTTCCTAAATGAAGCTCAACAACCAATCTAGTATCTACTATTGAATCTTTTATCGGTTTACCATAGTGGTATTATGCGGTGAAGAAAAAATGAAACTGCATAACTAAACCTGGTCTCTTTGGCAGCACATCAGTAGCATGACAATAAAGGGATTCAAAGTCATGGATTGTCAAGCAACCATTTCTGTTCACTGAGGCTAAATATATCCCCTGAAAAGAAATCCCAATCCAGCCAATGAAAGAATCCCCAAGCTACAGAACCTTAGTAGGCATAGTGATTTATAAGGCTTACTTACCTTAGAGTCAAATTCCAAGCCAGAGATTCCACGTCTGCAAATTGTTACACGAAAGCATTCTTTCAGCATTCCAGAAGTTCAGGAAAGATCAACAAATTGGGAAGCATGAGAAAAAAGCACTCACGATCGGATGGGAGGCAATATACCAAAATTCCGAGCGGCATTGAGAATCTATGGCAAGACCAAGAACAGTTTATCAAAACCTCAATCCCCAAAATTAACAACCATTGAAGAATAAAATTGGGAGTGGAATAGAGTGAAATCCTTACGTGGGTTTGACATGGGAGCCCGTCCACATGGTAGTTATGAGGAAAAGTTCCAGTCTTGACAAAACATCCCCAACAACCATTAATTCTTTACAGGAAATCTCAATTTGTCTACAAAAATTGGGGGGGATGAAATGAATTGAAGAACCTGAGAGTATGATTGCATGAGAAGAGGGCGGAGATCCAAACGGTAAGAGGGATCCAATTTCCCAGTTAATTCGAGCAAGCTCCTCTTCCATGGCGGCTGTCGCCTTCCCAAAATCAAAGAGCAGTAAGCCGATTCTTTAAGCGGTATTAGAGATGGAGAAAGTAGGAAAGCAGAGATGGGGTACATAAAGAAGAAGCTGCCTACCTGCGACTGGGCTTATGGGTTTCCGGCGAGGGTTTAGCGGGTACCAAATACTTGTCCATTTCACCGTCGGTGGATAAACGGCAGCTCTGTTGAGTGCAGACTGCAGAGGTTATAGTTGTTCGCGCCATTTTGTCAGTCCCGTCCCGCCATCTAAGCTCCCGCTCACCTGCATGCGTTTATGGGCCTTTGCCCGATAATGAGAATGGGCTGTTAGGTATTTTGGCAACACAGAGAGCCTGTTCAAGCAAGATTGGGCCGGTAAATGGGCCCATTACTTTCAAGTCCTGGTTTTGCTAGTTTTTTTTTTTTGGTCTGTGTGCAACCACTACTTCAATAAGCTCATAAGATCAACACATACCTCCTAATCTAACAATTCTACATTTTCAGCTTAGGTGACTAATAATAGTACACTTAAACCGTCAGTGATTGCATAAATGAGTTAACGAATAATCTTCGAATGCGCTCTTCATTCTCACCAGGAAAAGTTGTTTTCCATATTTAATGGTAACTCAACGAAATAACCAACATCATGTTAGTTAATTCTGTATAGCCTTTCAATATATTGTTGTGTAAGTTCTCCGGTCGAAGATAGATACTCTTTAATTTATGTACCTCTGAAGTCGGTATGTCAAATCGTAAGCAGTCGATCACAAAAAGCATTCTCATGGATAGGAACCGAAACCCTAATCGCGACCCATCACGAGAGGCCAAAATTTATCTATGTTTAGTTAATGATTCAGACAATTCATGCTGCCTAATGAATTGGATTGGGCCAACAGGGCACCATCAAGTTGGCCAATTTATTGGCAGAAGGGTTCAAGATACCAAAATTTTCAGGAAAAAATGGGAAATAGGGAATGAATCTGAAAATTGGAGGATCGGATTGGGATGAAAGCTTGGAATATAGGACAGCCGCTGAGCCGCATTCAATTTCTGCGCAGGCAGTCGGCCGAGGCTGCGGCAAAAGGACCGCCAGACCACCTCAAAACCTGGCAAATGGGAAGCCATCGATATTATTCTTTCTTCCCTTTTCAATCCCAAATTTTAGAAAATGTTAAAATTGGGGAGGTATGGAAATCACCATCCTGCTGACATCTGCGGTCTGCCCCATACATTTTAATGGCTTCACGTGAAGTGTCTTGCCTATTTCTAGTTAGTTTCTACACTTACATGTTTGCATAATTTCCATGAAACCGTACCGGATATCGTACCGAAAAAGTTAGCAATATGATATTTTATGATATAATCGTGGTTTAACTATAGTTCAACCGTTAGATCGTTAAATAACACCTACCTATTTAGCCTTCGATACAGGTATTTTGTGGTTAAACCGCCGATACGGTACGATTTCATGGACCATGGTTTACATGTCTTATACCCTAATCCAATATTCACGTGGAAGGAGGAGGCTAGAATATGGTAACTTTTCAATCTAACCCCTATTGTTTAACTAATAGTTATCTTTGTATACCAAGTTACACACTATCCCGGAAAACATACATAAATGTTTTGATTCGATCGATTAAGTTATATGATATTCTAATACGGGATAACACAGTGAGAGAGGAGATTCTTCCATCTAAGACGGTGAATGTTATACAATCAATTAATCCAATATATATGTATAGTACAATGGTTGATACTAAGATGATATGATAATATATGATCGATAGTCTTCGAACCTCTCATTCGTTCCTTCGAGTTAATAGAGTAACTAATAACCTTCTATCTTATGGGTCTAATTAATTATTCCCAAGATGAGTCAGACTAACAGACAGACACCGAGAGTTAGTCGTAAAAAAAAAAAAAGGCTAGAATGTGTCATGAAGTTACATGCTAATAATGTTTAAGATATAGTCTCATTATACCACTACACGCCCAAACACATGACTTGGTCAATTAAAAAGGTTTCATTACGAGATAACATGTCAGATAGGAGATTTTTCCAAGAAATATTGCAGAAAATATTCAATGAGAAAATGACCAAAATAGTACGTTCAACAAAAAAATAGGTCGCAGTAATAACTTATATTGATTTCAGAGTTGTGTTTAACAAGCTAATTAACCTTATATGATTATGCTAATCATATTCTGCAATGCGTTCGATTAATAACCTTTCTCTTCTTTGAAAGTTCACTACACATCATAATTTTTATATATAGAGTAACAACTTTTCATATACATGATAAATACAACGCAAGAAATTAATAGCAAACTGTGAATTCTTTCTTCAATGTGATCTCTCACTGTTTAGTCAAACACGGTCGTTTCAGCGGGCTGCCGCAAAGACAGTCATTGAACTCAAACGACGCCGCTTCGAGGTGGTCAAACGGCGACCCGGCCGGAATCTTCCCGCACAAATGGTTGTAGCTCAGATCTAAATGACCGACGTACGACGCCGCCGCGATGGAAGCCGGGATCCCGCCGGTCATCCGGTTTCGCGACAGATCCAGCACGGTGAAGTATGACCGGGGACCGAACTCCGGCAGCTTCCCGTCCAGCGCGTTCCGGCTCAGGTTCAGATTAGTCACCGACGAGCTGAACAGATCAGCGGGGATCCCGCCGGTGAACCGGTTCCCATCCAAATTCAGCGTCGCCAGGACGGCCATCCGTCCCAGCGACAGTGGGATCCCGCCGGAGAGGCGGTTGAGGGAAAGGTCGAGATCAGCCAGCCGGTAGATCCGAGAAACCGAGTCGGGGATCGAACCGGTCAGGAAATTCCGGCTCAGGAGGGCCCGACTCAACATTCCTAGTCGGCCAAAGTCGGTCGGGATGGACCCGGTGAACCGATTGTTCCGAAGGTCGAGGTGCATCAGACCCGATAGGTTCGTCAGCGACCGGGGGATCCGGCCCGCGATCCGGTTGTCGGCGATGTTGAGCACGGTGAGGCGGTGGAGCCGACCGATGTCGGCGGGGAGCTCGCCGTCGAGGCGGTTCCCCACGAGGTCGAGGACGCGGAGGAAGGGGAGCATCGTCGCGAGGCATTTGGGGATCTCCCCGGAGATCCCCTTCCAGTCGGAGATGGTGAGGCTAGAGAGCCGGTTCAACCCGCAGATGGCCGGGGAGATGGTCCCGGTCATGTAACCGGTCCGACCGACCTTCTGAAAGATCGGATCCTCCGACTCGCCTCGGAGGTTGATGTCCGCGACCCGATTGGTTTTCGGGTCGCAGCTGATGCCGTACCACTTGTGGCAGCAATCCGGTCCGGTCCAGGACTTGAAGATGCCGAGGTGGGGCTCGTGGAGGGCGGATTTGAAGGCCATGAGGGCGGCTCGGTCGGATGGCGGGCAGGCGGTGGCGGCGGCGGCGAGGAGGAGGAGGGTGGTGGTTAGGAGCGGAATGTGGCGGAAGTCGGCCATTGTTGGGGTTGGGTTTTCCCCGGCGGCCGGGAGGGGTAAATGGGTCTTTTTGGGAAGTGTGTGCTGGTGTTTGACTTATTTTGAGACTTGAGTCACGGTCTTGGGGTTTATATATAGGCGGGAGATGGGGGTTGTTTACGGTAAAAGCCCTAACGTGTATGATTGGGGAATATTTTTTTGAATGGGATTTATAATGTGGGAGGGAAATGGGATTAATTGTTTGCATGTGGGAGAAAATTTAAATTGGGACAATCTGCCACATAATGGTATTATGAGATGGGTTCCGGCTTTGTGTCATTTTCACTATAAAATTGAGAATATGAAGTTATTGAGATTTTATCATGTTTAGGTTATATGTTCAATGTAGGAATGGTTATGAGTTCAAGAGTCAACTTGATGAATGGTTTGTATTTTATTGTCATGCAAACAGATAATACTAAGTAAACATTGCTAAAATACTAGCTATCATTGAGAATAACAATAACTAGAAACCTGTTATAGAGTCAGAAATTTGAACAACGGGTAGGTAAAAAAATCTACACTTTAGTGATTTGGACCATAGTGATTGAGGAGGGAGGTTCTAGAGTTTTACCAACTAGTCTATTTTTCAGAATCCATTACAAAATTTTACATGTAAATTTAACTACATTTGAAATGTGAAAGGACTATATAGCCGTGGAGGTATAAACATCTTTGCTTTTTTCTTAGGCAACAGTGGAGTAACATCATCAGGGTTCAAATCCCCTTGGCGTGCTTCAACTCTTAGCTCATCCTCATTCGTATTTCTGACTCCGCCGCTGCTGATCTCCTTGCTCGAATCTAAGAGAGAGAGAAAAATATGGAGATATTTGAGATGTAGCAGCTAGTATACAAGAGGGTGATGGACTGGTATAAGTGCCTCTCAAAGTCTGAATCCATGTGTATCCTTCATTAGGGATCGGTTTAATTGGTTTGATTAGCGCCATAATTAAGACTTAAGAAGACCGTAGCTAGTTTGAATTATGAGGTTAGCTCATTTTAATAACATGCATGATTGGGAACAAGCATGTGGTATGGTTCATCATGTCATGTGGAAACGATAAATGCCCCCAAACAACGATGAGTTATAGATCGGTCACGTCATGAGTATTATTAAGGTGTACATTTAATAATGTTCAAAAATTCATCATGTATAGTAAGCCGAGGACAAGTTCATTCTGAATAGTAAGTGAACTACCGTCGAATAGGCCCTCTTTCTAGTCACAACAAGGGGTATCAATTCATGTTTAATTTTTTCGGTGAACCGAAGATCAAACCATGTAAGCTCCTCTTATCGGTTTATGTTAACTGTTTTTGGAACAAGCTTTGCACTTACCGGTCTCTGTTTAAACTAAGAAACGAATAAAAAAAAACAAAAAAACCCGTTAATAATCGCAAGAGAGACAAAAAGACAAACGCATTCAATTTTCCATTCATTCGTACTGAAATCGAACCGTTTAGGGGGTCTTTTCATGGTTAACCCATCGGTTCAACCGAACCGAAAATCCCACACCCACCCCTAATTTACTCATAATCTCGTCATATTAGCCAATATTCTTTGTAAAAAATAAGGGGAAAAAATAAAATATTCCAGACAAGAATCTACAATTCCTATCCAGCAAAGTAGGCTGTATATGGGGGAGTCAACAACCGGAAATCCGAAGTCAACAAGGAGAAGGATGAGACCCAGAATCCTAGGATCCCGCAGCCTGCTCTGCTTTCGCTCTTTTTCTAATGCAGAGTGACTGAGAACATGGCGTTAAACATGGAGATTTAACCACTCTCTCTCTTGTGAGAACCTTCCTTCCATAGTTCTCCAATCTCCATCCATCAGCTCCACAAATCATGCACCAAATTTGGTAATGGATCCGACACTTTGCGAAAGAATACACATGTGCACTGCCTGGTTAGCAGATTGAGAAGCTACTGGTAAGGTAACACCATCCTCTGTACGCAAAGGATTCCAGGGGCCATGTTCCCCCAATTGAATTGCTTAATGCCATGGTCGGCTCAGTTCATGTTGCATGCTCTCTCCCACTCTTGGCTATACAGCAGTTCCTCCACGCGGCAAATGCAGTTGTCGACAGAGCTATAACCCTACATAGCCTTCTGATCAAGCTCAGCCTCTGTCCATACCGACTCGAACGGACTGATATGGAGCACCCTTCATAGCAGTTCTTTCTCCAAAACCCGACTTACATCGACTTCGCAAACCCACCATAAATGACCCAGATCCATCACTGACCGTGTCTTGAAATGGCCTTAACCCGACCTGCCCTGACCCAGCTCACAGTGTTACATACTCGGGTATGTTAGTGCTACGAGATCTGACGCAGCCAACATTACCATATATGTACAATGAGCCGATATCAAACGAAGTAGCTTATCTTAATATACATGACCTCAAATGCCGCCTGAGTGGGCAAGAGATCCGTGCAGGCTGCAGCCCACATTAGACCAAGAACTGTACATCGTGAACCTCGAGCTTAATTCTCCACCTTGCCAATATGGAGTCCCATGGCGGTCAACTCTTCCCAAAGTTGTCTACTTGCTCTTGCCTCTTGGAATGTTGAAGAAAGTTAATGGTGAAGTCGAGCGGCCTGATGTAGATGAGCCTGGTTGTGGTACTGCGGAGGTGGCAAGGTATGGAAGAACATTGGAGCCGAATTCTGGACTTGCTTCGGAACCATGCTCTGTGATTGCACAGGATTAAGATCAGACATTTCCTGCCGAAAAAAACAGAGACATCGTCAAGTGTTTGAAATCATGACTCCTAAGATTTAACACGGAATAGGGGTGTGCAACCACTCTGGCTGATAACAAACAGAATTCGGCCAGAATTGGCATTTGGATCGCATCAGGCCATAGATTTTCTTACAAGGTGGACTGAATCAAAACCTGATAATATCAAAAGGATCAAGACTACGGTCATTATTTTTCCAGTGTTCTCAATCCAGTCCTATCCCGATCCGATTACAGACCAGGCCGGACTATGCACACCCCCTAGATATCACATACCACTAGATTGAAAGTTTCCAGTGTTCCCACACTTGTAGTAGCGCCCGACTGAGCAACCTGCTGCATACATGAAATCAAAACACTTAGCAACAGCCAGTTGATAACAAGTATAAAGTATCCAAGTACATCACAAAACCAAGAAACCAACCTTCCTTTTGGTTCCCTTCTCCTTCCCTGTTTCTGACAATCGAGGAGCCTTGTTGCCCGATATCACAATGTCCAACTGAGGTTCAGATTCTCTGTCCACAGACACGTTCTCTTCTTCGCCAGAGTGATTCACACTCCCACATTGCTTCAACCCCTCTTTAATAGCAGAAAGTGCAATGTTGTAACTCTCCTGAGAGAGTGACCCTTCTTCTCCCAATATTATAGCTCTACGACACAAATCGTTGAACCTTCTCACTCTTTCCTGCACTTCATCTAACTTCCCACTAACCGGTTTCCTACTTCTAGCAGCATTCGTCCACCTCTGCAACACATACTTTGTTGGAATACTGAACACACCAGACATCTGAAGAATCACAATACCATGCCTGCATAAATAACCTTTAAACTCGAATGAACGACACGAGCAACATATCTCTGATCCCTTGGCATTCCACTCCACCACGTAATTCTGATCATCCTCAAAATCCTTCACAGCATACACCGTGGTGGTAGTCTTCTCATCCTCGCTCTCTTTCTTCAGATGACAAGCTGCTGCTCCCAAAACCTCCAGCTGGAACTTTCTGAAAATCTCGTGTGTATAGACGAGATGCACCTGCTTCTCGAATGGTGATGGTGATTTCAACTCGGGGACCTCATGCCACGCATCAAAATCTGCTTTGGCTTCTTCCTCGTACATGTCTTCCAGAATCGCTTTATACTGTTCTACGAACTCATTCACCGACGTGTCTCCTTGCACATACTTGTCGAATTTAGAGTTCAAGCTCTCGGATCGTGAGTATGCAGAGAGACTAGCAAAGGTCACATCTCTCATAAAAGTAGGCACCCAAAATCGCCGATCTTCGTACAATGACTGAAACCATTCCACCTCTCTGACATGAAACTTGTCGACCAATTTCCACCATCTCTTCTCGAACTGCTCCTCTGTCCACGATTTAAAAACACACTTATGAAACTTCACAATGAAGGCATCATTCCATAGGCTGAAATACTCAAGCTGCCGGGGAACCTTCTCCAGGATGTAATAGAGACAAAAGCAATGTCGAGTTCTCGGAAAGACTGCTGCAACTGCAGTCTTGATCTCATTACTCTGATCGGTGAGCATAACACGAGGACCTCGATCCCCCATAGCCACTGACCACGTCTGCAGCAACCAAACGTAAGTATAGACCGTCTCATCAGCCATCAACCCACACCCAAGCAACGTCGGCTGAACATGATGATTCGATCCAACTAAAAGAACAAGAGGTATCCGATACTTGTTCGTGAAATAAGTGGTGTCCAAGCACACCACATCACCGAAGTTGTTGAAATCCTCCATTCCCTTGGCATCGACCCAGAACAAGTTCCTCAACTGGTGCTGCTCGTTCAAATCAACCGCATAGTAAAACTTCGGATTCTCTTCCTGCATCCGAGTAAACATCTCGAGCAGCACCTGAGCATCCCTTGATTCTAGCACCAAACTCCTTCCTCTATCGTGCTGGCTCGTCATGTAGCCATCGAGACAATCCAAATTCTGATACGCGCCAAACAATTTGGAGGACCCAGAGCCTCCACCGCCTACATTCCTGTTCCTACAAGCTCGAGAATCGCTGCCGTTGTCGATGGGATTCGTGGCGGTGGCACTGTCCTTATGGCTCCTGAAGAAGTGAGCTTGGGCGGGCAAGAGGTCGTGGTTGTGGTCTTTGACAAAGCTGTGAATGTACCATTTCCCGTCCTGCCTCCTCTTCACGTGCATGCTCGCCTTGCAGCCAATCTTCGGAGACGGCCGAGGGTTGATCGCGTCGTCGGACTGCTGCTTGCTGCCGTACCTTATGCAGGAGAATTTGGCGTCGATGAATTCCTTGGATGCTCTGGACCTCCTGCTGCTCAATTTCGCCGTCCCGAAGCCTACAGACTTCGCGTACTCTTTGTAGGAGGAGTACGCTTCGTCGTGAGAGTCGAATTCCATGTCCTCCCGTAACTCGGAGGCTCCGCTGCTGGCGCTTTCGCGAAGATCCATTTCTTTCGCAGGGCGTAACTCTCAGCTCAAACTTAGTTCATCGCACCAATAACTCAATTCAAACGGAGAAGAACCAATCGCAAGGGAGATTTAACCTAATCTCTATTCGGGGAAAGCTCTCCTATTCACATTTGTTCGCCGACGGAGTTACAGATGGAACGAGGAAACCAAAAGATGGGGGAATACGGCGATTAGATACCTGAAGAAATGAAAAATCCGGCGAATTGGGGACAAAGGTAGAAAATGTGGGGGAAGGCCGGAGAAGGAAGGCGTAGGGTGGCCGGGGATCGCCGTTAGGGTTTCCGGTCCGTCGTCGGCTCGTCGCGATGGAGGAGGAATTAGCAGAGAGGTTTTTTTTCCCCCCTCGTCTACTCGCTTGGCGGGTTGTCACGTCTTCACGCGTCAGCTGGCGGGAGACACGTGGTGGACCGAGGGATGCTTTTGTAGTTTCGCGCGTTTGATTACCGGGACATCTTGGGGACGACAAGGCGAGTGGGATTGCACGTGAGCAAGAACTGAAGTTTGATTAACCAAAGTTTTTTTTTTGTTTATGAATGATTAACCAAAGTTGATTAATTAGTTAATTAATATCTTTTTAATGTATATGATTTTATTATAAAAAATGTATATGTTTTACTTTATCATTTCCTTTAACTTGCGATAAAACTCGCTAGTCAATCACTTAGAGAATGAACAATCGAGAATTGGAATCTAAGATTTGCGATTATTTTAAACTATCATTATAACTTTCTTCTTTTACCAATTAGCTTCTTTTTTGGAATTTGGTAATGTCAATGTTGAACGTAATTAGTTCAAATCATGACTTCGCCTCGAGTTTTTTTTTCCACAAAAGATAATCTTATATTGAATCACAAAATAGACAGTTACACCCTAGAATTCAGCCAGGTCTGAAAATCAAAGGAACGGCTAATGGTGGGGTACAGATAAAGGGCTTTTCTAGCCACCATATGGGCTACCCTATTACTACGCCGACCTACAAACCGAACACTAACCTGACTGGGTCCGGAGACAATTATAAATTTCTTCAAAAACAGCACCCATCCTGTTATCTCCAAGGTCCCCCCGATTGAGCTTGTCAATAATGACTTTGGCATCGCCTTCAAACCTCACATCAGTAAGCCCTATCCCGCGACACCAAAGCACCGCCTCCCTAAGCACCAACAACTCCACAACCATCGGGTCATCAATAACTTCGTCTCGAGTTACCTAGCATATTTTCGAGCATTTTTACGACCAAACCATCAGTTAGTGTCATTGACTCCAAAACAGCTTGTTGGAGGTGGGATTTTGCTTTTGCCGTTATTAGAAACGGGATTATGGAACCGGGCCTTAAATAGAAACGGCAAGAAAAAAGTGGGGATAGTAAAACGAAAACGACCACACGGGGAAAAAGAGCAACAATTGCCCAAGTAACGAGAAGGAAAAGGATATATGCTACGGCGCCTACGCTACGTTGAGCTGGACCGCACGACTATGGGCTTTTGGCTTGGATTAGACTAGTCTGGAAAATAGAAGGGAATAATGTACAGTAGATGCCCATATTCAGTCATGGACTTTTGTTTGAGTGGGCTGGGTTATAAAGTGTCCAAACATCCATAGGAGAAAAAAAAAAAAAAAAAAAAAAATTTAAGCAAGGGCAAAAATTCTAGCTATTTGGATTTTGGTTGAGTTGATTTCTACTTGTCGTGATAATGAGATTTAATTGAATATTTTATTCATAAATTGTAAGGAATGATAATAAAGGTGAATCTTTTGTTTGTTCTTGTTTTCAATGTTAAGGTTAGCAATGACATTCGTTGAGATGGCAACTCGGGTCAGGTCGACATCTCAATTTCCATGTACATCAAGTATGAGTTTTGTGAAACACAAAATCACACAATAGATTATATGAGAAATTATGAATGACATTAAGGTTTTGGGTCGCGTTTTAACTTTTCCTCCACGATACACCCAGCTTCTCCCTTGACAAATGTACAACTAGATCAAAATCCATAACAAGATGTCTTAGCACTTCTTCTTGGACAACAAGATGCTCTTAGTGGTTTAACAAGATACTTACTAGTTCTTAACATTTGACTACCAAATTCAACCAAAAGAAAGGGACTTTCAAATGCTTCCTCCCCCTCCTTAATTTTGTCATTATTCAAATCGATCATTACATGTGGAACCCTAATTAGTACTTCCCACTTTCCCCACCCATTTTCACCCGACAAGAAGAAAAAAAAAATGGAAAGCAACACACCATGAACAGCAAAAGGTGGGGGTGAGGTGGAATGGAATGATGAATGACTGCGCACCAACAAGTCGCCAAAGCTTACAAGATTTTGATGCCAAATTAAGCAAAAAAAATTGATGGGTTTGTTTGGAGGCTCAGTTTTGGGAAAGAATCTATTCGAGTTGAGAGTAAACCCCCTCCAAAGCAAAGTGAAAGAAAGCTCAATAAGGAATTACATGAATATAGATAGGCCTTTCCACCTCATGACCCATAATATGTACCCTCGTGAAGGCTGCTGCTGGCTAAGGAGTTATCAACGTTGGTGGGCTATTTGCATGCGGTCCGTGAAACCCTACCGGATATCGTATCGGAAAAATTAGCGGTATGATATTTTATGATGAAATCGTGGTTTAATTGTAGTTCAATCGTTAGATCGTTAAATACCACCTACCGCGATTTACCTCCGATATTTGTATTTCGTGGTTGAACCGTTGGTATACTATACGATTTCATGGACCATGGCTATTTGGCCTCCTTTGGGACCTCTCTTCGTCCCATTTCTTTGCTATTCTCAGCTCTCTTGTGTTGTTGTAGCTAGAAGCAGTCATTGCTTTTCACGAGTTTTTCTTCATGCAGATGCCGATATTATTTTCTGTTGTGCCAAACAAATCCCACACCACACCTTCAAAGTCATCGCCTCTTGATGATCGATCATTTAAATCTATTTTTAGTTTTCTCCCCATAATCGCTAGCTGCAACTACCCAGTTGACCATTCTCCTCTCTCTCTCTCTCTCTCTCTCTACCCTTCATTGTCTCTTCTTCCCAATCATACATATACTAAACTAGCTAGATGTGGTGTGAACTGTGAACAGAGAAAAATCTGAAAATGATGACTCCCTCTGTTCTGAGGGTTGGGTTGGTTATTGTGTAGCCAGATTCGATCATAGGTGTCGAGTGTGATACCTGTATTAGTATATACCCACTAAGCCCATGCATTAAGAATCCAAGTTTTTCATGTAGGAATGGTAATGGACAGGTCTGGGGCGGGTTTCTTGTATCCAGACCCGTCTTGTGGCAGGTCGGGTCTAGGTTGGGTAATTGATCACGGGTCGTGGGTCGAGGCAGGTCGTTATTTTTATTATAAGACTAAGATAGCAAACAATATTATGACAATTGTAGTTAAATTATTGGAGAAATTGAGATTTTCACTAATTTACAACTTTATTATAGCTAAAATATGATGCAATAAAATGAAAATTCTAAGTAATTTGACTAAGATTATATGTAATTTAGACAACAACGGGTCGAGAACGGGGCAGGTCAGAGCAGGTCAAGTCGATGAGACTACCCATGCCCGCCCCGCCCCAAAACAGGTCAAACAGGTCGGGTAAAACGGGTCAGGTTGAAATTGTCATCCCTATTTCCATGGAAAGAATCACATGTATGTATAGAAGATTTCTATAAGGTCTAAAGCATCGGGGGAACTCGTTAAGGTTTATTATCTTTCAGTTTACATTTACCTCAATTCGAAATTTTATATAGGGTGATGAAGTCTACAAGAGCGAACAAATTTGACGGGGAATAAAAAAAAATAGTTAAGTTCCTTTAAAAAAAAGAGCTTAGTATTTCTGACCGTTAAGGACGGAATTATATATTAGAATTCGACTAACCTATACAACCAGATTTCCAACTCAACACTATACAATATACATATAATTTATTTAACATGCTCGATCAACTGTAAATCAGAAAGTAACCCGTTTCCTTCAACATAGTGCATCAACAAGGATGGATTGTTATGAATGATAAAAAGTCGGTTATTTTGAGACGATAAAAAAAATGTGCACAATCGCGAAATGAATCCAGCTAAGTCTCGTATTTTCTATCATCGTCTAATCACGGATACAATAACCTACCGATTCGATTGAGTTGGATTCCATACCAAATAATCATCTTTCTTTGGAGTTTTTTTTTCTTTTTTGTATATAGGATCTTTTGTTGGAGATTTTATTCTAGTACTTCTCCACAACTTTTTGTCAAACTCGAACTTTTTTAGTTTTTTTTTTAATTGTCGTCTTAAAGTGGAATAATGGGTAGCTGGCCCAACCAGGGCTCGACGACTGGTTCATTCCAAGTGTTTTCTGTTGCCTTGATGAATTCCCGTTCCCAATCCCATCCCAATCATAAGGCTGACTCCAATGCAGCCTGCATTTATGGAGTTCTCGCCATTAATGGCGATTTTGGAGCTCCAACGCAGAGACGAAAAATGGCGAAAATCGGCATTTATGGAGGGCATCGGCATCTGGGTCGCTAAATATGGGAGAGGGAATGCCGAGGTCGGCATTTATGGGGAATGGAAGAATTGTTGGCACGCGCGCAATTAATGTGATTAATGGTAGGAAAGGTGTAATTAATTGCTTGCTAATTAATGTGATTAATTAAGGGAAGAAAAGAAATTGTTTATTGGATTAATTAATGTAATTAATGCAATTTTTGGAGCTCCAACGCAGGAGCTTTTTTTTGTTAATTATTTATTAGTTATTTAAGGAAATTGATTAAGGGAATGGAATGTAATTAATTAGAGAAAAGGGAATTAATGTTTGTATTTAGGTTTTTTAGATTGTATTTAATTTGTGTTTAATATTTTTGTATTTAGGCTTTTTTCTAAGATGACTTAAATTGAATTCATTTTATTTAAAATTTGTATTTAAACTTTATGATTAGCAAGTGTTGTGTGTAATATTTAAGCTTTATGATTAGCAAGTGTTGTGTGTAACCTATGAATTGTACCATTTGAATTATTATGTCAACTCATTAAACTTTATCATTTTTAAGTGTTGTGTGTAAACCCAAATTAGGTCCATAATTTTTCACCAAAAAAAATTCGGTCTCGAAATTTAACAAAATTCTATTGAAAATTTTGTATTTAAAAATGATGACGAACTATACAAAAATTAACATGAATAAATTATATTAAAATTTCGATAAGTACATTTTTAAATAAATGGAAAAACTGGAAATATTAAGAACCCCAAATATGGAGTTTGTTGCATTGGAGCAAAAGAAGGGAAAATGGGGTTCAATCCCCAAATTTGGGGTTTTGCATTGGACTTGGCCTAACCAATGGAATTGGACCGATTATTCCCGAATAAAACAAAAGGGCAAAAATAGAAAGAAAAAAAAAATAACAAGGAAGATAACCCCACGAAAGCGACGTCGTTGGCATCAGCAATAGTTACAAAACGGTCCATAATTGCAAAAGGGAAAGGGGAAGTGGGCCACAATCTTGTCACATGTTAAGAAACGGAGTCACGCTTTTTTTTTAAAAAGGATGGTCAGGAGGATTAGCCATCGAGATTTTGTAATAATCATAACATTAATTAATGATAACATGTTTTATTAAAAGGTAAAATTATGTGATCTAATGATGTCTCAGTGAGCTAAATGGGACAACTCACCATGCTAACCAAGCCTACCCTTAGGCTGCGTTTGGTTGTATTGTATTATATATATCAACAATGGTTTAAAAAAATGCACTCTAGCTAAATTTGGACCACACGCTCACTAAATTTGGTTACATTTGAAACCGGTAATGAAATAAAGCCAAAACCAATTCATTATAAATTATAAGTATTGACACGAAGTAGTCTGTAGAATATAGAAAAGTGTGAATCTTTACTGGTAGTAGTAGTTGTAGTCCACGTTAGGACTTAGGAGTGTCTAATTGGTCCCAAACTCAAACCAAGATTAGTACTCACATTAATATGCCATTGTTCTTAATTAATCTCATCCACCACCAAGTTTTAAGTGGCTTCAATTTTTAATGTTCTCACACGTGTCTCAATTTTAGTGGGAAGCAAACTTTTATGTGAATTCTTAAAGCGTACGTGTCATATATATATATATGGTGATGACTGGTGTACCTCTGGCGTATACTATACGTCAGGTGATCTAGCCGTTAGATGAACTTAGATGAGCTCCGGTCGATCTCAACGGTCAATTTTTGTTTTTCATTAATTCAAACTTCGGGTTGGGATTTCGAAAATCGAAGCCTGGGATTTATACATTAGAGGTTAGGGTATAGTATCGTACCCCAAACTCGATTTAATTCATGGTCTAGATAGAGATATCTCACTGGTAGTATCTGACGTATAGTATACGCCTGACGTACACCAGTCTGATCCATACAATATATATATATATATATATAATACAGGGCAAAATATCTCAAATAAAGTATGTACATATGTCCAAGTTTCCGTGAAACCCAAAATATTTGGGCACAGATGATGGAGCAAGCATAATGTTAAGCAATGTGTGGGGTTGGTGGGTGGGAGGATGGTTAGTAACATATTTTATTTATGTGTGCAGCTCACCACATCTTATTTTCTTTGATTATATTGGATTACAAGAATCTTTTGTAGCAATGAACAAAATATCTTTCTGTTTCAAATGGTTTATAATTGAGTTGTTCAAAGAAAAATTTGAGTTGATCGAATAATAGAGTTCTAATCGTGCAAATTGCAAAAATGATGTTACGATCTTCGAGATCATTATATCAATACCTGATTTGTTGGTGCAGTCGGCGCCATCCACAATTGCATGCGTCAAAGGTGTACTGTTAGTAAAGTTGATATGTAATGCAGACACTTCTTACTCTTGTATCTTGGTTAGTAGTGTCACACTCACACATATGGTTTGTGGACATTAGCACCGAAACTTATTCGATAGCTACTAGTTATTGGTTCACGACATGTTACCTTTTATGGAAGAGTGAATCCACATTCGTCCTTGATTTGATCAATGTTTACTATCTTAAGTTCATGCCTTGTCTTATAATCATATTGTTGAACTTGTATGATTATTCAAGTGCAATTACATACTATACTTTACTTTACCATTGATCTAAATTTTGAGGACACCTTTTAGTAGTTAAAACTGCTAGAAACATAAATAATAATGAGAATTTGTCAGATTTGGCGTGCAATCTGGATTTTCTTGCCGTTAATAAGTCAAAGATAATTACCTGTTAATCATCCTTGATTAGTGGCTCTTCATGTGGAGGTTGTGCTCCGTGAGAGCTACTATACCATAAAATACCAAAAAAGGAAATACACCAAATCCATCTCGACCAATGGTCTGGTCTCCTCACCAACTTTCAAATCACTAGTGCTGTGCGTAACTACAAACGTAAAATTTTGGAGAGCCATGGAGTTAGGTTGAATTAAGCATTGAAATATCGAATATCGATAAAATTACATGTAAAATTGGTAATAAATTTTGAAAATAAAGTAGTCTGTAGGACATTAGTCCCGTTCCCAATTACTACAGTTCAAATTAGGTTTGCTCATTCAGATTTCTACTTCCGCTACCGGTTATAGACCTAAGAAAGATCTAACAAGGTAGTTTATTTATTGTGACTTGCATTTTTAGTCCGAGATAAATGTCATAAATTGTTTGATATCAATAAATCAAGTTACACCGAGACAAATGGGTTGAATAATGTCTATATGAATTCTCAATAGCCATTGCCTAGTTATTAGTTACTATTGTAACCATCAATTGGCGAGTAGTCAATCATCCATTATGGATGATTGTATAATCTCATCTAAAAGCTGAGACTGTTGAGAACTTGAGATTGTTTTCTTCCAACTTTAATGAATAAAAATTATCTTTTGCATCGAAAAGAAAGGGTACAAGTGACATCTTCATTAAAAATCGAATTTCTTTTTTACTTATTGAAAATACAAACACAAATACCAAATGCCGTAATCTAAAATAAATTAAATTCAACAATATATATATAATAGAATACATACATTGATCACAATACACAAATATAACAGCGGAAAACTTCTAGGGAAGCACAATTCCCTCCCTTTCTTTCCTTTCCCTCCCCTTTCTCTCCTAACAGCCTGTTTGGATTGACAAAAAAGTAAGGAATTAGAATTCCATTTCCAATTCAATTTTCATATATTATGTTTGGGATAATAAAAAGGTTGAAAATTGAATTCCATTGGGTCAAAAATTTGGCAATTACAATTCCTATCAAAAGTAATAGGAATTGAAAGAATAAAGATGAAATTAGTCGGACCAATCAATACTTTTTATTATTTTATTGACCCACTATAATTTTACTCTCTTTCTCTCTCATTCATATTTCATTTCCTAAAATAAAACAAAGATATTACATTATTTATTATGGTTAAAAGTGCAATTCATTTACATAGTTATAGGAATTATACCAAACACTAGAATTGGAAATGAAATTCAATAAAAATAAAAAATGAAATTCCATTTCCATTTTCATTTCTTCCCAAATTATATCAAACAACATGTAAAAGAACCGAGGGTAAATAAAATATAGGTTAGGGAAAAAGGTTTGCTTGCCGCCGAGAAAAGGACAGTATGGTCAGTTCGTTTAACCGGGTCGGACCCCACCTGATTAATCAAACCAAACAAAAATAAGCTTATGGTTCGTTCCACAAATAGGAGTGAACCCATGTTTTGCCCATCTTTTATGGTTTTCCGGGTTTGCGGGGGAAAAAATCCCAAGTTACACATGTTTTTAAAAAAAATTCTCAAAATACACATGTTATGAAAATAATTCCCAATCTACACATGTTTGGGCCTTCACCGCGTCAGAGAAGGGCGGTGATTGCTTCACCGCGTGAGAGCAAAACGGTGATTGCTTCACCGCGTGAGAGCAAAACGGTGACTGCTTCACCGTGGGAGAGCAAAACGGTGATTGCTTCACCGCGTGAGAGCAAAACGGTGAAGCACTGAACTGCGTCCAAACTTTAAAACAACGTAACTTTGTGCTCGGTTATCCGATCGTAGCGAATTTTTTTTTGATTCCGCATAATTTTTCGAGATCTTGCAAGCCGCAAACTGCCGGAGGCGGTCTGGTCCCGCCTTCGTCTCGAAAAAATGTCGTTTGCTACCCCGAACGAGCCTTTTTTCGATTTCGTCAAACTTTGAACGACCATAACTTTGTGCTCCACAATCCAAAAATCATGAATTTTTTTTTTTGATTTCGCATAACTTTTTAAGGACTACAATTTTTATCATAGACATAATTTCGGAATGTACTTGGATTCCTGAAAAGGGAAGGTAAAGTTATTCCCAAAACCCCTTATATCCATAAATAATTCATTTTTTGAAAATTCTCTCCTACTAAAAATTGTAGTCCTTAAAAAGTTATGCGGAATCAAAAAAAAAATTCATGATTTTTGGATTGTGGAGCACAAAGTTATGGTCGTTCAAAGTTTGACGAAATCGAAAAAAGGCTCGTTCGGGGTAGCAAACGACATTTTTTCGAGACGAAGGCGGGACCAGACCGCCTCCGGCAGTTTGCGGCTTGCAAGATCTCGAAAAATTATGCGGAATCAAAAAAAAATTCGCTACGATCGGATAACCGAGCACAAAGTTACGTTGTTTTAAAGTTTGGACGCAGTTCAGTGCTTCACCGTTTTGCTCTCACGCGGTGAAGCAGTCACCGTTTTAGTTTGAAACGGTGATGCTCAAACATGTGTACTTTTGGATTTTTTTTTATAACTTATGTATTTTGGGAATTTTTTTTAAGAACTAGTGTACTTTGGGATTTTTTCCGTTTGCGGGGGCCATTAGATAATCCGGCAACGTTGAACCGCCGGAGCCCCACATTTCCCTTACCCGGTGCGGTTTCATCATTGATGGTGAGTAGAGTGGAGAACAATTCGGTTTGGTCCCTTTTCAAATCGAACCAAATTGATTTTAGAATTGACTCGGATCGAGTATATTTTTGTTTGATGTTGATACAAATTATCTTAATATGAAGAAAAGTTAATTAAAATTGAATTTTCAACGAATCTAATCAAATCATAATCATACATGCTTTTGATTCAGTTCTGATTCTCAATTTTCTTTCGATTTTTGAATCGGTTCTATCCTGATTCAATCCGGATCAAATTCATCAATGCCAACCCTTAATGGTGGTAGTTCATTTTGACAAATTTAGGATTGTTGTGCTTTGTGTGTGTGGGAATTGTTGTGCTATTTCATTTAATCTTTGTGATGGAGTATGTATTTGTTTAATTGGACCTTGTCATGTACGCCGCATAGGTTGTTTGGAGTCATAAAAAACTAGAACCACATCAAAGATAAAGTTGTTTATGCTTGACAATTTGTAAGATTTTGTTCGAATTAAACAAAATTTATGTTTGCGAAAACTTGGGAGTTTTTTTATGGATTGAACAAGAGGTTAGAAACCGTTACTAGAGGCAAAATCAGAAATTTGAATGAGAAGTGGTAAATATATAAGCTTAAGATATTTGAATAGTGATAATTATGAGAATGAGAGGAGGGTTAAAGCATTAACAACTACTCTATTTTTTTAAATCTAACAACAAACTTTACTTATAATTTTACACATATTTCAAAGTTGAGGGATTGAGATTATAGCGCCTTGTACCTTCAACTAAACTCAGCCATTGCTCTTGGTGATGAAGTTAGGCTTGTTTTGGCACACCAACATCGCATCTAAGATAAAGCGAAGGGTTGACATGGTTGAGACCTAAATCGTGCATATGATTTGGAATTGGTTGGAGAAACTAGGGTCAAGCTTTTCGAGGTGGTCAAACTTGCCTATGAACTTCGATGTTGAGTGCAAAAGTGTAGGAATAGGGCAATTTTACTTAAAAAAAAACTATGGGTTATACGAAGCAGTTGATACTGATGTGATAATCTTTTTATGATAGGGTATTATTCATAAGTTTGTTCATTCTTAATACGTTGAGGTGTCAAAACTCACTCATACTTTGCTCATTCTTGACGAGTATGAAGTTATCGAGAGTCGAGACTACTCTAAAGATTTGAGTTCTATTATATTTCATTCTTTTGCTATTTGCTGATACGTCCGATTTAACCACTAAAAAAATCTCGTGAATTCGACTTTTTTTTTTGCCATTCTTTGATAATTAAACCCTTCAATGTAAGGCCATCAAAGTCATTGACCAAACACTCCCCTAAGGACCGGACCGGACCCTCTCCCCCTTCCCTCTCTCTGCTGCAGTCTTCATCTGATTCCCCTCTGCTTCTTCTTCCCTCTCCTCTGCTTACTTCACAAGTTCACTTCCCATTAGCGGCTCTCAGCAACAAAATCATTAATTTTCATTATCCCCTCCATTCTTTACTCCCTTTTTCTTTTGTTTTATTCTATTTTCTTCGCAAACTCCATCTATTCTCTTCCTCTGTTTTCTTTTCCCCCTTCCCTGTAGACTCCCTCTGCCTCTCTCTCTCCTTCCACCTGCCTCTTATCACCACACGAGTAACTCACTAGAGAAGCCATTAACAGCGAAACACAGAGAAAAAGAGGGGGCAAAAGGGAACAAAAAGAACAGGGAAGTGGATTAAAAAAAAAAACAGAGGGATGATTCTTCATCGCCATACCTCGACCTCTGCTTCTTTGTCTTCCTCCCTTCATCGCTCAACTTCACAGATTCAACTCCCCAGCAAATTTCCTGCTCCGTTTTCTTGGATCTGATTGAGAAAGTAGAGAAAGTAAAAGAAAAGTCTGCAGCTTTTTTGAAGTTTTTTTTTATTCTTTATTCCTCTGTTTCCGATGGAGTCAGATCTTCAGCATCTTCACCACCAGCAGCAATCGAACCAGAAGCAAATGAATTCCGGCGGAGGTGGACTGACGAGGTACCAATCGGCTCCGGGCTCCTACTTCACCAGCTACCTGGAAAAAGAGCTCTGCGACGAGCTCTTGAACCGCCCTTCCAGCCCGGAAACAGAGAGGTTCTTCGCCAGATTTTTAGCCAACACCGCCAGCTCCGACGGGTTGCAACCCGACCCGGTTCTCGCCCCGGTTAAGCAAGGCTCTCCCCCTTTACAACAAGGGATGGATGATTACTCTTCCGGGCCGCAGAGTTTCTACTCGCCGCCTCCGCCTCCGCCGCCAAGCAGCCAGTCTCGCCCGCCATTGCCGTCGGCTCCGGCCATGGATTACAGCCGCTTGCCTCCGACTCCGCCACCACCATCATCGAAATCTGGCGGTGGGAACAACTCGTCGAATCTCGTCAGGCACAGCAGCTCCCCTGCTGGGCTTTTCTCCAATATCAACATTGAGTTCGAAAATGGTATCTTTCTCTAAGCATTCAATTTTTCTGTCTACCCTTTTTAGTACTCCCTCCCAAGGTTTCATCTTTGGTCTTATTTCTAAGAAAGGAAGGGTCTTTGGTATGTGGCGAGGGGAGAAATTTGTTTTGGAAGGGGCAAAAAGTTTGAGTCTTTACTTGAATGTTTTGATTTTGTGGTGCCTGTTTGTAGCAAAGTTTTTGAGGGTTTCTGTTTGGTCTCTAATGAAATTAAAGGAAGGAGTGTCTATAATCAAGTGAGCAACTTGTTGGGTTCTTATTAATTGACACTTCCAAATATTTTCTCTCTTCCTAAACTTATAAACAATCATTTGAACTTTACCCAAGTGGGAGGGGAATTTTATTTGTTTGCATCTCTTCCTCACAACCCTTTTGAGGTACAAGATTGTACTATGTAACTAAGATGTTTTTTCCACCAACTTATGAATTAATTAACCCCCACTTGCCAAATACCTCTGATCCTATCATTGGTCATGGAAAGACACTCTTTTGATTTGCTGATAGTTCCTTTCCTCGTACCATGAATCTGGATATCGAACCGATGAGACTAACAATGTCGTGCTTTGGTTGTGATCTTCGACGAATACCAGGGTATGCTGTGATTAGAGGGATGGGAGATTTTGTTGGGAATAGGGAGTCTTCAGGGAGGATGAGTCCAATAGCTGAGATTGATACCAAGGACAACATTATTGAAGCCATTAACAGTAGTAGAGCAGAGAGCTCGTCGGATTTCGGGGAAGCTCATCATCCTGGAAACTATGTTGGTACTACTACTGGGCACCCCATGGATTCTTGGGATGATTCTGGGATCATGAAGGGTGGGCTCTCTGAGGATGACAGAACTTTCTCTGGTCTCAACGATTCTCAGGTTGGTTTTTGTGTAGAAAGCTGCTCCATTTTCCTTGTATTGGGTGTTTCTCACCTCAGTAAGAATTTCACATCAAATTGATGCTACTAACATGCATGCTACAACTTGGTGTGTGTTTCCCCCCTATGTTTTCCTTCTTAAGGTGATTCGAATCCACTACCTTCTTGGAGATGCAATGATGATATAGTGATTTACTGTCTTTTCTTGTGTGGGAACAGATTGAGGAGGGAGGAGGGAACCGTCCACCAATGTTGGCACATCACTTGAGCCTGCCCAAGACGGCGGCAGAGATGTCGGCTCTGGAGAAGCTGCTGCATCTTCAAGATTCCGTGCCTTGCAAGATTCGAGCCAAGCGAGGTTGCGCCACTCATCCAAGAAGCATCGCTGAGAGGGTATGGAAACCCCCCCACCAGGCTTTACAACAGATGAAACACAGTGGTGTCTCTTGTGTTTTCAGTACATACTTCTTTGTAGTGTTCGAGCTTATACGTCACCTTGTTGTTTCTTTCGTTGTCTTATGCATTCGATTCGATATTGGATCCATGACCATGATCTGGAAATTCGTGGAAATACAGGTGAGAAGAACACGAATCAGCGAACGAATGAGGAAGTTGCAAGACTTGGTGCCAAACATGGACAAGGTACCCTATCATTCCATCGTCATTTTTCTTAATATGAGAGTTAGGGATGAACAACGATTCAGTTCTTCCTACAATTGTATCTGACTTGTGTGTTCTCACATTCTTGCAGCAAACCAATACGGCAGACATGCTAGATTTGGCCGTTGACTATATCAAAGATCTCCAAACACAAGTAAAGGTAAACGACATGATGTCCTTATCATTACCAAACCTAACTAGGAAAATCTTGGTCCATTCCCATTCTGAGGCTTTCTGGGTTGATTTCTACACAGGTGATGGCAGATTCTCGAGCCAAATGTACGTGTACAAGTATGCATCAGTCATAGCAGAAAAAAGACCCTAAACAGAAAGGGGATCAGCTTCAATTTCCTGGCTAAGCCATATATATGTATACAATTAATAAGAATTGTCTGCCTTCTACCCATGAAAATTTGAACAAAAAGAAAGGGTTTTGACTTTTGATGATAGAAAGAAGCAGATTATTAAAAGCTATATAGCAGGAGCTTTGGTAATATTTATATGTTGTGAAAAAGGGTAATATTCAAGGCAGAAAATAGAAGATGAACAGAAGAAGTTGTACAGTGATTAACTTGGCCTGTTGTAGACTTGTTAGTGTTCTTGTGACATAATTATAGTTATCATCATTCCCTTTTCCATTTCCCACTTAGATTTTGGAGCATGAAACGAAGCTTATGCCTCCAAATGATGTGATTCGTGTAAGAATGCATAGGGCTAAGATTATGATGAAGATTAACTGAGAGTCGAATCGATCATCTCAAAGTTATCGTATTGATGGTGATGTTGCTAGGTTAATGATCTGGTGGTTCTGATTTAAACGTTATGCTTGGAACCCTTTATGTCCTTTCCAACTTTGTGTGATGGATAGGGAAAAAGGTTTGATCTTTCCATAGTTTCTTGGCATTCGTTTTGGTGTTGATACAAAATAGGGAGAAAAAAAAAAAAAAAAGGAGCGTGGAAAGGGTAATGTGAAGCTTTAAAGGTTTGTGGATGGGGGACTAACTTTTTAATTTAATTTATTTTTCTTTTGGTTTCAATAATAACTGGGAAATTGACAGGAGAGAAATTAGTGTCCACTACTTTATCAACAATAATTTGGTTCAAATGACGACTACTTGATACAAAAAGGAGATATTCCAAGCACAAAATGCTCTTTGGTTAGGGTGTTTGGTTGACTTTTTTGTCAATTTTGTTATTTCAACTCGATTTGAAATTGTCATGAATTCATTGCTGCGACTGCGTTGATTTAAGAGAAAATAAGCATAACACTCGATGTAATACGAATTGTGGTTGTATCAATCATACCATCTAATTAGGGAACTCAACTATTTAATTTCGGTTTACTAACCCTTGTTCATCATAGTGTGTATTCATGTGATTTAGAAATATGTTTTTTGAGTTATTAGATATTGAAAATATCTCGCTATTTATCCGTAATGACTATAAATTGCGCTTTCAAACTTTTTATGCCTTTATAACTCTACAATACTTCATCACCACCCTATTACTAATCAGTCTATCTCTGATTTACATATTGACTATCATATTCCCTAAATATTATTGGATGTGGGGAAGAATGAAGTGACATAGTAACGAGAGGGTGGTATAGTTAGATAGACTATCAATTTATTTGATTGATCCACTTAAATTGAATGATATAACAACGGAGTAATTAATAAAGTTCCCATATTATGATAAACAAAATAGGATAATGTATATTTTTTTATCCAAATATTTTTCAGATTCTTTTATATTATCCAAACCTATCGAAATACTAAGAATTAACCAAATGTTAACTTTCATTAACACTTTTGTTAGTAATATTGATTTTGCAGCATGATACTGACTTGGAAGAGACACATGAAGGTTAACAGTGGCGGAGCCACATGAGGCCAAGGTGGGTCATTTGCACCACCTTGGCCCAAAAAATGTGGAGTAAATGTATTTATGCAATTATTGATTGAATACAAGATCTCCATATTATAGTTATACGAAAAACTAGCATTCTGTAATCTATGTTTAATTTTTAATTTATATATTTTGTAAGTGAGTTTAATATAAACAAATACTTGAAATTTAGGGGGTGTTTGTTGCTATCAGTTGTCATTCAAGTGATGAAAGAGGACTTATTGCAATAAGGAAAGTAAAGAAACACTTCTAAGTAAGATGAGTTGTGGAATCATGAACCATTTTTCGTTCTGATATCTTAACATCTTTCATAATTTGCATGATGAATGTATTTTACAAAAAGTTTCAAAACATGAACACATCCTGAAACATATGTTATATATATATTATTTTTTCACGTTTGACCCACCTTAGATTAATTTATGGCTACGCCACTGAAGGTTAACATTCCAAAATTTCAGTATTTTAACTAAGAAAATAGTTACAAATTATTAACGATTAACATAAAAATGACTAATATTTTGATGCATTACAAAAAAATTTGGCTAATTAATATCATTTTAAAAGCTTTGGATAATATAAAAGAATCCCAAAAATATTTGAATAAAAAAATAGACATTACCCAACAAAATACATAAACATTATTGAAGGTACACTAACACAAGTAACCTAACACAACACAACTTTTAGATCGATTTGGTGTTTACTTGAAAGTTTATCGGATTTGAAAAAAGGATGAATGAGCTCCACAAGTTTTCTCTCCTTCTTAGGCTATCACTTTTAGTAGGGTCGATGTCATAGAATTTTGTAAAGAGTATCATAAATCTTTCTATGCCAAAATTTGGGCCTGACTTTTGTCTCTCTCTCTCTCTCTCTCTCTCTCTCTCTCTCTCTCTCTCTCTCTCTCTCTCTCTCAAATAACTCTCAATTCGCTATACCTATACGTTTAAGCTAAGCTAGCTACTTCTAACATCCTAACATTCTTATCTTCAACGTATGATCTCCACTACCTATGTCTCCTTTTTCCATTGCATCACTCAAAGTGCAAAGATGTATTAGTAGTAATATGCAATCAAGGGGTTTCACATTTTACATGGTGTAGTCATGTTCACCAGCAATGCTGATAGAAACCGTCGATCTAGGGCATCTCGGGTCGGATTTGATGATTGAGAACGAGATTAAATAGTGAAAATTCAGGGATTGAAAATTGGATTTGGGGAAGAACATAATTAGTGAGTAGAATAAGAATTTAGGATTATGGATTTACAAAATGAGTTCGAGGTTGAGACTTGAGAAGAGAGGAATGGTCGGTCGCCGTGTAGAGAGAGAGGATACTTTTCGTATTAGTTTTGTTGATTGATTCCGAGTGAAAACCTAAAGCACATACTTAAAAGGAAAGACTGGAAAAACCTAATAATAATAATCATAATTAAACTTGAATACTAATAATCATCTGAATAATAATGATGGAAACTGGGTATGAAGACAGGGTTTTTTTTATCAAATGCTCTTGTTTTCAAACTAGGTATGGTGCTACCATCGAGTTGGAGTCTTTGGATTCGACGCGGACCATTAGGAACCTTTGAAGAGCAAATGACAACATGTCACAACCGTTTAGATCGACGATTCGAACAAATAATAGCTCATACTCCACTCGCTACAACTCACTATACGTCGGATTCAAGAAGAGCTCTCTCGTCTCAAACTCAAACTAGGAAAGTGCAAACGAGAAATCCAAACCCTACAATTACACATCTTATCATTTGCATGTGCATGGGACTTCACTACCATTAACCCCACAATCTGAAAGTAAAAAAAAAAAATGAATTATCGATCCATGATAGTGAATCTATTGGGCCTACAATTCCGAATGTCAAACTCAGGATCGACATTGTCCGGCCTGTTTTTGGCCCGTTTCGTGGCCTGAAGCCTTGGCCCAATACTGCGTACCAAAGTGGGGAAAATTGATGCCTTTTTTCCACCCAGTCTCGACTCTCGAGTCTCGACACACGAGAAAGACAAAGAACAAGGCCAGTCGGACAAAACTCACGACTGGTTGAGAACGGCGGTTGTCGTCGAGTTCCCCGGGATCCCCTTCTCCATCAATGGCTCTCCCTCTCAAAATTCAAACCCCACTCCCCCAAAATTTGAATCTTTTACACACAAAACAACAAACCACCACAACGCTCACAAGGAAAACGCTTCGCCATTTCCCAGTGAAGTGAAAATAACAGAGCTCAGTCAGTCAAAGGAGAGAATCAAGATCGAACCTTTCAAATAATGGAAACGAATTCAATGCTCCTTTCATCTCGTGAGCTAAACCTTGTTCATCTCGTGAAGCTCGCGAGCTAGCTCGACTCGGTGGGTTATGTGAGCTAAACTCGTGAACTGGCTGCTCGTTTAGAGCTCATGAGATGTCGCACATTGTGGCTAGCGAGCCGACTTGATTACCGACTTATGGGCGAACCAATTTATATCTTATGAGTTTAATTCATATGTTTGTTAAATTATATATCTCACCCTATATGAAGTTTAACATATTGAATATGTGAGCAAATGTATTTTATTTTTATTTTAAAAAGAGATTTTATATCACAGATTGCTTCGATACTATTAAATAACATGATTTGGACTAGTTAAAATTTATTAACTACATAATATGATACCAACAAAGTATAATATGAGATTAGTTAATATTAAACATTTGATTATTATTATTTTCATCATGACATCAATCACATGTATCATACATGACATTCAAAATGAGATATCAAACACGACTAAAGATTTTACTAAACAAGTCTAGGTCGAACTCGACTCGACTCGTTAATAAATGACTCGAATTCGAACTCAATTCATTTATTAATGAGCCGATCTCATCCTTGAGTAAAACTCGGCTTGACTCATTGAAAGATTATTCTTGTATGTATGTGTTTTTCCTCTTCCACGTGGAGAAGTTTCTTCCTTTTTTTTCTTCTTCTTTCCATTCAACATTTATGGAGACTTTTTAATAATCTCATTCTCTAGTGATTTCCTTAACCAACTTGTATTATTCTTCTGGTATTAGTATATGATGACTCGTGTATTCTGACGTCCTTCTAAGTTCTAAGTCCCCCTTTCATTAGATTCATTTTCTTGTGCGTAATCTGACGAAAGATACCCTTCAACTACCTATTCAGAGCATTCATATATCCCCCTTTCCTACATATTCTACCCAATTCCGTTTTCCAGCAACTAAGAACTCTCTAGAAACCAAAACTCCGATCTCCTCTCAGTTCAATTCCCACCTTCTGAAACCCCAAAAATCCAATCTTTTCCAATTTCCAAGCTGAATTCCAAGTGGGTTTTTCGTAATTCTCGGTTCATATCATCTGATTCGAGTCACAATTTTCTCTTCTTGATTGCGCCGCCGGGAAATGACCATGGACCGATCGGGCAATTCGTCGCCGGGAAGCCCCGACCCGAAATCATCCTCCTCCGGTTTAGTCCTCTCCATCGACTGCCTGAAAGGCGGCTCCAAGGCCGACGAGTGGACCGGCGACCTCCTCCAGACCGGTGACATCGTGGAGGAGATCGTGATTCCGGGTCCCGGGTCGTCGCGCGGCGGCGGCGGCGGGCAGTCGTACCGGGCTCCGTTCAAGAACGGGAAAAACGGGGTGCAGAAGATTCTCCACGCGTCGTTCAAGCGGAAGGAGACGTCGATTCTGGTCCGGGTCAGGCGGCGGGGCGGGAGCGAGGTTTCGGAGCTGCAGGCGTGTATTGTACCGGATTCCGGCGGGAAGAGCAGTAAGCAGTACATATTGAGGTCCATCGACGACCCGAATTACACCGCCGGGTTCTGCGACCGAACCGAGTCCGAGTGCTATGAATTGCAAGGTCAGCTGGCTTTGACTTTTCGCTTCTCCTCTGTTTTTAGTTTTTTTACTTCTTCTGGTTTGACTGAGAGTTTTAACGATACAAAAAGGTCCCCTGTTTTCACTAGATATATTAAAATTTTACTCAGCTACCCTGTTTTCTATCTTTATAGGTAAATCACCGTAAATGTAGTAATTAGTGAAAACTTTATAGATGTCTCGATCAAGATTATTCAACTAGGTGGATAATGACAATATTTGAATTTGGATTTAAATTTCGCTTGTTCGATCTTTTCGAGTATCAGGCATCTATAGGAAAGCGGGGATTACTTCGTAGTAAGGATGTCAATAGAGAATGAGGGAAAATGATAGATCTAGTGCTTTGATCCCTCGGTTTGGTTTGATGATGAGATGTTTGCATCCATCATAGTAAGAATTCGTGAGTTATTCACATCCCTACAATAGATGAATAAATTTTTTTTACATTCAACCATCTTAGTTAGAAATTAGAAACTGAAATCTCTTGTCACGAAAAAAGGAAAAATGGATTGTTATCTATCTCTCTAATTCTATTCTAGTAAATTTTTCTATTCATTAAAAAATCTACTCAATTTATGTCATTTGATACGTCCAATCTCGAATTATGTTTAGGTTGACCAACTCTTCCGTTGAAAGAAAAGGAATCAAATCAGTTAGTCGTGAGCAAAATGAATCACAATTTCTAATAAGTGCTACGTAATATTATGCAGTGGCTTGAGATTTGTCAAAAAATGAACAGAAAACAGTGTTGCTGTGAACTATGAACATTGACCCAAAACTGGTTTTGTCTTGTATATTCATCATGGTTTCTTTGGCCACTTGTCCACTTTTAAGGATGGAAAATCCTGAGATCTTTGACAAAATTGCCTTTGAAATGAAAGCTAATCATAACAAAAGCCCTTCTTCTGGAATTTAGTGTATCACCTTCTAGAAAAATGACTTTCCCTCCCATTCCCTTATCTAACCTATCCCCACTAACAATATTCCCAAGTGATGCTGACTTGTTTGTGCCCAATGGAGTAGCTAGTTGCCTTCATCATGTTGAACTTTTGGACCCTTTAACTTTCCATGTGGGTTACCCACTTCTACAAGTCACAATGTGGCCTTTTGGGTTCCAATATTGTATGGGTAATGTCACGTCGTCACATTGATCATGTCACATAAGTTGTTACATCTTAGGCGAACATAATTTCATAGATCCATAATCTTCTTCTCCTCGAGAAGTAAAGCTTTATCATCACTTTTGCTATTATTTTGACGACAATCATTACTTTGAGAATCTAATTAACTTGAACCCTGTCAATGTGTATGATTCTGCTTTGACACAAAAGGTTCAAAAGGGTCAAGGATGGTGAGCGCACTCTCGAGCTCCAAGCTGCAGGATGGATACGTTTCTTATCCATGGAGGAGGAAGATGCAGGAGGTGCTGTCGGTTCCGAATTCGAGCTGTTTCCTTTCCATTCTCTTCCTCCCCGAAGCTTCGGATCGAGTTGCTTCGGGTTACAACGACCTCGAGCACACCCTTGCCAGAGCCAATGCGTGGCTCTTTGCATCCCAGGCTAATGGCGTCCCCATTGTCTTCATGAACATTCAAACAGAGTCCCTTCTCACCAAGGTATGTATGTTCACTAAACACCAACAACTCTGTTTTTTTTTTCAAAACAGAGTCCCTAAACAGAGCAACTCTGTTTTTAAATGCTTGAGAAGTAAAATGGATTCTACAAATGGTCTTATATATATTTGGTTTCTGCGGCAGATATCTGGTGAGACAGCTTCTTCAACAGTGAGTGCAGGCTCGCTCTCCGACCTATCCAACCTCGCGAATGCGAGCTTGTACGGCTTCGAGGACTACCACGGCGTGGACATAGGCGTGGTGAGAGCCGTTCGGCTATGGTACGCTCCGCTGTGCGGAGAGTTCTCCATCGAGATCAAGATCAAGGAAGATGACTCCAAGCTCGGGTTCGCCATAAGTCGAACCGAAGAAGGGTTCATCTACATTTCCTCGGTGATCGACGAGGAAGAAAATGCAGCCTCGACGAGGTCCGGGCTGAACAATCTCTACAAGGAAGTAACGTCCGCCTCCAAGCTGCTCGTTGTCTCCAGGGTTTCCAACCAGAAGGTGCTCCCTTGGATTGTTTCGTCGACGGGAGCGATTCGTTGCTACGACACCGTTTCGTTGAGCCAGAAGCTCTCCCTTCATCGCCACGCAAAGGTTCCCATCGTGATACATTACTTCCTGTGGGACAGGGCGTTGGCCGGTCCGAGTCAGGGAAGTGCGAGGTATGGTGGTAGGCCTGTTGGGATCAGACCGCCGCGGCGGTCTGATCCCGTCCTTGTTCGAACGGATGTCGTGCAGTCATCCCCTACTGCGCGACATTCGAACGAGAACCAAGTGACCCCGCTTCCTCTGCCCCGATCGTCACAAGTGGCTCCTAGTAACGATGGTGATGATGATGGTGGTGGTGTAGGATCTGAAATCAAGCTTGAGAGAGACACCGCTGGTGAACTATCTTTCAGGTTTCATGAGTTCTCCATCTCTAACAATTGGGTGTGAATTATGGAATGTAAACTTTCTTGTGTGTAAAGCTTGGCATTGTGTATAGAGAGGTGTTTTTGTATGAACACAATGCTAGGCAACATTTTTGTAATGCATATTTATAGTTGATTAATTCTATGATAATTTTTAATTTAGTATGCAATATAATCCTTAACCAATAGTCCAATACAATGCATTTTTTCACTAAACATTGTGGAAATATGCTCCTTTCCCACTCTGGTTTGTTATTGCTTGCTTCATACGCAAACTAACTACTACTTCCAAAATGTATGTAACCGTCCTTTTTCTCAACTACGGAAGTGGAAGTAGACAGTGTATGATTCGTCCCTAAAGCTCAGCAATGGTGCAAGAATGAAACCTCTGTTCTCCCCCTTAGCAACAAAGCTAAGGGGATGGTACTGTGACAGCCCTCGATTCGCTGAAAAGCTTGCTCCTTTACCGAATTCATCACCACCACCACTGCCTGAGCTGGTCCTGCAGCTGAGCTTTACCTTAGCTCCTGGCTTGTAATCCACTCCACTGAACACAAAGCAGCCCTTCTGGGCAACAGACTCGAGAGACACGCTTCCTTCCTTCCCATCCAGTCCTGATACGACGAGGAATTCGGAAGATCCATCTGAAGGAACTGAGTTTTTGACCATGATTGCTTCATCCTTCCCATTCTGCGTTAGCACCATCCCGGGGAGATGGAATGGCTCCAACATGACTTTTTCACCAATGAGATCTTTGAGTGTTGTTGATAGCTTGTGGTTGTTGTTGCTTGAGACAAGTCTGAATGTGGAGTGGACTGAAGCATCGGAGCCAGGGATGGAGAGCTTCTCCATCGTGATCGAAGATTCGTTTGTGTTTGTCACGACCAATGTAGAACCTCCAGATTCTTGGGAGAGGGTAAGGAGTTGGGAATTGTGTGTAGAAGGAACTGGAGTGATGGATTCAGGAAGGCTCGATCCGAGTTTGAGGTTCCAGTCACCATTGCTGTAGCCAGCAAGTAGGTATGGGCCATAGAGGATTGCCATTATGGAAGCATACTCAGACCTGTCATCTAAACACATCAACGAAATTTTGACACAGTCAAATCAGCTTCTTATTGATGTTGAGAATTTGCATAAAATATATGTATATCAAGTTACTAAATTGAAGACCTTTGATAGCTTCAGTTCTCAAACTCATAGGCAGCTTTAGTGTCAATTTGTCACTGCTGCTCCACTTTTTTGTCACAGAGAGGAAATTTCCTGCATTAAAAGTAGCCAGTGCTGATTAAAAATTTGCTTCAATCAGCCATGGGGAAGTTTCTAAAGTGATTATTAGGCGTCATCTGAAGTATAGAAACCTGGTGCAGGTAGAGGCAAACTTCCAGCATTTAAGGTCGCCTCAGCACCATTTGCATTTGTCCAAGTTGGTATCCTCAGATTCAAAGTAGACGACTTACCAGACCTCTGTATCATTCCAGGCAGATGGAAATAACCACGTCAATTAGTAACTTGGGACCATAAAGTGCTGTGCATTGATCTGCAGCCAAGTAATCAACTCAAAAGAGTAGTTCAGTGAGTGTAGCTAATCCTAGGTTACCTCTTTCGGAGAAACTGTCAATGTCACTCGTAGAAAAGGCTGCCAAGAGACAACGGGATCAACTTTCTGACTGAGCAAGAACTGTCCAGATTCCCAGTCAAAGGTGCTCGATATGTACTGGATGATGTAAAGTCCTGGTGCATTTCCTTCCTCTTCAAAGTATATCGAATCCCCCAACTTCGAGAAGGACTCCACTCCTGACATGGAAGCATAGAACAGAAATTAGCACTTGCCTAGTACAGCTGGGGAAGTTCAATCATGAAACAAGAGTCATAATTGACTCATGACAGTACTAACCTGTTCCATAACAACACCAGAAGGACTGAAATGGTGTTCCCCATCCATGGTAGCTTCTACCCTTAGAGCTTCCAGGACCCTGTGGTAGCATGTAGATCATCACTCCAGGTTCTGTTCCTCTCTGGATCCCCAGGACACCATTGGTAATGGCACGCTCGTAGTAGTCTGCATAAGCCACTTCTTTCGTCCATCTGAAGAGGTGACGTGAGACCTGCTCAATTGAAAACGATGATCATCTCAGCAGAAATGCATCTCTGTGTGTGTCCTAAACAGCTTTTGTACAAAATAAGAAGAAAGGAACGATGATTACTTTGAGCATGTTGTAAGTAGTGCATGATTCTTCATTCTCTGTCTGCAGTGTACCAGCCAACCTCTTTGGCTCAGACCTAGTCATACGTTCAAGAGGCAGGGATCAAATACTGAATGTGTATGAATATGACTGAAAATGGCACTTGTCATTTCATACCAGAATTCACTGACTGATGTCCCTCCAGTTGCATAGCTGTGAGAAGAGTTGACAATCTCCATGAAGTATGTACCAATTTCCTGGCACATCGAACCAGATTAAGAGGAAAAAAAAGTCATAAAACAAACAACAAGCATTTCAATCAAATACTTAAACATTCGAAGTTCATTGTGTACTGAAAGCTTGTTCAGAGGATCATTCTCACAAGAAGCTACAACTAGAATACTTGTTCAATGCCATCCAATGTACCACCAGAATGTTACACTGCTCAGTGGGAATCATATGGGACAATCGACAAAGATATAGATCACCTTATAAAGTGTATCACCAGTGAGTTCGTAGCGCATCTGTGCTCCAATAACAATTGGGATATGAGTATTTGCATGAAAACCTGATATGTCATCAGCCTGAAACAAAAAGAGAAAATTCATGTGTTATAAACTTAATAACTCGTACTTTTCAGACTCTTCTTGTCTCTAATGTAAGGCATTATTACAAAGAAAAGGAAAAGAAAAGGCAAGAACAACCTGGATTGCAAGCAAGCCTAGGAAGCATGGCTTGTCAAAAAGGTGAGCCAGCAACAAATGCTTGGAATTTCCCTACATAAACGAACACAAAGATTCCTATAGTCAGAGACCAGTAAGTTACACTGTAAGAATATCCAGTTGAATAAATGTAAGTGATGTAACCTATATTAGATTGTAGTGGAACTTTAATAAGAGTATTACAGCAATTAGATCAAAAGAGAGAATCATCAACACAATCCATCATTCTAATATTACCGTTACGCTGTACAATTTGTAGAGAATATCATTCATCCCTCCAGTTTCTTCATTCAGAGACCGAAAATGTCTCTCGATTGTATACTTGGTTATAACATTCTGGACACGGCCATAGAAGTAATCAGCCATCCATGTTACCATCTTGAGAGCTTGAGCATTGTTGGCAAACATGTACTGGTCAAAAAGACCTGCCATGATCTGGAAAAGCCAGGAGTTGGACAATAAAATGACCTTGTGAGTAGAAAATTCACTTCCCATTGTTTGGTAAGCAGCCATGGAACAATGAATTGTTACCTTGTGAATGGTGTAATAAGGAGCCCAAACAGGCTGCACAGCCTCGAATCGATCGAAGAACTCAGAGGGGAAAGCAGAAAGATAGCCGGAGCCGACCTTGTCTTGACATTTAGATAGAGCTGACACGACTTCTGACATTTTCTCTTTGAGAGTTTCATTGTGTGTACTGGCATACATCATCGCTGCAGCACTCAAGTAGTGTCCTGAAACACAAATGACAAGTAACAATTCACTTGTCAGCTATCAACTTATTCTAATGTTTCAAATTTCAAGGTTGTGCTTGCTTTGACTAACTTTTAAGCTACTCATTTGAGTAAATGATCTGAAACAAACTCCTCATAAGCAAAATAAACATCATGAAAACCATTTCAAACCAATAACGAGGTACAAGCCCTCTGTCTTCAAGCCTAAACCAATTCTTTATAGCAACCATTAAAGTTCAAACATAAAACCTTTACTCAGTACATCTCAGCAACCTATTATTATTGTCAACGACTCAGATTGTAACATTCAAACTCATCAATTTGAGCTCAAACACCTAACCTATGCTCCCATATCATCTTAATACCTACAAGCTTATTGGAAAACACACGATTTGCCACATTCAAAGGATCAAAGCGAGAACTATACTCTCACAACTCAATGGAAAACACTCAAATTGCCACGATCAAACTCATAGATTTGTGAACCAAAAAAGAGAAGGGGAACCAGAACTAACCAACAAAATGGCCTCTGAGCTCAACATCAGCAGCTTCCCAGCCACCATAAGGAGTCCCAGGAGTCGCAAAACCAGCATTCTTCCTGAAGCTCCAAACCAAATTATCAACATCCAGCATCAACAAGTACTCCAAATTCGTCTGCTGAGACCTCCCGTACAAGGAACCAGGATCCAGCCTCACATTATGCAAAGACACTTCCTTCAGGAAGCTCCCAGCAGAAGATGACTGAACATTCTTCTTCATTTTCCTGTACTCCATCGCCCAATTGAACTCTTCCTCCTCCCTCAAAACCTTCCTCGGAAGCAAACTGGCCCAGGCCGAATCATCAGTGGGTATCAAATGATCATCCTCATGGTAATGGGCGAACATCTCCGACTTCCACGTGTCGTTGCCCGACGACAAAAGCCCATATCGAAACGTGTGGGAAGAAAGCTGCGTGGGACTGTTAGTACACTCTTTGCCCTCTGAGCAAGATATCAACAAGAACAGGAAGAACAGGGCAAAGACTCTTGCTTTAGCTTTCCCCGGCACCATTTTTTCTGATTTGACAAAGAACCCAGAAAGGGTGGAAGCTCTAAATCCGTATAATATAGGTCGCGGAAAGCTAAAGCATCGAATTTGAGGTAAAGGCGCAATCTTTTTAACAAATCCTCAGTACCCAGATGAGAAGGGAAAAAAGAACAGCCTTGGGAAGTCCAGAGGACGAAGAGCAATGGGACCCGTGAACAGAATGGCGTCTTTTCTTGTAATTTATCTGTACAGAAAGGAGTTTGGGGGGGAGGAAGCAAAATGGGATTATGGGTCCGTGAGAAAGGCAAGAGTGTTGGTTTCTTCTGTTCATTTAGCTAACAAGCTGGAAATCGACAGGAGAAAGGAAGGATTGGCAGAATGCTGAACATAATTACCAGACAAGAATTCTGGGACTTGAAATGGAGGGGATGGATGGTGGCCTGATAAAGCCAGAGGAGCGTCACGGGTACGCCGTCGTTTTCCTAATGGCGGGAGAGGGAGAGGATGTGGTAGACTGGTAGTGGTAGTGGGGAGCTGTGCTTTACAGGCAAGGCAAGCAAGAAAAAAAAAATTCAAGAGCCTGTGACTGTCAGTCAGTGAGTGGATTTTCTTTCACTTGCAAAAGTAGAGAGGGAAAGAGTGAGAGAGAGAGAGAGAGAGAGGAATTCTGGCTCAGCCACTGTAGAAGAAGAATCTTCTTTATTAATTTCTTAAGCCCAGGTTTTGATCTTTTGCTTAACTAGATCATTGAATGATTTGATCAATTGCTTAAGCAAATGATACCCAATAATGGTGATTGGTGAAGATCTCAAATAATTATTGAAGTCAAAAGAGAGTTCAAACAAACTGTGGAAGTAATGGAGAAGTCATTACTAGTCTTCTTGGTTTATTTAGCAGGAGGTTTTGAAGGATGAAAAACCAGATGGGAAAGATATGAAATTGTTAGTTAGACAGAACCCCTAATTTCATGCTAACCATACTCATGAGTTGTTTGGATTGTGAGATCTTTGGATTAGAGTGCCTCAAGATTAGTCTAATTTTGATTTGAAAGAGGAAAATTAGAATTTTGATTTATAATGTCTTCGTTAAAGTCATTTTGAAATATCTTATCTTTTTGTAGAAGGGGACATTTATTCACAAATATCTATGTTTCAAAATGCTCTCCATCTAAATGATCCGTCAGCTTATTTTTGCTAGGATGCCATCTACGTGATTTTGTCAAATACTATGATTGAATTTAACGTTTATCTTCGATTCTGACGGGTTATAAATTTCGCAAGCCTCTCTCAAGTATTTAAACAAATATCACAATAAATTAAATGGATTCCAAGCATCGAATACATGACACCATAGTCGTCCCTACCAAGCAACAAATCCACATCATTCACGATCAATCACAACAAGCTGTGAAGTTGAAGATAGGGAAACAAAAGAGTATGCATATGGTTTAAGTATTCTCTTGGAGGGATCGAAGTGGTTATGTGATGCACAAGTAAACTGAATATGGTTTTCTGTTTGCCTACTGATCTCACAATATATATATATATATATATATATATATATATATATATAAGAACACTTTTGCTATGAACCCTAACCAATTACTCATCTGCCCATCATCTTTGGGGAGTTTTGGGAGCAAAATGGATAACCAATTCCAAATGTGAGAGAGTGGCCGAGACTAATTATGCGTGGGGCGACACAAAATTTAGGGGAAAAGAAATTACCGACAGTAAGTTGTCTAGGGTTCGAGATGAAATGTTTTACTGAGCTAAAAAACAATATTCTTTTCCGTGAACTAAACGGCACATCATCAGTTCTCGTTTGAGTCGAGACTCTAAATATGATTGATTTTTTGCTCGATGATCAATTACTTTGTTGCTTGCTGAGTGGATTACGACGGTTGCTACTACCTTTTGATGACTACTCACTTGTCTAAAAGTACCCTAAAAATCGAGGTTAATCTCAACTTCTAATACGATAATGCTCAATTGAATTAACCCAAAGATGACCACCTTATTTCTTCAATATGCAACTTTTTTAGTATGATTGACAAATCATTATTTTCCCCTCTAGTTATGAACTTTCTTTTTTTGTTGGCCAAAATCAATGAGCACATGCACATCTAAATCAACAAGAAAAGTGACATTGAAGGAGAAAATATGACCCTCTATCAAGCAACTTGGAATCATCTGAAACAAATTCAAAAGATAGGAAATTGGATTGGTCCAACAACTACTAAAACGCATTAATAGGCTTAAAAGATGTCCATCAAGATTAATTGAGTGACAACAATGTCCACCAACCCAAAATTTTGTCCCTCCTAAAACAAACCTTATCCTTTTGGCTTGGCACTTGCACATTTACCCCCCTCCAAAAGATGTACACAAAAAAAAAGTCAGCATATATGTGGCAAGTGAGCTAAATAAGTAATCAATTCTCTATAGATGTGCATTTGTTATCCAAGTATAAGAGATCATGCATAAAAATAATACGATATTAAAATATCACGAAAACATATAGATCCTATGCACGCCCTGCACTTACATGATTCTTGTTAATCTCATAGAAGTTGAAACACTCTTAAAAAAAACTGCATGTATTGCCAAGATAAAATTGATGATTGATTTATCAACCAACCAACCTTCTTCCTTTGTTAAAAAAAAAAACAACACCTTTCTTCCTTGATCACCATGATAAAAGTTGGGACAAAAAGTCATTTACTAGACTCTTGGAAGAATGGGACCAAAAGCACCAATGAGACAAAAATATGTAGAGATTCCAAAGCAATAATTGACTCAAATCATTATTATATCGACATTTAACAAACAACAACCACTCATGTGTTTAGTATAGAAAAAACACAACACCATCAACCCCACTTACACAATAATCAACATGGATGTCGACCAAGAGCATCTTAATTGTTACAATACTGTTTAGGGAGCGGTTACGGTGCTAATTGTACAATAGTTAGCACCGTCCTAACCAAGGGAAAAACTACTACTAGTTTGAATTAGTAGTGATTTAGCTTAGATGTTGTATTGATTTTATAATAATCCGTAGTGATTTCGTTATTTTTAGTAGCGTTTTTGGCTAGTTATCACGGTGCTAACCCTTATAAGGGTTAGCACCTAATCCCATCCCTACTGTTTATTATAATGCCGTTTTTTTTTGTGTATTTATCGTTGATTCTAATGAATGATTTCTTTTTATATTGAAAGGCCATACTTTGTAACTAGCTTTGTCCCCGGCCAGTTGGCCGGGTGAGTTTCTGGTCTTATCTTATCATTTGTGATCTCACAATATAAGTTAATGAGAATGCAAGTAAGTCAGTCATTGTTTATATCATTCACACAACTAAGTAGTCCACATTCAACTAATGATTTTTAGTTTTCATTTAAACCCTGCACACTTCTAAGTTATGCATTCCATTTCTAATCAATGACTATTGGAATGTGGCTAAGTATATCACATACGCGTGATAAATATGTCAATATTGTAACAAAAAAAAGTTATGTCAATATATATCATTCACACACATAATAGTTCAATCCTCTCCAACTTTTACTCATGTCCTCCAAAGAGGTTTTAGAAACTCAAATTTTATATATTTATTTTCAGATTTGTCAATTAAAGCAGTCACATTTATCATCTTATAGATGACATATGAATCAATATTGGTTATCAAAATCTAATGATTGAATTGTATATATATATTATATGGAATGTCCATTTATTATGAAGAATACATTCATCTTGTCAAATAATAGTGAAACAGTTTTTATATTTTATTCAAAGTGACACATTTAAAGAACGTTAAAAAGGCCCATCTATAATTTTAAACAAAAAAATTAAGTTTTATTCAAATTACACAATTTTATTCGAATTTAATCAATAATTTACCTCAAAAGCAAAGTAGGATAAATAATATATATACACAAAACTTTTAGCTTGGTTCATAATTTTTTTTAGGGGGATCGAAAACTATTTATTTATATATATATTGAAGCAGGTATCACCGCAAGTAATTAATATATATTATAAATAGAGATAACTAATCTATACAATAAATAAAAGCCAAATGGAAAATTTGAAGCTCCATTTCAAATTTTCTGCATCTAGATTCTAGAGTGAAAGTAGGAAGGACATTTTGGTCTTCACAATTACTTTTTTTTATTCATTAAAAAGACACTTACGAGGATTCAAACCATGACCACTTTAAAGGAAAAACAAAGATCATAACCAATCACACTAAGTACATTTGTTGTATCTTTTTAAATTAAAAACATATAATCGCAGAGAGGAAAAAATCATTCCCCCATTTCAAATTCCCTGCTCCAGTAGCGTTAGTAGGAAGGGTAGAATAGGGAGTGTCAATTTTTTTCTTTTTCATCTGTGGAATGGGCCAACTTACCGTACACATGCGGATTTAAACGGGTCCAGGAGTGTCAATTTTTTTCTTTAAGTTCTTTTATTTCTTCGTGGTGGTAAAATATATATGAAAAGGCAAAAACAATACTCCTTTTTATTGCTAAAAAGAAAAAAAAATTTAACAATAAACTAATGCATGGATTCTAATGGGCTAACCGTTAATCATAAAATAAAAGAGTTAAATGAGCCTGACCTACACGGGATTTGCCCATCAAGTAAAACAAATGAACATCATGGGTTTGTCATTCTAAAACAAGCTATTTTATCTTGCATAATATATATTATGCTATTATTTTATATCTTAGTGGCTAAAATATAATGTATTTTAAAGTTATTCAATGGTTCAACCTCGACCAACCCAATTAGTCCAATTTTTATCATTTCAAATATATATTATGTATTTATTTGATATCATAATGATTAAATTATAGTGTATATTATAGGGAACCGTTTGGTATTTGTTAGTAAAAAAACTAAACAGAAAGATCTGTTTGGTTATTTTTAACATTAAAACGATCTTAAACATTTTCAGTTTCCTTTCGAAATTCTATAGTTTTACTTTTGAATTAGTGAAGTGCAAATGGAGAATTGCAGTCATCTCTTTTCTTTCATTATTTTTTTATTTTCAAATAGAAAGTTTAAAAGTAAAGAATAATTAGAGTTTGGCATGGGTCGGCCAAACATGCTAAATTTCAAGTTTTGGCCCTTTTTGATCAAGTCTAATTATAATAACATGGTTCCCTGATACCCGATAAAAATCTCAATCCAAACCAATTTGGTAGATGAGTCCGTGTTTACCACCATTTTCTAGGGATACAGGAACGGTGGTTCCTATCCCAAATCGTGTTGTTCATTCTTGATATCTTTAGATTTTATCACGACTTGGAAAAAAACCAGAAATCACAATGATGACAAGATGAAAGTTTTATAAAGCAAATTAATCGGCCAACGGGCTGAGTAAAAGTTAGCAATGATTGTGAGATGCTTATTTCCCGAAAACCGGCGGGATAGGCGATTTTTTATTCGATTTTTTGGAATTCGGTTTCTATAAAACTTAGTCCACCTCATCATATTACAAGAAACAATATTGTTTCACAAGGTAACATGTACTTGATTTTGGTTCATAAGGCTGATTTTTGATTTGTTGCATCATTCATGTCTCTTTCCTACTAAAATTCACTATTTTTATCACGTGTTTAAAAAAAAACTATACAATAATAAACTATACACCACATTACATTATCAAATTTCATACCTCACCTTCCTCCGGCCAAATGGCCGGGGCCACGCTAGTTATTAAAATTAACTTAGGAAAAAAAGATGAAGGGATAAGTTTGAAGTGGCGCAGGCTAGAGAGAGAAAAAATAGTGGGAGGAAAAAAATTCATCGGCGAAGGAAACGGTTTAAGGGGAAAAAATTAAAAAAATTTTAAAACCCTAAAAAAACCGAGAAGTGCGGAGAAGCCTTGGAGGCTTACGTGGAGGGGGTCATATTTTCAATCTCCTTTAATATATTTTAAGATAAGATTAGAAAACAAGAAAAACAAGAACCAGGTCTTCGTCAGAGTCGATGACACTTCACCACATTAACATCCTGAGCTCAAAAGTCTACTGTTCTTATTTACAACAAGGGAGGTTATTCGTTGTTGTTTTTACATGTAGACAAAATGCAGACTTCGGGATTTCTTTCTAGTGAGCAACTACACAAATACAGAGCAGCAAAGTATAAGCTGTAAAAGGTGGTCCTGGTCCTTTTTTTTCACAGTCTTCTGAGGAAGTTCCATGGCCCTGTACCAGTCCCCAACCTGCAAAAATCCATGAAGATCAATACCAATGCTGCCAAATCTAAAAGTAGAATCTCAGGGACACTAGGAGAATAAACTAACCTCCAGAAACCAGCAAAAGCTCTGAGGCTCATATAGATGGTAAGAGCAATCCAGAGGCCAATGAACTTGTAACTTGCAGACAGAAACAGCAAACACCCTATGCTGAATATGGCCACCAGAACCTGCACAAATGACAGTATGTATTCCCCCACATGGATCAAATTTATGCCTAGTGATTCATTCCATCACCTTTATTCAGTAACTTGGGAGTCAAGTCAAGAGAGAGTTGAGTCATTTATATACCATTGAGTAGGCAGCATAACCGAAGTCTGATGCTCCGAAATTGACCCCATCGAAGACGAAAGCCAATACGTTGATGGGTTGAGTCCCTGCAACAAACTGATGTTGAACAGAAAAAGAACCATTTTAGTTTCAAATGAGATATAAACCATTTCTTCTTGTTTAGAAGTGGAGGGAGGGGAGGGAGTACCGGGATGCCTATGCCAATTAGGTGAAGAACGTCGACATCATTGGTGAATATTCGCGCTCCGAATGTCAGCCCCAATCCAAGTACCACTGCCAGCACCAGACCCAGAAGCCATCCCAGCTGCAGTACTCTAGATGCAGTTGCTGTGGCTCTCTCGAAATCTTTCTGAGCAAAAGCACCTGCGATTATTGCCTGAGACATACAAGTTAAAATGAATGAATCAGCCAGTCTGAAATTAAATAGCTATAGGCACTACAAGGAAGGAATGAAGGAAAAACTATTTTTTTTTTATCTAACCTGGCCAGCCACTGCCAATCCATCAGCGAGGAGAGATGTGGCCATCCAAACCTGCAAGCATATCTGAAATGCTGCCATGGACGTTGGACCTTGTCGGGCAGCCAAGGATGCAGAGAGAGTAACACAGAATGTCACAGCCACTACCCTCATCAATAGCAGAAAGCCTGGGAAGAAGTGTATCCAGGTGAGGAACCAGAGAGATTTGGCTGTAGAAAAATGCATTAGAAGTCTGGAAATACCGTTTTTGAGGAACCGGCCAAATTGTAGATGCCTGATGCTAGGTGGTACTAGATCAACTTGTGCAATCAATTTCCACAGGAGTATGATTGCGATCAGGTACCTGTAATCAACATTGGTTTGAGAACCTTACTTCAAGCAATGGAAAGATAACGACAGATGTATAGCTATACGGATCAACTCACTGGGATATGATGTGGGAAATGGCGGCACCACTGACCCCGAGATGGAAAACAAACATAAGTATAGGATCCAAAATGATGTTTGTGACATCACCAGCCACTGGAAAAACATGGTAAATTGCAACAGAAAGAGAATTAGTATCAAATGACGACTAACACTGAGCAAAAGTGCTGCAGAGTTGCACAAAAGCCATACCAGTAGCATACAAAGGGGTTTTCGTATCCTTGAAACCCCGAAAAACACCTTGCATTGCTAAGGAGAGGAGAATCGCAGGAGCACCAAGCGATCTCAGGGTTAAGTATTGTTGTGCAGGAGCTAACATCGGCGAGTCCTGTAACAGAAATAAAGAATCCAAAGTCTGACCTTCTGATATTGATCACAGGGGGAGTACACATATGTCTCTGGTTTTCAAAAGGAATCTCTAGTTAATGTACTGACAGATTTGACTCCCATGAAGTTGAGAAGAGGTTTTGCAGCAGAAATGAGGAACACAGTTTGGACAAGGCCAAGAATGGCACCAATGACCAGAGCTGATGAGGCAGAAGGAATATGCCTTCTTTCATTTGTGACCTTACTACTAGCTACCTCAAAGCTGCTGACATCTCCAGAATTTGGAGGTCCACCTATGAAAACCCCAGAGCAGCATGACAAGAGGTAACTTGAGTTTTTTTTTTGGAGAGTGTAACTTGAGTTAGAATGTATTGCAGGTTGGGAAAAATTATGAAAAGGGTGGTTTCAGAAAATGGGATAATACCACTTTGTGGTATCAATTCGTTACTCTCATTGTTACTAACTATGCCGGTTTCCAAGGACTCGCTCTCTTCTGCTTCAGCTGCCACTTTCGCCATCACGTCTTCCTCAGCTACAAACGACGTTGTAACACTGACTAGTGGGAAGATTGCAATCCTCGAAACTTGATTGAATAAAGCAATGGACACTCCAACAGCAGCAAGCTCTACAGAACCTGATGTTTCAATTGAAAAGAAAAGTTTGAATGAATTGCCAAAAATGAACAGAGGTTCTGTTTCGTTAAGCATCATACCTATTCTGCCAATGAATGCTGTATCAACAAGAGAAGCAATGGGATCAGCTGTCAAAGCCATAGCAGCTGGCAGAGCTATTCGAGCTATTTCTAAACCGAGCTCATCCAGTTTAAGTACCAGCCTGCAATCAGCAGCCATCAACACACAACTGAAAACCATGACCCTACACATTAAAACTACAGCATAATTGAAAGGGAAATGACGCACAAAGAAAGTACCTAAAATCTTTGACAAAAACCCAGAGAGGGAGTTTTGGCTTAGCCATGGATGGAAATGGAGGATCTAAATCAGCCATCATTTGAGCCACCACTTAGAGAGTAGAGAACAACCACCAAAAAGCTCTCCTCTATATACTAAGGGAAAAAGAGACAGGAGATTAGGCTGGCATTCTTAGATTACTTAATCCAAACACCATTAGCAAAAGAACCCAGTAAGGGAAACAACCATCACTCCACATTCCTGCCTAACTTAACTGATTACCCATTTGCCAAAGTAGTGAGACGTACCAAATTCCCAAACCAAAACGTTATGGAAAGGCTAGCAAATATAAAGCAAGCTTCTAGCTTTCCAGAGATGAAGAGACTAAAGAGAGAGAGTCACTCTTACCAGAGCTCAAAAGCCACTGTCTTTCTCTCTCCGGATTAAACTGTCGTCGCTATAATAAGGACATTTCGGTTTCCTACTTTCCTTAGTTGAAACGAACGAAAGGGAAACGTACCAAACAGATTTCAGACCTTTTCCTGAAGAAGACAAAAGTTGTTTGTTTAACTTTTTATCGCCATGCAATCAAAGCACTTTTCCACTCCCCCACCCTCCTTGAATCGGCGAGGTTTGTAGTTTTGTCAGCAAAGGTTACAACTTTGACACTTCATAGTTCAGAGCAGAAAAATGGTGGAAGAACGAGCAGTGTCACAGAGGAATAGTGACTAGTGAGGCAGGACAAAAGGGCTAATAAGTAAGGAAATCTGTGGCTGATAAAGAGAATCTGCGTATGTTGAAGTGGAACTGGTGGCGCTTGAACCATAAAGTTGCAATCTTTCTACGCAAAAGGCAAAACCAGAAGTGGAACTGGTGGCGCTGGCATAAGGTTCCAATGGCTGATAAGTCGAGTGGAACGACGAACATTCACCTCGAAAGTGTTCACTTGGTTAAAATTTCCCGCCAAACACATCATGAGAAAGCCAATTTTTGAATGGGCCTTACAAAATGTCAAAGGTTCTCGAGTTATACAACAAATGACAAATTTTCCCTTACTCTAATGAAAAATCTGGCAAATTCGTATGCTCCAAACATTTCAAACTGCATTCCCAACCTTTACCACCTAGTAACTACACCGGCCAATAATAATAATAATCATCAATGTGGCCAAAAAATCAAATTCTCAGCAAACCACCACTCACCTAGTGGTTGGCAAAAAGAATCGACAAATTCTTGTCTTTCTCTTCTTCTGTTTACCACAAGCCGAGGGTCTTCCACCAGAAGCCGCCAATTCCGAGCCAGATCGCGATGTTGACGATGGAGATGAGGAACCCGTATCCCCACCACTGGGCCAGAGGGACGTAGCCGGCGCCGTAGAAGACGGGCGCCGACCCAATGCCGTAGTGCGTGAGTCCTCCCATGAGGTTCGAGAGGAAAGACAGCACCATAGCTCCCATGTAAGGCGGGGTACCCAGGGCGCTAGCCACGGACAGGAATGCGGTGAACATGGCACCAATGTGAGCCGCGCCACTGGCGAAGAAGTAGTGGGAGTAGAAGTAGAGGAGGACCAAGATGCCGAACGACGCCTGCCATGAGAGTCCTAGTCCACCAACAACCTGCAAAGCAAACATCCAGAGTCATGAAATTTTTAATAATTCGACAATGGTCAGCAAAGACAGATGCTGATGATGAGAGGAGGAGAAGGAATGCAAGACAAACCTTGACAACGGTTTGACTGAACCAGGAAATGAGGCCATACTTGTTGAGGTACCCTGCCATGGCGATGAGGGCAGCAAACCACGTTAGGGTATCCCACGCTACTGATTCGGCTAAGCATTCTTTCCATGTCACCACACCGGAGATTAGGAGGACCGACAACCCGAGAATAGCAGCGGTCACAGCGTCGATGTTCAACACTCCACCAAATATCCAGAGGCCCACCTTCACAACAGAAAAACCAGTGTGCACTTATTGCCAATGCTAGATTGCTGATCAAATAACTAAGGCCTTAACTATCATCAATCATTCCTAAAACCAATTTGCTACGGCTAGGTGTAACTAAGATTCAATTGAAACAAGATGCTGTAATGCAGCAAACGATCACTAACCCATCAAATACCTAAAGCTGAAATGCTACATTCTCTGAAGCCTACAAGGAAAGCACCAAGCTTTATACAAATCACCTAAAACCCAGGCACGATTCAACGAGGAAGTACGAGGACAATACCGTGACAAGCAGAGTTCCAGCCATGATGATCTCGTTCTTGGTCATCGGCCCCATCGTCGCCAGCTTCTCCCTGGCCAATTTGGGCGCATCAGGGCTGCTCTTGATCGTTGGCGGATAAACAATGTACAGAATCAACGGGACGACAAGCAGGGAAACCAGCCCAGGTACAAATGCAGCCTTAGCCCAATCAGTCCACCCAATCGTCTGCTTAATAGTATTCATAGTCAAATTGACACACAACGGGTTAGCCGCCATGGCAGTCAAGAACATCGCCGACGAAATCACCGAGGTTTGGAAACAAGTCAACATTAGCCACGAACCGAGCTTATGCTCCGTCCCGTCGCCCACATTGCTGCCGCAGGCGACGCAGAGCGATTTCACGAGCGGGAGAAAGATCCCTCCGGCTCGAGCAGAGACGGACGGGATCGCCGGGGCGAGAAGCGCCTCACTGAACACCAAGCTGTAACCTAACCCAAGGGAAGAGGATCCAAACAGGGAGACGAATTGGTACGCGATTCGGTTACCCAGTCCCGTTTTGATGAACCCGCGGGCGAAGAAGAAGGCGAGCGCGATGAGCCACGGGATCGGGTCGCCGAAGGCGGAGAACGCGGCGGCGAAGGGTAGGGTTTTGGTCAGTACGGACGCCCCCAACCCCATCAGCGCGACGGCTCCGAGCGGCAGGGGCTGCGTTATGATTCCGACGATCGTGGCGAGGAAGATCGCGAGGAGCTGCCACGCCTGCTTGGTCACTCCTTCCGGTACCGGGACGAACCAGAGAATGACTCCTGTAGCGATCGATGCCAGCAACGGCTTCATCGCCGCCCCCTGCCATGGCTGCGCCGGTGCCGGAGCGGGCGCGGGAACCGGAACGGGAGATGAAGACGGAGCCTCGGAAGAGGCCCGGATTCTGAAGGTGCGTGAGGCATTCGATTTCAGAAGGCAGGGAGTGGCGAGGGGAGAGAATCTTGCTCCGGCGGCGATTGAAATGGAGGAGGAGTGGAGTCGGGAGGAGAGGCGAACAGCGGGTCTGAGCGTGGGGGAGGGAAAGCGGCGGGATTTGAGAGAAGGTAGGGAATTGAAGGCGAGGGAGCAGGAGGAGGAAGAGGTCAAAGCGAGAGACGCCATTTGGCGGTGGCCGCAGCAGCGGCGGCGGAGGTGAGGGTTCAGAGATTTGTCAGAGGGGGAAATGGAAAGTGGGAAGAAAGCTGAGGTGGGGCTAAAGTCCTACTGGTTATTTTATTTATTTATGAAAGGGGGAGTAAGAAGAGATCAGGACCGTTGGTTGGGAATCATCGGACGGTCAAGAGAGAACTTAGAATATACGGCTGGTAATTTACGCCACCGAAGCCTCGTTGATGCCGTCAGTGGGATCGAAATCTCCGTCTCCTCCAGATCCTCATTTTAATTTTCTGAGAATTTATTAATATCTACGGAGAATTTAATTATTAATTAGTTAATAATTACCACGTTGATACCAAATTTATTAATAATAATTAGAGTAACTAAATATCGTCTGAAGGAAAAATTAATGTACTGAATTGAAATTTTAGCGCCAATAAGGCAAAAGCGGGAAATGGGATTCCATGCTGGCGGGTGATGACACGAAGGCAGCCACGTGAGCAGTTTGGGTGGCTGGCAGGGTGGATGGACCGATAGCGTGGAAACGGGGGGTCCACCAATGAAGTGGCAGGACAGTCACGTGGCGATGCTGGATTGGGTGGGGGGAAGGAGAGAGGGAGGGAGTGTTGTGTGTGGCAGAACAGAGGCCAGGGAGTTTTTAGGGCGATCAATTGTGCTAATGGGTCCTTCATTTTGAAGTCGTTGACAAAAAGATCATTGTACTTTGATTTTGTACAAATTTGCCACTATACTTGGGATGAATTGACGGAACCGATCACTTTGTCCATCAACCTCAAAACTGTCCATATTAGCCAGCTAAACCAAATCAAGATTAGGCATGGGCGTGAAGTAAATCATAATTAGCCAATAGTACGGTCCATTTTTTACTCAATATGAAAATCAAACATGTTGCTTGACCGACTCATAACTGATATACTAACATAAACCAATATAATCCCTTCAGAATTGAGTGACTTGACATCGCCGGCCATGACGAACATCTATCTGAAATGGAAATGGCAGGCGCCAGTTATAACTATATATTAATTGTTCCAAAACTCGATGACGTATCGTGTTAAAAATCAAACTGGTAGTGATTTCTTCGTTAGTGGCCTTGAAATAGAGTGACCAAATACCAATTTCATGTCAATGGTCGAGGTGCTGGAAAGGACAAGGATACCCCCATGCTATCTAGGGATCTATCCACATTCTCCACTGACTGATCATGTACAGAAACAGAGCAAAACACACAAAAGGACAGCTCAAACTACGTACGGACAAACTAAAGTGAGTCGGCAACTTGTGGCCATGGTGGCTGGCGCGCATTCAATCAGCAGCAGAAGAAGAAGAAGAAGAAGAAGAAGAAGAAGAAGGAGGAGAAGAGGCAGATCTCTGACTAGTTGAATGAAGAAGACAAAGAAGGGTTTGTAGAGTTGGGACCAAACCAAGAAGGAAAGGAAACGGGAAACCGCTAGTGAAAGTGACGAGTGATGTGAGTTCGCATGCCAAGTTGTGGTCTCACTCTCTCACGCTCTCGTATCTAGCCTTTGGGCTTCCTAATCTATAAGGCTAATGAATTGGTAGACCAGCCCCACTCGACTTGCGGGCCTTTCGTGCTGGGCTTTTTTATCTGTACCAGCGCAGCGCCCATTAAGAACAGAAGAAGCGCATATGGGAGTACACGTACGTACGGCTCGTCCGCATGCAAGTTGTGGTCTCGGACTTTGCCTCAGGGCCCCCATTCTAAGGCTAATGAAGTAGGCCAGGCCCACTAGAGTTGCGGGCTTTTTTTTGTTTGTTTGTTATGGAGTTTCTGGGTGGAGAGCCCATGAAAAAAACCCATATTAATGGTGCACGCAAACGCAAGTACTGGCGCCTCTCTCCTTCACCTCGTGTTCTTTCTGAACTTCTTTTTTTGATTCGTGATTGTTACATATGATAGAAAATGGGGTTTTACTTTCATCTGGTCTCGCGCTCCATTATATCTCATTCTTTCTTCACATGACGTAGAGTAATTTTCTAAAACATTTACTCATATTTCTCGCCTGTTGTGTTTATTTTATGATCTACGTAATCCCAATTGAATGCGAGCTTCATTTCTCAAATAGTTTTTAAGTTCCTCAACAAGGTGATTCTCTCACTTTTTCCAATATCATTCAAGAAATATTTCTCACATATATATATTTTTTAAGTTTTTATACAATGGCAAAATGTGCCAATCTACTCTCAACATGTGTCTTTATTAAAAATGACTTAACTTGCATTTAGCACTCAACCAATATGGTCATAGTTGTGGACCAAAAAAAATGGTACATCAAGAGTTTCATCAACATGATAGTGTAATCACGACTTAGATATTTTTGTGAGCTAGCTAGATGCCCACAATTCTCGTTAGGAATTGAGTGTTTAAGTTAAGACATCAATAATTAGTGTTAGGAAATAAGTGACCCACCACCATTGAAATGAAACAAAGAGGAGTAAAAGGGAACAAAAGAGGCAGAAATCAAACCCCTAATAATCATGTAGTTAATGGTAAACCGAACCCTCCAAATTTCCATATAAAAAATGATGGAGTACTACACTCACATGTATCATGTTAGTTATGCAACACAACAATAAAAAAATGCCAAACAAAATATAACATAAAATACAAGATATGGATCATTTGCCTAAATTGTCATTGAACTTTTGGTTATTAGCAACTTACTATCCAGATATTGTGATCAAAGTTTGAAATACTTAATACAATTATCACTTTTATCTAAAATGCTAAATGAACTACTTCACCCAAATTAGTGTCCCAAGTCAATCAAGTTAGTAACAGAATGCCTCATAGACCCTAATTAGTTTATATGAACTATTATTTTAAACTGATTCTCAATTTAAGTCCCTCACTCAAATTCAACAGACAATACCTTAATTAAAGTACTATCGTAATCTCTTATTGTTATAAACGCGATGCTACGGATCGGGAAATCGCCGGAATCGATAAAGCAAGAATACGAAAGCATGAATCGAAAAAACACACACACGATTTACGTGGTTCACTAACACGATGTGTGTTAGCTACGTCCACGGGCGAGAGAGAGCCAGTTTCACTATATCGAGGAGATTACAGATTACAGAGGAGTATGGGAAGTATTTATAGTACTACTCCATGTGGGCTAAACCTAATCCAATATGGCGAAGGAAACGGTTACAGACCAGGCCCAGGACCCGAACCCAAATAACATTGAGCCCATACACAGCGGGACCTCCGATTACCAGTCGTAGCGGCTGATAGTCTGATTCAAGTCACATCAACAAATCTCCACCTTGACTTGAATCCTCTTCCTCTGACTTATTAATGGGGCTTAATTCTTTGGTGACTCTTTAGATGGTCTATATGATATCTTTTATTTTTAATTTGGATGAGCCAATACATTTATTTTGCACAAGGAAGTCTATCTTTATCGACGAGTCAAAATTTTGATGGTTTATACTAGTGCAAGGATTTGAACTTGCTACCTCATACACATTATGGTTTTCATCAATGAGGATTTTAATATGCTTCTTGGAATTATTCTTTCATAAGCCTCATTTCCCCACTTTGGAGTATCGATGGTCCATAATCCATACACATTAACAATATTGACAAAGCTTGGTTTAGTGACCAAGAAGCCGTCTCCCTATTGGACCATTCCACAGCCTCACCAACCAAAAGGGGAAGAGGAGGCAATGTTAGCTTATAACTGGAGTAACCTTCTGCCGGTAGAAACCAAAGCTTTGGCTACAGAACAGTAAGCAGAAAGCATATAGAGAAAAAAAAAAAGTTAGAAACTTTGGAGTGCCCGCCAATTTTGCTCATTCATGTCTTATCTATATATGTTATCTACGTGGCCTATCATAGCTATAGGATCTCGGCACGAGTCGGTTCATCGATCGAGATAAAAGACAGGTGCGCGGTAGCTGATCAAAAGTCGACTTTTTTTTATAAGAAGAATTGTTTTGTTATACATACATGACGTAAATTACTTCGAAACTTGTTAAAATGAGATTCAAAAGAAGATGAATTTCTGTCAGTAATATAATAGAATAAATGGTTCACGAAGCTAATGATCATCTCTAACACAATCTCATGCTTAGCTGTGAGGAGAGTAATGTCTTAATCTGTCATTAGTGAAGTGGGTTGTCGATCATCGAGATAAATATCAAGTGTGATAGTCGATCAAGAGTCAAACTTTCGATAAAAAGGTATGTCTTATTATACATACATTACTTGAATAGTTAAATTACAACGAAACTTAACGAAATGAGGATCGAATAAGACGAATCAATCCTCGTCAATATATAACATAATAGAATGAATGGTTTATTAAGTCAATCACCTCTAACATAATTTCATGCTTAGTTGTGAGAAGAGTACTTGTGCCTTAATCTCTCGTTATAGTGAAGTGGGTTTGTTGCACTTGTTTCTAACAATGAAGGATCGTGATATGAGATTTGAAGTCAATTAATTATTTGATTCCTCTCATTCTCTAACTAATATTATATGCCCTAATGGGCCGATGTGACACTGTATTTGCCATTGATTTTGGATCCTAAGCTTACACCCGTACAAACCCTGTCATGCCACATACACAAAACTGAACAATGAAAAGTGAGCTAGAATTTGATCACACAATCTCTTTAATTAATGTAAATCTCCCTTTCTTAGTGGAATATTAGATTTTCTGGCCTACTTACCCATTGGAATATATGTGTGTATTAATTATTACCATTCATTGCTTATCTTTTTTTTTTACCTTTACAATGCTGCCACAGGGTAGCTTTTCTTGACCTCTTTCAAAATTTGGCATCTAAAGTTTGAGAAAGTAAAACAATGGGGATTGTGGGAAGGAAAAACGAAAAAAGAGAAGAAGCACAATGATGCCAAACATTTGAGGTACTATGGAAGTGTGGATATGGATATACAGGTGTAAATGAATGGTATATGATTCATATTTGAATACTTTTTGATAATTAGATGGGATTTCTCGTGTTTAAATGCTTACAAACTCTCAATATTAATAGTCGATTAAAGCATATAATATAGTTAGCATGTGTAAACTTCAAAGCGATAAATTTGACTTTCATTTGGGGTGAGAATATGCGGGCATCTGTCACAGATGTTCATTGTGTCAAAGCCCTTCAAAATTTCCAATCTTTCTTTGGGAGGTGGGATTCTGCAGATACAGACTTTTGCAATTTGGTTGGTTAGGGATGCCAGATTTGGGCATGGCTGAGTTTAGAGAAATCAGAAATCTCTTTTTCTCCTTTCCTTTGCTTTTTATCTTGTCGTACTGTGGGTTGTGGCCACCCCCCAATTATACATGGAATGATGTGCCTTTTACTTCTTGCCAATGGGGTGCAGGAAAGTGTTGTTTAACCCTTTGAGAAACTTACCCAATTCTTTCAGATATTGACATTGTAAATGATTTCCTTTTGGCCACAGTAAGTAAGTTGATTTTCATTGCATTCTAGAAGATCAGAATCAATATGTGACCTTACCAACAACAAAAAGGTATCAAAGTGTCTTGGGCCTTGGCTTTTTGGGATGTGGAAAAATGAACACAAAACTTGGAGAACTTAGGGAATCACAAATGATATTCAGGAATCCTGCCATTGGTTAATGTGTAGGATACTTTCAACTTTCGAAAGGATCAATGCGATATAGAACGATAAAAGCAACATATGACACGACTCAGTTTTCACTATACTGGCTTACTAAGTAAAACATATATCATAATTTTCTTTCCACCATAGCAACTTACTAGTTGATCTCCAACTTTTACTAATAGTACACGGTGAAATGTCGATGATGCTAATTATTCTCTCCAGCCTCTTTAGACATTACTGTCTTAACTGGATTACTAGAAGAGTGATCAAATCACATAATGAAAGACACTTCTCTTTGTAACACGAATTTAAAGATCATCAAATGCATGGTAGTTCAATAATATGCCCAAACTATTTTTCTTCTTCATATAATATGACCCACATGTTTGAGGCTACCTGAATCCCTATAAATACCTGCTAAATAGATTGAACTTTCGGGGTTGTTTGTTTGATGGATTTTGTGGTGAATTTGAATTTACAATGGACTTTGTCCAAACTCCATGGTTTGCTACAATTATGCAGGGGCAACAAATATGTGAATCCCATGGATTTTAAGGGTCCAAATCCGTGGGCCTCACAAACTTGAAAGTCTTACACCTTTTGGTGGAAATCAGTCATGGACTTTGAAGTTCATGATTTGTGACTAACCTCTTTTGTTCGAACCTCTTTTGTTCGAACCTCTTTTGCTTTAATAAACTTCACCCTTGTAAAAAAAATGATTTGTGACTAACCTACCTATCATATTTCCTTTCTCTTCTATACCAATGAGGGCAATAAAGTCAATTTCGCTTTATACATACAAATCTAATTAACAAAATCCATCATGAAATATGTGAAACAAACAATACCGTATTCAAGTCCATAATAAACTAAAACCCCTCATATATTCATGGAATTTTCAAAATCCAAATTTTATCAATACCTTCATTTTTCAAATCCACGAAATAAATTATTTGTTTTCTTTCCAATCCTATGTCCAGTGTTATCATTTTTCTCTTTAGTAAAAAAAACTGCGGCTGCACATGACACCAAGCACCAACTTCCCTTGATGTATGGGGCTAAAGAATTTTGTTTGGTTGTCCTTACTCAAAGATGGGGGCATATTCGAAAGAAGAAAGGTCAATTTCTGGTCTGGTTTGGTGAAGAAAAGAACTATATACACATAAGATAGGACAAGGAGAAGTCAATTTCTGTGTTTTCACCACCTTCATTTTCCTTGTATCTCACATCATTCCACATTTCCAATGGGTCTCTTAATAAGGGCAAGAATTTCATCACAACAAACCCTGAAAGTTTAAGGCAAAAGAGAGAATAAAAAAAAGGGCCTTTCACTTTCTTGAGTTACAATTCAATTAGGGGTTTCCTTTGCTTGGCCTTGTTATTGGGTGGTTCCATGCCCATACTTGACTAATAGGCATGCAAAGATTGTCAAAACAAGGGCTAGTTTGTTTGGTAGACAAAACCCAAAACTGTCACCTTCTTGATAACTTGTTTCTTTGAAAAGGGTACTTGTTTCTTTAATGCTACACCTTAAAAAAAGGTGTTGTTATTATAATCTAAAAGACTGAAAATACAAGGCAAGAAAGGGCATGTACTTGGTTTCGAATTGTAGTGTCATTGTACTAACAACAAAAATATGCATATCATACTACAACACTAAAGCACATCACTTTCAATTGCAAAGACAATGTTAATAAGAGAGATTCTGCTCCTGATGGGAAGTGAACCAGAAATATGTTGACACATATATGGTTTCCCCAACATCATGATCGTTTTGATAAGGTTACTTTTAATCACATTCTTTCAAATCCCAGGTAACCTTTTGTCCCCCTTAATTCAAAATAGCCTAGGAAACATCAAGGGATCCCCTTCCCCAACATGAACAATATCCATTTCACATCTCTACTAGAGTGTTCATGATATATAATCCAATAGTTGTTGCCCCACATGCCGGTACAAATTTTAAGGCGAGGAGCCCATTCGTTAAATTGGATACAACTTTTGCTTGTACAAAGTTCTCGATCGAGGAATCTCTGTGAATAGTTTATTTTTGAGACGGATATATAGCTCGGAGCGATGATTCTCATGATAGTATCGTGAATTGAATCACCGAGGTAACTTTGAGTAACCCAAACTCACGTAACAAAAGCGAGCTATCCATACTGTGAATGGAGCTACCCATGAGATAAATATTTAGGAACAATTGGTATGAGCACATGATTTAGCTCGGTGACGGTATCGTGAAATGTCAGCTCCTCATGATGATGTCGTGGATTGAATCGGGAAGCAGACATGAAAAACGAGTGTTCGTATTACAAATGGGTTATACCTCACGTAGCAATTAATTATCCAAATACACTATGTTTTAATGCTCCCTTATCGACGAGTATTTTTGTTGAAAAAGTACACTTCAAGACTAAGTAAAAAGAAAGAAGACCTAGCTCTACACATTTCATATTACATACACTTGGTTGATTAGATGATCAACCCATTAGAAATGGGTGTCTCTCTTTCAATCTGGTCTCTTAGCTTTCTTTTTCTCTTGTAATTCTTTCTTTCCCCAAATGACGACCAATTGTTTAAGGTAGTTATAATTCTCATACACACACATTGGAGTCTTTCCTACTCTTACCATCATCTCTCTTTGGAAGGCCTCCCAACTAATTAAGAAGACAACCATTGCCAAATTACCAATCAACCCCACTTGATTATGTGTGGACCATTGAGTTTTCATATATTTGTTTCTATGTGTTTTATTCTTTAAGCCTAACTATTACTCTACCTTTTTTATACAAATTACACTATTCAATTCATTATCTTCAATTACACGTGTGGATGCTTGAAGAACATAGAGAGAAGGCGGCAGCTAGAGAGAGAGAGAGAGAGAGAGAGAGAGAGAGAGAGAGAGAGAGGTATGTGGCCATGGATTATGTGAAATGGAAGCAAGTGTCAACTTTGGCTTGGCTATGAAACAACCCTACAAGCTCTTCTCTCTTCATTTCAATTCATTTTTTCTTCTCTTTTGTTTCCCTTTTTTTTTGTATGTGTTGTTATAGTCTCTCTACAATAGAGTAAATGATGAATTACCTTGAGAGTGAAGAATAGGAAAAAGACAAGCTGATCATGGAGTCAAAGACAAGACGACCACCCCCAATATGTATCCATACACATTATCCTCATCATCATTTATCTTTAGATATATACACACGTATCAATAACTTATATGAGGGTTTGGAAAAGTTACATTTTGTATTTAGATTTTTGGTATTTAAATGATTTATTAATAATTGAGGTGGGTTATCAAGAATAAGATATAAGATATATCGGTCCTTCAAATTTGAATATAATATCAAGAATCAATTTATCTATAAAACTCTAATTATCGATGGGTGAGATATATAAATTGCTTACCTATATCCGTTCTTTACATTATAAGCTTATATAATGAATTATATGCATCTAGTACAATACTATTTCAAATAAAATGATCAAATACATGCCAGAATCATATAATACGTAACGTGATCACCTCCTAATCAATCTAGTCGAATTAGCTTTCATACCATACCAAAGCCTTAATGATCCATAGCTATCGTGTCTAGTTCCTAGCAATTAACTATGATTCTAATATTTGATTTACTCATGGGCATTATGGGTGTATGAAATTTAATTTCTAAATTCATGGACTAGTTTGGGTTTTTTTACTTGTTCTAAACATGATATAGGATTCATGTTTGGGTTTCTTAACAGGTAAACTTTTAGAAAAAAAAAAAAGTTTTCGACATGATATTAGAATTTTTGACAACCAAGTCTCATGCTTGAATGTTCATGACCCTCGACATTATGGATATCTCTTAATAACTCGATTTACTGAAACCAGCTGATCTATAACAAACCAGCACAATCTTTTTTTTCTATATTATTTCATATATCTTTCACTTTAAGTCCCTCTCCAAACCGTTTTGCTATCTAGACCCATCAACCAACTTCCCTCTCTCTCTCTCTCTCTCTCTCTCTCTCTCTCTCTCTCTCTCTCTCTCTCTCTCTTTCTCTCTCTCTCTCTTCCCTATATTCTAAGCAAACCCCACAACCAATCCCCATCATCACGATCATCATTCCCACTCTATCAAGCCTCCTCCTCCTCCCCTCTCTCTCTCTCCCTCTCATTTGCTCTTTGCCTCCCCTTCTCTAATTCTCTCACTCTCATCATCGTCTTCTTCACCCAATTCTATATAACTAATTCCCACATCAAACCCAGTTGGGATAGACTAGAGAGAGGGATAGTCTCACACTTCCTTTTCTTTCCACCCTTCACCAAAAGGGTCCTTCTCTTCTTCTTCCTCCTCCTCCTTCTTTCATCTCATACAAAGACCAATAACTGAGAGAGGTTCCAGAAAATGAGGAAGCCAGATGCTACTCCAGGAAAGAACACCAACACTAGCAACAACAACAACAACAACAAGATGAGAAAGGGGCTTTGGTCGCCTGAGGAAGATGACAAGCTGATGAACTACATGATGAACAATGGCCAAGGTTGCTGGAGTGATGTTGCCAGAAATGCTGGCCTGCAGAGATGTGGGAAGAGCTGCCGCCTTAGGTGGATCAATTACCTTAGACCTGACCTCAAAAGAGGTGCATTCTCTCCTCAGGAAGAAGAGCTCATTATCCATTTGCATTCCCTTCTTGGCAACAGGTACTTTCATTTCACCACATTTTCCTTTTAGTACTCTTCTCCTCTTCTATCCTCTCTTATCTTATCTTCACTTCTCTTACCTGTTAATATTCGATGAAATTCAACTACGTGTGTTCGTAACAGTACGTACAACTTTACACCCCACATTTTTTTTCTTCGTCGGTAACGTATGTCAAGTGAGTACATGGCTTTGATATGTTCACGATGTCAATGAATGATGAGAGAAGTCGGCAGAACCGAATATGCGCCGTTAAATAGGAACACACGGGTCATGTCAGGTTTTTCAACACAACTACAACATCGACAGTTGGAAGTCGATAATAATATGCAGGTTGGGTATCCGTCGATATGCTCGCCAGCTCTATTTCCGACAGGGGGGAAAAACGTCACTAGTAAAGTAAATCTGTACCGCATTAATCGATGGTTAAATCTCAAGTTAAAAGATGATAGTGTCAAGTCAAGAAAATTTCTCAAACAATTTCAAATCCCCAAATTTCTCTTTCTACAACTTGAAGTTACCCAGCTGATTGGAAGTGTGATGATCATGATATTAATAATTCCATTAAGTCAACTTTATCCAACAGTGACACATCTTTTGATTAATAATAATAGTCCTTAATGACTTTGTTTTTTCAGACAGTTATCATGCTAATTTGCCACAAACTCCCTACCTATAAGACTGACATAACGTGATTACAAAGAAATTACTTATAAACACAAATCTTCAATTCCTTGCCTTTAACACCTTCATTATTGTTATTCACCAAAAGAACATAAAATTAAACCCACTACCTCTTTTTCTCCACGTGAAAAATTAAACCCTTAATTTTTATTATTATCTTAATAAATATATTCTATAAACAATAAAATCTTGCTGAAAACTGACTTGTCTTTGTCTGAAAGGGTGTTGGAAGTATGTGTCTACGTGTACAAACCATGATGTATACAGTCAGCTTTTTTTTTTTGCTGACTAGCCCCCATATTTATGGTTGGTATAGGCTTAGAGTTGAAGTCACTCCATGCATTAATACAACCAATTAAACTATAATCCCTACAATATACGTAAAACCAGATCATGGTTTGGGATTTAAGAAACATGACACGTATTACACGACCACTCCAGCTGGATCGATGTCTGTGGCAATCATTGTTTTGCTTAGTTGGCTCTGATTCCTCTTTACTTCAGTTCTGTTTTGAAGTTGGTTATACGTATACAAACAAATATAATAATAACTCAACTAGTAGTAGTGTAGCATAAGACAAAGGAATGAGAGAAAAAAGAACCATGCAAAATCATGCAATAATGATAGGAAAGTATACAAGGCACGTTTAATTTCTTTGCTTGCTAGCTACAATTGTAATACATAGGTAATTCTATTGATTAGTTTGTGTATTCTCTTTGTGGATTATAGGTGGTCACAGATAGCGGCTCGTCTGCCTGGGAGGACGGACAACGAGATCAAGAACTTCTGGAACTCGACCATCAAGAAGAGAATAAAGAACATGTCTTCCTCGACCACGACCACGACGTCTCCGAACACGAGCGACTCGTCGTCCGAGAAAGACAACTGTGGGTTGGTGGGCGTGGGGGGTTTCATGTCGCCCATGTTCATGGACGTGGTCGTGCCATCCCTGACATTGACCAACTCGTCCACCTCGTCGACGTCGTCCATGGCTCTGAACGGCGGTCACATGACCGACCCGTTGCAGATCCACATCGATCACCACCACCACCACCATCAGGGTCTGATGAACGTGTATGGTAGTGCAAACGGGTACTTCAGTGGTGCTGGTCAGAATGAGATGTCAGCTGCTCTCGATTTCGGAGGAAATCGGATGATCGGTTCGTATGGGTCAGGTCAAGGGGGGATGTTTGGAGGAGGAGGAGGTATTGGTGGTGGGATGGAGAAGGAGATTCAACAAGTCCCACCATTGGAGAGCATAAGCATGGAGGAGAACAATGGTCCCAATAACAACATAGTCATAAGTAGTAACTTGAATAATAAGTACCCTTTTGTGAATAGTAAGAACATTAAGGGGGAGAGTAACCACCACAACAACAACAATCATCATCACCATAATAACAACTTGGGAGGAGGAGGAGGAGGAGGGGTGAATAACACTAATAATCTTGCCAACTTTTGGCAAGGAGAAGACCAACTCAAAGTTGGAGAGTGGGACTTGGAGGAGCTCATGAAAGACGTTTCCTCCTTCCCTTTTCTTGACTTCCAAGTCGAATAGTACATCCAAAGATGAAGAAGAAGAAGACAAAGACCAGCTTAAGTTTGGGTGGGAGCGGCTTGTAGAGTATCCACGTACATTTCCTTTCGATTTCCAATTGTTTCGTTCTCGAGATATACATATATTCTTAATTGTCTCTTGTCTTTCTCTAGAAACATAGAAAAAGAGGCAAAGTTTTCTTTCTTTCTTTCTTGTGTATAGTTGAGTCGTCAGAAGATGAAAGTAAGTAGATACCAAACTTTTGTTAAGGTTGTAATAATGATGGCGATGAAGGTATAGCATGCACAATGGTTGTTGTTGGTGACATGGTACATAATCTTCAACGTTTGTGTGTCGGTAGAAGAATATTGGATCAAGAGCTTTGTGAAGAGAATAATTAGGTTGGTTATCGTTAGGTTCATATGAAGATGTATCATGTGGAATATCATATGTATAAAACGTGACATTTTTATCATATTGATCTTTTGTACTATTGCATTTCAAATTCTTTATTTCTGTGTGTGTGGATCGTATGCTTTTAACGATTTGAATGAATCTTAAACAATAGCACCAGAAACTAACAAACTTTTGCTTCTGATATGCTGAACGCGATTGGCGAAGTAAAGACTGTCACGTGTAAGCTTATATGGTCACAAGCAGATAACCAATTGGTAACCATATGACTAATATGATTCGTATATATAATTATCTGGGGTGTAGATCGAAAGAGCATCACGAAAATCTCAAGAGCTCCAATTCACCAAGTGAATCGAAGAAATAACATCTTATTACAATCACCTAGCCAACGTAATGCTTTTAAAACTATCATGTCTAGCCAGTGTACCTCTGTAGGAAAGTGGTTAAGTACTATAAATGGGCTTATCCTAATAACTCGAGTTATTGGGCCCAGTTGGTTATGACATGGTATCAGAGCCTGGTTTGTCTTTGAAGTCACGTGTTCAAGTCCTCACGACCCCCAATATTAACCGTTGTCTTCAAGCACATGGTATGCCGGGTCTGTGCAAACTTCAAGCCCATGAGTTGGCTTTCGTTTGATGGGGCGTGTAAGAAAGTGGTTAAGTGTCATACATGGGCCTCTCACAATAACTCGAGGTATTGAGACCAGTTGGTTTATAACAACCTCAAAGGCACGTAAACAAGAGCTTTGTTTTGTAGTATCGTCGCTAATTTTCGATCTAGAGATTACAGGTTCAAACTTTAGGCTAAACTTTCCCTCCTTTTACAGACCTCTCTTCAATAGCATGTAAAAAACGCAAGATTTCTAGCTCATGAGCCATGATACTCTCGAGTTTTGATATTAATTAGGTTAGTTAAGCAAATATTGAGCAAGTGGTCATTCCTTTTTACTGAGGTAAAAAATTGAATCGAATGATATCATTTGTTGTGGCCACTTGAGGGATAACACGCAAGTCACCCATAATTAGTTATTGCACATTTTGGTCACATTGCTTTAGTTGCAAATAATTAATGCATCCCCTTCTCACTCATTCTCTCTCCGTGTAACGTTCATTATATTTAATTAATGGTTTTTAATTACTTTCATAAGTTAGTTAGCCTAGCTTAGCTTAGCTAAAATGTCTAAAAATGATGATCATGATTATGATTATGATTATTAGTTATAACCCTCACTTCATTCATAGCTACCCTTTCATTCTTTTGACTTTTTTACTTGCTATAACTGTCTAAACACTACAGATTAAAGTCAAATTGATCGAGTGAGAGAAGGGGAAGGGATGGATGGAGGCAGTATTCGGAATGAGCAGGGTCGAAAAAGAAATTACAGCAACTTTCGAGAATTAAATATAGATCTTAAAACGTGGCACGACTTGGTAGTAAGAGCGCGCGCTAAAGTATTAATCTTATCAAGCAGAGGAGAGGAGGGTAAGAGTGAGAAGTAAAAGTGAAGCAAAACAAAAAGCTTCTTTCAAGCAGCGGCAGCCCCTTCCTATCCCTCCTTTATTCATCAGGGTGGAAAAAAGATATGAAGAAGTGTGACATAAGAGAGAAATTTGAGGAAAAGGTTGTGTCCTTTTTTATAATTATTGCTCATTTCCAATCACTTTATAGTGTACTTTTTTTTTTAATTGAAGCATATGAGACAATGAGAAGAGGAGGAAGGACCATATTTTTTTGTGTATTTTTTTCATAAATAATGGATATTTTTTCATAATTATTTAGCATATAATTTGTTATTGGATTTGAATCCATGCAAGGTCATGATAAAATTGTAATTAATTGATGCTTTTTCTGTGCCCATATATTATGGGTTCAAGACAACTACATAGACTAATAATCGGGTAATTGATCAACTATTTACTTAAATTTTCTTTAGTACAAATCTGTTATTAATGGTTTGGAATGACAAACGTAATAGTAATCATGTTGAAGTTGTGGATGATTTGTCAGGATTGATTTTTGTTGTTGTTATCCTTTGGATCATGAGAAGTAGGTTTTGGTCCAAGCAATCTTCTCAAGCAACTCTTTTTTTTCTCAGGAGGTAAGTAAAATTCTTTTCGAAAGAGGGACATACCTTATATATTAGAATCGTGTTAGCCATGAGAACACGTCATCCGTCATAGATAAGAAATACATATATATATTAAACTTTATGAGCTACACAGTCGACATTCTGATTCGTATATTCTTGTAAATGGTCATCTGCTTCGAGACTCGAGCTCACACTATAACGAATGCGATCATCGCCATGTCACTACCAAACCATACATCCAAATATGGCAATCCTAGTATTGGTTGAAGTCTATTTGCAAGTATTAGGCCTGCAAGTTCGGTTCGTTTTTTAGTTTACTGAAAGTCAAAAAGCGATGATAGTCTTGTCTTATCGGATTGTGCTATCGGGTTGGAATCGAATTGGCCATATCGATTTAGGACAAAACTGAAAAACTGAATTGGTCGAATAAGATTTCAGATTCCTAAGGTAGAAATTTTGTAACCTACTTTGTTTAGTTTTTGGTTTACTCCAACTGAAACCGAAAAGTTCCTTAATGATTTCGATTTCGATATTGAGGAAAATGCTTCTTTCGGGTTTCCTTTTTTCTTTCGTTTTCTGTTAAGCGAATCGGCACCCCCTCTCAAGTACTCTTCATCTTTCTTTGTTCTCCACAAATGCCACTTCTAACAAACTAATTAGCCATTCATTAACCTCAAGATACAAACTTAGAGCAAACTGAAGTCCTCTCCAGCACAGACCCTTTATTATCCATTACCATTAATTGGTGTAAGGTGTTATTAAGCTAACCATGTGCTTTGATTTACATACTAAACCACCAGTTTTCCCCCACCACTTTCAAAATATGGCTAATAATTACACAACATGACGACAAGGAAACATCTTTTTGCATCAAAAGGAAATGCATGCACAAAGTAATCAACAGAACTTTGAAAGGAAAGGAGAGGAGAGGAGGCTCTTAACATTTTTCTTCAACTCTCAATTTGCCCACCAAAAACCAGTATTTTCTCTTGAGAGGGTACTACATGATAGAATCTGCAGAGGCAATCTTGTTAAGAGACACCCATTTTTTCATGTCTGAGATCAGCATGATTCAAGGAGGTGACTCTCTGGTAATAAAGTTAAGAGAGGAGCACTTTGATGGGACAAAGTCCAACAAATGAGTGCCTAGTGTAAGAATTTCCCCACTCTCCATCAGCAGTTCATCAGCACCATACAAAGTAATTATGGCAGAGCCTTCAACTAGTGAGCTAAAGCAGAAAAACCAGAGTGGAAAGAATGGTTATGAACATGGATTAAAGAGGTGATTGAAGAGGAAATAAAGTTAAGGGACAAGAACACTTTATGGGTTTTGCAATTAAGCAGAGCACTTGATGGGTTTTTGGGGAAAATGCATATGACAAGAAAGGAACCAGCACCATACATTAACCCTTTCTTGCCCTCTCCTCCATTATTCTCTTACTTTTTCTTATGCAAATTAAGTGAAACAATCATCTCAAAAGATTTGAGTCAAATTGGTTAATCAATGCCCCATTAGTCCCATGTTCTATTGTCACTGTGAGGTATACGATTAGTACTGTTATTACAAGTGAGCTAAAGGACACTTCCAAATACGTAAAGCAGCAGCAACATCAACATATACAGAAAGTTTAAGATGCTGTGAAGACATGAATTCTAAATAGGTCATGCATACATTCGAATTGTAAGTCTCAACTAAATTATACCCAAGTTCTCGGCAGTCTGCTGCAAAGTCCTTTTTACTAGTGAATGCCAGGCTTAAGGTAACCCTTCATTATACTTTAATCATATTTTCTAGCGTCAGAAGTGTTCACTATTGATTATTGAACAATCAGACAGAAGAACGAGTACCAATTACCCTGTTGCACATTGATGATAGGGTTTCAAGAACAAAGGTAGTTGCTTTAATGAAAGTAAAGCCTAATTCCTGCTGTTCTGATCCTGTTCAAAGAGTAAGGAACAAAAAAAGTTTGGATCTTTAACGAGCAGGAGAGCCTGTTTGTGAATATGGACAAGAGAGACTCCATTTATCAGGCACACTAGGCGTTATTTCAAGAAATGCCCTTTAAAGCTTCATTCAACAAAAACACAACATGACTGTTTATGATAGTACAACAAAGAACAAACATACAGCAAGCAAGAAGTACAACAAAATTTCTCAGAGTCTCCTCTGATTCCACAAAACTTCTCAGCAGAAGAAACAAAAACAAAAACAAAAAACCTTAACCATCACCAACATCAGGCCTCGGTTGCAAATGCAGCAGCAAATGCTTGTTGACATGATACACAACCCAAACGTTCCTGCGATAGAGGGAGAAAAGACAAATCCATGTCAGTCCGAGGGAATGATAAAATGACAGGAATCGAGCTGACATTATGGATAACAAGTGCAACTGACAAACCTTGTATTGGTCAACGACGATCCGTCTTCCCAATGGAGCGTTTCCCAGAGAACAAATGCTTGGGTCGAAGAGTCGGGATGACTCTATCCGCCTCACCACGACGAGCATCCTTATTCCTCTTCTTACTAGCATTCCTAGCCATAGTAATAGCTTTCATCTTCTGAGCAGAATCTCTGAATCCTTCTCCAGGAACAACCTCACCAAGAGGTCGAGACACCGATCTCGATCTTGACATCGATCTCAGCCTCAGCTTCTTGTTACTTGAACCACCATCAATCTCCATACCATCCTCGCCATCCCTATCAACAGACCTCTCTCTCTTCCGGCCTTTCCTGGAAACCGACCTGCTTCTAGCACGTTCGATAGCTCGAGAAGGATCGATCCCCAAGCTTGATAGCTGCCTGCCCATTCTCTCAGAAGTGAACTTCCTCTCTTTGTCAAATTTCCTAGGAACAGTGGGCCGACTTTCTGCAGTGCTTTTCTTGATCCTATGCTCTTGGATGAGCAGAATCTTCTTCTTCTTGATTGCTTGCAGCGCTTCTCTCTCTTCCGGTGTCAAATCTTCGCCATCCATCTCAAAATCTTCATCACCATCTTCTGCTTCAGCTTGCCGAACCCCTTCTTCACGTTCCAACTCCTCGAGCCTCAGCAGGATATCGGGGTCGACAAAGTCATACACATTATGGCCGTCGAGGAACTCCGGCAATATGTCTTCCTTCCATTCCTCATTCGCCAATATGTGGTGCTTCCTCAAGCTAGCCGAGTAAACACCTGCACCACCATTCTCGTTTTCAATATCCTTCTCAGTTTTTCTTCCCTCCTTCTGAGCTGCCTCCAAAGCTTTGGCTTCCAAAACAGCCTGGGGGATACAAGCAGGTCTTTCCTTTTGGTCACGTGGCTTTGGCATTGCAACATGGAAGCGATTCAAGCAGTCATTCATCTTCTTGGATTTCATTTTCTTTTCGACTCGCTGATCTAGCAGCCTCTCACAAGCTGCATTCTTCACAGCCATCACGCCTTCCTCGGTCAATGTGCTCATGGTCAGAAGGAAATCATCTGCAGAAGCAGCTTCACCTCCTTGACTCTTTGATGCTTCAGATTTCATCTCCATCACAAGCTTCTTGTCCCCTTCATTCAACCCTTCCAGTGGCTGCAAATCAGTTTTGTTGCAGACAATGATCAAAGGCTTGTTCGAGAATAACTCCTTGATGCTGTGGAATAATGCTGCCTGTTGCGCAATGCTATAGCCACATGAACCTGAGAGGTCCAAGAAAAACAAGATAGCAGCTCGGAGATGAGCTAGAGCTGTAATGCTGCACATCTCGATGATGTTTCTATCCTCAAACGGCCTGTCCAAGATCCCAGGTGTATCAATCACCTGGTATCTCAAATACTTGTAGTCGGTATGACCCACAAAGAGCGACTTGGTGGTGAAAGCATATGCCTGGACATCCACATCAGCCCTAGTGATCTTGTTCATGAATGAGCTCTTGCCGACATTAGGGTACCCACAAATCAAGATGGTTCGGTTATTTGGGTCAATTGAAGGAAGCCTCGCCATATGCTGCCGGACCTGTTCGAGGTAAGCCAAGCTTGGCCCGATTCTCTTGATCACAGTGCACATGCGTCCAAGTGCAGCAACTTTCAACGACTTGCACCTGTAAAGCGAGTCACCATATTTCAAGAGCTTGACATAGTCCTGGGATATCTTGCTGATGAGGTTTTTGGCTGTGTTGACCTGGCCAAGGGCAAGCTTGTAATGATCCTTGTTGTACAGGACATGGAGAAGGTCACCATAGAAAGGATGGATATCACCCAGCCGAGGGAAATCGTCGATAATTTTCTGGAGCTTGTCATGAAAATTTGATTGGGTGTACTTGACCTTGCGCATGTAGAACTGGCGAAGGCGGGAGATAGCATATCCCTTGTGGACAACTGTTGGTGTAGTCCGTTGCGTTCGAGACAGAATGATGTCGATGAAGGCCTTCCCATTTGGGACGACAGTTATCTTCTTGAAATTGTATTCAACCATCTTATTAATTTATCTGCATCACGCCAACCAGGTTAACATAATCAGATAATCAGCATATCGCTTAAGCAAACGAAAACGAGCACTTACACCCAAGCTACAAAATGTACAAACAGAACTGCCATGACAAACATCATGGATACACAATACAGAGAGCAAATCAAAAGTACGAGCATCCAACATGAACTCTACTAGATAACAAAAATTCAAACAAACAAGAAAAATCAACCAATATTTCCACTCCAGAAATCAAAGCAAGCTGTTTACTTTGCACCTACTGATGAGACAAAGCTACAACCTCCTAAATCACAGCGAGATGGAATGGAAATGAAGGTTAAGATAAACCAAAACCAACTAACCAAGTACTTTCACGATGAACACATCAAATCGAACATCTTAATTTGGACCCAATAAACTACAGATTTCTCCCCGAATTCAATCCTAGCCAACATAAATTCATCAATTGCAGAACGGAAGTGATAGAAACTGCCGAGGCAAAGCTCACTTACATCGAAACCAAAAGATTTAAGCTTTGTATAGAAAGGAAACTCACCTTTAAACCCGGCGGCCGGCTGTGAAGAGGAACTATCGCAGAGGGGTCCTAAGTCCTAACAGCAGCTAAAGGTAGGGTTTAAGAGGAACGGAGCAAAAGGGCAGGAGATGGCTTAGTAGTTATAGGGTTTGCTATTTTGTTGACATTCTGAAATGACTAGAACACCCCTTCGCTTACATCCTGCGGTTTGTATGCGTCCTGGCTGAACCGATCGAGTTAGTTAAAAGATGCCGCCTTTCCTCAGCAGCCCAACCGTGAGAAATGGTCGCCGGCGGCCTCGTCCACCGCAGATGTTTGAAGCTATTGGCTAGCCGGACAATGGTCTCCGTGACTGCTCTGCTTCCATCTCTCTTCCCTCCAAAACCCTTTTCCCGCCTTTCAACAATAAAGTTGTTTCCCCCCAATTCTTTGTCCATATTATCGTCTACTTCTTCCTCCAAATCACTGTTTTACTCCTTAATTTCTCAAATTTTGCATCAAAGGCCGCAGCTTTCCAATGGAGCCAGCTTTGATCCTGACTAATAATCTTTTTGTATGCCTGAAAAGCGCACCAGAGTTGCTGTTCTGCTCAGTGGGGGAGTGGATAGCAGTATCACCCTTAGGCTTCTCCATGCTGCCGGCCATGAATGTACTGCATTTTACCTCAAAATCTGGTTTCGAGTACGAGTTGGCGACTTTTGGCCTGTCAAGTTCGGAACTTTGGCTTCTTTTTCGCTAGTTCTTGGGATTTTTGTGTAGGAAGACTTTGAGAACTTTTGGTCGGAGTGCCCTTGGGAAGAGGATTTGAAGTATGCAAGAGCTATTTGCAATCAGTTGCCCACTCCAATCATTTCAACTGATAGTTCCTTTCCATACTGGTTAAAAATGTAGTATGCTTTCGAGGAGTATGATCTGATTTGTCCTGATCTGTATGATGTGAATTCTGGTCATGGATTTTGGGGGATTCATAAACTGTATGTGTTCGATCGTTAGTGATCTTGTCCCAAGTTTGGATTTTGATTTTCCAAGTTGATGTACCATTATAAGTTGTGCACTTGACTGATGAATACTGGAAGAATGTAGTATGCATCTATGTCCGTCTTACCTTTTGAATGGTTTGAATTGATGGAGCTATGAGGAGTTTCTTGGGTGTCCAAACTGACTGAGAGTCGGCATGATTGTTTTAGGTGTGCTATGCAATACACGAATTGAATTTGGTGTGTTTCAGTTAAGCTTTGTGGCTATTTGTTTTTCATTCAGTGGTTGATTCAATGATTGAACTTTAGTCTCTTGGACTCATGTTGGTGTTTCTTAATAAAATTCATGTGCTTTCATGGATGGGGTGAATGGTGTGGGATTTGATTATATTGCTTCTGGGCATTATGCCAGTGTCATTCACCCATCTTCAGATTAAATGAATAAGCCTTCTGTTCTGAGCTCTCAAAAGACATGGTAACTTAGCAGATTCTCATTTCCAAAATGCTTCCATATTTTCTCTCTCATGAGTTCTAGCTCCATTGCTGGTCCTTTCCAACTTGGATTTTGTTTGTGGAAGATTAGCTTATAGTCACAACTCTCACTCAACATGTTCAGGTGAAGGATGAAACTTATTTCATTTCGCATCTATCACAAGCTCAGCTAAAGCGCCGTTTATTCCCATGAGGCTGCATTCGAAAGGTTAGTGACTAGTGAGGCACACCTTTCTGATGTTCCTTTACACCTATGGGATAATTTGTTTAATATTCATTTTTTGTAGGAAGAGTTTCACAAACTTGCTACAACTTTTGATCTGCCTAACTAGGAAAGAAAGGATTGCCAAGGAATATACTTCTTAGGAAAAGTAAGTATTGTATGAATCTTACTTGTGTTTCATCACTTCTGGATCTCCAAGAGCTGTGTGCATATGATATGATTTGTGTATGGAGACGAGCTCTATAACCTGCTTTTATTGAAACGCTAGACTGCTCTTCTGTACTGCTAGATTCATATAATACTCATTCCACATGTTGCAGATAAAATCTAGCGACATAGTTGCAAGACAGATCAGGAGAGGGAAGGTATCATACTAGAAGCTGAGACGGGTGATTTCCTTGGTATGCATAAGGGATTCTCCTTCCTGGTGGTCCCTGGTATCTTCTCATCCCTCCTATCTTTAGAAGTAGTTTATTTGTTTAGTTATGTCGGAATGCTTCCTCCATATGATGATTCATATTGTCCAGGTATGTTTTTTATAATGATGTGAGTAACAATTTAGTGTTTGTATCGAGAAACTACTTCTCCATCGAGAAACTACTTCTCCTTAGGTAACATGGCAGCTTCAGTGCAAGGGCCTGCATGAACTAGAGGGGTTTACAATTGCAGTTGTCCAGTTGCCGGAAGATGATCAAGGTCTAGCTGCAGGGCAGTTTGCAGCCTTCTACAATGGAAAAACATGTATAGGCTCTGGCATGATATTGGAATCATGGGATGATCAAGGTTTCTCTGTATGTGAAAGGGCCATGGAAATAGCTAAAAGTAGAAGACAAATCAAAGCTGGGGGAAACCAGTCAAGATAAAAGTGAAGCCCGAGCGTCCTTTGAAAGAGGACAGTGTTTCAAAGAGACGGACAGAAATAGAACTTGCAGTTGGCATCTAAATAAATATCCAGCGTCAGAGTCACAAATATTTACAAGTGTATCCATTGCTGAACATGGCCAATGATTCAGGGGAGAGCTTTCAAGCATTATAGGTACGCTGCCCTTTCCCAAGGACTGTTATATCCTTCCATTTTCTCAGGCAGAGGCCTCTGCTTCTGTAAAGTAAGACTGGAGCGGATCCTGGGTTGTCGGAGTGTACAATGTCGAACATCACATGTTTCCAACTGCTGATTGCCTTTAAGATCTCTTAATCAGTCATGTACATGTGGGAGAGAATAAATATTCAGCGGTTGTTCTTGCATATGTTGTCGGTTTTCTTGCGTTGCAAGCTTTATCCTGCCTTCATTAACTTCTACCACCATCTCGTGTTTTTGCTCTTCGTTCTTGTTTGGTTGCCTCTCATCTTACCATCGAAAGCACCTTCCAAATATGTTGCAAGATGCTGTACAATTCCTAAAGAACCTGCCTCATATTCATGCATGCCCAATAATCACAGATCAGAATCGGCCAAATCTTCAAATACAAACACTAGGCACGCAAAATGTGAAGGGGAGAAAGAGAGAGATTAGTAAGGAGGACATATTGTACAAGGTTGGATAGCCAGGGGAACCCCCTTGCACTTCTCCGGTATCTCCCTTCCGATCACCTTGTGTCTCGAGCTCGTCGCTTCCCCTCCCTGGAAAGCAATCTCTCTAAACAAACTCCAACCCTCTTCCTCACTCAAACCCTTCAGCTCGGTCGCATCCTGACATCCAACTTCGCGACCTTCAGTAACCGCGTGGTCAGCAACACGCGGCTACTTTTGGCACCACACATCAAAAGGCTCTTCAACTTGCTCCATTTCTCCCTGTTCTCGTTCCACACATCGTCCAACACGATCAAATACTTCTTACCCTCGATACCTTCACGCAGAAGTTTCTTCAGAATTTCCATTTCGAGATCAGCGTCTGGCTTTTTACTAGTGCAACACTCTTATGATCTTCCTCACTATCAGCTTGGCGTCAAAGTTCTCTGAAATGCACACCCAAGCTTTGACCTCGAAGTGGGGTTCGACTCGCTGGTCATTGTAAGCTAGCTGAGCCAATGTAGTCTTCCCCAAACCTCCGATCCCAACAATGGGAACTGCAGAGACTCTGTTCTCATCATCACACGACAGCAAAAGCTCCAAGATTCGCTCTTTATCCGCATCTCGTCCGACGACAACCTCCGGGACATCGGAATGGGTCTGTTCTCTTCCTTTGCGCTTTCCGTCGTCGCCGGATGAACGTTCTTCCAAATGAAACAGATTCCTTCTCTCACAGATCCCATCCAGCCTTTCCCTAAGGTCTAGGATCCCGTGGCCGATTCTGGAGCGGTAAGCGAGCTGGTTGGAGCTGGAGAAGAAGTCCAGTACCTCTTGGGCGATTCGGTCGCCGGCGTTGATGATCCCCTCCCGCCGGAGAACATCGGTGGAGAAATCGTCGAGCAAGTCCTCTGCGTCATAAGCGGTTTCCCGGAGCTCGCTTAGCCAGAGGCGGAGCTGGTGACTTTGGGGGGAGTAGGATTTCTCCTCGGCATCTAGCAGAACGGCTTGGATGGCGGAGACTGTGTCGGTGAGCTTCTGGATGTCGTCTCCGATTTTCCATTGCAGTGCGATCTCTTGCAGCGCTTTGGAGCCCAAATACTTGAGGATCCCTTGGGCCACATTGAACAGAACCGCTTCCGCCATTGTATTGATTGGTTGAATTCAACTCTTTTCTGGGGTTTTCAGGGGAGGAAGCAGAGCAAGTAGACTGTTAACCATTGACTTTGCTTTATAACCTGAAATTGAATGGACCAATGCATAATCGGATCCACCATTGTCGGTATGGGTCAGAATTAGCGTGGACTTCTGAGATACAGGAAGAAACTGGGAAAAGGCGGGATTTTTAGTTTTTACTACTGTTGCTCTACTCAAAAGGGTGGAAAAGAGTAGAGAGTAGTGTCTAATGTGAAACATATTGACCAGTTCGGTGACCAAATTGGTATTTAACCTTCAGTCCTCTGCCTTCCCAATCGTAGCGTCTCCAGGTGGATGAAGATAAACCTCCCTTGCGTTAAACCGCTCCAAAACCTCCCGACCACCGGTAGTAGTAATGTCCAGTGTCACTGCTACGGCTGCCTTGTTCGCTGTAAAACCCTTCGCCGTTTCTGCGTCGTTTCCTTCCCTTTGCAAGCTTTCGATTCCCTTCGTTTCCCATGCCAAAGCTTCGTACTTTCCCCTGCAACTCCTTCACTCTTCATCTCCGCTTCCCGGGTTAATTTCGTGCAAATCCTCCCTAGATGATGACCAAGAAGAAATATCTGAAGCAGACACTGAGGTGGACCTGGAGTTTGATGAGTCTGATGGAGAGGATTACGAGTTTGACGTCGATGAGTTAGAACAGGAAGCTAAAGTTGCAGTTAGGGAGTACTCGTCGTCCTTATCCCGTGAATTGATAATCGGTGAGTTCTTTCGTGGGTTTCTGATTCAGGTTTTGGGAAATATTATGAAGTTTGCTCATTGTTCTGTCGCTGATTTTTGTTTGCAGACGATGAGGCTGATACCAGAAAGGAATCTAGGAAGCAGAGGAGGAAGAAGCTCACAGTTAAAGAGGTCCAGTTCTTCATTTTGGCCTTTTCTCACTTCCAGCTTGCTGGGTTTTGATACTTCAATTGTGTTCTATTGAAAAGTTTGGATCTTTGGGTGTCGAAGAGGTTGTAGAAAGGCACAGATTGTTGAATTGTGTTGTTTGGATGAGTGATTTAGAGCCTGAATTGTTGGTAGCATTGTTGAATTCATCAATCCATAAACCTGCAGATTCCAAATCATCTTCTCTCGAAGGTAGCCATTGTTGGAAGGCCGAATGTTGGGAAATCAGCATTGTTTAACCGCCTTGTTGGGGTAAGTAGAAAAAAGGTTCAAAAGTTGCTGCTAGCAAGTCAATGCTAGTTTTCATTTCCTGAATCAAAAGATTTTGCTTCTTGATTGATTGAAGGAGAACAAGGCTATTGTGGTGGATGAACCTGGAGTTACTCGTGATCGTCTCTATGGAAGATCCTTTTGGGGTGATCATGAGTTCATGGTGGTGGATACCGGAGGGGTAATCACTGTGTCGAAATCAAAAAACGAGGTTATGGAGGAACTTGCTATCACGACGACCATTGGCATGGAAGGGATTCCGCTTGCCTCTAGGGAAGCTGCGGTTGCCAGGATGCCCTCAATGATCGAGAGACAAGCTACTGCTGCTGTGGAGGAATCCTCTGCCATTATATTCCTTGTTGATGGACAGGTAAATAAACAACTCCCCCTTCTCTTGTGAGAACGAAATTGTCACCTTTTTTGGGAGTGTGATATCTAAGCCTACTGAACAGGCAGGCCTAACAGCAGCTGATGTGGAGATAGCAGATTGGCTAAGAAAGCATTACTCCCACAAGTTTGTGATTCTTGCCGTCAATAAGTGTGAATCTCCGAAGAAAGGGATCATGCAAGTTTCAGACTTTTGGACATTGGGGTAAAAGTTCGATTTGCATCATCCTTCCTATGTCATTAATGAAACTTGGTAATGCATGTAGAAGACGCGAGCTTTCTTTGAGACGGATAAATTAATGCTGCTTGATATCCGTTCTTTTGCCGATCAACCTAGGTTCTCGCCCCTCCCTATATCAGCTTTATCTGGAACTGGAACTGGGGAGCTCCTTGACCTTGTGTGTTCTGGACTAGCTAAAGTAGAGGTTACCATTCTAGAATTTCCATAAATCTTTCTCCTAGTGCTAAGTACTAATGGACTACCATTCAAGCATTGCACCAAAACTCATTCCTATCTTTGTTTACTATAAATATGATAAAACCATTTTGCAGGTTTCAGAAGATCTCCATGAAGAACAAGATGAAGATTACGTTCCAGCAATTTCAATCGTTGGCCGGCCAAATGTTGGGAAAAGCAGCATTCTAAATGCATTGGTTGGTGAGGATAGAACTATAGTTAGCCCCATCAGTGGAACTACACGTGATGCCATTGATACGGAATTTACAGGACCTGATGGCCAGGTTTGTTTTATCATAATATGCTTTGTTAGGGAAGCAGAAGATAGGAACAATAATTAACTTTCATTCTATCTTGTGCTCTTCTTTGTGTTTCAGTTCAGGACATGGGTGATTTGACCTCCCTAAGTTCACTGTTTTTGCAGAAGTTCCGACTCATCGATACAGCTGGAATCAGGAAAAGGGCCGCCGTGGCTTCTTCAGGTAGCACCACAGAGGCATTATCAGTGAACCGAGCATTTCGAGCCATTCGGCGTTCTGATGTTGTTGCTCTTGTCATTGAGGCCATGGCATGCATCACAGAGCAGGTAACTTGCTCTTTGCATCACACCATTTGTTACACCTCTCCTTTTCATGTTCATATCCCAACTCTGGCTCCATTCTGTGACAAATTTAGGATTTTAAAATAGCTGAAAGAATTGAGAAGGAAGGTAAAGGCTGCCTGATAGTTGTGAATAAATGGGACACCATACCAAACAAAAACCAGCAGACTGCAGTGTACTACGAACAAGACGTGCGAGAGAAACTCCGTATACTCCAATGGGCTCCCATAGTTTACGCCACTGCAATTTCTGGCCACAGCGTTGACAGGTAACACCCACTGCCATAATCAGGCATTGTGAATTTCCTGGTACTGATTTGACTGTTCCAAATCTCAGGGTGATTGTTGCGGCTAGTGAAGTCGAAAAGGAGAGGTCGAGGAGGCTAAGCACAGCCACATTGAATCAAGTGGTACAGGAAGCACTGGCCTTTAAGTCGCCTCCAAGGACTCGAGGTGGTAAGAGAGGCCGTATCTATTACTGCACTCAGGTACTCTTCTTAAAATTCATACCACATAGATGTTTATGTCAAAATGGTGTAGTACAGCATTCATCCTGATCTCTTTACGAGTATCGAGTTTTCAGGCTGCAATCAGGCCACCCACATTTGTGTTCTTCGTAAACGATGCAAACCTCTTCCCTGAGACTTATCGAAGGTACATGGAGAAGCAACTCCGCAAGGATGCAGGATTTCCAGGCACTCCAATACGGTTACTGTGGCGCAACAGAAGGAAAATGGGGAAAATGGACGGTGGTGGTGGGGATCTCAATTATTGCCCTATCTCTCTCGAACCCTTACTCATATTCCTGTTATACACATTTACTAAGTTGGGCTTTTGCCATGCAGGCAAAGGACCAGCGGGAAGAGCACAACTGAGCCTGAAATCTCGTGGCAGAAAGTTGGCACTAACCTCATGAAAAAAGCGGTACAGACCCTTAAGATTATTCAAACCAAACACCCATTTAGCCAAAGCTAGCTTCTTTTTGGTACACTGTTGACAGTAGAGCATGGAGATTTCCACAGTGAATTTGCAGTTTGTCTATGTTAATTTGTGCGAGTCTGCAGAATAAATTTTGGCTAGGAATATGAAATGCCAACTGTAATTCAACGTTGTTGTTTCGTCATTTTCCTCTTGTTGGCCACCAACCATCTTCCTCGATAGCTTCTTTGTTTTGATTCTCAACTACAACCACAATAATTCTCTATTGAGGAGATGTGAGCTCCTTGCTTAATCCAGCCTTTGGCATTGCTCCCATGGCGTTGTTTTTGTGGTCTTAGATAAATTAGAGACTCTAGTTCGTACCAAATGTAGCAATCTGCCATGAGCTTGAAAGCAGGGGGGACTTGTTCACCATCTTCTTGTCTCTTGCCGTGTCAATTTCAAGAAATTCCGGTTTGTCAGTCTTCATGTTTAAATGTTGATCCTCGATTCAGTTAGCACACTGAGTGCTAAATATGAGACGTGAGATTAGTAGACAAAGGTGACATCAATTTCAGTGTGTTGATGATAATTCTTGCGAGGCTTCTTTACTGCAATTTTTTTATTTATTTAAACCTCTAATTGCTTTCAATTGGTATGCCTTACAAGGAGAATGTGAGGTAAGGGAATTATTATTGAGTGGTTTGATATTTTGATTCTATGCTTTTTGGTTACTCATGTTTCTCATAATTATTGCACGGGAGTGAAGTTTCATAGTAAGTATAAGCTAATGCTAGATTATCATCTTTGCCTCTAGGGGACTTTAACTGTTATAGATTAAAAATTATATCGGGATGCTTTGAAATAGCTGAAGTGACTGCTTGTGATTCTTCTAATGGTGCCTCTTCCAAGTTATAGCCCACCCTTTTTTTCTTTTGTTCCTGAATTTAAAGTTCAGCTGCCTCTTAATGGTCTGTCATGCCACTCCATGTATGTAATGTGTTTTCAATATCACCTCATCTATTGGTAATGAGGATTTGGTTACTATGTTAGCTAAAGTGAAGCTTCAGGGCACTTCAAGGTTGCTGCAGAACCAGAAGGTGACCTTACATCTCCTAAAAAAACAGCAGATTATTCAACCGGGGGAAAAAAAAACAGCAGATTGATAGTGGAAGGCAGCAGTAGAAGTTGAAACTCCATCTGCTCAAAGGCCCGGATATGAAAGAACAAAAGAAAAACGAGTTGGCTGCAGCACACTATTATTGGGATTAATAGAAGAAATTTGCTTCCAGCAAAGAGTGCCATGATACATGTAAATAGTTCATCAGCTGATTCGTTAAGTACCTGTAGAGCTTATAAGATATGTCATTTCTTTATTCAGGGAACTATTTATAAACCACCACAGCTGCAATTAGCACAATTCTTCAATTGAGTATTTTTTTTTTTTTTGACAAATAATTCTTCAAATGAAATAGCCCCAATCCCCCACCACAATAGCTTAGTGAAACTACTAATGAAATTGACTATATGTCTATTGTTGAGAATGTAACGAAGACTATATTTGACAGTAAGCAGACTTTAAATTGCTCTTGAAATAACACAATTTTCTTACCTTGGACGTTCATATGATATTTGGCATTATCATTCTTTCATGTTATTCTCTTGTATAGTTCTGTAACACAAAGCGTAGTGAGCGGGCTTCTCTATTAGTATAGAAAAAAAGAAGAGGAAGGCAAATCAATAGTTGAAGCTCTAGAATTTTGCAGTAGCATACAATTTTGGTCAAAGTTGGTGGGGCTGCTGCTTTACTGCATATTCAAACTACCCAAAAAAAGAAGTTCAACATACAAACATCTGTTAATTTGATAATTCCCACTTCAAAACTTTAGTATGTTGCCCCCACCCTCTTTCACATCTTTAAAGCAAGTAACTTTACCTTTTCTTTTAGCATTAATGTTTGTTGCCCTTTCCTTTCCCTACATCACTAAGCAATCAAAAAATTCACACAACCAGCCATTTATATAATACCCAATTCTTCACCTTTCTCCATTCTCTTATCTTCTCCTCCAATACATCTTCCCTTTACAAGGTTTTCTCAACTCCCTCTCTCCCCAGAAATGATGCAAGCTCTTCCATCACCACCACCACCACTGTCTCTACAACATCAACTGCAGCCTCTGCCTGAAAAGGAAACAACCACTGCCATCTCTCTCAACCAAATTATCGTATCAAAGCAAGCAGGAAGACACCAACAAAGCTCACCACGAGAGGTACTGCCATATTCTGAGACCAAGTTAGTACCATTTGCCCAGACAAGGTTATTAGCACCAAAGCAGCCAATACTCCAACCTCGAAGAACCAACCCGCTCATATGGTTTGGAGCCATCTTATGCCTCATTTTCAGCCTTCTTCTCATCTTCTTTGGAATTGCAACCTTGATCCTCTACCTTGTTGTCAAACCAAAACACCCGGTTTTCGATGTTCCTAATGCGAGCCTCAATGGCATATACTTCGACTCCCCCGAATTCTTCAATGGAGATTTAACTTTTCTTGCAAACTTCTCCAATCCTAATCATAAACTGGACGTGAGATTCGAGCATGTTGATATTGAGGTCTACTTCTCCAACAGACTCATAGGGACTCAAGCTCTCCAGCCTTTCACTCAGAGGCCAAGGGAGATAAGGCTGCAAGCAGTTCGCGTCATATCGAGTCTTGTCTATTTGCCTCAGAATTCCGCAGTGGAGCTTCAAAAGCAAGTACTGAGTAACAAGGTGAACTACAACATACGAGCTACTTTCAAGCTGAAGGCGATTCTGGGTCTCTTCCATTATAACTACTGGCTTCACGGTAGGTGTGAGACGGCTATCAGTGGTCCTCCAACGGGTGTTCTGGTTGCTCGGAGCTGCAACACAAATAGATGAAGAAGAATTAGGGTGTCGGTTTACCTGCTTTATAATTAGTTTATCATGGAAGTACTAGACCACAAGTCCTGTAACTTCCATCCTAGCAACAGAATGCAAGTATTTTGTTGAAGCAATCTGAGCTCTATTTTACAGCCTTTGCAGCCTACTACTACTCCAGCTAGCTCTCTGTTACTCCTGAGTCCTGCCAAAGTTGCAGAAACACTTCAGTGAGATTAACTTTCTGTAGTCAATAAACCATACCTAAAGATATATTGTGTAGATCAGAAAAGTATGTAAACAGTGATACTTACAAGTTAAGGAACCAGCATCTTTTCCCCTTCTTCTGTCCAGAAAACCAGAACAAGACAAAACAAAAAGTTGTTTGCTTTAACAACCAATATTAAAGTATGGGGCTACTCAATGGTAGTTCCATGAGCATTAGAGACTATTCTCGAAACCAAGCTAATTCGGGGGATGTTTTCAATGATGGAGCCACCAACGAGAAACTATAGGATAATTATTCTCAATGTCAAAACAACGTACCGAGTTATATGTATATATTTCTATTTCAAACATTCATCTATCTCGTCAAAAGTACCTTTGATATATAGCTTTACCAACAGTTAAATCAAGTTACAACATGAGCACATGCAGCAAACGATAACTGAAGCCATTACAGTACTACATCCTTTCAAGTCCTGACACTGACTTCTACACTGAAGGATGAATGGTACCTAAGCTTGTGAAAGTGGCGAGGTTCTCATCCATAACGGTCGACCTAATATAGCACTATACTGTGAACAGAAAGGTAAGCTGAATTTAACCTGCAGCGAAAAAGAATTCAAGAGACAACAGTACGAGGTGAAAATAGTACCCTCACAAGCCTTCCAACTCCAGGAAATTATGTTGTGGAGCTAAAACTTACTTATCAACATCAGGAGCTGCCAAGGGATCATACACTTCTTCCCTCTGTTCCACCATCAGGACAGCACCTGTCATGTTCAAGTGGTTCAGGTCTGATTCGAACCCGAGAGATCAAGAACATAAACAAAAGCAAAGAAAAAATTTAGCTTACTGTGGTATTTGTGAGGTCAGTATCAGATGCTGCTGCAACTGCCTAGACAGGTGCTGCATACTTAAGAGCTTGATACACAGCTGCACAAAATCAGTCACACTTAGTGCAAATCAGTAAACTAGTCGATTCAGCTTATTCACATGGGCTTGAAAACAATGGATATAAATGAGATGGAAAACATTGAACATGTAGAAGAAACACAATCTGCCCAAATGTTCCAATCGTGTAGAAGAGCTCGTCGTGAACTTATTATGAAAGCAAAGTAATTATGTAAAAAGAAATTTGCCTTTGCTGGCAGCATACTGCTGTTGATAACCACTGGTCTTCTTAGGTGTCGCTGCACCGATACGCATTGGCCTAGTCGAGTAATAAATTTCATTCAGCATCTGGAGCACATCACCAAGATTATTCTAAAGCATATAACTTCGCCCTGCAGAACACAATAAATGGCTTTCCAAAAGCGAAAACTTCTTCAACAAACAACTGAAAAAGGATTACACGAGGAGACGATAAATCAAAATTGACAGCACAATTTTCGAGTCTCTATTTCAAAACTGTACAGTGGTACAATGTCCGAGCTCTCCTATGTTCGTAAGAAAAAGAGAGCTGTTTTAAATTAAGCGTGACCATCAAACCCCAACTATCCAGAACCAGAAGTTCCATTAGTAATCTTGATTGCAACGGAGATCAAAGTGACTGTCAAGTTACAGGTTTAGATTCAGAAATCACGATGTCCAAACTGCAAACAGAGAACTAATCCCTGGATAAAGACAGACATAAATAGACAGATATATGAGCTCAGTTTGGCACTAACTGGAGATTCACAAGATCGATTGCATACACAAGTCTTAAATATGTTATCTTCTAGGGTAGCGTTGATATTTTGAGATAAACAGCATTACATCAGCAAGAATAAATGACGTAAAAGGAAAAAGTTGAGACTTCCTTCATCCCAAAATCGCAAGTAAGAAGCAACTCATTTAAGGAGTAAAAGCAGAGTACACTGTACTATACAGGTAGGAACACAAGTAACACCTTCTGCAATATAAGGATTCAAAGTACAATCAGCATTATAACTTTATCAATTCAAAAAAAACTTGACTGGAACAAGGAGTATGAAATGTCTGAACCTATTATCCATCTGGTAATCACCCTCATGCTGCTTCAACTTCAGCCGGGGTTTTGGCAACAATAGATAATGCGTGCAATCCACTCTGCAGCTCCTCTTGCAGCAATCCATAGATCAACCTATGCCTCTTCACCAAGCTTTTCCCTTCAAACTCCTTTGAAACAACTTTCAAGTTGAAATGAGTCTCGCCATCACTCCCCCTAACACCAGCATGCCCCGCATGCTGATAAGAAACATCTTCAACATCCAGTTCAACAGGGCCCAACTCCTTCTCCAATTTTTCCTTAATTCTAGTCCCTCTACTCCCTAAACCAGGAAATTCAGACGCATTCACGTCTCTGTTTGATACCGAATCCTCACCCTCGCTGCTGCTGCCAACCACAGTTGAATTGCTGGAACTAGCATCGCCATTTGACTCCAACTTCGAGCTTTGTAATTCATTATGAACGCTACTCCCCTCTGAACTTTGGGCAGACTCTAGCTCACCCTTTTCTGCTTCAACATACAACTCAAGAGCTTTCTTCTGCATCAACTTGAGCATATTCAAGAACCCATTATTCCTGGAAGGAGTCAAACTCTGTTGAAGACCAAGAAGCACAGCGAAATCAGGGGAGACCCTCAAAACCTCTTCGACTGGCCGCCCTGAGAGACCTAGAACGAGCAAAGCAGCGAGGCCCTTGGTGAGAACAGAATCCGAATCCGCCTCGAACGAGACATTCCGATCATTGTCCAAGTAAGCCCTGACCCAGACTTGAGAAACGCATCCTTCCACTTTGTTCTGTTTTGTCTTGAACTGGGCATCCAGCGGCTTCAAGTTCTTGCCGTAGAAAAGCAGCTGCTCGTATTTGGCTTTGGGTTCCTGCACGGACTGGAAAAGCTTCACGATTTCTTGGAGCTTGGGAGGGAGGTCTTCGACTGGTTGCAGAGATGTGGAGCTCGATGCTGAGATTGATGTTGGTGATCGCGATTGGGTCCTCGTCTCGATTCGCTGGAATGAAATGGATTTGGAGGTGAGGAAGGGAGATGAAAGGGTGGGTTTGAATGAGGAGGAGGAGGAGAAGAGTGAATTGGTTGATGAAAGAGCGACTGGGATTCTGGTGGTGAGAAGGCGGAATGAAGACGAGACAGACGAGGACATCGTCGCCGTGGTTTGGGGATGCCGCCGATTAGAGAATTTTTCCGGTAGGGCTTTGCTGTTTAGGCTGAGCCTGAATCAACCAACCACCGTTTTGTGAGCTGCTGGTTGGTTAAATTCACTTTTGGACACTCAACTTTGCACCCTTCCAACATTCGGCAGCTCGTTTGAGAAAGGTAAGCCCATTAATGGTAAGTATGAATTGGGCCCAGCCCATTAAACATCGTGATCAGAGCAAAATGCGAGGGAAATGTTTCCCGCCATTTCCATGACTTCCTCCTCCTTCCTCCGCCAAACCCTCACACTAATACCCTTTTCCTTCTGGTTTCCTTTTCTCTCCCATTTCTGCAAAACATAGTCCCTAAAATTAGATCTCCGCAAAACAAACACTGACCCAAACACCCCAGTGCTTCAATGGCGGAAACTCGAACACCCAAAAAGCCATCAGCAAAAGCCTTCAAGTCTCCGAAACAATCGTCTCCTCTCCCTCCGACGTCAAGCTTCCTCACCCCGCAGACTCCGCAGACCGCCGACCCACCCCGCCGATCCTCCCGTCGTCTATCCCTGAAGTTCGATTCCACCCCCGAGAAGCCAGTTCAGCAATCGGCGAGGAAGGAGAGGAGCTGGAGGAGAAATGAATTGATAAAACCCCCAAAAACGAGTTCTAAAACTGTGGACGCGGCGGAGTTGACTTTCTCCCCGGCGTCGCCGGAGCAATCGGAGGCGAGGAAGAGGAAAAGAGCCGATGGGAAGCAGCAAAGGACGGCGGCGAAGCGGGTTTATTACAGGAAAGTGGTGTATGACGAGGGAGAATTCGGGGTTGGGGATGACGTGTATGTGAAGCGGAGGGAGGACGCGAGCTCCGACGAGGAGATCCCTGAATCGGAGGAATGCAGAATGTGCTTCAAGACGGGGAAGTCTGTCATGATTGAATGTGATGATTGCTTGGGTGGATTTCATTTGAAATGCTTGAAGCCTCCGTTGAAAGATGTTCCTGATGGGGATTGGATTTGTGGGTTCTGCGAGGCGAAGCGATCTGGGAAGGTGGTTGAGGGGCCTAGGCCTCCTACTGGGAAGAGGAGAGTTAGAACTTTGAGGGAGAAGCTTCTTTCTAGTGACCTATGGGCGGCACGCATTGAAAGGTTTGAGTTTTGTTGGTTTGTTTGGTTAGTGAGTTCTAAGTTATTTTCAGCTGTGGTGGAATAATTGTGAATCGAAGTTTTGCAGTTTGTGGAAGGAAACGGATGGAAGCTATTGGTTTAAGGGTCGATGGTATATAATACCAGAAGAAACTGCAACGGGAAGGCAAGCTCATAACTTGAAGAGAGAGCTTTACAGGACAAACGATTTTGCTGATATTGAGGTGAAGTTTAATTTAAGTCATGGCCAAAGATTATGTTCAGCTTTGGATTCCTCTAAAACGTGGTTAAGTTTTGAACAAAAATATTCACTTGATAGTTAGTTGCTGAGTTGTGAAGGGGAAGTCTGAAAAACTATGCCTTTGTTGGATCTTTGGATGCTGCAGATGGAGTCAGTCATAAGGCATTGTTCGGTCATGACTCCCAAAGAGTACGCAAAGGAAAACGAAGGAGATGATGTTTTCATGTGTGAATATGAGTATGACGTACGTTGGAATTCATTCAAGCGCATAGCTGAAATCGACAATGAGGGAGAGGTAAAGAAAGAGGATACATGAACTGACTTTATTTCGCTTTGTGATCACTTTCAGATTTGCACGAAGTTGTCTTTGGTTGACTATCTGATTATTTGATAGGAAGGTGAAGATGCTGGGAGCGATGAAGATTGGAATTCGTCCAAAGACGTAGTTTCTGATTCTGAAGATGACATGGAGTATGAAGCTGAAGCTGATAAATATTTGCCACACAGAACCTCTTCAACACATGCCCTGGCTGCAGTATGTAAAATTTTGTTATTGCAGCCATTTTGGTTTCGGCTCATTGTCTGGCCTTTCTAATCGGTTTATCTGGCTGTTACAGAACTCAAATAAAGGGCACTTTTATGGCCTTCAGAAGATAGGAACCAAGAGGATACCAGAACATGTAAGGTGTCACAAACAAACTGATCTAGAAAGAGCAAAAGCAACACTGTTGTTGGCGACATTGCCCAAATCTCTTCCTTGCAGGAATAAGTATGAGAACTCAATAGTATTCATTTCTTCCTGGCTTCTCTCTGAGAAAAGTGTTGTAAATTATAGATCAATTTGATGCAGAGAAATGGATGAGATTACTACATTTATAAAAGGTGCCATCTGTGACGATCAGTGTCTAGGTCGTTGCCTCTACATCCATGGTGTTCCCGGAACTGGGAAGGTAAACCCTCCTCTCGAATTCAAAATCCCAAACTGTGCAAGTTTGTGTACTTTGCAAACATCTTAAAATCGGACTCTTTGTTGATATGAAAAATTGCAGACAATGAGTGTGCTATCCGTAATGAGGAACTTGAGGTCTGAAGTTGACGCAGGAACAGTAAAGCCATACTCCTTTGTCGAGGTTAATGGGCTAAAGTTGGCATCTCCAGAGAATATTTATAGGGTAAAAGAAGGCTCTTTGCAAAACTGCTCTATCAATCAATTTGTTGAATAATTTCATTAATTGTCATTTGGCTGTTTCTTGTTTTAGGTTATTTATGAGGCTCTGAGTGGTCACAGGGTTAGCTGGAAAAAGGCTCTCCATTTGTTGAATGAGAGATTCTCAAATGGGAAGAGCATTGGCAAAGGAGATGACAAGCCATGTATTATACTCATTGATGAGCTTGATCTACTCGTGACTAGAAACCAATCGGTACTTGATACGGGTCTTTTCAGTCATTAGTTTGTTGAAGATTGTTGCATATGGATTACCATTGGCTAGATTTCAGCTCTGAATCGCTTTATGTCAACAGGTTATATACAATATTCTTGATTGGCCAAATAAGCCGCATTCTAAGTTAATCGTGATAGGTAGGTACTACTTAACGCAATTCTACAAGTTGTCTAAACATTCAGTTTTGGATGATATTGATTGATTGCTCTGTTGTACACTATCAGGTATAGCAAATACAATGGATCTTCCAGAAAAGCTGCTCCCTCGCATTTCTAGCCGTTTGGGTATCCAGAGGCTTTGCTTTGGCCCCTATAACTATCAGCAGCTACAAGAGATAATTTCAAGTCGTCTTAAAGGGATCGACGTGTTTGACAAGCAAGCTGTAGAGTTTGCCTCAAGGAAGGTCAGTTCATGTGATCTCTTCCTCTGCAATTTGAATCACACCACCACTGCCATTAATGAACTTATACCGCTCCAAACTTAAATGCTTTTTTCTGATGTCCAACACGTGAATACACCCTAGGTTGCAGCCATATCTGGAGATGCACGTCGTGCGCTAGAGATATGCAGGCGTGCAGCTGAAATTGCCGATTATCGTATCAAAATGTTGAGGGAAACTCCCACAGGTACATATATATATAGCCGTGAGTGAAGAGAAACATTCACTTCGAATTTCCCGTAAACAGCCAGTTCATCATTGAATGAATGTGCATTCCACTAATTTTCCAGGGAAAGCGATGGTTGCAATGTCAGACGTAGAAGCAGCCATCCAGGAAATGTTCCAAGCCCCACATATCCAAGTAAGCAAGAACTGGTTTTTCTTACTGCCCAAGAAATGAACTTTACCTCACTTCATCCATCTTCTTCTCGAGACTAACTGATTGTTCCCTTTTCCCGTACCCGTTGCTTTTACCTCCAGATGATGAGAAGTTGCTCAACACTCGGTAAAATATTCTTGACAGCCATGGTATATGAGCTTTACAAAACAGGAATGGGAGAGACAACATTTGAGCAGGTCCCAATTCTCTATAGCTTTAATTTCTCTAAGAGGAACAATAACAAACCTTTCCGTCCCATTAAAATTTTGTTGTGTTCTTGCAGTTGGCGACGACTGTTTCATGTCTCTGTGCGGGCAATGGAGTAGCCTTTCCCGGCTGGGACACTCTCATGAGAGTTGGGTAAGTTGTTACATTATTTCAACTCAAATTTATGTCCTACATTAGTTTGAACACTCCTGAATGAGAAATCTTGCATGTTTTTTCTTTTGGGATTGTGGGCAGCTGTATGTTGGGTGAAAGCAGAATAATTGTATGTGAACCAGGAGCTAGGCATAGGCTGCAGAAATTGCAGCTCAATTTTCCAAGGTTCGCTTGCTGTCCTTGACCATTAAGCAACCAACTTTACTCTTCCCCAACAGTTATGAGTAGGGTTCTTAGCAGGCATTTCTGTGTTTCTATACTCTGCAGTGATGACGTGACTTTCGCACTGAAAGACAGCAAGGACCTGCCATGGCTAGCCAAGTTTTTATGCCATGGCTAGCTAACTTCATCGTCTACCTATATCCAGCAATTTTGGGAGGCTGCAACTAGAAATGTACTTTGGGAGGCTGGTTCATCAGCTTTATTTATTTGTTCAGAACCATACAAACTGTGGTTCAGAGGCGCTATTAGCTACCAACATGGGTGGCTGGAACTAGAATTGGTACTTTGTTGATACTTTCTTGCGTTGGTTTCAACAGTTTGTATCCCTTGAAATAGTCAAATGCATATACTTTCTTTTTAAAGCTCTAGTTTTACGGGATACTTTCTTACTTCACCCAGCGAAACCCACTTAAGCCCAGATCCTTGAATGAACCTGTAGGCAGCAGAGGTGGTTTACTTTCGTCGCCGGCTTCGTGCCGGTGGTGAGAAACGAAACAACGACGGCAATTGGCAGTGGGGGATCAGTGAACTCTACCTACAGCTTGCAGACGGATATAATTGGCCGATATATACTAAATGTCATTCATTATACGCGAATAATCGTTCTCCTACTACAAACTAAGCACGCCGGAAATGGCGATGAAGAACAGGGGTAGTAGTAAAAGGACGATGAGAATCCAAACGGCTCACCGCCTAATCGCTTAACTTTCCTAGAAACCAATCAAGCCAGCCAGAAGAACAAACACCCCCACATAAGAACCCAACTCAATCTCCCTCATCCTGTATCCACCGCTAGTGCCATTGCCCGGAGCCGAAGCAGGGGCAGAGCCGCCGGGAGTGGAGCCAAGAGCAGGGGAAGAAGCCGGAGCCGCGCCACCGGTCAGTTGCAGCGTCTCCTTGGCAGCCAGGTTCGGGGGCCCAAAATCGTGCTTCCCGGGAAGCCCGTTGGTAACCGTCGCCCCGACCTGCCAGACGTGGTTGACCCGATCGTCGCCCGCCGGAAGTTTCACGGAGGCGAAAATCGCGGTGGCCCCACCGCTGAGAGACTCGGCAGCGAGATCCCAGACGTCGAACGACAGCTTCTCCTCCTTGATGCTGCCGTACGAGACGAGATTGAATGTCTTGACGACGAGGCCGCCGCCGCCGGCGGTGGAAGAGGGTTTCAGGGCAATGAGAGCCTGGGTGCCGGCCATGCCGGTGCCATTCGGGTTGATCCCCCATCCGACCCAGCCGCCGTCGGCGCCTCCGGGAGCGGCGGCGACGAAGGCGACGGAGAGGGAGGAATTTGTGGCGTTGAATGTGTAGTGCAGGGCCGCGGACAGCGCCGGGAGGGATGTGCAGTTGGCGAAGATCTTGTTGTTCTTGAATTTCTGAGGCGGGCAGGTGGTAGTGGCGGAGCGTACAGCAGGGGTGCAGAAGAGGAAGAGGAGGGAGAGAGCTGCAAGAGAAGAGAGGGACGCCATTAATGGAGCTTCGGTAGAGGAGAAAATGGGGAAAGGCAGTTGGGATTTAGGAAGGGGACAGGAGGGGCATCCTATGTAATTATATAGAGGGGGAAATAGTGGATTGGGCCCTTGACGGGCCCCCGACCCGGCCCGCAAGGTGTAATCATTAAAAAGGTCCGCTGGTGGGCCGGGCCGTTCACGTCTCCAAGGATACAGCGTGATTAGTTATAGGCATTGGAAAAGCCCGTTTGTGCTTCCTCACTGGACTATCAAATGCAAGACTGTTGCTTGAACCGGGCTAAAAGCCCGCATTGACGGAGAAAGGCCCAAAACCAGAGTCTTTCTTACTTCTCCTGCCGCCTTATCTCAGCCGCCCAAGCGCGGGAACCATCCGGCCGCCGGCTACCTCTTCCACCGCAGATGTTGAAGCAATTGGCTGGCCGGACAGTGGTCACTGTCACTTCTGTGCTTCCATCTCTCTTCCCTCCAAAACCCTTTTCCCGCCTTCCTACAATAAAGCTGCTTCCGCCCAATTCTTTGTCCCTCGCTTCTCCTTCTTCATCCAGACCACGGTTCTACTCCTTGGTTTCGCAAATTTCTCATCAAAGGGGGATTTTTGATGGAGCCAGCTTTGATCCGTACTATTTATCTTGCTGTATGCCTGAAAAGCGCCTCAGGGTTGCTGTTCTGCTCAGTGGGGGAGTGGATAGTAGTGTCGCTCTTCGGCTTCTCCATGCTGCCGGCCATGAATGTACTGCCTTTTACCTCAAAATCTGGTTTCAGGTACGATGTTTTCTCCTTTTGACTTCTCAAGTTCGGAAATTTGGCCTCTTTTTGCGCTGATTCTTATGTTGGGTGGATTTTTTTTTCCTTGTGTAGGAAGACTTTGAGAACTTTTGGTCAGAGTGTCCTTGGGACGAGGATTTGAAGTATGCAAGAGCTGTTTGCAATCAGGTTAAGCCAATTATGCTGATAGTTCCTTTCCATACTGGTTGGAAAATGTAGTAAGCTTTTGAGGAGTATGATATGATCTGTCCTGTTCCGTATGTTTGTGAATTGTAGTCTTCGGATTTTGTGGGATACATAAGCTGTGTGTGTTTGATCGTTAGTGATCTTGTGCCATGTTTGGATTTTGTTTTTCCAGGTTGATGTACCATTAGAAGTTGTGCATTTGACTGATGAATACTGGAAGAATGTGGTATGCATCTTTGGTCCTTCTTACCGTTTGAATGGTCTGAGTTGATGGAGCTATGAGGGAGTCTTTTTGGGGCTATCTAAACTGAATGAGAGTGGACATGATTGTTTCAGGTGTCTTACATTATTAAGGAGTACCAATGTGGTCGTACTCCTAATCCAGATGTGCTATGCAATACGCGAATTAAATTTGGTATCTTTCTGTTCAGCTCTGTGAGCAATCCTTTCTTCAGTCAGTGGTTGATTCAATGTTTGAACTTTAGTCTCTTGGGCTCATGTTGGTGTTTCTTAATATAACTCAGGTGCTTTCATGGACGCTGTGAATGGTATGGGATTTGATTATATTGCTTCTGGGCATTATGCCAGTGTCATTCACCCATCTTCAGATGAAATGAATGAGCCTTCTGTTCTGGAGTTGTCAAAAGACATGGTAACTTAAAAGATTCCCAATTCCATAAACCTTGCATCTTTTCTCTGCCTTGAGTTCTAGCTGCAGTCTGGTCCTTTCCATCCTGGATTTGGTTTGGGGAACTTTGGTTTACTCTTAGTTACAAACAACTTTCATTCGACATTTCAGGTGAAGGATCAAACTTACTTCCTTTCGCATTTGTCACAAGCTCAACTAAAGCGCCTGATTTTCCCACTAGGCTGCATTCCAAAGGTTAGCGATGCACTCTTGTCTAGTGTCTTATTTTTTTTCGTTCGCATATTGTTTTTTAATTCGGATCATTTGTAGGAAGAGGTACGTAAACTTGCTACAACATTTGATCTGCCTAACAAGGACAGAAAGGATTCACAAGGAATATGCTTCTTAGGAAAGGTAAGGTTTATGCAGAGAAAAATGGTTTGTGTTTCCTCAATTTTACCTCCACCAGTTATAGTTGCAGAGTGTAGAAATGTTTGATTTGGTTTAGCTGCATTTGTAGCTGCAGTTGTTCACAGCTATATTTATCTCCTATCTATTTGGTGTGTTTGCAGATCAAATTTAGTGAGTTTGTTGCGAGACAGATCGGGGAGAAAGAAGGTATCATACTTGAAGCAGAGACAGGCGATTTCCTTGGTATGCATAGAGGATTTTGGTTCTACACAATTGGTCAGCGACAGGGTCTTCGACTTCCTGGTGGTCCCTGGTACCTTCTCATCCTTTTTTTTTTTTGTAGAAGTGGTTTATTTGTTCACTTCAGCCTGAAGGCTTCTTCCACATTATAATTCACCTTCTGCAGGTATGTTGTTGACAAGGATGTTAATAACAATGTAGTTTTTGTCTCAAGAAACTACTTCTCCATCGACAAGAACAGGCGATCATTTCGTGTTGGCTCGCTGAAATGGCTTAGTGATAGACCTCCTCAGGAAACATGGCAGCTTCAGTGCAAGGTCAGGCACGGACCAGGGTTCTACAATTGCAATGTGACTATAGAGCAGAGTGAAGATGAAGATGAGGAAGTTGCAGTTGTCCAGTTGTCGGAAGATGATCAAGGTCTAGCTGCAGGGCAGTTTGCAGCCTTCTACAATGGAAGAACATGTATAGGCTCTGGCGTGATATCGGAATCATGGGATGATCAAGGCTTCCCTGTCTGTGAAAAGGCCATGGAAATAGCTAAACTAGAAGACAAATCAAAGCTGGGGAAACCAGTTAAGATAAAAGTGAAGCCAGAGAGTCCTTTGGAGGACGAATCTGTTCAAAAAGACGGGACAGAAATAGAAATTGCAGTTGGGAGCTAAGCAAATATCCAGTGTCAGGCTCTGATAAAATTCTGGCCGACATTAATAGAAACAGATCAATTGAAGAATCTGAAAACCTTTGAATCCTGTCTTTTTGGTTTAAAAAAATGTTATTCTTGTATCATAGCAGAGTATTTGAGCTAGCTAAGTTAAGAAACCCTACCTGTTGAGGGTACTGAGCATAACCAGCATATCCATTGTAAGCAAAACCCTAAAAACCCTGAATTCAACGGCTGCACTTTTGCCAGTCTTCCCAGTCTGCAACTGCTAAATACATGAATTCCTATTTAAGCCAAAGGTTCTGAAGCTTCGATGTTGTGCCCAATGTCGTAACCTAGTTACAAACTAACGTGTGCATGTCCAAATGTCAAAACAACGTACCGAGTTATATGGATCTATTTCAATTTCAAACATTTATCCATCTTGCCAAAAGTACCTTTGATATATAGCTTTACCAGCAGTTAAATAGAGTTACAACATGAGCACAGCAAACGATAACTGGAGCAATTACAGTACTATTCTTTCCAGTCCTTACAACTGAACTACACTGAATGACGGATGGTACCTAAGCTTGTGACGAGGTTCTCATCCATAACGGCCGACCTAATATAGCACTAGCATGAACAGAAAGGTAAGCTGAATTTAACCTGCAGCAAAAAAGAATTCAAGAGAGAACAGTTAGAGGTGAAAAATAGTACCCTCACAAGCCTTCCAACTCCGGGAAATTAAGTTATGTAGCTAAAACTTACTTATCGACATCAGGAGCTGCCAAGGGATCATACACTTCTTCCCTCTGTTCCACCATCGGGACAGCACCTGTCATGTCCTGAGCACCTTCCACCTGAGCCAGAACCCACATGGGACACGATGTAAGATTCACACAAGAATAGCCAAAGCAAAATTCAGAGAGCTATCACAATAAGCCCTTCATGAGATAATCATATATTGCTAGGCTGCACCACTGAAGAGTTTACTGTAGCATAATGGAAGGCTTAAACTCGACTTAAAAAGTCAGGAAAGAAGCCATTGTATCAACGATAATACAACATAATCGAAACAGATCAATCGAAGAATCCGGAAACCTTCGAAAACCAGTCTTTTTGGGTCAGAAAATGTTATTCTTGGATCATATCATAGTATTGAGCTAAGTTAAGAAACCCTACCTGCTGAGGATACTGAGCATAACCAGCATATCCAGCGTATGCATATAGTGATGGATCCTGGGTAGCTGCATAGCCATATGCGTCATAGCCTTGTCCATAACCATAATAAGCACTCCACTGATCTGCTTGTTGGCCCCACGTAGCGGTAAGGTCCTAGCAAACGATACAAAATGTCATCAAAGACTCTCAGAGACTGAACAACCAACATAACAAAGTTATGGAGCTTAGTCCCTCTTTCCAGTTGAACTGTGTTTAAATAAAGGCAGCATGTATAACTTAAATGTTAAAAAAATGTCTGCAATGAAGAGGCTTTGTATCATCTGAGCAAAAGTAGTACCTGCTTCTTGCCCCAAGATATACGAACTGACTGCTGACCAATGATATGACCCTGCATCCTTTGTATGGCTTCTTCTGCAGAAGGTCTACAGGAAAGAAATGGTAGCATGTCAAAGGTTGTTTAACCAATGAAGTGAAGTGACAATGCAAACTCTCTCCACCAATGATGATCAACTACAGAAAAGAAATGACTCATGTTTCTACAAAAGTGACTAACCGAGCCGCGAATTGCACAAATCCACATCCTCTGCCAACAGGAATTTTGACATACACAATCTCCCCAAGCTGTGAGAACGTTTGCTTCAGTTCGTCTTCCGTGACAGCAGGATCCAAGTTACCAACAAAAATCTGCATGAGTACACCACAGTAATGGTAAATTAACTCAATTACTTTCCCCATCCGGTGACAATGTTCAAGTGGTTCAGGTCTGATTCAAAACCAAGAGATCAAGAACATAACCAAAGGAAAAGAAAAAAGTTAACGTACTGTGGTATTTGTGAGGTCAGTATCAGGTGCTGCTGCAACTGCCTGGACAGGTGCTGCATACGTAGGAGCTTGATACACAGCTGCACAAAATTAGTCACGCTTAGTGCAAATCACTAGACTAGTCGATTCAGCTTATTCACTTGGGCTTGACAACAATGCATATAAATGAGACGGAAAACATGAAACATGTTGAAGAAACACAAAATGCCAAAATGTTACAATCATGTAGAAGAATTCTTCATATGAACTTGTTACGAAAGCAAAGTAATAAAGTAAAACGCAGTTTACCTTTGGTGGTAGCATACTGCTGTTGATAACCACTGGTCTTCTTAGGCGTTGCTGCACTGATACGCATTGGCCTAGTCGAGCAATAAACGCCATTCATTTCCGACATAGCACGGTTCCTCTCGTTCTCATCTCCGAATTTAACGAAACCATATCCCTTAGACCGCCCGGTATTTGGATCAGTCACAACCTTAGCTCCTCGAACAGAAGTATATTGAGTCCTAAAAGTCTCTTGCAAGAGATAATCTGTAACGTCGGGTGCTAAATCCCCGACGAAGATAGAATGCTCCGGCCCTGCCTCAGGACGCCTCTCTCCAATCCCGAATGAAGCCCAGTTCAGCCTGAAAGTTAGTTCAGTCCCTGGCATTTGCGTTCCGTTATAGGATTGCAGAACCCTCTCAGCTGCCTGATGAGAAACGAACTCCACAAACCCGTAGCCCTCTGGCTGGCCAGTCAACTTGTTACGGATGATTTTGACCGAAATCACCTGTGCCATATTCGCAAGCGATTAGCTAAAAAAATTCACAAAACCACAGTTGTACAGAAACTCTACTTTCATAACTTCGCAACTCATAACATAATCAATTCAAACACAAGCTCACAACTTTGCCTTTTTCAATTCCTAGTAAAAGAATCGAGCTAAACTAATTGCAGAGCCACAGTAATACAACGGTTGTGTAAGTAAGAGAGAAATACCTCGCCGGTGTGAGCGAAGCAAGAACTGAGGTAGTTCTCATCGACCCAGTACTGCAAATCGCCAATCCAGAGAGTTCTAACTTCTTCTAGGGTCGCCGGTTGATGGTACCCACCACCGCCTCCGTGCATCGCCATTGGTGCCGCCATTAATGCCTCCTACTAACGCTGCTTCTTCTTCTTCTTCTCCGTCGTCCTTCCTTCTTTCGGTTGCTGTCGTTGCTTCTCTTCGATTCTCTCTGCTTCTTCCTCCCCGTTTTAGGTGTTCCTTTCCTCCCGCAGTTACGAAACCGTTACCGCGCTTCACATGGGCTTATACGCCTATCAAGCCCACAAGTTCAAGCCCGTTACTCTTAAAACCCATACAAGTAATCTGTCGGCCCGGCTCATCCGGCCCAAGTATCGGGTCCAGCCAGGGTGTATATCATGGGGATATGAAGGCGTGAGCTGGCTGCGGCAATAGGGGAGAAAAAGAAGAAAAAACGAACTTACAACGGTTTTGCGCGCTTTCTTCTCGCTGGCACTGTTGCTCTCAAATCAAATCATTCTTCCAATTCTTCTTTCTCCCCCGTGATTCGATCAATTGATCTGTACGAAGTCCGCTGGAGTAAGCAAGTAGCCATTTTTTTTGTCTAACTAGAAAAATGGGGTTTCCGGCCGCTCTTGCTATTGTCCTAATCGGAATCGTCTTCTTTGCATCCGGCCTCGTCGTCAATCTCGTTCAGGTAAACCCGTCTTTTAAGAGATTCTTTTAGATCAAAGATTGAATCTTGAACTCATTGCTCGCCCAATTCGTAATGTGGGTAATTTGATGAGCAAGTCAATTGGAGCTCGTGTTTTGTGGATTTCATATCGCTGTTGCTAATTTGGATCTGGGTTTAAACTTGCTGCAAATTTCAACTGTCGTGCAACGTTGTGATTCTTTTCAGGCGGTTACGTTTCTTCTTTTCCGTCCAATTTCCAAGGCATTGTACAGAAGGATTAACAAAGTGGTGGCGGAGATGCTGTGGTTGGAACTCATATGGCTGGTTGACTGGTGGGCTAATTTGAAGGTAAAGCGAAGTTCTTGCGTTTGTGTTGCTTGGATTGGTGGTGGATGAACATGCGAAATATGGGTTTAATGTTGAGATTCAAGAGTCTTAGCTGTTTCTTTTCACTTTATGTTTGATCAAGTTGCCTGTTGGGTGCTAACTAGAAACTGTTGGGCTCAGGTTGAAGTATATGCAGATGATGAGACCTTTAACTTGCTGGGTAAGCAGAAAAATGTTTAATGGTGATGAGTTCCTTTTGTTGATTTTGGATAGATATGAATTCTCAGTTGATTGGGCTTGAAAATTGTTAATCATACTTCATGTTTGGAAAATTTTCTGCAGGTAAAGAACATGCCATGCTCCTTTCCAATCACAGGAGTGATGTTGACTGGCTAATTGGATGGGTCCTTGCTGAGGTGCTTACTATAAATTCACGGATTTGTTGAATGATAATGATATGTTTCTAGTGATGTTTGTGAATGACCAACTGATCCACTGGTGATGTTCGTTCTTGCTTCTGACGGAATATTTTGATCAACAGCGCTCTGGTTGCCTTGGCAGTTCACTAGCCCTTATGAAGAGAGAAAATAAATGGCTTCCTGTAAGTCCTCCATTTAATGCAAGCTCATTGTTTCCTCATCTTGAATCGTGCTTTGATTGTTATTGAATTGGCTACTATTGTTTGATGCATAGATAATAGGCTGGTCAATGTGGTTTTCGGATTATGTGTTTCTTTCTAGAAGCTGGGACAAGGACGAAAGCACATTGAAGGTATCTCTTACCAGGGAACAATACGAGAATTCATTTCGTTGCACCTTATTCCGTTTTTTTATCCACACTGATATCTTATGGGATTCAGGACTCCAGTCGGGTTTTGAAAGGCTGGTGGATTTTCCCATGCCTTTTTGGCTAGCTGTTTTTGCAGAAGGAACTCGGTTTACTCGGGCAAAGCTAGAAGCAGCTCAGGAATTCGCTGCTGCGCAGGGGTTACCTATTCCTAGAAATGTTCTGATTCCCCGTACCAAGGTAAAGGATCTGTTACCAGATCCTTTGAATATCATCTTACCCTCACATTTATGTCTCTCTCATATGATCGATTCGCGTGTGAATTTTTTTCCAGGGTTTTGTATCAGCTGTAACTCATTTGAGGGCATTTGTTCCAGCAATTTATGATTGTACAGTTGCTGTCCCAAAAGATCAGCCCTCGCCCACTTTGCTAAGAATGTTTAGAAGACAGGCTTCCGTGGTAAGTTCTGATGACCTATTGATCAGTATTTGACATATTCACCAGCAAATGATCAAATGGCACTAAAGATTTTCCGTCTGATGCATAATCTATTGCAACTCTCTTTGACAGATAAATGTGAAAATTAAGCGACATCCAATGCACGAACTTCCTGAAACAGCAGATGGCATTTCCCAGTGGTGCAAAGATCTATTCATTGCCAAGGTATGAACTTCATTTGAAACCCATAATAATAGTTGCTTCTGCTAAAAGCATCATCAACGCTTGCTGTTATCCATCAAATGTAATATATACCAAAAGTCTTTCTCCTGTGAACCTTCCAGGACGCTGCTTTGGATAAGTTCCTTGTCAAGGACACCTTCAGCGAACGAAAGCATGACATCGGGCGACCAAAGAAGTCATTATGTGTAAGAAGATGCCACCAACCGACGACATGCTCTTAGCTTTTCGTTTCTCTTGGTTCCTGATCTAGATTCCTCTGCATATGAGCAGGTTGCTATTGTTTGGTCGACTCTACTAGTCTGGTCCATTGCCAGTTTGTTCCAGTGGCTATCGCACCTAGGCTCGTGGGTAGTCATTGCAATCTTGGTTACTTTACTGGTAATCATCATGATCGGAATGCACATTCTCATCCAGTCCTCGGAGTCGGAGCACTCTACACCTGCACGAAATGTGACAGTAGTCTGTGATGGAGTCCAGGATAAACTCATTCAGAATTGAACCAGCTGGGGGCAAAAAAAAAAAAAAAAAGACTTCTGCTTTTCAGTAAATGTTGTCCATTTTAGTCTTGTTTCAGTCGAATCATTGTTAATCTTGAACAGCTCAATGAAAATTCAGCTATGGGGTTGTGTAAAAGTCTTGTTCTTTATCCATCAGAAGCGTTTGAAGTCAGGTTTTTGAAGTTGCAACGAAGCTGGGCTCAAAGGATCTCTTCTCTATCTTTCCTGTCTGCCGTAATTTGTAACGTAATGCCAACCATAGTTTGGGAATTCAATTCAATGAATTCTACACAATAATTTATTTTAAAATGAAATAAATTGTCGATTCATTTGGAAAACATTGATGACATATTCATGAATACAAACCTTGATTTTAGACTACCATATTGATGAAATAGACTCTTTACTATTTGGAATGAGATATTTTCTATATAATTTTATACGATATAAGAGTTCAGGCTCAAGATAGGGTGCATAACCATGGGTTATGCACCCATCAATAACCAAATCTGGACCCTTTATTTAGAAATTTCAGACTTAAGGAAGGAGAATTAAAGACCATTTTTATTTTTTCTAGCTTTCTTAATTGACTCATATCTTTTTCATTTTAACTCGGATTTTAATTTTTTTGCACAGATGGAACGAGTTCATCGTGCTCTACAAAATGAGATCAATTTTCAATATTTTTTGAGAAAAAAAAAATTCTGGCCTCTCGGTACCAACTGCATACCATATGGTATTTTCTTCGTTTTTAATTCGTTTTTGAAAAAGTTTGCACAGAAGGGACGAGTTCATCATGATCTATTGGATCTACAAATTTCTGGGTGAACAAATTACAAGACCAAAAAATACCACACAATACCATACAATACCACCCTGGTACGGGGTGGTATTGTATGGTATCTTCTTCGTTTTTAATTCGTTTTTGAAAACGTTTGCCTAGAAGGGACGAGTTCATCATGATCTATTGGATCTACAAATTTCTGGGTGAACAAATTACAGGACCAAAAAATACCACACAATATCATACAATACCACCCTAGTACGGGGTGGTATTGTGTGGTATACAATGTTAAAAGTCATAAATGACAATTAATATACTTCTACTATCATGTATTCAACCATCATACAGTCTTGGTTTGTTCATACCACCATGGTACGTTTTTCAAACCATAGGTATGCTTTTATTTCAATACCAGTCAATACCATATGGTATAGACTGGTAAAAAATGGCTCAATTTTTTTTGTTCGAAAAATATATTAAAGTGGATATCATTTTGAAGAGCATAATTAATCTTATCTAACTGTGCAAAAAAAAATTAAATTTTGACTTAAAATGGGTGAGAAATCGTCCGTCAAAGATTAAAGAAGAGAAAATTAAAGGCTTTAGAGGAGAGAGAGGATGCTGATGTGGATGGGTTACTCATGGTTACTCACCATAAGGTTACTGACCTGATCCATTCCCAAGAGTTCATGAAGATAAAAGGAAATTGAATGGTTTAGTGTAAATTGGGATCAGTATTATTGATTGTAATTTAGTTCAAGTTAGAAAAGGACTTATCTCAGTATAATTATATTTAAATGAAATAATTTAATTAAATATATTTTGAGTTTTATGCAACTTGTCACCAACAATTCCATCTAGTTCGGTTCATTTACATGCTATACATAATTAAGTAACCATTTTAAAAATTAATAATAAAGTGATAAACAAATAAGTAAAATAACTAACCTTTGGATTACCACCCTTAACTAATCAAGTATTAGTTGTGTTTGATTCATTCAAATTACTATTCATTTGTACAAATAAAATAAATAAATTGCATCCATTATGATCTCATAGGATAGTGAATAGAAATTCACTAGCCGACAAGAGAGACTTGGTCTGTAAAGATAAATTAAATCAAATAATTACAAGTTTCCAAACAGAAAATTTTAACTACATTGAAATGTCAATGGATCTTATAGTGGGAGGGAGGCTGGCTTGGATCAACATCAAGATAGTGTGGTTAGGAAAATTAATACAGTAAAATATGGATAATTATATAATGAAAAAAAAAACCCCTGAAATGGTTGTGTGATTTTTGGGCGACTACAATATCGTATCAGTCTAATTAATCGGTTGTATTAATTGATTTGTATACTGATGGTTGAGTTAGTATATACATTTTTATAACAACTTCACTACGTGTCTATGATAATTTGTTGTAGATCATCGTGCTATGATAGCTTGAATACCTACGGATATAGTTTTACAATAATCACTTTACGTAGGTTTTTTTACGATGGCAAGGTAAAACTAAGGGTTAAAGCCGCAAACAAGTGTCTGGTCTAGTGGTTAAATCGTTGGTCTTCAATCCGGAGGTACTATGTTCAATCTCTTTAGTAGCATTATCTAACATTAAAACTAAACTTATATCATCCTTATATATAAAAAAATAGAGGTTATTATAACACTAGTCCTTAAAGACGATGGGGAATTCAAATTAAATCCACCAATTCATGACGAAGAAGTTCATTACGAATTTCTGATCGATTGTGTACAGATGTTGCATCTAAGTGTTCAAGTGCACTAAACAATCGAAAAGTTGTCAACCTCTTACAAGAAAAAAGCATTTCGATTCTATTGGACGAGATCAAGGAACAACCAAAAATTAAGACTCATTCTCTGACATCGATTTCTCAAACATCAACAGAAATGAAGCATATCACGGTTTAGCATTGGAATCACCTTCGAACTTTTAAAAATATAAATGATTTTTAGGTTTATTTGTGAAATGTTTCTAAATTCTAGTCATGGGAAGAACTAGTTTTTCAAGGAATTCTTCTCTAGAACCAACATGTGGAGCATATGTAGCCAATGAGTTCATCTAACTTGACCAATCCGACATAAAAAAGGAGACAGAAATATATATAAAAGAAACACAAGTGTTAATTAATTATTAACGTGATTAAGAGATACATAGTTTGCCAGATTTTCTTCGATCAAAAGCTGATAATCAAGACAACGATATCATACATGCCAGGCCAGCTATTGTTTCTGAATGATCAAACATACAACTCCCCCCAACTTGATGAATGAAAATATAGATAAATCCCAAATAATTAAGATTTGATCTAGTGGCAATATTACTAGTCTTGAATTGAAGGTAAATTTGATGAATTCCCCAACTAAATAATTAAATTCACGTTTGTTCTTGATATTAATTAGTGCATCGGAATTAGTGTTGTTAAACTCATATCGGATCGGTCAATTCGACTCAAAGAAACTATACACGGTCACAAATCCGGCTCGGACATGCTGAAATTGGGTAAGATCATGATGAGGCCCAAGGCACGATTATTTTGAGCGATTAACCGCGCCCTGACCCCGTCGACCCAGCTTTCAGTTTGTGTCCAATGTCTTTTATTGGATAGTACAAGTGTACTTTTTTTGCTGGGATTTGAACCCAAGTCCCTTGACTGAAAGACAAACATATCTATACCAACTAGACTATACAAGATTGTAATTATATTTTCGATTTTATAAGTGATTGGGATGTTCAAACGGTTTTATACTGATTAACGACTAATTACTGCTCTCAACCTTAAATCTTTTACTAATTCAGGTCGACGTCGCGCTTTGACAACAATTATCCGAGCTAATTTTCTCTTGCAATGTAATTTTTAAAATCAACACAATGTATGCTAGCTAGAAGTTTACAAGAAAAGACCCAAATCAAACCTACATATCCTCCATTAACATGCAAAATGTCTACATCTAAGAACAATTCATCGTTGTAGTACTTTAATTGTGGCTTATTTTATGTCCCTTGATCAGTTTGATTGGTTCATGAAGAGGACTACCTCATAATTCATCAATTAATAAAAACATAAACGACGACGACAACAACAACAATATATTCAATTAACTTGACTAGTTCTTGATCAATTGATTTTAGCTAGTTATATTTACCAAAATCATTGCACCAAAAAAATACGTGAGAGCTAGACTAGTGGAACCCCATCAACCCATTAATTTGTTCGATTTTAATATTAATTAATTTTTTTTATCATATGCTTAATTATTATGAGCCTATATAAACCAAAGAAGCAAAGGCTTCAAAATCCATCCTCAAACTTGAACTTGGTAGAGAGATCAAGCAAAACCAAGATTTGCCTAAGATGGCCAATTTTTGGCCTCACCAATTGGTGTTTGTTGCGGCGGCGATATGCATGCTATCAATAACCTTCGCAGTAGCCGACGATAAACCTTACTACTACTCATCCCCGCCTCCACCTTACCACTACAAGTCACCGCCGCCGCCGTCACCGTCGCCACCACCACCGTACTACTACAAATCTCCTCCACCACCTTCACCATCACCGCCGCGTCCATATTATTACAAGTCTCCTCCTCCGCCGTCTCCATCACCTCCTCCTCCTCCTCCTTACTATTACAAGTCTCCCCCTCCACCGTCGCCATCTCCTCCACCACCGTACTACTACAAGTCTCCACCGCCACCATCTCCATCTCCGCCACCACCTTACTACTACAAATCACCACCACCACCGTCACCATCGCCTCCTCCTCCTTACTATTATAAGTCTCCTCCTCCGCCGTCGCCATCTCCTCCACCACCTTACTACTACAAGTCACCACCTCCACCATCACCATCTCCTCCTCCTCCTTACTATTATAAGTCTCCTCCTCCGCCGTCGCCATCTCCTCCACCACCTTACTACTACAAGTCACCACCACCACCATCGTCCTCACCTCCTCCTCCTTACATCTACAAGTCACCACCCCCGCCATCTCCATCTCCGCCACCACCATACTACTACAAATCACCACCACCACCGTCACCATCTCCTCCGCCACCATACTACTACAAATCACCACCACCACCGTCGCCATCGCCTCCTCCACCATACATCTACAACTCACCACCTCCGCCATCACCCTCACCTCCTCCTCCTTACATCTATAAGTCACCACCACCACCGTCGCTATCTCCTCCTCCTCCCTACTATTACAAATCTCCACCCCCTCCCTCTCCTTCTCCACCACCACCATACTACTACAAATCTCCGCCACCACCATCACCGTCTCCGCCGCCACCATACTACTACAAATCTCCGCCACCGCCATCACCATCCCCGCCGCCTCCTTACTACTATTACAAATCCCCACCACCTCCAGCAACTTACTAAACCATTCATAACATTACTTCCGCCGCCATACTTGTAAGTTCGTTCACAAAACCCTAATCGTCGTACTATACATATCATTCTTATTTTTTGTACGAAAATGATGCTATCCATATGTATTTGACATTTTAGTTGATCCATATATGTAGGTTTGTGAAGCAAGAGAGTGACGATGACAAGTCAATGAGACCCATCTTGGAACTACGACGAAATACTTCTTGGATTTGATACTTTCTTATATATGTATAATGTTTATATACTTGCGCAATTCTTTTGGCCACGGTTTCTTGTATGATCGATACTTATTATTATAAGTCCATATGAAGGCTTTTGGTTGTTTGTGTTTCTATCATTGATATTATTCCATTTGTCAATCGTATGATCCCACATGTTTGTAATCAATAAAGAGAATGATTTCTTTTATCTTTTGTGTGATTTTAATTATGCGGGATTTTTTTTTTCTTCATAACATTGAAGTAACTGCTATAGAATGGGGATAGTCACTTGGGTTGAGGATTAAACCATTTTAACCTAAGGAATGGGTGTAGTGAAATGAGGTTGGAAGGGTTTAATTAGTGGCAACCTTTTGTAGTTGTGCCACTTGGTGAAGGGAAATTGGATAATTGGGCCAACGTAGCAATTGGGCTAATTATCTGGGGCCTAGTTATCCTTATTGTTTTTGTAACATCCCGTTTCGACTAAAATCGTATTTCGATCGCTAGAAAGTTCGCGATTTAAAAATCGAGCGTTTTAACAGTATTTCGGCGAAAATCGGATTATCGATCGATCGGATAAGTATACGTATTAATTATATATATATATATATATATATATATATTAATTAAGCGGCCGCATATATATTAATCTCTCTCCCCCCACTCGTCCATTATCACCATCGTTTTCTCATTTCCACCGAGATAATCAAAACAAAGCAGAGCGACAACAGTCGCGCACAGGGGAGCTCGGGGAAAATTTCCTTAGCTCGATTCTTGAGCTACACTGATCCAAAAATCCCGTAAGTAATGCTTAATTCATCTATACATCGTGATTTATCGATTTAGAGCTTTAAAACGAGTTTTTGGTTCAGGAATTTCTTGAATTCCCGATAAGCCAAATTAGGGTTTCGGAGTATCCGGAAGCCGGATTGAGCCCAAATTTCATATACGAGCTTCCTGCAGCGAGGTAATCAATCCCCTAGTTCTAATCCCTGAATTTCGGCTATTAATTAGGACGGGGTCCAAACCGCTGAATTTAGCTCCGGCCAGGGTTTGATGTGTTTTTATCGAGAATTTGACCCGGATCCCAGAACTAATATTGACGGGGATACTGCAGGGGATATTAGGGTGGTCTCAGATTTTGATTCGGGGTTCGTTCGTGAAATTGATGTTTTAGTACCGGAGGCTAGAACCGGTGTTTGAACGACCAGAACTGGTGAGGGATTAGCACGGCATACCGGGTTTGTCGTATCACGATAATTATATTGATGCTTAGAATTGATCTAGGTGAACTAGAATGGCATGATTAGGGGTGTATGGACTTTTGTGCTATATGTTGAACCCTGGATTGTTGTATGATATTATTGACTTGCCCTAATGGATATGAACCTTGTTTATGTGGATGATTGCATACATGTTGCCATTTGTGGCTTAACTATTGATATGACTTCATGGTTGTTCGATAAGGGGTTTTGACATGGTGTGATATTATGGTTGTATTTGGATCCATAAGTGGGGGAATAAACTTCCCAAGGTGATATTATGATGTTTTAAGGAGGATGACTTGCACGAGGGTTTATCCCGAGGAAGTGCAATTATACGACTCCTGATTTACCTATGTTGAGCCAATTATGGCCAGGTCAAATACATGTGCAAGTAACGAATTATGATTAAGCAAGATGAGATATGAATCATGTATAAGGATACCAAATATGAGTGTTGTGGTCTCACGGTCAATTACGTAGTAATTAGGGCTCCCTATGCTATTACTCTATTATGATATGTATGATAGTCACACCTCTCATGTGGTGGTGACTGAAGAATTCTTATGAGATATGACCACACCCAGAGCGGTGTCGGGGTATGACTACACCCATAGTGGTGTGGGGTATGTATGACCACATCCGACGGGATGTTGGGGGTATGTATGACTACATCCGACGGGATGTGGGGTATGTTTCCCGGGAGAGTTATTAGCATGGGAGTAGCCAGGCGCCTATGAGTAAAACATGATAAGATGCATATGCATAAGTCAAGGTGGTTGAGTCTTTTGCCTATTGGGATATGAGGATGGCTGAGGTCCGATCCTAGTGTTTTGGCTTGTTTTCTAGATGTATGGTAGGGGTATGCTCTGTTATGAACTCACGATGCTATGATTATCTCACTCAGCTATGAGCTGACCCTCTTTTATTCTTCTTCTCTGCTTATGCTATGTGTAAGCATATCATCAGCAGCAGCAGTAGATAAGTGTTAGGTGGGAGAGGAGCTAGAGTTGAAGCCAGGATGAGGTATGGTCTTCAACTATTCTGTGCTTGGACTACTACTCGGGATTTTGGCCAGTGATCCACACCTTTTTGTAAAAAAATGTTTTCAGAACGTTTTTCATGTGCATACTAGCTTCTGATGTAGTGTGAGATATCCACAGGTGTGGAAAGTTGAGGATATGTGTATATTTGTGTAACTGTGTAAGTTGTGACGATTATGGTATGTATAAGTATGGTATGCAGTTGTGTAGTATGAAACTGTGACTATGGCTATGAAAAGCCAATGCATATGGTTGTGAGTATATGTGTTTGTCTATGAATGCATGGATTCAGATGAATTATTTTGCAGGATAAGTTGCAAGAACTGTTAGCCCATTACGCGAGTAATTCATGTCGAAATTTTATTTGGGTAAATTTTGATAATTAATGTAACACCCGAGATTAATTCCGCTGCAATTGTATGAACAATATGATTAGGCAAAACGTATAGGGTAGGGTGTTACAGTTTTAGTATTAGTAGTCTTATTATTGTTATTGTCTTTATTAGTAATTTTCTTGTTCACGTAGGATTTGGTTATTGTTAGTTAGTTCCTTGTAGGAATATGAGTCATGTTCCAGATAGAAAAGGGTAGAGGCTTCTATGCCTATAAATATGTACTAGTTCATCCGTTTAATGTCATGAGAAGATTGGAACCCAAGTATAGTTTAGTAGTCAGTTCTTCGATCCTCTTTATTTCTCTTCGTAATTCTAAGTCCATTTCTCTTCTCGTTCTAAAAGTCATTCTCGAATTTCTTTGTTCGATTCGTGTGAGAGTCACGTTACGTGTTACGTGGCACCATCATCAATAATTACAGCTACTTATTAATTAACCCTAGCCGAGTCCTGCTGGGAGGAATAGAAGTCGAACAGCCCTTAATTGTCCACAATATATAATTACATAACTCAACAGGGCGTGCCTTTAATTATCTTCTTTCAAATCCGCCTCTGCACGCGCCATGGCGGATCCTACGATCAACAACAACAAGCTCGGCGACGATCTTGTCGAAGACAATGTAGTCAAAAGCGAGTTTCTATGTAGAAACGTTTTGGTGATCTAGAAGCGTAAAATCGTAAGTGTTTAAGTTTTAAATGATTGTGAACAGTAAGGTAGTCATACTCATTCCCTTGAACATGAAGTATGAAAGAAATTCGATACGATAAGCGATAGATTTGTCCCTACCTTGCCTAGCTAGTCGATTGAGTAGTGATCATATATGGATTTGGGTCTCTTGAAAGCAGTGGATTTGTTTGCTCGCTCTAGCACTGAGGACGAGTATCGCGTATTATTGTCCATGGTGTGGTACGACTGAACTTCAATGGGTTAGTAACTTCTTGATCTTCATTTCAGTTCCAACACTATACTAATTTCTTGTTCGGAGCCATGCTTATCATATATCAATTTTGAATCTCAAGGTTACACCGAATTTCTTCACATGTCACATTATTATTTATTTAGAGAGGCAAGGTCAAACTTTTGCACCCGTTAAAGTCCACGAGAGGCTGCTAGCTAAGGTACAGAAGGATAAGGATAAGGATATTCCAGCGAAACTACAAAAAAAATTCGAGCTTCCGCGCAAGCGACATATTTAGTATTTTTCATAGAGGTTTTCGTTAACTGAAATGAATTTAACGTGTTGCTGGTTGTAAGTTGACAGTGTTTTGTTAGTACGTAAAGGTTGGGATGTCTTTTAGCGTCCCGTTTCACACCAAAAAAATTTTGAAGTGTTATTGTTCTTCCAAAATCCGAATGTAGCACTACGATCCATCACCAACGATATTGGCTAACTCGAGTGGATAGAGATAGACTGCTTATAACCTCGTACTAAGACACATGATTAGATGCTTATCAAATTCCAATATATGTATGGACTTGGTTTCTATCTTGATAATTCAGGTAAAAAAGTTTAGGGTGAGACGTTCTTTTTTAAAAAACATGATAACAAAAATATTGTAGGTTCTAGGACTAGGAACGAGCGATTAGGAAATTATTTATACCAATCTCTTCTTTGATTTTTCATTTATTACATTGGCAATACAAGAAAACTAGAATACCGAATATTGAACCGAAATACATATATATAGATCTTCTTTGTGGATCCTTTAATTTATTATGATGAATAAACACAAATCAAAACAATAATATTACTTCAAGCTGAAAGCATTTAATCATTCAAATCCAATGATGCCATGGTTTGTCTCGATCTCAAGAAGGTAGTGCGACCTTAATAGTGCGATGGAGGAGGGGGCGATGAATAGTAGTAGGGAGATGGTGAAGACTTGACGGGAGGAGGAGGTGAAGTGTAATGATATGGTGGTGGAGGAGACTTTTTAGGTGGAGGAGGGGATGAGTAATGGTAGGGTGGCGGAGGAGACTTCTTAGGAGGAGGAGGGGATGAGTAATGGTACGGTGGTGGCGGAGATTTCTTAGGAGGGGGAGGAGAACTGTAATGATACGGTGGTGGTGGAGATTTCTTAGGAGGAGGAGGGGATGAGTAATGATATGGTGGCGGTGGAGACTTCTTAGGAGGTGGGGGAGAACTGTAATGATATGGTGGTGGTGGAGACTTCTTGGGAGGTGGAGGAGATGAGTAATGGTATGGTGGCGGTGGAGATTTCTTAGGAGGAGGAGGGGACGAGTAATAATAAGGTGGCGGTGGAGACTTCTTAGGAGGAGGAGGGGATGAGTAATGATATGGCGGCGGGGGAGACTTCTTAGGAGGTGGAGGAGATGAGTAATGGTATGGTGGCGGTGGAGATTTCTTAGGAGGAGGAGGGGACGAGTAATGGTAAGGTGGCGGTGGAGACTTCTTAGGAGGAGGAGGGGATGAGTAATGATATGGCGGCGGGGGAGACTTCTTAGGAGGTGGAGGAGATGAATAATGGTATGGTGGCGGTGGAGACTTTTTAGGTGGCGGGGGAGAACTGTAATGATATGGTGGCGGTGGAGATTTCTTGGGAGGAGGAGGAGATGAATAATGGTATGGTGGCGGTGGAGATTTCTTAGGAGGAGGAGGGGACGAGTAATGGTAAGGTGGCGGTGGAGACTTCTTAGGAGGAGGAGGGGATGAGTAATGATATGGCGGCGGGGGAGACTTCTTAGGAGGTGGAGGAGATGAGTAATGGTATGGTGGCGGTGGAGATTTCTTAGGAGGAGGAGGGGACGAGTAATGGTAAGGTGGCGGTGGAGACTTCTTAGGAGGAGGAGGGGATGAGTAATGATATGGCGGCGGGGGAGACTTCTTAGGAGGTGGAGGAGATGAATAATGGTATGGTGGCGGTGGAGACTTTTTAGGTGGCGGGGGAGAACTGTAATGATATGGTGGCGGTGGAGATTTCTTGGGAGGAGGAGGAGATGAATAATGGTAAGGTGGTGGAGGAGACTTCTTAGGAGGTGGGGGAGAACTGTAATGATATGGTGGTGGTGGAGATTTCTTAGGAGGTGGGGGAGAACTGTAGTGATATGGTGGCGGTGGTGATTTCTTCGGAGGTGGGGGGGATGAGTAATGGTATGGTGGCGGTGGAGACTTCTTAGGAGGTGGTGGAGAACTATAACGATATGGTGGTGGTGGAGACTTCTTAGGAGGTGGAGGAGAACTGTAATGATACGGTGGTGGTGGAGATTTCTTAGGAGGAGGAGGGGATGAGTAATGATATGGTGGCGGTGGAGACTTCTTAGGAGGTGGGGGAGAACTGTAATGATATGGTGGTGGAGGAGACTTCTTCGGAGGTGGGGGAGAACTGTAATGATAAGGAGGCGGGGGAGACTTCTTAGGAGGAGGAGGTGATGAATAGTGGTAGGGCGGTGGTGGAGACTTCACCGGTGGTGGCGGAGAGGCATAGATGTAAGGCTTATTGTTGTAGCCATCGGCAGCCACATTGGTTGTGGTGGTGGTGGCGGCTACAAGGCAGAATGCCAAAGCACAAAGTAACTGATGAGTTCTTCTAGTTGAAGTTCCCATCTTCTGAAGAATGGGATGTTTGGTTGATGAAGAATGAAAAGGATAGCAAAGGCCTTTATATAGGGTTGTCGTCAATGACTTTTTGCTGGACAAGAGATATATTATAGTATTGTAATTATTTGGTGGATGAATATACAGCCTGGATGCCAAGAAAATTTGCATATCTTATATCTATATGAGAGTTGTTACATATAATCTTTTCCCAAAGCAGCCGAATCTCACTGTATTTCAACGATTCCTATTGGTGGTTTCCCACTACATAGGGCAATCGATCTGGTTAACCGAACCGATATTTGGACTGGGTCGGATCGGATCGAATATATTTCGATTTGGTTTTGATCCTATAAATTATTTTAAGTAAGGAAAAATGGAGCGAAATTGAATTTGGGTCGGATGGAATCAAACCAAAGAACCAAGCATATTTCTGGCCCGGTTCTGATCCGCATTTTTTTTTTCTCATGTTCTTGATCCGATCCTATCTCAATTCGATTCAGTTTTGAACCGAATCGATTGATGCTCACCCTTATTTTGTTGGTCTCCATCACCTTTAATTCCATCTTTAATTTAGACAATAATAGACCACTTTGACATTTCATTTTTGGGTACTTTATATCATATATATGACTTATAAGAGGGTTGGTGAGGTGGTATTTTTTATTATTATCGATTATTGCATGCAAATGGCAATCATTCATATAACAGCTTAATAGCTCATGTAAACGCGCTTTAAAATTTCCAGTACTTTGATTATGATATACCAAATATATATGTGACAATTTGGCTTTTAGTTATCTTTTTTTTATAGATGTTGGCTCTTGGTGTGCTCCATGAGACGGATTATGGGTGAAAATACAGTTAGAGAATAGATAAGTGTTAATATTGATAACTCTGTTCACCCTCGTTATATTTGATCTTGTAAGCAACATTGAAGGGTAGTCAATTCATCTAGGCGAGCATGGAACGTCGATTGTGAAGAGGGAATCGATACTATGTCTCTCAACTGGGTTAGAGAATGAAGTCCAGATAGACATGTAGTTCTACAAAATAAGGGAAAATTCGGATGTTGAGTTCATGCGCACCAATTCGGATGTTTAGCTTACTGGCTTACATACGACATTATATTGTTTTCTCTAAATTTCAATTATTTGATTGATAATAGAGATTAAACCGCTGTTTTTACACCTAGTTATTTGACATATACAACGACAAAACAAGGTCAAAGATATGAAAGCTAGCTAGCATTGAACTAATGGAAAGAGACATGGTAGATAGTGGTGATTATAATAAGAACATTCAATACCTACTCCTCATTATTTTATAATGACTTGCTCAACTCCAACATTTTTTTTTTCCCTCTTCTTTGATTTGTTTGTGTTTTTTCGTTTAATTTTCATTTTCTCTAGAATGGAACTGATTTTTTTGTTTACATTAATCTATCCACGGTTTTGGCTAATGATAATAGTTATTATTTATTTATTATAGTCAATGAAGTACTAATAAGGACAAGAAAACACCAGTACAAAGCCGTATACTTAAATGATATTGTTAACAACTAATTGATTAATACGGTTAATCATCGATTGGTACATGAGGATGAAAGAAGCGTTACAAGAGAACAGAGCAATCACCCTGCAAGATCTGGAAGTTTTCAAAGTTAATTTTTTTTTTTTTTTTATCACCAAATTTCTGGGAATCAACTCATGCATAAAAGAATAGCTATTGGTTGTTGCTTAGAGAAAATATTTGGTTTATGAATATATTTATGGGTTAATATTTTTATATGGCCTGAACTTTGACCAAAATAAACATCTTGGCCATTCTTTTCGATCTATAACATCCTGGCCCGAACTATACACCAAAATAAACAATTTGGCCAAACCCGATGTTTGACCATTAACTTGGACGGTCAAACACATTGACTAACGGTCAACGCGCCACGTCACTGCCAAGTCAGAAGATCTGATAAATATTTAATTTTTTTCGTTTTTTATTTTTGGTTTATCTAAGGTATTAGATGCCTTTTTTAATTTATAATAATTTAAAATTAGGGAATGTGTGGAAATTGTGAATTATTTTAAATATTTTATGCTGACTTGGCAGTGACATGGCGCGTTGACTAACGGTCAACGCGTTTGACCGTCCAAGTTAACGGTCAAAAGTCGGATCTGGCCAAATTATTTATTTTGGTGTATAGTTCGGGCCAGGATGTTATAGATCGAAAAGATTGGCCAGAATATTTATTTTGATCAAAATTCAGGTCATACGAAAATATTAACCCTATATTTATCTTTGCCAAAAAGAAATATATTGAATCCAGGCTGCCAGCCCTTTGTTTCAGCAAATTCCAATCGGTGGTTTCGCACCACTTTCTCAATATTCTCAGAGCTAGTATAAAGGCGCCTTAGATTATTTCCAGCATTTCTATTACATCAAACAAACAATACATACACGGTATGTGTATGAAAGTAGAGATGGCAACAAAACCCAAACCCACGATTATCCACCCCACCCAACCCGATCAACGTGTGTAAAATCCGTGTTAACGGGTTTTGGGCCGGGTTTGGGTTTAAACCCGTTCACTATTTATCGTGCTTGGTTGGGTTTGGGTTTAGGTAAACCCGACCCAAGGGTACCCGCCCACACCCATATAATTAATTTTCTCGGCATATTTAATATTCTAAACAACTAATCTTATTTATGTTTGTGGAGACATGCCTAATTTTTTCTTTCTAGTTATATAATATGAAGTTGATGTTATCGAGCGGAGAGTGAAAAAACTTAATTGAAAGGAATAAGCTTTCAATTTATCATGTTATTATAAATAATTTGTGAATTGCTTCAATTTTCTTGAGTATTCTAGATTGGTGTTGAATAATTTGTGATTTGCTTGAATTTTCTAGAATGGTGTTTTGATAGGAATTTGTTATTGTGAATTTTTTACGACACAAACCTGTGGGTACCCATGAACCCGCGGATACCCAGCGGGTTGGGTTTTACCCTGGATTTTTTTCACGGATAAACCCATGAGTTTGGGTTTGGGTTTGACAAAACCCGACCCATTGTCATCCCTATATGAAAGTAAAAATGAAAAGCAATGGATGTTAAAGAATGCAAGCATATTAACAATCCCATACAATTCTAAAAATCAAAGAGCCCCTTAAATCACGAACAAGGGTCTGGTGTAGTGGTAATATCACTAATCTAGAATCTGAAGGTCTCAAATTCTAATCCTTTCAGTAGTACCCTTAATTACAAAAAATGATAAACCTATATCGCCATTGTAAAAAAAAAAAAAAAAAAACTTAGATCAATTAGACACACAACCGACAACCTCGTCCATTGCTGAGTTCCAAATCTCAACCTCGTTTCATCCTTTTGAGGGACGGAGTTGTTGTTGGATCACACTGCTTGAACTCAGTGGGTCGGCTAATAAAGGGTGAAGGCCGACTCTTTTTTTGGGGTCAAAGCCCATGGGCCTTCCCTCTCCGGGCTCTGTTTTAGCCGGAATCGAAGAACAAGTCAAAGGAATCGGCCCACCATCACAATTAACGAAGAAAATTAGTCAATTACATAATTCAGACACAAAAAGTTATTTATACTTTTTGTCACTAATCCACACCACTAACATACTAAGTATTGATGAAAGAAGGAAAAGAAAAACTGAATATGCAGGTTATGGCTGCCTTGCATAACAAGCATTGCATAGCATGATCCCTTCTCTTCACTTTTCTTTTCCATTTCCCCCCACCACCTTTTCTACTTCTTCCACTCCAATCCTACTAAAGAAGCCAACTAAAACCCAGAAACTAACAGAACTGTATGAATGAGAGAAAACAGTACCATCCCAAACTTGGATATCGCGAAAACTTTCGATGGTAAGAGAGTATTTGCTTTCAGTTTGGCTTATTTCTTGACGTTTGATGCTAACACGTCGGTGTAACATATGGGGCATGCCTGGTGGAGAAAGAATTAGCATGTCAAGCAAGCAAGCAGCAGCATTCGAAGGACTTGTGAACCGTTACAAAAATAAGAGATTGAAAATGCGGTACCTAGTTTCGAGGCGTCCAATGTGCTTACCTTATTGATGCTAAGCCATTTAGTACCGCAGCTGGCATGGTAGATGTGCTTGCACGGCAATGTGATGCGCTTCTGAGCTCGCTTGTACTCCATTTGGCAAATTACGCACCTGAAGAAGCAGAGCAGGCTGGGTTACTCGCTGGTGTTGCACCCCATCTTTATGTTTCAAATGGTGTTTTATGAAATGTGGACTGCATACCTTTCGGTTCTTGATTTCCTTCTTGCGAAGATGCAACGCCTGTATCTCGTCACAGGAAGCAAAGAGATGAGTTCTTGGGAGAGCCCTCGACTCTGACTTCCGACTGCCTCACCTAGTTCGAGCAATTCCTGGACAGAGAAAATGTTTATTACTAACTGTAACTAACCAATTCGTATGAAAGTGACTAATTTTCTGTTCAATTACAATGCGGCCTCTTAAGTGCAAAATCTTAGAGAGATATGGGGAGGCTATGTCCTTTACCTCGTAAGTCATATGGTCGGGATCAACGCTGTCTTGCCACACAGCCTGCATATTACACACAAACAGGAGCAGAAGTCATTGTCAAAGAAATCAGTGAGTGAAGAAATGATACCATGGGTGTTTAAAGGAAGCACTGCACTATTCCTATCAATGCATAATGCCCAGGGTTCCTCAAAATTGGGAGTTCCAACATATTAAAGAACAATTTTGCTAGATCTAAGTATATGTATAACACTTGCAGCAGCCCTATCATTTTACAACTAGTGAAAGTCGGGGGGAAAAAAAATCATCATGGGCAATTCTATGATATAATAGGAAATAGTGGCATCACGAGATCAACACACCTCATGGTAATCATGATCACTATGATGTCTCCGCACACCTGAAAGGCAAGATTATTACAAGTGAGGAGAGGGCATTATAGCCATCACATGAAACCACAAGTTTTTGTGCAGCACAAAAAGAACAGCAATCTCAAATAGTATTCAGATGCGAAATAGCCTACTAACACTATTGTCTGACAACCGGAGGTTAAACAAATAAGCATATAACTAACAGAACATCATAAGCCATCAAATATGAGAACTGCGTATCTCAGGAAAGAAACCACACTATTATCACACAACATCCAACAACAAGAACTGGTCTCCTGGCTCCTATATTGTTCATCAGTGCATGGTTTCTCAACTTATTTATTGCCATATGGTGTACAGATTACTCAAATTGCGCATACGCTAAATAAACTTCACACAAATGTGCCAGGGGAAACTAAGAAGTTCAAAACTTTAGACTTACAGTCAATAGGGTCTTCACTGGCAGTTGCGTTCTCATGACTATCCCACTCTGTATTTCTGCCAACAGTCCGCTCAATGGGCATTTGTGAAGAACTCAGAAAGGGTCGTATGTATTCATCGATCGCGTGTCCATGATCACGGACTTCATAAGCATGACTCGGATCATAATACGAAGTACCCCCCGGTTGCGAAGTGCCAAATTTGTAGAAATTTGAATTGTCACAGCTACTGTCCTGCGCATATTATCACATTGGCAAAACCTTAAAAAGCGAGAACAAAAATGGTGAATGAATTGCTTTCTGAGGTGAAATTCTCAAATTCTGGACTACAACAGGATCAGCTAGGTAGGTACCTGAGCATGGCAACCACCATCAAAAATGAAATTCACGTGTTCGTATGTGAGACCTTGAAAGTATTCCATGAAGCTTCCAGCTGAATTATAAGGATAACTAGTCTCCATGAAGTGGACATCCATGCTCGAACTCCAACTCATCTCTGTAGACAAACTATTCTGCTACAAAAAGCCCCCAAAACGTCAGCAAATCCAAAAAGACACCAGCTTTAGCACTTCCAAACCATTAAACCAAAGTGCAATGCCGACTAACTAATTTGAATCTATCCTGGAAGCTTCACTCGAGCATAAACATAGTCGGATCAGTCAACTGCTCCAAATGGGTGAGTGGAGAATCTTTTCAAGGACCCTGGGGAAGAAGACAAGACGAATAAAACAGATCAACACCAAAAAGAACCACGAAAAGAATGGATGTGGTAGAACTAATTCCAAATCACATTTCAAGCAATGCAGTTCACGAATTACAATTCTGCTAACATCAAACACGCTGTGTGGTCTTCCCCCCCCTAATCAAGATTCAAGGCAATTAAGTGAAGCAAGCTACCAATGTTGGACAATGAAGCAGAGAGAGAAAATGGCACCTCGGAGGGGAACCAGAAGAAGAAGAAGTCCAGATTAAAGTGGAAGTGTGAAAGGCAAGGACTTGGACGATATTAAGGCATCAGAAATCGAATACTTGCGTGAACTGGAAGCGGGAAAAAATTATATTCTTAAGGGGGAAATGTGAGGAAATGGATGAGTGAGACAAGGAGTGAAGAGAAAGATTAAAAGATAAAGGGGTTTCTGTGATCTCAGTAGCAATATTATAATGCCAGAATCAAATGGGAGATGCAAAGATAGAGGGAAGTGAAGAAAGAAAAGGAACCCGACATTGAGAGCTTTTTATTTTATGAAGAGAAGAAGCAGCAGAGGGTTTCTTTCGCCTCCGTCACCGTCATCTTCCCAGCTTTAAAGCTTCACACTTTTCTCCTTTTTTCTCTTCCTCTGATGGTTTCACGAGAATGCCATTTCTTCTTCTCCGTCGAGACACTGTCTATCTGTCTGTCTGTCCCTAACTGTATCTGTATCTGTATGGACTTGTGGGCTAAGTTGGGGGGAGAGAGGGTGGATGGTGGCCGCCTTTATGCGGTGGTTTACGAAGGACGCTGTCACTCGAGGAAAATGGAAGCTACAAAAAACAAAAGAGTAATTTTCACAAACACTTGGCAGCCATTGCAATGAATCTGCAACTTCCTTTAAATTTAGGGCTTGTTTGGAAGTTGTGATTCTTCAAATTGATGTATTGAGACAATTAGTGTATTATCATTTGATGTATTGATCAATTGATGTATTAGGCAAATATCTTGTTTGGAGGTTTAGATTGTGTTTTTGTTCTAAAGGTAAAAAGTTAGTTTTGAGTGATTGTGAAGAATCTCAACAAAAAGTAGAGATTGTAAATCTCTCAATATTGAGTGATAGTGGTGGGGCCTCCAAAAAGTAAATGCATGTATTCTAGTTCTATATAAGTCAAAAAAACGATTTAATCTCACAAATACATAAATTAGGTCAATACACAATTTGAAATCACAATTTCCAAACGACCCTTAAGTGACACTCGCATTTACCAAGAATCCCAGCTATCTTTCTAGTGGGAAGTAAAAAAGATTATCAAATTAAACCCACAATAACCTATTTATTAATGAGAGAGTTGACAATGGAATGAATGATGACCACAACCCTTGCTCAGATTCATTAGTGCAGTCATTCATTAATATCCAAGAAAACAACTCATGGGGAAAAAGATGAAAATATAGGAAAGAGAAAGAAGGTTCTTTGCCTAAAGTTTGTCCAAAGCAAAACACAGAAGGGAGAGAGGGTTAATTGGAATTCCAAAGCAAAAAGAGTTTGATATAGATGGTTGGTGACCTATATAAAAGCCAAAGCCAAGGAATGAACTGCCAAATTGGAGAAAGAAAACGGCACTCCATGTATCAATGTCACAAGATAACACAAGCAAGCAAGAAATTAACTGGGTCCCTCCCCATTGCATAGCTTCTCTTTCACCAATATATATTCCTAGGAAAGGATTTATGGTTGGGGAGCTGAAGACCATAATCAATGGCAGGGTCACTCAAAATGGGAGGAATTGAGAAATCAAACTGCTAAACTTTTAATAGGTGTTGAGATATAATTCAATAATTAGTGCCTAATTCAATAATTAGTGCCTAATTGTCCATGCATAGCCACTACTTCTAAGATGCATTATGGACTGTATTTGAATTATGGTGCATTTCTATTTGTTTGGATCCTTAACTTATAACAATTAGATAAATAGTTAACTTTGCATTATCAACTTGACGAAAATTAAAACTGAGTGGGGTTCATGTGACTTACGGTTGAAAGGAAGGTCACCAAAACCACTCCTGCAATGAAAGAGGGGTAGTTGCTTTGAGTTAAGAAAGAAAAAAACAAGGAACTTGGAAGAAACGCACAGATATAACATGATATGAATTATGAAGGGGAAAAAGGCTTTGGAAGTATGCTTAAAATTAGCTGGATATCATGTGATGATTTTCCACTACTTGTTTTCATTTAATCCAAAGCTCACAACCTTGAGCTCCTTCCAAAAAAGCAGATGAATGAAGAAAATTTAAGCCAAACTGCATTTTAATATGTTGAAGATTAAGAAAGTTGAATTAACTAGAGGTCCAAAACTAGAACAAATATGATTAATTAATCGAAAGTACATTGGGTTTACATAATTTTGATTTGGTTCATAATATTTTGTACCATTTTAGAAACGCTTAAGGAATTAAAATCAAATTATATTAGTTCTAATCTCATTGTTTAAATATTGATTTGTCATATTTAATTCTATATAAATTGAATACTAAAATAATCATGATCAAGATCCAAACAAAATGAGTTATTTGGAGGTACAAGAATCAAATCATTCAAGAAACTATAGCAAATCCCACACTTCAAGACTCAAAATTTTGTGTTGTTTTATTTTGGATTTAGTATATACATATATATCCCTGCCCTAAAAGAAATCAGCATGTGCTCGAGAAGAAGAAACCAACAAGCCTAAATGGCTTGATGTAACAAAAGCAAATTATTCCAAAAGTAGGATAGAGAAGCAAAAGAGGGTGGCCATGTGGCAGTTCTGGTCACTGATTAGGTCCACCACTATTTCTCCCCTCATGCAAAATCCCCATCATTTCATCACATTCCACAGTCTCCCAAAACTTTTTGAGACCTAAATCAGCAAATTTTGGGTCACCAACTTAGATGCTGCTGTTGTTAGGTGAATTATGGAATTCAAGATGATAAGCTGTGACTAGGAAATACCCCCCGTTCTGGTAAGCAAATCCAAATGGTTAGTTTCTGGTAGGCTTCTTGTCCTAGTTTTCTCACCTAAAACCAGGAAACACTTCCAATTACGCAAAAGAAATGGCATTCCCTAAACTTGTAATTTTGTGCATATTCAAGGCAGGCAGATGGATCTCAGAGCACAAACCCAGATCAAAATTTCTGGTTGGTGAAATTCAGGTTAGCAGTGACAAATGGCCACGGGACCATATGACCAAAACAAATGAAACGGCCAGGCCACTAGAGAGAGAGAGACCAACAAAAGCTGTCAGGCATGTGGGAAGATGAGTGATGACAAAAGAAAAACAGAAATAGGCATGAGTATGAGGGAGGAACACAGCAATTGAATATGTGAATGTGAATGAACATAAAGATGAGAGGAAGGAGAAAAATGAAACATTGCGTGCAAGCAAGGACAGATAATAATTAGTGCATATGATATCCTCCCCATCACCCTTTGTTTAGCCAATTGCATAAATGGTTCCTAAACCCTGGAGTCTTACTTATCAGTCACTGATACTTTAATTAATAACAAGCTTATTGATGCTTGAAAAAACCAACTTGATAATTACTTCATCCATTTTGTGTTATGTTTCCCATTTGACTCAAATAAATGAATGATGAGGAGGTCACATGGACTAGATCGAATCAAATCTCTGAATCGATTCAATCCTAACACATTTATTCAAATCACATAGAATTGATATACTAACATAAACAATTAGACGAAAAATCTAACTGAAGATGAAAAAAGTGACCATTATGTTTTGTCTTTCGAATTTCAGCGACATGTTCATTCAAAACTAAGTTTAGCGACTAATGTGTTAGCTACCCCAAAGTTCAGTGCTACTTTTTATTTTTATTTTTTTGGTCCCCAGAACCTGTCAAAGGTGAAACTCTGTTTCTGGCCCAAGAAACTCTTGCCTCTCCTACATGCCAACATTGGATCCTTTTCTATAATGTTTCCATTCCCCCCTTTTCCCCAATGTTAATTCCCTTTCAACGTTTGTGACTGTGTCATAAGCATGTTTCCCATTCCCACCCACGCTGGTGCTCCTTAAGTAGGAGTTTTATGCACATCATTGCACTAACCACTCTCTTAACTATATGGATCCAGCAAATCCAACCTATGCATCTTAATTTACCATGATGATGGTGGCAACTAAGTCAGCAGAGACTCCTATGACTTTATTGGTTTCAATTCTTAAAGCTTACCGGGTTAATATCAAATACTAAAATCAGTACTTGCCATCAAGAACTAAAGCTAATCAAAATCAGGTGAAACATATAAAAGACAATCTCAATATAGTTACCTGTCTGAAGAATAAGTTTGTCTCCAACTCAATAATTGGAATTTGGAAGCCTCTTTGCTTTATCGCCTTCCTGCCAGATGGGTTTGAAGATTATTAAGTGCAGATAAATGACAAAATAGGCTGACAAAGCCATGACTCCCACACCAGCAACGATTCAAAAACTTCAATCACCCTCCTCAGTCCTCACCATTTTACCCTGACTTTGAAATTAGGTAAAACTTCAACCTCGTGAAAACAAAAGTAGATTAGTGAATGGTGCAAATGAATACCAACCTTGTACATCAGCAGAAAGCTGCATCTGCAGATTGGAAATTAAGTAACTCCAGCTGCTTAATCAATTGAGTTAAGCACTCATAGATCAGTTCAGTTTGTGGGTGCGATCTATCCCTGACGATAAACTCATAAACAATGCCACTAACTTCAACGCAACTACTCCCAGGGATCTTCTCCACTCTCCTTTCCTGCATCATCTTCATCACTTTTCTGCCCTCTTCAAACATATTTGCCTCCCTATACATGGTCGCTAGCAGCACATAAATCCCACTGTCGTGGGGATCCAACTCGAGCAGCTTCGAAGCTGCCCTTTCAGCTATGACGATATTTCCACGATGAATCCTACAAGCGAAAAACAATGCACCCCATACTGCAGCATCTGCCTCCATAGGCATGCTCTCAATCAAATCTAGTGCTTCTTTCAGTAAACCAGCCCTACCGAGAAGATCCACCATGCAAGAGTAGTGTTTAAGCTGAGGACGGAGACTGAATTTGGACGTCATTTGGTCGAAATACTCACGACCTGCATCCACCAACCCACCATGGCAACAAGCAGATAGTACACCAATGAAGGTGATTTCATCTGGCATCAAACCAGCATCGACCATTTTCAGGAAGTAAGATATGGCATCAAGTGCATGTCCATGGAAAGCTAGACCACAAATGAGAGCTGTCCAAGTCATGGTGTTTCTCCCTGGCATGTTATGAAACACATCAATAGCCTTTGGGAGGTTCCCGCATTTCGCATACATGTCAACTAAAGCTGTCCCTAAAGCAACATCTACAGGGAGCTGGTGCTTTTCAATATACCGATGAATCCACATTCCAGTATCGAGGGCTCCAAGCTGTGAACAAGCACATAAGCAATGAACCATGGTCACCTTATCGGGGTCTATATCGCTAGCTTGCATTTCATGAAACAGAATCAACACTTCCTTGCCACGCTTGGCTTGAACATAGCTTCCCATAATAGCATTCCAAGAGACAACATTCTTTTCTGGCATAACGTCAAAAATCTCTCTCGCTGTCTCCAACAACCCACATTTTGCGTATCCAACAATCATTGTAGTCCATGATATAACAGTTCTCTCTTTCGACTTATCAAACAGAGCTCTTGCAGCGGCAAGATCACCACACTTCACGTACATATCCAGAAGTGCATTCGTGAGGGGAACCGTTAATCTCAACCCGTTTTCTTCAACATAGCCATGGAAATCTCTCCCCAGTTTCAGATCCCCCAACTGTGCACAAGCTAGAAGGAGCCCAACCATCGTCACCTCATCTGGCTTCACCTGTTCCTCCACCATCTCCTCATAAACACTCATCGCCTCCCTCGCCTTCCCCTTCTTCACATACCCATTGATCAGCGAATTCCAGGAAACCAAATCTCTCACGCGACCTTCATCGAACACCTGGCGTGCATACCCCAACTCCCCAATAGAGACAAACATGTGAATCGTGGCATTGTGCACGACAACAACCTCATCAAACCCGAACTTCAATACATGCCCGAGAATCTCAAGAGCCAAATAACCCAATCCCAACCCAGCGCAAGCATTCAACAGCAACGGGTAAGTATAACTGTCAGGCCTGAACCCGCGACCCAGCATTCTTTTGTACAGAACAACTGCCTTCCCAGGCTTCCCGCTCTCTACACATCCCCGAGCCGCGAAATTCCACGAGAACGCGTTTGGATCCTCGATCGTATCCAGAATCGAGATGCAGTAATCGACGTCCCTCGATTGCGACATCGCGCAGAACGCAATCAAACGACTGGACGCCTGCCCATCTGCAATCCACCCGGTGAGAATCAGCTGCGTCTGAATCTGCTTCAACTGGGATATCGATTTGCATTTCTCGAGCAGACGGAGAATCGGATTTGAAAGAACGAACGCAGGGATTCTGCTCCTGGGCGACTGATTCTCATTTCGTAGAGCAGAATTCGCTCGAGATTGGAGCTGAGAAGAATGAGAGGAAGCGTTTGAGATCAAATCCTGAGCTTTTGTCGCGCTTCTTGTGTACCGGATAAGCATCGGAAATTTGCTCGGCGGAATTCAGGGGAAAAGTTGGAGGTGAGTTGTTACCGAATTAGCGCTCGAAAATTGAAGGATGGATGTAAAATATAACGCGGGAAATAATTTCCTGCGGAGAACTGTCCTTGGGACGGAAGGGATGGGACAGTGGGCCTCGCTTATGGGCCGGAAATTAGATAAATATTTAATGGGCTAAATTAGGGTTAATATTTTCGTATGGCCTGAACTTTGACCAAAATAAACATTCTGGCCAATCTTTTCGATCTATAACATCCTGGCTCGAACTATACACCAAAATAAACAATTTGGCCAAACCCGATGTTTGACCGTTAACTTGGACGGTCAAACGCGTTGACTAACGGCCAACACACCACGTCACTGCCAAGTCAGAAGATCTGATAAATATTTAATTTATTTCATTTTTTATTTTTGGTTTAACTAAGGTATTAGATGATTTTTTAAATTTATAATAATTTAAAATAGGGAATGTGTGGAAATTGTGAATTATTTTAAATATTTTATGCTGACTTGGCAGTGACATGGCGCGTTGACTAACGGTCAACGCGTTTGACCGTCCAAGTTAACGGTCAAAAGTCGGATCTGGCCAAATTATTTATTTTGGTGTATAGTTCGGGCCAGGATGTTATAGATCGAAAAGATTGGCCATAATGTTTATTTTGGTCAAAGTTCAGGTCATACAAAAATATTAACCCGCTAAATTATCTAGCTTAGGAAAAAGATGTTCGGGCAAAAGAACCCTTATCTATTTTGTACCACTATATAGATAAAGGGCCAATCGGCTATCACCGCATGTCAAACTGTGTGAGGCGAGAGGGAGTAAATAATCTAAAGTTCATTCATTTCCCGTGTCTTTGATATGTTTCATATTTGTCTTCCTCGGTCAACATCGTCATCGTTTGATTAAGAAAACGGGGATCTCGAATGATTTCTTTGAAAACCAGCTCTGTTGCGAGAGATCTAACTGAACGGCGAGGAGGGCTCAAGAGTTGACTTATCAGCAGAAACAGGAGTAGCCAACAGTTTGCAGGAGGACATGCCAGCTTTGTAAAGGAGGTCTCGAAGGCCGAGCTATAAATCACGTGACCTGCACCAAGTTGGTGACTGACTAGGCTTTTTTCTAGATCAAAGCGGATAGCTTCCTTGTTCGTAGACATAGTTGAAACTCTACGGCCCCTAGCTAGCAGAAGTCATTCCCTGTCTCCTTCCCCTTCCGAGCATTAGCAGCCTATCGAGCAGCCTTTTGGTCTTTTTACTTGAGCCACTCTCTTAAATAGGGGGAGCTCTTTTCACTCCTTCTTTCGCAACTCGATGGCCTCATCATTGGTCTTGGAACTCAGCGAGGAATGCCTAGTGGGGGATACTCACTCACGTAGATCTATCTAAAGGAGCCCCTATAGGGATCTGACAGCCGAATATGCGATAGAAAGCTGGCAAGCCCCGGAATTGACCTGAATTACGATTAATACTGATGGCTCCATGATACAGTCCACTAATCATGCTGGACGTTCGTCCTGTTGCGATTCTTCTCTTGTATTCATTGGAAAAGGGACTGGCGCAATGGGCGTTTTTTCTTCTCTTCCAGCTGACAGCATACTAAAGTATGTGCTTCTTTTTGGAAGCTCACCCCAAGAGAGACATGGGAGTGGATCTTCTATTCCTATAAATCTTATAGTACTTAACAAATCTAGTGATAAGCTAACACTCTTTTAAATAAGAAGTCAATATATAGTAGTTAGGTAAAGCTATAGTCAAATTGACAAATGATAACATGGAATCCATTATGAATTCAACCTTGGGGTCAAAATCCCCTATAAAAAAAATGTTTACAAAGAATAGCACAACCAAAACATAAAAAAGGATTAAGCATCAAAATTTATATTTGATATATGAGAAGTGTATACTACTTGAAACTAGGTTATGAAATAGGATCAATCTAGAGAGGATATAATTAAGGGCGGAAATTAAAGCCTCTCAATTTAGGGTATGATTCATATGCTCTTGGCCATTTAACTAGTCCCTATGTAAAAGGGGAAGAAATATAAATTTTCAGCAAGGATGCTGAATCTTCAAAATTGGGGTTTATTCTTTGTCCTTAATTTCTCTTAAGCTCCACCGGAGCCATACTTCTTCCCGAACACGATCATCTGGAGCTTGTCGTATCCGGCGAGCACGCCAGCTCCGGCAACAGCCCTCAGGATGTTGGCGCCGGCGCCCTTGAACAGCGACTTGGCGCCTTCGTTCTTCAGGATCTGGGAGAAGGCGTCCATGGAGCTCTTGTACTTCACGGCCTGGCCGGAGGTCATCATCATCCTCCGGCGGACGGTGTCGATCGGGTAGGAAGCCAGGCCGGCGCCGTTGGTGATGAGCCAGCCGAGCGCGAAGCTCGCGAAGAAGCTATCCTGAAATGATGAACATATGGCGGCGGCAACAACGACAACAAACAAAAGGGATTTATTCTCTCGATGATGAGTAAGAGAATTTGGGGTAAGTTGCTTGTATGGATAATCAGTTCATCCAAATAACATTACGCCAAGCAGAAAATTTCGAGTTGAATCTTATATCACTAGTTAACACGCCATTTCAAATGAAATTATGAGTTTATCGACGGATATGCTTTGTTTGGGTGATGAATTTATGAAATGAGACAATTTTGATCAATTATCTTACAATTGCTTCAAAAAATACATTATTTTATTTCACAATCTTTGCTCTCTATATCCCGTCAATTCAAAATTATAGAAAATAAAGCAATTCAAATTATCTCTGCCCAAATTGCTGCATTCCTATCTTGTTTGGTATAAAATGAGGTTATTCAATTTGACCTAATCATTTCATTTTTGAGGCAATTAGGGTCGGTCTCATCAATTTCATCATCCAAAACGACCCCTTAAAAGATCAATTTTGAAGAGATTCAAGTATGGATCATGCATCAAAATCCCATGTAGCTGATCAAACCTCGCGTACATCATACTTGACGGTTTATGTAAACCCGTCACAGATAAATTTCATTCAACACCATTAAATTCAGTGTCTACCGCGGAATTGGTTCGCACATGATCTTTCGGGTTATTAAAGGCTGTAATATCATGTCAAAACTTATCAGTACTATTGGCTTTCATTACTTTTCATTATTTTATATAGTGTTTAAGTACGATGCATGCATGCGCTCAACTTAATAACTCGAGTAGTTGAAAAAAGAGTAAACGCTTTAACTAACCTGGAGGCTTCCGGTGAGGACAACAGGCTTGAGGGAGTCATACATGCCGAAGTAGAGGCCACGGTAGACAATGATCCCGACGCAGGAGATGTTGAACCCACGGTAGAGTCCAGCAATGCCGTCGGTCGCCAACGTCTTCTTGTAAACATCGACGAGGCCGTTGAACTGCCTCTCTCCTCCTTTCTTGGCGGCCTTGGCGTCGTTGGCCAGGCGGGTTCTGGCATAGTCCAGGGAGTAGACGAAGAAGAGTGAGGACGCGCCAGCTGCGCCGCCGGAGGCCAAGTTTCCGGCGAACCACGGCCAGTAGCCATCGCGGTCCTTCCTGAAGTTGAAGAGCTTCTTGAAGTAATCTTTGAAGGCGAAGTTCAGTGCCTGGAGACGGTTTTGCAAGGTTGGGAGATTAATATTGGTGGATCACATCATAGATCAATGAATTGTAATAGTTCAACATAATATCTCGGAATCGATTATTTGTCGTTGACAGAAAGTTATAGGGGTGTCACTGTAGAACAAATGTTAAACCGCTTTCAAGTGAAATTAGGGCTAGACCGTTTGAAGAAGGTATTAAATATACATTCTTAATCTCTGTAATCTGTTTATACTCAAGTATATTTTAGGGATGAAACTAGATCAAACCCAACCCTGACTTTGCCACTACCCTAAAAAAGCTCGACCATGTAGGATGAAACTCCAACTTGACTATATGCACAGCCCTACTCTAATTTCCGGCAGTCTGGTCCGTACGGGTATGGCTGGAACTGGACGGTTGGTTCGGCTCACATCAATAAACACACTCTTATTTGAAAATTATATTTTGATACCCATATTTTTTTCTTACAATTTAGTACCTATACTTTATTTTTATAAAAAAGCTACATAAATTGATAGTAAAATTACGTATCAGTACTTTTATATCTTTTACCTTGTATTATAGTACCTACAAGTTCAATGTAGTACTGGTATGAAAAATTGCATATCACTAGTTATTATATAGATCGTCATTATCCAATAAACGACCTGCCTAAATTCACTCTCGATCCTACCCGACTCATACAGAACCAAATGATGATCATACCCTAAATTGAATCGGGAGAAAACTGATCCAGCTGCCGACCCAGGCAGAGTCGTCGGGTCTGGGTCAGTGGATATATACGACCAAACTTATAGCTCTATCAAATATAGTAAAATTGATTTCTTCAGCTCATGGATTAGCTAGCACATATAATTTTAGCTAACACAAAAATTATATCAAAGATGTAGAGAAAGCAAGCAAAAAAAAAAAAAAAAAGAAGGGAATTACCTGAGTGGGGAAATAACGGATGACATTAGCAGTGTTCCCTCTCCACAACGACATCATCCCTTCATCCTTCATCGTCCTCGAGAAGCAGTCTCCGATCCCCTTGTACGGCTCCGACAGCCGCCCGGCCTTGATCATCTCATCCTGGTTCTGGATCAGCAGCTTGACGCGCTCGATCGGAGCCGCGGCGGTTTTGGACACGGCCGCAGAGACCCCGCCCATGAGGAAATCAGTGGCGAAACCTGCCAGCCCTTTCTCCGACGGCGCCTGAACACACACGTCTCCATGCACCACGGCCGTCGCCGTTATTGCAGGGTTCGAGTAGTTGCCATAGGCAACGTTACTCCGGAGGAGGAGTACCGGGCTGCCGGCGTATCGGGCCTGGAAAAGGTCCTGTGGGAGCTTGGAGGAGCCGGCCGTCATCTTCTGGACAACAAGTGATAGCTGGAGCTGTTGATTATCGGACATGGTTTCTTTCTTAACCCTATCAAACCTGTTCCAAAAGCTACAGGTTAGAAATGATTGAACGAACAAAAAGGGTTTCGAGGAAGTGAGATATTTGAAGGCAAATACGAGGAGGCAGGAGAGGAAGAGAAGAAGTAGAGTGATGCTATTATTAGCATTCCCTTTTTGGAGGTGTATGTGTGGTAAGGAGAGAATTTAGGAGTTTGAAAATGAAGAGTGTTTTGCTTGTTTGTTTGTTTTGGCTAGGAAATATCGGATCGGGGTGAAACAGAAAATTGTACATGGCGGATTTTGGCTAGAAAATATGCGGTAACCAGGGTGAAATCGAGGGTACCGCATATTTTGAGTAAGAAAACGCTATCCAAAATTGGAATTGATTGATCTTTTGGACATGATACTATACTCTAATTTTTAAAGATCAAAATCTAGGTCTTAATTCTCTAAATCTTATACCCCAAGATCAATTTAATTGGAAACAATAATCGACGGTGTTGAGGATATTAATTATTTAGTCAAAAATAATGAATTCCTTGTTCTCCAAGTTCCTTGTTTCCTTGTCCCGGTAAAAGAAGTAACTTGGTTGTCATTAGGGTTTTAACCCTAAGTCTCTCTATATAAGCTTAGCTACGAGATTGTCGTAAGCAAGCCGTCATAATGTAGTCTTATAATAAAATCGTCAGCCGTGAGCTCGTTCCGAGCTCACCGTGGATTAGTCTCAATCAATCGATCGAGGATACCACGTAAAATCGTTGTCTCGTGTGTTGTTTTGTCTTCCGCATCATCAATTTCTTCATGGTATCAGAGCAAAACTCGATCCCTTGTTTAGGGTTTTGAGCTTCCGCAGTCAAGGTGAAGTCCAGCCCGCCGTCCGTCAATCTCTCAAGCTACCTTTACAGTAGCCACCGTTGGTAGTCAACTCAATGTTGGCGTCTCTCCAACATCATCTCGGCGTCCCCTCGATAGTCATGGTTGTCGTTGAAAGAAGAGCCGATTTCCAATCCGGCCTTCTACTCCGGATTCGTATCATGGTCGGCGAAGTCCTTCCCGCCGTCAAGAACAAGATCTCCAGCTCCATTGCATCCTCTCCAGTGGAATCAATGTCATATTCGCCGCTATTGATGATGTTGTCGTCGTCCCACACCATCGTCGTCCGCGCATCGTCGTCATCAGCTTTTGTGTTGTCGTTTGGTCAATTATGTTTGGAGAGAGACAACTTCGACCGACGTATGTTGACCTCCTATTATGTTTGGTCAATTATGTTTGGAAGGTAACGAGTTCTAGCACCAAGATCAAGCACTTCCGTTGCCGCTTGGTTAAATCAGTTTGGGGTACCGGACTTGGCTTCTTTGTCCAGTCAACGTCACTCTAAGTGTGGAAGGTGGAGTTTTATCTAACGGCATGTCATGTAGCTGGTTATATCATCGTGAATCTTCACCAACATCGATTAAAGTCATGGCATTGAAGACAGCCACGACCTGCAGTGGTTGTCCCTTCAGTAGCTAGTGTTGGGGAGATACGGCTTTCGTCAACAAAGAAGTTCAATGCGAGGCAGTCACGATCAAAGAAGTGATCGTCCCCTCCGCTTTCAACATCGGTCAATGTTGAGTCATTACCATTCTCACTTTCAAGCTGGGCATTCACGTCATTCATGCTCCAGCTTGAGGGGGGAATAGGAGGTCAACATACGTCGGTCGACTAGCTCAGTCATCAAGTCGATCGCGTCTATCTATCCGTCAGGAAGATCAAGAGACGTAGTCAATCGTCTCCGTCAGTGAGTTCAAGAGACGCAGTCAACTGTCTCCGTCAGGAAGTTCTAGAAGACGCAGTCAACCGTCTTCATAAGGTTGTTCAAGGGAGAGAGTCAGTCGTCTCCAAATCAACCTCGTCCGAGATGTTATTCATCTCGAGTTATGTTGTTCAAGCTTGTCATGCTTGTTCGTCACATTTCGTTTTTCAAGCTCGACATTCATGTCACTCCTGTCTTCGCTTGAGGGGGAGTGTTGAGGATATTAATTATTTAGTCAAAAATAATTAATTCCTTGTTCTCCAAGTTCCTTGTTTCCTTGTCCCGGTAAAAGAAGTAACTTGGTTGTCATTAGGGTTTTAACCCTAAGTCTCTCTATATAAGCTTAGCTACGAGATTGTCGTAAGCAAGACGTCACAATGTAGTCTTATAATAAAATCGTCAGCCGTGAGCTCGTTCCGAGCTCACCGTGGATTAGTCTCGATCAATCAATCGATCGAGGATACCACGTAAAATCATTGTCTCGTGTGTTGTTTTGTCTTCCGCATCATCAATTTCTTCAGACGGTTATGATTCGTCCAAATATAGGCAAAAAAAAAATCAATGCACAATATGAGGGCTTATAGTTTATGATTTAGATAATTAGGACCTACAGGGTCCACTCATTAAGGGTTAGGATATAGTATCTTGCCCAAACATCCTACTAATTCGAGGTCTAGATAGCGCTTTTATACTCAAGGTATCTGGTACCCCGGATTTCACCCGAGGTACCGTAGAAGGCACTATATATATATATACCAGCGAGCTCATTGATAGTCGGAAGAGGAGAGGTAAATCGGGGGTGGTCTTGAAACTTGACATCGAGAAGGCTTTCGATTCCTGCAACTTGGGCTGTTTATTCGACATCATAGCAGATTTGGGCTTTAATCAGAGAATTTTAAAATGGGGAGTCGAATGGAGATTTTGAGCCGCTAGCATATAAAATTTACTGCTCACACCTTCAAGTCGATTCAACGCTTTAATCTTGACTCATATAACCTTATTTTGTGTGTATAATAATCATATCGGACATTACTAATCTCCATTAGGTTAACCCCATACCAGCTAAATACTTAACGAGGGATGATTTGAAAATTGTCAGAATTGTTCAATCTACACACTAAAATAGAAGTAACACGGTCAATGTATAATTAACAAACTTTGTTCATAAGCCCGTACATAGGTGTATAATTAACCCTAATTATATATGTATGGTATATTTACCTACTTATAGCTCCACGGAGAGGCAAATAGATACATCGCCGGCAATGGATGATTTCAATACAAATATTAATATGCTATCACGAATCTCAATACAAATATTTCAATGTCTGTTTTCCAATATCTCAATGAGTCTTCATCTATTTATCATATTTTCAAAATGCAAACGTCTTTAACTCTTTATCGCGCAAACAGTTCACGTAAAATGAATATACAAATATTTTAATATATATTTTTCAATATCTCAATGAGTCTTAACTCTTAATCCATTTATCATGTTTTGCAAAGTGCAAAGATCTGTATTGCGCAAATATTAGTATATGGAGTTGCACAAAAGAGACATAATGATCGCTCGATAATCATATACTTCAAACTACATTTATTTGTTCAAAATCACTACATCATTGAATCAAACATTCTAACCATAATACACATACCATAAGGAACTTGGAGAAACGTTCAAAGTGGAGGGGAACTCGCAAAATGATCTTGTGCCTCAAGAGTTGTATATAATGTGCAATCAACATTCCCCTATGCACACATTAGAAATTAGACATGCAATTACAACCATAACTAACTAACAAACCGCAAACAAATTCCCTTCTCCCCCCTTGTTTGTAGATAAAAAGACGACGCATCTTTAGTGTTTCCTATTTTGGGTTCGATCCGTAAGAGTCACACTACAAAAAAAATATATATTGGTTTAGTGTCGGTTATTGCTTATATTTAGTGCTCATTTTAACCTACGCTAAAACATTTTATGTCTGTTCATTTAACCGACACGAAATTTGTCAACACTAAACGGATTTGTGTCGGGTTTGGGCAACCGCCGAAATAACTGACTATAATCCATTTTGTGTTCGTTATTTTGGGTCGGTTCTAACCGATGAAAACTATTTATCAAGGAAATCCATTTATTTAATTAAAACTAATATATATGTCGACTCACAATAATCGACTCAAGTCCATTTTTTAATAATAAAAAATATTTCGCCGCCAACCAACGGTGTCGTCGACCCTTCTTCTTCTCTCTGGCCGACCCTCTTCTTTTCCTATCCCTCTCTTACTCACATTTCACGTCCCTCTTCCATTCTTCTTCGTGTCCAAATCAACTACAGATCAAAGCTACTGGCCAAAACAAAGACAGATCATGGCTGCTGAAAGAAACAAAGATCATGGCGAGCCAAAACATGAAATCGAAGAAGAAATTCATTCAAGAAAACAACAGATGATCAATCTCCCAAAAAGCGACAACAAGAAAAAATTGTTTACAAAATCAAACAATCGGAACCCCCAAAACCCATAATTAGACCCTTTGAATCCACAAAAAGCAACCCACAAACCCAGAAAAATGCATGTGCTTGCTCCTCCTCCCCAAACCAGATCGAGTCGCCTCTGTCCCCTACCTTCCTTCTTGATCCTTTCCAAAACATACATGAATGGAGCTCCGAGGTGAGGGGAAGCTGGTCGGCGGTCGAGGGGAAGTTGGGTTGTCATAGTTGGGCAGCGATTGCGGCGACAGATCTATCTTCACTGTTCTTGGTGCTCTCTGCCCTCGAAAACATAGACTACACAACAACGAAAATCAAATACACAACCCACAAACTGATAACCTACAAATCGATAATCAAACATGCAACCCAAACTGTACATTCGCTTTCCGCTTTGGTTTGGAGAAGTTGGGTTCTTTCCTTCTTGATCCTTTCCAAAACATACATGAATGGAGCTCCGAGGTGAGGGGAAGCTGGTCGGCGGTCGAGGGGAAGTTGGGTTGTCATAGTTGGGCAGCGATTGCGGCGACAGATCTATCTTCACTGTTCTTGGTGCTCTCTGCCCTCGAAAACATAGACTACACAACAACGAAAATCAAATACACAACCCACAAACTGATAACCTACAAATCGATAATCAAACATGCAACCCAAACTGTACATTCGCTTTCCGCTTTGGTTTGGAGAAGTTGGGTTCTTTCCTCTGGATCATAACCTGATCTCCGCCATCTTGAACGCCTCCTGATCTCCTCCCACTGTTGAGTGACAACTACCCCTTTTCCCTTCGCGGTAAGAGAATAGGATGGAAGATGGATCTTTGGGAATCGTTCGATTTTGGGAGGGGAGGCGTGGGCGATGGAAGAAGAAGCCCATGCTCTATACACATTTGTATTGTGTAGAAGAATAAGCAGAAGAAGGGGAAAAAATGAGAGGAAAGAGAGACAGTGATGGGTGGAGACTGGGGTGTGCCCAGAACAAGAAAGATTAATTTAAAAGGGAAAATTTGTGAGAGTATACCTTTTGATTTCGTTGAAAAAACCCAATTGGGCGGGTCCTTCAAATTTTCATAGCCAAATCAATTTAATTGAAAATTCAAAACAATCAAAATTTATGTCACTTAAAGTAAAACCGATACAAATCAACTGAAAATTGTATCGGCTAAAGAAAAACCGACACAAAATTATAAAAATAATATCGGTTAGATAACTTACACAAATTACCGACGCAAATAAAATTTTAGTGTCGGTTAAATGAACCGACACAAGCCAACCGATACTAATTGCTCTTTTTCTCTTGCGCTGACACCCTCGGTTTAGCCTCTCTGCACACTCAAAATTCGATCGCGAATCTCAATACAAGTATTTTAATATTCTCCAATATCTCAATGAGTCTTAATCTATTTTTTATATTTGCAAGTGCAAACATATTTATCTGACAAATATTTGTATAAGGAGTTGCACGAAGGAGACATAACGATTTATCAATAATCATATGCTTCAAACCACATTTAATTTTCAAAATTAGTAGATCATTGTTCGAGCCACAGTTTCCCACTCACTATATATTACCAAACTAATCATATGCTTATTTAACACATCTTGCATAACAACTCAACCACGACTTTTATGCATGTCCAAAATACTCATCTTGTGATGCTCCATCTTCACATCATTCATGTGATATCTCTTCCAGCTCCAATGGGCTATAGAATTTAGGCTTAATAACACTTCCGATTTGGGCTCAATTTGTTTCCGGAATCGTCGCCAATCATTTTGTCAGGCCCAAACGCTACTGCGGTCTTTTATTATGGTACCAAATGCAAACAAAACAAGCCAAATCCCCTAATATTACAACTTTACAATTTCGCCACTCAGCCCTCTCTAGTCTCTACCATGCAAAGGCTTCTTGTACGACTGCAACAACAGCGAAGAACAGACCACACTGAGCGACGAAGCGGCCATGCACGCGCCGGCGAGCCAGGGAGGTAGCCGGATCCCGGTGAACGGGTAAAGGATCCCCGCAGCGATCGGCATGCCGAGCACGTTGTAACCAAGCGCCCACACGTAGTTCATCCGAATCCGCGCAATCGTCTGCCTGGACAGGTCTATGGCCGTGACAACGTCTTCCAGGTTGCTCTTGATCAGCACTATATCTGCCGCTTCTATGGCCACGTTCGTCCCCGCTCCGATCGCCATCCCTACGTCGGCCGCCACTAGCGCCGGCGAGTCGTTGATCCCGTCTCCCACCATCGCCACTATCACCCCTTTCCCCTGCATTAACAGAGCAGTGTTAAGACAAATTTGGAGCTGACATTTTATGCAAGTCTCAATTCTGATTGTTGAGAGGATATTGTACCTGTAGATCCTTGATCTTATCAGCCTTCCCAACTGGGCTCGTCTCGGCGAAAAAGTAATCAATTCCGACGTCTCTGGCGATGGCTGCGGCGGTTGCCCTGTTATCCCCTGTCACCATGATGCTAGTGATCCCCATGGAACGAAGGAACGTGATCACACGTTGAGCCTCTGGCTTCACGGGATCTGTCACTGCAAAAGCTCCAGCCATCTTCCCATCAATGGCGACCAATACACACGTTCTAGCCAGCTCTTCGTTTTCGAAGATGTATTTCTCCACCTCTGGCACCAGTGTGATCTCAGATGTCCGCATAAGCCTTCTGTTCCCAACGAGAACCACTCTCTCGCCAACTTTTCCAGTCACTCCGGCTCCGGTGTGCACCTGAAAGTCCTTCACGTCGGGGATGTGATCGGGGCTCGAACCGATCTTGTGTCGAAATCTCTTGGCGTGATCGACCACAGCCTTCGCTATAGGGTGCTCGCTGTTCGCCTGAAACGAATTATGAGTTGTTCAATTGAGAAAACAATGGCACTAGTAATGCTTCAGGCTAACAGTATTTCAATTCCCCTGACTTTGTTGTTCTGACACAATCAATTTTACTACCAACTCTGATACTTAACATTCAACATTCATACCTCTGCAGCGGTAGCCAAGTCGCAGAACTCCTCCATTGAGAAACTGGAGAAGAGGACAGCACTGACCACCTGTGGTTTCCCCACTGTCAACGTCCCCGTCTTGTCAAACACAACTGTCTTCACCGTGTGTGCCTTCTCAAGGGCGTCTCCGCCCTTGATAAGGACACCTTGGGAAGCACCCTTTCCGGTTGCAACCATAACAGCTGTTGGTGTTGCCAGCCCCAAAGCACAAGGACAGGCAATCACCAGCACTGATATGCCGAACTGCAGGGCCAGCTCGAACTTGTCCATGGCTTTCGGTATCCAGTTTCGAGGGTAAAGGCCAACTTCCCCGGCTGTGAACCATACTAGCCATGTTACGAAAGCAACAACGACTACCTGAAATGTGGATATCCAGAAGTTACAGGCAAAAATTATGAGATCAACCAGCAGGCAGCAGCTACATACAGGGGAGCATAATGAACTCACCGCGGGAACAAAATATCGAGAGATTCGGTCAGCTAGTAGCTGAACAGGTGCCCTAGCTAGCTGAGCAGCCTCAACCAGTTGAACAATTTGGGACAGTGCAGCCTCTGACCCTACATGGGTAGCCTTAACATATATGCAACCATTCTCATTCATTGTACCACCAATAACCTGACAACAATGAAAATATAGTCCATCGTATTGTGTCATAACATTTCACAAAAAGAAGTATTATGATATCTACAACTGAAGTGTACCTTGTCACCAGGTCGTTTGGCAACAGGCCTTGCCTCTCCAGTGATCATGCTCTCATTCACATGGCTTTGTCCATCTACAACAACTCCATCAACAGCTACTTTCGCACCAGGAACAATCTTGATTATGTCATTCCGCTGTATCATTTGCGTACTAATTTCCTCCTCCGAAACAACACTCCCATCGGCGTCTAAAGTTAGCAGACAGGCAGTCTCAGGAGCAAGTTCTGTGAGTTTTGCTAAAGCATCTGATGTCTTGCCTTTAGCAACAACCTCAAGATACTTCCCCAACAGTATAAAAGATATCAGCATGGCACTCGTTTCGAAGAAATCCTGGCCTTCGAAATTTTCAGCAAAGGTAGCTTTTATAATCACATACACAGAGTAGAAGTATGCAGTATTAGTGCCTAATGCGACCAAAACGTCCATGTTGGCTGATTTTCTTCTCAATGCATGGTACGCTCCCACGTAAAACCTGACAAGACATCACAGGATTAAGCCAATTAGTGTTATCTATATGATTTTCACCATGAAATTCTACATGACAGTTACTAGGAAAGTGCTGGCTTATTACCTTCTACCAACAATGAACTGCACAGGGGTGCACAGAATCCACCTAAGGAGCATGCCAACAGTGAGATTGTGGTAAAGCTTATAGCTCAACCAGTTTCCATAAGGATGAAGCATAGGGAGTGCCATGGAAAACAGGAATACCGGAACAGAGAAAATGCAGCTCCACAGAAACTGGTTTCTATACATTCGAGTTTCTTGAAGCTGATCGCTTTCCCTTTGCCTGGGCGGAACGAATAGTGTTGCAAGGTAAATGTTGTCACCAGGGGAAGCCTCTTCAATCAGCTGTATGAGAGATCTCGGCCCAGTAATGGCCGAATCATAGTTGATGGTTACCTTCTGTTCATCCATGTCCATTTCAACATGATTAACACCTTGTGCTGAATCGAGCAAAGATCGAATCCGCTTACAGTCTTCCAAGCATTCAGCACCTTCAAGCTTTAGATGCACTTTGTTCACATCAGCGCCAGAACTTACAAGCACAGCTCCAAAGCCAGAATCTTCAATGGATTCAATGATTCCAGCAATATCTACAATGTTTGGATCGAAATGGACTTTTGCTTCTTCCAGAGCAAGACCCACCACTGCCTTCTTAACTCCATCGACAAGCAGCAGAGCACGTTCGATCGACTCGGAGCAGCTGGTACACATCATTCCCTTAATCTTGAGCCTGCATACCGCTATGTCCTGCTCAGAAAGATGCTCCACCGGGAACCCAGCATCTTCAATTGTTTCCTTAATCTTCTCAACCTTGAGACAAACAAACAGCAACAACAATATCAAAATTGGCTTAACCAATCAAAACCCCAGAAAGTAAAGATAATTAGCTGTGTCAATCTTCACTAGTTAAGGACTTACAGTGGTGAGCTCTGGCACATAAGTGACAGCAGCATGGCCATCGAGCACCGATATCGCCACAGTTTGAACTCCAGCTAGCTCCTTGAGCATAGACTCGATCGATGCAGTGCAAGCAGTGCATTTGATGTCTCTTATCTTGAATTTCGCAGTTCGAACCTTCTTATCCGCTGCAGCAGCGGCTTTACTGTTCTGTCCAGCAGCAGTACTGACAGTAATCGTAACAGCACCACCAGAAGCGGGCCTCAGTAGAGGAGCCTTCAAATCATCATCATCATCATTCCTCCCATCAAGCTCCTCCCCAACACCATTCTCACGTATCGAGCTCATTCTTCCTCTAAAAGGAAACATAAATCTTTAAAAAAAAGCACAACAATCATTAATCAATCGATGATCACGATTCAACCAGAAGCAATGCGGCACACAACACTTCCTCCATCCAACACCAGAAGGACAAATTGAACTAGGACAACGCGAATTAACGAGTTCTCACTCAATTAAGCAGCAGCATGTAGGTAAACAATTCATCATTAACAACAGCAGCAAATACTGATCCGAAATCGATCAAAAACTTCAAGGTAAGTCAAACGTCGCGCGGGCTCTGAATTGAATTCTTCAAAAAGGTAATTTTACCTTGGCTATCGACGACGATGAATCACGGGAGGGCAAGAGCGGACAGCGAGAAAACGGGGGCGAAGTTATAGTCGGATACTAGCTAGGGTTTCTGCAGTTGGCCGAACAAATCGAAGAAATGGGAGAAAAAAGAGGGAAAAGGGGAAAAGATTCCCCTTCGGGATAAGGAAGAGAGAGAATGGATGGGAAAGCGGGCGGCCGGCCGGCGATGATCAGAAATCGGCGGCCGGTGGGAGGAGAGAGGAATTGCGCGGCGGCGGAGGAATGAAGGGATTGGCGGTTGCGCCAGAATGTTCGAAATTCAAGAGGGGCGTTGCCGCGTTTATATAGTCGGGGGATTTGATAATTTTTGAATATTTGAAATCTTAACGGCTTATGGTCTCATCGCCATTTTCCCCTCACGCGCCCACCGCTTAACGGCGTTAGTTAAGGAGAATTCCGAATTCTCTTTCTCGTCTTCTTCGCGCTCCTTGTTTTGGCGCATTTTTTCGTGTACGGAACTCGCTGCCTGCCCGTCCAAACTCACAGCGTTAGACGCTTTCCCGGGGGGGAAAAAAAAGAATGACTATCATCATTATGTTGACATTAGGAATTTTCAGCTAATCCGAAATATGAATAGATATAGTAAAAAATTGAAATAGGGTGAGCCAAAAACAGGCGGGACTAGAGTAAATATTCATGTCCTGCCCTATATTATTTTTGAGTCGAGTAATACATGTTTCATCGCGTGTCAGATCGGGTAAATACCCAGCGAGCTGAGTTCAAATCACCATCTCTTCATAATACGGCTCTCTCAAACTCCGTTTGCTCTATACTCTCCATTACGAGATGTGTCCCAACTCTTTGAGAATGGTGTCTTAATATTTTTCTCATCGATGCCCCATCGCACATAATAACATATATCATCTACACGTAAGAAACCATGACGATTGTACAATCGTTAATTCCGTCTTACACAAAGGCACTCACCGTACCATATCTAAAAACACGAACGAAATGATATTTTCTCCCTCCTCCATTCTCATATGCCAAATTCTCGATCGTCATCGCCAGAGAGAGAAAAAATTCTTTTTTTTCCTTAATTTTTTATAGGTATTCCGGATAGTGATGATAGGAGGATGGCAACGCTAAACCCAATGATTAACTCCTAATGTGCTCAATGATCCGGCTATTCGGATTGGGATTGGGATTGACTTTAGGGCGTAATTCGGTATTTGAGATTTCGGTATTTGGTATTGGGATACCGATACCGTACCGATTTCCACCCCTAAATACGAGGATGATGGCAACGCTAAATCCAATGGTTAACTCCTAATGTGCTCAATGATCGGGCGATCTACCTTACTTTTTACCTCTCTTTTTCTTCCTCATTCACCTTTCAACAATCTAGTAGTGGGATGCGTACACATACCCTTTTCCCAAAAGCTAACTCACTAGCTAGCATAAAACCGGATAGAAAACGGTATGGGGATATGAAGAAGAAGAAAAAAGAAAGTAATGAAAGAAAGAAAGAATCTACAAAAGCAAAACAATCGGTTGTCTTACTATCCGTTTTTCACTATCGTCCGCTTCACCGCCGGTCACTGAACATTCAGTCGTCATTTCATTTTGCACGGCTGCATGGCAGCGGTGCTCTCCGTCGACGGGACATGACATTGCGATGTAGCAAGCAGGCGCTAGCTAGCTTTCTTTGCATCCTTTTGTATCCTACATAGCAAAATGCTAGATGGGAAAGGACGATACATATATATGTGATCTTGATGGTGTACTAGAATATTGGGTCATAGGGCTGGCTATTTGGTCCGAACTATTTGGTTCTACTCGAAACCGGACCGTATAATTCGGACCGGGACCGGACTGGGACCAGATAACAAACAATCCAATCTCATATTCGGGCTTAGATTTAAGGTAAAAAAACCCGAATAAAGACCGGATAAGAGACCCCAGACACCTAAAATCAAGATCAAATTGGGACCGGACCGGGTCAAGACCAGACCAGATCAAGACCGGATTGTATCCAATCCAATCTTTGGTCCTTATATTTCCGAAAAAACCGGACTGGAACCGGATCAATTCGGTCCAATTTAACCGGACCGGACCGTATAGCCACCCCTATTGGGCCATGCGCTTTAACATCGGCACATCAAATGTACGTACCATCGTACGGTCAAATTATCAATGTTTAGGCTTTCAGCCGGTGGGGTTAGGGGGTGTGAATAAAATGACCCAGAATCCGGTCCACTTGAACCGACCGACCTAAGAAAACCGACCGGAAGTTAGATGTGTAGGTGTCACGCCGTGTCAGGGTGTGGATGTATCACGACTGTTTCTCTACGGATCGGAAAATTGGAGGCTTCGAGAATGCAAGAAAATGAAAGCACACGCACACGACGATTTACATGGTTCACTAACACAATGTGTGTTAGCTAGTTCACGGGCGGGAGAGAGCCAGTTTCATTATACTTCGAGCACATATAGATTACAGATGAGTATGATGAGAAGTATTTATAGTACTTCTCCAGCGAGACCCTGTACGTGACTTCCTGTAATATCCCGATCCCGCTAAACCCATATTTCGGTCGCTAGAAATTACGCGATTTAAATCGAGTGTTTTGATAGTATGTCGACGAAAATTGAAATATATCGATTGATCGAATAAATATCAGTATTATTTTCAGTCATTGCGGCTGATAGTCCGATTCAAGTCACATCAACAGGATGGGGATTGAAGGTTCTGGAACAGGAAACCTTCTTGATGTTGAGTTACCTTGGTTGCGGGTTTGAGTGTCTAAGACAGTATGCAAATGTAGTTTGTGGGGAGGTTACATTGTGTTGATATGATTTGAATCGCAACGCCCATGATCCACGGCGTATGAGCTTATACACATTTAGAATTTTGTTCTGGGTTTGGTATGTAACCTTTTTTATTATCAAATTGAATTAGGATTAGTTGTATGAAGAATTACTATATATACTTCTCAATCCCTTTGTAATATGTAGTCTCCTCAGTTATAGTGAAACTGGCTCTTTCCTGCCCACGAACTAACTAAAACGCATTGTGTTAGTGAACCACGTAAATTTGTGTGTTCTTCTTGGTTTCCTCTTTCAGGGTTGAGACCCTCATTGGGTTGACAATTAGTTTTTCTTGTCTCCTAAATTCTCAAAATGTATTGAAGAATCTCTTATACCTACGTTCTCAACTTCTCACACCGACGTCGTACATAACTTGTTAACGCGTCAATGAAACAATAGGACAGACAACAACACCGCATGCGATTGCTAATACACTCGACTTAATTTATGAGTGGTTTAACATCTTTTTCTAGTACCTAAAATCATTTGCAAAATATTACTAATCTGATGTAAATGGGCATCCATGTCAAATTTTAACGGGTTGCTAAATGAAGTGCAAGCTTCATCATTAACTTTTGTTTATAGCAAGATCAATGGTTAACTGAAATGAGTTAAAAAGAACATGATTAGTTAATCATGATAAACTTTTTCTCTATAATGAACACATAATTATTGTTTCATTGACAAGTAGAGATATGGAGATCCAAGTGACAAGATAAAAAGAGAATGCCTTTTTCTCAATTTTCATTCAAAATATAAACAAGAATTTCTCCTCCTTTACACCAAGGATCGAGGGGAAAGAGCAAAGCATGTAATCCGAATGTGTTTCGGCTTTAGTTGAGAATGAGACCTACGTGCATGCTAGCTCTTTCCTTTCGTTTGCTTTTGATCTTTTTTCATGTTACGTGCTCCTACTTTCCTTTGCCTTTTTTTCGTCTTCACATATGGGATTGGAGTTCCTTTATTCAACACCACTCACTTGATAAGCAATAGGTTAGGTCAGCACCATATGTGACAAGAGAATCCAACGTATGGCAACACAAAATGACTCGTAATTCGATTAGAAAAGGGGGTGAATCTAGCTTATGTACGAGTCTACGTTCAATCATCTTGGTGATACCGTTTTGCAGTGGCATCCAAATACGTGTGTTCTGGATTCATTCATAAATTTTTCGATCCGGTTGTTACCACGCAATGCACAGTTTCCCCGACAGTTCCACCAAAACCGGACATAAATTCAAATCAAATTTGAAATTCACAAACATTATCCTCCCTCTGTAATTCAGGAATGTGAGAGATTACAACTTTATGTTATGTGTCAGAGACGTCACCTTGTAGTCGAGCAATTTCATGCTTAGAGAGAGCGACCATATGACTCTCTCAGCTATCAAATTATAATTAGAAATCGACATAAAATTTATAAAAAATCATGAAAATAGAATTATTGATTAATCCTAACGTGTTTTGTCGACGTCTTTTATCTAATTGCATGATTCAAAGCATTCGAATTTCATTTTGCTTAGACTCCACTTACTCAAAATTTCTGGCACCGTCACTAACACGATTAGCAGCCACTAGGGCTGCAAACGAGCCGAGTCGAGTCGAGTTTTTGCTTAGCTTGAGCTCGGCTCGTTTATTAATTTTTCAGCTCGAGTTCGGCTCGAACTCGAATTTTTATAATCCAGCTCGAGCTCGAGCTCGGCTTGAATAAAAATAATCTAGCTCGAGCTCGACTCGGTAGAGCTCGATAAATGCTCATTAACATAGCTTGTTAAGCTGAGTACAAGCTCGGCTCAAGATGAGCTCGATTTAAAATCATTTTTGCTGGAAAAATGTATAAACATAAGAATTTAAATGATAGAAAGAACACTAGAAACTAGAAATAACATCTAAATTTCATACACATCTGTATTATAAGACAATGTTCATGTTTAAAAGAGTAATTCATCCTTCCACAAGCTCAAAACAAGGCAGCTCGCGAGCTTAGCTCGACAAGCCACCGAATCAAGCTAGCTCACGAGCTTATCAAGCTGAGCATGGTCTAGCTCAGGCTTGGCTCGTTAACTAACGAGTTGGCTCGCGAGCCGGCTTGTTAAATAACGAGTCGAGTGTCGAACGAGTTTTTTCCGATTCGAACGCCGAGTTGCTCGCGAACGGCTTGGCTCATTTGCAGCCCTAGCAGCCACTATCAAATTGTAAGTCCAACCCTCCATTCCATGTGAAGTGTGAAACCAAAAGATCAGAAGCAGCTAGAAAGACGGCCCCCGTCACCAGAAAAGCCCAATGAGCCCAATACATCACCTCGTTCCATAAAGCCCATTTTTATATTAGTGAGCACCGAGCCGGACCTATCACCTTCTCGGGCCCATTAGCCTACTCCAATCCAAGGAACAAGCTTTTAATTCGATGTTTAGTAGGGACTAAGTTTTGGCGCAATATTAATAGGTCAAATTAGATGGAGTTTGGACGAATGTCAAAAATCAGTTGATTTCTATAACTTGAGTTGTTGGGAGATGTTACGAAATAAATCATATATAGCGTTCTCTTACTACGAAAGTGATTGTTTTGTTACAAATTTTCAGAACCACGCTATAATTTTTCCAGGACAAATGCATGAAAATATTTTATGACCGTTTTGTACATATATGAAAGTTATATGACCATTTTTGGGTAGTTATTACCCCATCTGATCATCATAGAAGTACAAAGGTTAGAGAGAGAGAGAGAGAGAGAGAGATGGTTGAGAGAGAGAGAGAGAGAGAGAGAGAGAGAGAGGTGATTGTCCTTAGTGTGACCAAAGTAACATCGTTTTCCTTCGGTAGAGATTGAAGTAAATGCAGTTTGTTGGGAGAAGGATGGTCTGATATTATATGATACTGATGAATATCTTGAGATTAACAGTAACTGAAGTAGATTGGTCATGTTATCTTGTTCTTCTGTGGCAGTAAGTGTTGGATATTTAAAAAAAAAACCATAATGGTACTATCTCTTAAATTGTTATTTTTCATTATGAAGTTCCAAAATAAAACTACAAAAGTGACTTCATGATCAATGTTCAATGTGAGATTACCGAAATAGTTTGCCGTTTAAAATGACCGAACCACGAGCTAACACATAGAAGTGTTATTATTGTGGTGAACAACAAAAAAATAAAATTGTAAATCTATTTGTGTCATAGACTAGATAATAGTATCGAGATTATGATTTTCTAAAGTTGTCAAATTAAAAGGCTATGTGTGTTCTTTCACTTTTTTATATCTAGACAAACTTTGCTGCCACTTATCTAATATATACTAGATTAATTCGATAAAATTATTAGCAAAATCTCTCTTAGACAATAACTTTCCGATGTATCGTTCTTTTTAGTGGCAAATAGGCATTTTATTTAGGGTTAATACCTTATTTTGGCCCGAACTATGACCATATAATCAACTTTGGCCCGTGGTTTCAGAAATTAACATCCTGGCCTCAACTATGCAGCATATAGACTCAATTGGCCCGACACATAGTTTGACTGTCAATTTGGACGGTCAACTTCGTTGACCGTTAGTCAACACGCCATGTCATTGCCTAGTCAACCTAAAAATCATTAAAAAATTATTTATTATCAAATTAACCAAAAATAAATTATAAAATCATAAAATAAATTTTTTTATTTTTATTTTTTGGGTAATTTGAAAATGATAAATTTTATAAATTAACCAAAACTTATCAAATTATTTTTTATTTTTAAAACTTCCCAAAAAAATATAATTTATATCATAATTTTTAAATTATAAAATTTAATTTGATAATTTTGGTTACTTTATAAAATTTATCATTTTCAAATATCCAAAAAATAATATTTTATATTTTTAGAATTTTATTTTTTGTTTAATTGGAAAATGATAAATAATAGAAATTAGGAAAATAATTTGAATTTCAATTTTTTTAATGATTTTTATACTGACTAGGCAATGAAATGGCATGTTGACTAACGGTCAACGGAGTTGACCGTCCAAATTGACGGTCAAACTATGTGTCGGGCCAATTGAGTCTATATGTTGTATAGTTGAGGCAATGATGTTAATTTCTGAAACCACGGGCCAAAGTTGATTATATGGTTATAGTGCGGCCAAAATAAGGTATTAACCCTTTTATTTATAGTTCATCAGCTTCTGATCGACTACCTCAAAACACTAAGTTTTTTTTGTGAGAAAAATGAAAAACCTCAAACACTAAGTTTATTAGTTGTATGTCATAATTGATGTCTAGTTATTATAGTTAGTTTTTTTTTCCTTCTTTCCCATAGTATAGCTCATCTTTTCCCCCTAATTGGTCCAAACAAACTAACACAAAATGAGGGAACTCATTGATGCCAAGGCACAGAAAAAGAAAGAAGACAATTGCCTACTTCCACCTCTAATTCTTAAAGAGTCACCTAACAAGTACACAAGCTTATATATAGCATTTATTATTTACCCAGCCAGCAAAATTCTAAGTTATCTATCTATATCCTCACTGGTTTTACCATGAGCAGCATGGCAGCTAGCTAGCTAGCTGTATTATAGAGCATGCAGAAGCTTAGCAGAAAGAAGGATGGTGCAAATGTTGTTGGGTGGAAATGGAGTTTGTCCCTTTTTCCCAAATGGACAATGGGAAGTTGGGGAGGTAGAAAGGAAAGTATTAAGTGATAGAGAAAGCTCAAATGGATGGCAGAGGAAGAGTCATATAGATAGATGGATGGCAGTAGTTAAGGGCATGCAACAGTCTTTGAAGTACAAATCATCAATCATTGCAAACTTTGGCTCTCTCTCTCTGGTCCTGATGAAGAGCTATTTGCAACCCACTTCTCTCATTGCAGATAGTGCAGTTTTACTGATTATCCTCCTCAATCTCAGCTTAGCTAGGTTTGAATCGACCTTGTATTTGAATCGACCGTAACATATTTCGTATAAGTTAAAGACTATGATGCATGTTATGATAGTAATTTATTCATCCCAATAAAATCAGTTTATTCATTTTCAAATAATTAGACGAGGTTAAATTATGAATCATATCATACCAAGCATGAAAATGAGACACTTTTTTCATTTATCGATGATGATATGTGTATGAAATGAGAAATTTGTGCAGGTCTCACCATTCTATCTCAACATTTCTTAAACCAACCATCAATATTACGAACGATTATTATATAGGGTTCTTGTACAAGACTCCCCGCCATAGTATCTCAACATGCTTAAATCACCCATCAACGCGACTATGGATTTTGTTGTGATATCATATCAAAATTTTGTTCTTCTTCCTACAAGCCTCACCAGATAGTATCTAAATATGCTTAAATCACCCATCAACGCGACTATTGATTAGATGTGATATCATATCGAAAATTCCAACCAAACTTAAGTAGAATTCACATTTGAAAACCCACTAAATAAACTTCATTTCCCCTCATGGATGCACAACTACAAAGGATAATTTCATTCATCTCCATGCATGCATGAGTTACATGGCATGCATTGGCACATACATGAGATCTCTTTGTCATGAACCCATATTATAATATTGCATGAATTGGAAACCCTAGCATGTAATTATATAATTCACTAAAAATGAATGGGGGAATTCCGATGGTGTAAAAAGGTGGGTGTGTGTAAAATGGGGATTCCCAACAATGCTTAATTCTCTCTTCACATTAGTCCATACATGACAAGTTACAAGCTTTTCCCATTTTCATCCCAAAGTCAAAAATAGTAGTAAAAATGTTGAAAGTCGAGGAAACAGAGGGAAATGCTTGGAGATTGGTTAACAAAACACAGACAAACTTGTTTCCAATTTTCGAACAACTCGAACTTTGGTTAATAAGATTGCTTCCCATATAACCATGGGATTACATTACTCTCGTACGTGTTGTCTTGGAACCCTACATGAATTATATAATATTTAGTCAGACCAACATTAATTACTTAATTAAATATAATACATGGTATTATATAAGTGTGACTACCTCGGTGCACTCACAAAAATAAGTGTGCTCAATGCACCCGACTCAAAAACTAGTTATAAGGTGTCGAATTTTGAATTTTAAGATGTAGAATTAGTGTAATATGATGATATAACATATGATAACAACTAATTAGTGGATAACCCTAAGCTCTAGACCTCCAATTTTGAGTTCTATCAGTAAACCCCAAATTATAAACCCTAACCCTAATCCTAAGTCTCTAAACTCTAATCCTTCAAATTAAAGTAAATCTTTAATGTTTTTTTGTGCAAATTCATGTGCGTTATTGTTCATCACATCATAAGTGATGATTGACATCATTTTGACATAAATCGCATGTTTAAAATGACGGTTATGAAGCGAGTGCACTGAATGCACCCAAAAAAGTGAGTGCACCGAAGACGTCCCCGTTATATAAGAATAAGAGTATGTTGGGTTTATTGCATCTAGGTTTTGCATGTCTGTTTGATTGATCATCTACGTCGATCGATTCATGTCCAGCACTGCCTTTTTCTATATGGTGGCATGCATGTGATCAAATGATCATATATATCAAAGAGTGAACCCTAGAAAAAAATTGTTTGTCATGGACCCTTTTTGATGCTTTGTTTGGTTTCTGATGATATCTTTCTCTCTTCTCCACATTCTTTCAGAGAAGGTATAGCTTTAGTTTCCACACATCTAGCTTGGTAGGTAATATGATCTAATATGAACACATCTGAGGACTACGCACACATGTGATCTTTATGACGAAATTATGTAAGATCTACAATGTTAGACGATTAGAGGGTCTCCGGACGAGAAGTTCAAGTTGTTGAGATGAACTTCATGGTCTTGACGTAACATCAGAGTTTGAGTAACTAGGAAATATAAGATACATTGTTAGATCGGATCTCTCGAATAGTTCGAACTATTTGTATGAAACTTAAAGATCTTGATATATGGACATTGGATTTTTGAGCGACTAATATGCCTTTTTACGGTAATATTATGGTAATGTCAGATATCAATAAAATTGATTGAAACATAATATATTATAGATATGTGTAAGAGAACCTCAAGATCACCGTGTCCGGTACATTAATTCACGCTTAGTAAATCAACTCCATACATGGTTAGATATATAGTTAGCCCTAGCTAATTAAGATAATGTTGATCAAACTATATATTAACCATTACCAAATGTCCCTAAGACAATGCACTTAATTCACAAGGTGGCTGGTGCTTTCAATTAGTTACTCCATCTACATCCCTTGAAGTCACATAACAACAAAAGGATAGCTCACTCCCCCCACAAACACACTATCTCTCCAATTTGTCTCCTTCCTTTTATTGCAAAATCATATTCAATTCATAATTAGTTACATACCCTAGCTAGATAAATAATAATAGTAATAATTCATGTCCTATGTACTTTATTAGCTTTACTTGTCCGCAACATGAATCCATAATTGTTTTCATTTGGGAAAAAAAAAAAGAAACATGAATCAATAATTGAATTGGTGATACCTGAATTTGAACATAAAGAGTACCTCAATATAAACAATGGAAGATGGTTTTAATTATGTGGAGGTGGGAAACTTTAAAGGGCTTGAGAGAGACTGGCCAAAGAATTGTCTGACAGGTCAATATTATTATGTACTGGGATGGAAAATGTTGCAGTGGAATGAAGTTGGAAAAACCATGTGGTGGGGGCTTATTACAAGCCAACATGAAGAATGTGTACAATATTAGGTTCATTTATGTGTGTAAAGAGCTCAATTTATCTACTCTGTCCTTTAGTTTTGTCCCAGATGTGAGATGGATAGGAGAGAATGGCAGTGGATCCAACTCTTTCTATAAGACTTTCATTTGTCCTCATCATTTCAACAATAATTCAATCAACGACATTGAATTGGTTTACATAAAAGAGAGGTACCGTGTTTGAATCGTGATATGCTCGATTATGTGCAAACTTTAACCTTGTTTGGTTGGGAGTGACTGTAGTAGAAGTGTGTCAATGGGCCAAGCAAGCTAGCCGACCAGATGAGCTCCCCGATCAACGCAATTGCTGGCTATTGTTTCCTCCTACATTATCATTTCCTACACATATGTTGATTATGTATACACGTATGTTTTGTACATATAAAATTGTGATAGTATGTGTATTATAATAATACTCTTTCTCTCTCTAGATTCTCTCCTTCTGTGTTATTGGCATTGGGATTCAAGAGAGACAAGCCTCCAAACCCTAATTTCAGACTTTGTCTTTGTCCCATTGTACACACATGCGCACATATTATAATATTGTTTTGCATACATACACAAGCTAGCTAAGGAAGTACTAGAGTGTTCAAATGGTTACCGTGGCAATAACCAAACCAATTAAGTTTAAATTTCATTAACCATGGAATAAAATGTCTTAACCAAGCCGTCCAAATCAGCACTAAAACCAAATTAATCAAACTAAAGTTTAATTGGTTTGGTTAATCGGATTAACCAAATAACATAACATAACATGCAAACAATTATCCTGTTAATGAATAAAACATAACCATATGTTGTTACTATCATAAACTAGCGTTATATATAATTATGTATATTAGGTGTATCATTAATTGGTTAATTGGTTTCATTGGTTAGCATTGTTGAAACCAAACCAAACCACCTAAACCAAATAAGCTAAATTGTTTAACCAAACCAAACCAATTATCCAAATTAACCGAATACTACCGGTTAATATGGTTACCACGATAACCAATCCGTTTCAACACCCCTAAGAAGTACTACAATTCCTTCCTTCTCTCACTCTTGACCATAGTACATGTATGCTTGGATTTTTGTCTATATGCATATTCTTTGAACTTTTTTTTTTGTTTGAACTTTGTCTATATGCATATTCTTTATTCTCATAATAATACCTCCCCATTCCCATCTCCTTTCTACAATACACACTATTCAATAAGGATGTAAAGGAAGGAGAGTCTCTTGTTTGTGGGTTTCCCAAGTCCCAAGATAAACAAGTATTCATTCGTTTATCTTAACCACACACATACGTAAAGGAACGAAATTTGGAATGGTATCTCGATAGTCATATTCGTGTTGTGATAAATTGGATTCAGATTGAGTATTTTATTTTTGAATACGGGTCGTAGCTAAAAAATTGACTCATGTATATATATGTTAAAGGGAAATACTCGATTTTTTTTTCTTATTAAAAATTTGAGAAACAATATCACATGATGAATGAAATGTAATTATTCAAAAAATGAAGGTTCTCACCTAATTAAAATTTATTATAGTTAAGATATCATGCAATAAAAGTAAAACTCTAATGCATTTGAGTAAAAAAAACATTTATTTAGACAAAATGGGAAAGAAATTTACCAGGATAAATAAGATTGAAGCGACTACCCATATCAATCTCATATCTAATTGAACAGATCGAATAAAATGAGTAAGATCCAATTTGTCATTCGTATATACAGATAAAATATTAAAATATATAATTCAAGAAAATAGAAAAGAAGGACATTCTCTTCCTTTCCTCTCCTCACTCCTCACTACACTTTCTCAGCCTATTCCCTCTTGTTTCCTCCTCTCTCTTTGCTTCAACCATATAATAATAATAAAAGCATTTTTTATTACCATTATTTTGTTCTCTAATGTTTAGTCACACCTCAACAAGTGACATCTTGTCTCCCCTTCTCTCTTCTCTCTCCCATCATTTTTTTACTCAATTGGGTCACCTTTATCAACCCTCAACACTTGATCCCTCTCCTTCATTCATCTCAATCCCTTCTTCCTCACACTTCTCCTTCTCTAGCTATAGCAACAACAACAACAACAACAAAAAAAAAAAACCTCCCTTTTCTCTCTAGGCCCAATCTTCTTCTTCTTGTTCTTCTTGTTCTTCCCTAATGGGGTCTTGAATTGATTCCTTCCCATCATAACTCCCCTTTTTGGCCTCCTCCTCCTTCTTCTTCAATGGCTGATCCCTATTCCAATTACTTCCACAACAATGGCTCCTACAACAGTAACAGCAGCAACTGGCACTTCAATCTCCCTGATCACCACACCAATAATTCACTCAACCATCTCCACCACTTCTCCTCCACCTCATCATCATCACCACCTTCTTCCTTCACTAACTTCTTCTCATCAGCACCATCGTCAAGAGATCACCAATATAATCGATTCTACACCAGCAGCCAGCAGCAGCAGCAGTTTCATCATCATGAATACTCACCACCAATATCACCTCCAATCAGGGAAGCACTACCACTGCTGGGCTGCCTCAGCCCAACAAGAAGGCCCATGGACCTGGACCATCATCATCAGCTCATCACATCATCATCATCATGTGATGATGAACAAGAGGATGGCACTGTTACTGTGGCTCTACATTTAGGGCTTCCAAGCCCAATATCTTCCTCCACAACAGCAGCAACCACAGTGGAGATTTCTGCTGCTGCTGCAGTTTCTTCTTCTTCATTGACTGGTGGGGTGATTACTACTACAACATCAGCAGCATTACTTAATGATAATCATAATCATGGTGGTGATGTTGATGATGATGATGATCATTATAGTAATGGGAGTAGCAGTAATAATAATCAGGTGCAGCAGCTCCATGGTAGTGATTATAGTAATAATAATGGAGGAGGAGGAGGAGGAGGAGGAGGGATGATGGTGATAAACAGGATAAACAGAGGACAGTACTGGATCCCAACACCAGCCCAGATCCTGATTGGCCCAACTCAGTTCTCTTGCCCTCTTTGCTTCAAGACCTTCAACCGCTACAACAACATGCAGGTAGGTAACTCAAGATCTTCCCTTTCCTCTCTAAATCCCTCAAATTTCACATCTTTGTTCGTTTACATTTATGGTGGTATGAAATGAATGGGGGGGAAATGAAAGCAAAAAGGTATGATTTTGCAGACTGCAGTGTTGAAAAAGCCTTTCCCTTTGGCCTTTCTCTCCCCATTTCTGTATTGTCTTCAACCCCTTTTGATTTCTACAGAAACAAAATACACCAAAAGTGAGAGAACAGGGAATTAAGAGAAAAAGAAACCCATTTTGCTGTGAGTCAACGTTCTTTAACTACTGATATATATCACCTTGATTCAATTCATATCAAGTTCATGACTTTTTTTTTTCTGGGTTATTACTGAAATCATGATGGTGAAGGAAAGAAAAAGGGAGTAGTACTAAGTACTATAATATATGGGGTCCTTAGGGTTTTCCTTTTTTTTTTTTTTTTTGTTAATTGTATCCTCGAAATGTTTCAAGTGATAATGTACGGCCGGGAAGCTGATAATACATCTCCACTAGCTAGACATTACGCTCGAATCTTAGGATGCCAAAATGATCATCTAAATATGATTCTCCGATTGAAATATCTCAAAAAATGTTACTTTTACATGTGAGCGAGGAAATGGATTAAAATTAATTAGTTGTTGTATTAATAATTAATCCCAGATGCACATGTGGGGCCACGGGTCGCAGTACCGGAAGGGCCCCGAGTCCCTCCGCGGGACCCAGCCGACGGCGATGCTCCGGCTGCCGTGCTACTGCTGCTCTCCGGGCTGCCGGAACAACATCGACCACCCGCGCGGCGGCAAACCCTTGAAGGACTTCCGCACCCTGCAGACTCACTACAAGCGGAAGCACGGGATCAAGCCCTTCATGTGCCGGAAGTGCGGCAAGGCCTTCGCCGTCAGAGGTGACTGGCGGACCCACGAGAAGAACTGCGGCAAGCTCTGGTACTGCGTTTGTGGGTCCGATTTCAAGCACAAGCGGTCGCTGAAAGACCATATTCGCTCTTTCGGCGGCGGCCACGCCGCCTACGGGATCGACACGTTTGGAGAGGAGGAGGAGGAAGAAGATGGTATGGAAGGTGAGTCGGACGTGGAGCAGCAGCAGCAGCAGGATAAAGAGTCATAATTATGTATTCAATAACGTAACTTTAGCTATAGGTATGAAGATGGCTAGGGTTTTGGAGAAATGGCGGTGAGGGTGATCATCGAGCAATTGCATTTAGACTTTTTTGTTGTTGTTGTTGTTGCAGATCCCAGATTCGATCCAATTAAGCGAGACCCATTTGATCCTCCCAGAGTTATGAGGGTGCTGGCGAAAAAAACCTGTTGGTGTCGAATTGATTGCACAGGTGGCCTCCAGGTTGAGCAAACCTCATTGTTAAAAAGTGGCACGTGAGGTTGAAGTTCCTGGGTAATAATAATATATATAAAAATCCATTCATGTGAGATCCTTATGTTGACTTAAGCCTTGCGGATAACATTTATCCGTCTTTTCGAGTTACAAGATGACATTAATCATGAAGTTTGTTAATGGATGAAGTAGAAATGTATGAAAATCGAAGTTGATCAACGATTAGGAATTATAATGAAACAAGTTATATCAATCGATTGATCGTCGATGAATTCGTGACTGGCTTTGATCAATTTAAACGCTTCAAAATGAAATTTGAATTGCACTTAATGTATCATGTCTAGTACATTACACTAAGGTAGTAACTAACATATATACATATTCTGTGTGAGGATGTATGGAGAGATCATAACTGTTCAAAAGAATAGTTGTAGAGAAGGTAAATAGCAAATACCTACCGCAAGCACATCTCATGTTTTCATTACCCTATTTATCACACAACTGTACATGTTCACTTGACTATGCACACACGTGTGTAATGGGGGGATGCACACGTGTGTAAGACTGTAAGCAAGTGTGTGAGACTGAGTAGTACTACTGTTCTTCGTGGTGTGTTTACATGTAAGTTGGCAGAAACAAAGGGAGAGCAACAAGAGAAAGGGAATTAAATGGGCATGTGGTGTGTTGTCAAACTTCTTGTCTTCAATAATTCCTTTTGCATATCTCTCTCTCTATCTCTCTTGTTGCAGTACTTGTATGGTGGGTGGGAAATACTGAAATTAAATTATACATAGTAGTATAAAATATGCAAAATCGTTGGCGATTTGATTGGAAAAATCATTTATCAGAGTCTGAATTGATAGGCGATTTTTAGCAGTATGGAGTTAAACCACGAGTTCAGCATAAAATAACCTACCATTAACTTTTCCGTTACAACATTCAATACAATCTCTTACAACATTGATAATATATAGAGATACCCTTGCAATATATATAGGGTAGGTTTAGGACATAAAAAGGGATATTGGAAAAGAAAGGAGAGGTTAAACCTTGCAACTTTGCCATAGCTAGGGATGTGATTTAGTTATTTACATATAGGACTCCCTGGAGGATTGATACGTGGTTACAGAAGAGAACCCAATTGGCCAAAACAAATTATGGGCAGTATAACTAGAAAGCTACACAATAATGAAGAGTTCTTGATTCACAGAAGATGTTCCGATCGAGAGTGACCTCTCAAGGCCATAACTCGAGTGATGATTATGGAGCTAGGAAGCAAATGAAGAAAGATGTCCACAAGTCATTGCAGTGCAGTGATGCATTCTTGCAAGAGCTATAGCATGCAAACAAATGGGTGTTTTTTAATACAAAATTGCAAATTCTTTGTATATGGAAGAGGTATATATGGATCTTGTTGGCAGCAGCTTTACCCTACAATGGTTTTGTGGGTTTATAGATGATGGATGGATTGACAGAGAGGAGGAGGAGCAGCAGCAGTCAAATGGGAGAGTCTTTGTTAAATGATGAGGAGATTGATGATAAGTCATTTCAATGGCTGCCATGAAAGAAAAGAAAACAAAGTGTAGAGTCAGTCAGAGAAAAAGAGATAGGAGTATATTTGAGGGCAGCAAACCACATTGTACCACCTTTCCTTCTTCTTATCGGTATTTTTGTATGTTTATATTGTTTCTCATGTTCGATAGATATGGGCTAGACAGAAAGAAATCTGCCTACTCATACCTTCCCCTCATTATATATACGTCTTGTTCATATGGCCCTTTCACCTTAAATTTTGGTGGTATACATGAAAAAACTTTGTGTTCATCTCTCAAGCAATGGGTATTTTTCCCAAACCTATGAAATAGAAAGCAATAAGCTTTTGCCAAGATGATTCTTGGTCGGGTAAAAGGAGGAGAAAATGTATTCTTATCGAAGGCATTACCGTGGAGGCAAGGTCATCTTTGCCAAGCAGTTTCGCCAGTCCAAAGTCACCTAAACAAGCAGTAAACATTGATGTGATACAGTTGCATACAACTAATTTGAGGTATGTTTTGAATTCTCAAGCTCTCACCTAGTCGGATGTCGTTGCTTTTTGAAAGGAATATGTTGGAGCACTGACACCAGAATTTAACATCATAAACATTATTGCAGAATCATCTCAATTGTATAATATACAGCCTTTATAGAATGATTCAGAAGCCTACTTTCAAGTCTCTGTGAAGAACACGATTGGAGTGGAGATAGTCCAATGCTAGCAGAAGTTGGGCCAGCCACTTGCAGACCATCTACACCATGTTGGATGGAAAGAGAGACGAGTTAATCGATCCAAAGGGAAAAGCATACGAAATCCCTGTGGAGGTATATATATATATATATCTCTTTCCATGGCTTCTTACCTCTTCACTGAAATACGTTCCTCTGGCTCTCCTTATCATCTGATCCCTGAGCAAAATGCAAATGTAGAAACGAAGTACTCCTTAGACTTGCAGCTCATAGGATAATCAATCTTAATGGTTCAGTCCAAACTTACATGTCTCCACCCTCACAGTAATTCGTCACGATGCACACGCATTTCTGCATACTCACGACAACCAAAATGTGGCGATTAACACCTGCAGAGCTTTGTATTTTGCAGAAAGCAGAAAGCGGATAGGAGCAAATCATTTTATCTTTTACCTTCCCAACCCAGGAGTCCTGGTACTCAACGATATACGGGTGGTTCAACTCAGCGATCAAGTTCATCTCCTGGACCGCCGTCTGCTTGAACCTCTCGGTCTGCCTCGCCAGCTTAATCTTCTTCATCACATACCTCTTGTTCTCCGACTTGTTAACCACGAGGAACGCTGCCCCGAATCTCCCCCTCCCTATCTGCTCCGCCACGTCATACTCGTCTTCTTTGTTCCTTCCCTCCATTTCTATCTCTCTCCCCCTCTGCAACTTAAGGTATGATTCTGTGCTTCTTCAGATTTCTTCCACCATTGTTGGTGGGATGATACTAATATATACAACAACTAATGCCTTTGTCAGGAGGTCAGGGGGAAAGAAAAGTGTGATGGAGTAAATGTTCTGTGAGTAAATCTTCTGTGTGTGGATGTGACAAATAGACATAGAAACATGAATCATGCTGTGTTAAATTCTTACCCTCAATGCTCAATATTACCCGTATGAAGGGATACCTTGGACTCTGCCAGTCCTCGAACAGAATGTGAAGCTTTCAAGGTTAGAGCCAGAGACCAAAGAATGGTGTAGTTATGGAAAAGAGGAAGAGAGCAGAATTGAGGCAGAAGCAATGGAAAAGGAAAGGGGGAAATGAAGTTTTTGCAGGTGACAGATATGCCAACCGTGGGAAAGGGGGCATTACTTGCATTCAAGGATTCCTCACACATCATTACTTCCATTTGGTTGCTATGTCACAATCCTATTCATCTCCCAAGTCATTCTTCTCTTTTTTCTCCCTCCCTTTTTACTCATTTGCATAGCTTTTCTTTTCTCTTTCAGTAGCTGGGTTGTAAGCAAGAGATTACACAAGCATAGTTAGGAATGGCAATGGGGCAGGTCCGGGCCGGGTATCTCGATACCCATACCCGCCTCATGGCAGGTCGGGTCCAGATCGGGTAATTTATCATGGGGTGCGGGTCGGGGCAGGTCGACCCAATGGGTATGTAATTCATGTGAAGAAATTTAAAAATATTCATTATTTTCATTAAAATACCGAGAAATAAACCATAATATGATAAAATGTAGTTAAAGTATTGGAAAATTTGAGGTTTTCACTTATTTACAACTTTAATATGGCTAAAATATGAGGTAATATGAGGAAAATTTTAATTAATTTTACTAAGATTACATGTAGGTAGGCAAGAACGGGTCGAGAATGGGGCGGGTCAGGGCAGGTCGGGTCAACAAGAGGTACCCATGCCCGCCCCGCCTACGGGGCGGATCGGACCCGCCCAAAACAGGTCAAACAGGTCGGGTAAAACGGGTTAGGTCGAAATTGTCATCCCTAAGCATAGTCCAATGGCTACTCAACTAGATATTTACTTTACTTTGGATATCAACTTTTGGATCCTTTTTCAGTATTTTTAATCCAAATTCTTTATTGATGATTTCATCATGAGTTTGCCCCTAATGACTTTGCCAATCTTGACTAGGTAAGAAGAGACCTTTTGCTTCCTGGTTGGAAGCTAGGCGTTGTTTAGCTAGCATCCATTTTGTTATGCAGTTAAAATCACGAGTTTCGCAATTCTGGAATCAAAATTCAAAACCCAAACTCTTTCTAGTAGAGTCTTATAAATCTTACACGTTTCGAAAGATTAACCAGCTTCGCCCATATATCGAAAAATTCAACTCTTTTTAGGGCACACAAGCATCAGGGAACTCCTGGAAAAAAAACTAGTATTGAAAATCGCAACAAAAATCAATTAACATGGTTTCCGAATAATTCAATTTCCCATTTTTAAGTAGTGGGCCAAGTTGAGGCCCATTATACAGAAGACTCCTCCTAACTTTGATTGAAACTGTTTACTCAGCCCAACCCAATTCACCAAGCCCAGTCCAAACCTTTGTGTCACAAAAGAAAAAAACTCGTCGGAGAACGGTGCCGGTGATTACCGATTTTAAGTTCAACGGCGACGGACAAAACGGGGAAGTGGGAAGAAATGGTACACGCGCCACCACTAGGAACCAGACACGTCCCCCAGCGTTAAGCAAAGATAGTTCGTTGGCAGATAAACTTTTGCCTTTCTCTTTTCAAAAACGTATCCAAATTAAAAAAAAAAATCCAAGAAAAAACCAACTACTCAATCGAAGCTAGAAAAAAGAGGGCACAATCGCCTCTCTCTCTCCCTCATCAGCTCCTCTCTCCCTCTCCCTTTCGCCCTCTATCCTAGGCGATCTGGTCCATCTGTTCCAGGGGTAGGGTTTATCGCCTTCTTCAATCCCTTCTTTCTCGTTCAATTCCGGGGTTTAGTCCATCAGTCTCAATTTCAATCGGTACATATTGATGACTCTGTTTTAATTTTACTGAATCTTCTTTTTGGGTTTTGCAGGGAGGGGCTTTTTTCATGCGCATATAGAAGCTGAGAGATCGGTTCGAGGGGAGTCAAATTATCGATCTTCAGCAGGTTTCTCTGCTGTTTACCCCCTTTCTGTTTACTTTCCTTCTCGATTTTGATTATTTGAATTTCGAGTGATTAGCTTGTTGCAGAGTGGTTCTGCGCAATCAAGGGATGTTTCTGGGTTTCTTATGGGGGCTTGTATGATGAATAAAGGCGGAATTTTTTAGGTTTTAGCTCTCTGAGCTACCGGTGGTTAATTGGTTGGGGGTGGAGAAGAAAGAGTTGATGTCCTATTCTGGTGAAAGTTTTGATCTTTTTCACGTAATTTCCTTAGGTGGTTAATTTATTCAAGATGTGGTTAGGTGACTTGCAATTTGTTTCAATTAGTAACTTTTATTTAATTGAGGATTTTGGTTGGGAAGAATCTGAAATTGACAGTCTGAGCTCCATCTTCACAGAGTAGTGATAGACATTGCAGACTTGTGTTTTTCAGTATTGTGAGGTTTCGATTTGTCGGTTGACCCAACCACTTTGGGGGGTTTGAGGATATGATTGAGAATTATGACATACAGCTTTGCATAATTTCCCTGGTTCAGTGGATATGAGATTGCTGAGTCATAGGCTTTACATTTTGGGAACTGAAATTTGCCTCAGCTAGATGAAATATCATGCTTTGGTTAACATAGGAATATGATTGAATTGGCTGGTTCATATCTTCAAAGTCATCCCCTTATTATTTACTAATTACTAGTGTCCAGACTTGTGCCTGAAGTTGTGTGAATTAAGAGTTCTTATCTTACATGACTGGTCCAACATTTAGGAAATATAAACTTAGAATATATTTGGAATTCATTATACCTTCTTGTTATTCTCTTAGGGTACTCAATGGGTGTCATCGGGTCCTTTTATATTGATTATGGACTGTGAATGCAGCTTATAAGCAAGACGTATGGATTTTTATATCCAAGCTCTAATTGTCATTTAGCTTCTGATTCTCTTGTTTGTGAAGGTCAGATGCCTGTCTTTCTTGCAGTGTAGTTATACATCACTTAGACTAGCCGATGGCGTTAACGTGTCCCACGTTTCCGCCAGCCTTTGTTCATTTTCTTGTAGCACTTTGTGTATGATCTGAGTCATGTAATGTATACCTGAATCAGTCATCTTAATATATCTGACATGGTCATTGGATATTGCAGAAGTGAAAATGGACCATGACGAGACAGGCTGCCAAGCTCCTCCAGACCATCCCATATTGTGTGTCAACAACTGCGGCTTTTTCGGAAGTGCTGCAACCATGAACATGTGCTCGAAGTGCCACAAGGATATCCTGCTAAAAGAGGAGCAATCCAAGCTTGCTGCATCATCAGCAGCGAGTATCATGAACGGAACATCCATCACCACCCTTGGAAAGGAACCTGTTGTTGCTCCTGCTCCTGCCCCGATCATCAATGTACAAGTCAGTTTGCAAGAGCCAATGCCAATCGCGGTGCAGCCGTCTTCTGCTCCAGGTGCGACAGAGAGCAACGAAGAGAAACCGAAGGAGGTGGGGCCTAACAGGTGCAACACCTGCAACAAACGGGTCGGCTTGACTGGGTTCAAATGTCGATGTGGGCACATGTTCTGCGCGAATCATCGCTACTCCGACAAACATGGTTGTGCCTTTGACTACCGCATGGCTGCACGTGAAGCTATTGCGAAAGCTAACCCACTTGTGAAGGCGGAGAAGCTCGAAAAGATCTAGAGATGGTGGCCGGGGGGAGATAATGGATGTGCTTGTTTTTTCATCTACTCGGTATTTCATCGCCAACTATCCTACGAAAGGTGTCCGGGTTTAGAGGGAGAAGGGAAAGAGGGCATCTATGGCAGCAAGGAAAAGGGCTCTACTATGATGTTGTGATATTGGCGATGATTTATATGTTGGCTCTGAGTGTGTGTTGAGTGTTGGAAGTTAGTCACCTTGTGGTGGTTTGGTTGTAGACTTGATCCAGATTTGTGATGTCTCACCGTGTTTCATATGGCATTTTACCGTGGTACTACGTGGCAAAAAAAAAAAAAAAAAATTCAGATGTCCAGTCTCTCTAGTAGTTGTAATGAAAGACTCCTTAATGGTTTATGGCCATTTATCTTTGCTTAAACTCTGTAAATTCCATGGCTCTCTACGACAGACTCCAAATCCGTCTACCTTTATCATTTCTCGTGTATAAACTCGACCTCGAATCGTTGTCTGCCCCTAGGTGTTTGGTATGGATGACAATAGTTTATTCTAGATCGTAGTCTGTTTCGAACCATAAGTCGTTTCATCAGTTAGAAGTAAAGCGATATCAAGTTTGGATGGAAAAGGCATTGTATTGTATCAGATCCATCTTCAATTTACCTTTCAATCAAGATTGAACTGGATCGATGTCCATTCTAATGCAAATGTTGCTCAACATGAGAACATGAACGCAATATACGGAGGAAACAAGGGATGAAATGAAAGCATTGTTTATGTGGCAATCATGTTCTTGGCAGGCATCTCTCTGTTAACTCAGTAACAATATGACAGCTCATGCCAACCAATTTGTGAAGTAGATTGGTCATAGTGAACAGTAAAATCCCGTTTAATGTTATTGGCAGGCAGGCTTCAGAGTATTTGAGAGGCCTCGGAATCATCCCTGCCACACCTTGTTTCAACTAGCAAATCGATTGTTACTTCGTCGCCCTGGTTCAACCACATACCGATGATCGAGCTGATATGATTCTATTACTTTCGAAAAGAAAGCAAAATACATCGTAAATTCGCAATTGAACTGAAAATGAAGAACAACAATTTCCTACATTTCCCAGGAGGAAAGTAAACTAAGTTAGTTTAGCTTGCATTGTTAATCACACTATCACTCCCCTCTAGTCAAAACCCTCTCCCATCATCAACAACAACATTAGAAACTGATTCCAGCAGTTCAGTAACTCAGGCATTACAACGAAATCCCCGAGGCGGGTTCAGATTCAAGATACTTACAGATCCTCTCCATGACCTCCCTCCCCTTCACGCTGTTCTGCATGAACCTCTCCGCGCACTTCTGCTCCAACTTCTCGGCCATCGATGCCAGGGCAGACAACGGCTTGATCCGAATGCTCGTCTGCTGCTTGCAAATCGTCCACCCGCTGGGGTTATCCGGGTGAGGATCATACCTTATGCTCTCCTCCACCTCGATGAACTTCTCGAGGCTAATGTTACGGGTACTGAGCTGCATCGACTTGTTCCTTCCATCCACGACGGTCGACTCCACGCAGTTGCAGATGTCCTGCCCCACGATCTTGTGCAAGAACCAAGGGCCAGGAGCGTGGACGGTCAGGGCACGAGTCGTGTAGAGCTTCCCCGTTTGAGGGTCGAGCTTCTGGTTCAGCGTCTCCACTGCTAGGATGTGGTTCAATGTGCGCTTGTTCTCCGGATCGGAGAACTTCCGCCATGATGCTGATGTTACCCTCTCCCATGGATGCTTGTAGACATGCTCCTGTGTGTAAGCTTTAACCATATTTAACCTCTTCCCTTCTTCCCCTACAGGATCCAAAATAGTGTTAAACAAGAGAACAAAAATCCACCGATTCCCAATTCGAGGGAAAAGGAAATCAATCCCTAGATTGTTCAATCGAGCAGAATTGGCAGAAACCTTATTTCCAATTGCAATCCGAATTCCTAGATTTTGACCAGCAATTCATAGACCCCTGTCGTTCTTCATCGAGCTGGGAAAGAACTACCAGGGACCAATTCCAATTTCAATTATCAATCCAAGCTATATTTGGAAACTAATTGATTACACGTTAGCTAGCAGATGCGAAGAGTTTACCGGCGGAGCTGCGGTTTCCAGGTGAGATCCAATCAATTGCAGAGAGAAACAAGACAGAAATGGAACAGCGAGAGAAGGTAGCAACGGATGAATAGGCGTACCTTTGATTGACGGAGCGATGCTGCTTCGGCCGGTGGGGTTTCGTCGGCTAGAGGAGAATTGTGTTCGGCAGTTCGGAGATGTCAACCGGAGAGACGGTGGAGAGATTAGAAAATGCGCTGCTCAGACTGGCGGAATGATGGTGGCGGTGGTGGGGGGATGTTTACGGAGTTTATTTGGCGCAGCCGCCTTAATTGGCGGGCTGAGAGTTACGTGGCAAAAAAGCCAACGGGAGTGCGATTTTTGGGCTAAAGGCCCAATACTAGAGGCCGACCACGGATAAGAGATCCAACGGGCCAAGTTGTGAAGTATGGGCTGCATCTCGCGGTTGTCTATACCATTACCATCTAAGAACAGCAATGGGGCCTTTGGTACCTTAATATTTTGCATCCAAGCCAATCCTAAATTCGAGTTTATGTTGGGTAATATTCGTGTGGACAATTATGAAAAGACACTATGGTTTTGAATAAGGTCTCCCCTTCGAATCATTTGAGGGCTTTCTTTGATGGTGCAACAAGTTTGGTTGGTCATGATTTAGCAGTGTTACGTTCTTTAAGATGTTGATGGGAGACTAATTATGACGGGAGGACACTGTTATGAAGAAATAACCAACGCATATTTGCTAGAGAGATAGGCCCTCCGTGATTGTCTGCTGGAGTGTGACCGATTGCAATTGCATAAATCTCATGATTCGTGAGGATGCTAAGGTCATAATACACAAGTGCAGAATTAGGGTTTAATGGATGCAAAGATTGGGTCTATACTTCAAGAGATTGACATTTTTTTGGATTCAGGGCAAGGGAATACTTTGAAGTTTTTGTTGTTCACGTAGGTAACTAGTTGGCTCATTTAGTGACCTGAAAAGTCTTGTTTTTGTAACCTCGCATATTGCAGAGAGATTCGACTTTCTGTCTTGGTTATACAGTTTATTTGTTGCATATTTGTTTGGATATAAGATATGTAATTTTTCTCTTTGGCAGAGAGATCCAATGAAAAAAAAATGTTTTGCATGGATCAGAGAGCAAATGTACTCGTTCTAACGTATGTTTTGTAGGAAAGAAACACAACACTGTAACTTCAAATAAGCGATTAGACTTGAGGATCCATCTTTCATTTAGTTGGACTCGAATTTATGTCAAAATACCTTCTTTTGTTTAGTAAGTGTTTCTTTGTGTAGAGATCGATCCAGAAAGAATGATTCCAAAACGAGATGAGGTGAAAAAAAAGTAGCAACTATTTACAACGATAGTTAATCTTTAGATGAAAGGATTGAAACGGCGAATTGACCAAGAATTAAGAGATTCGTGCGTGGGTGGAGTAAGATCCGAAGGTTAAGGTTTAACGAGGCATTGGAAGAATAAACAAGAAACTAGGGGGTAAGTTAATCTAGTTCTATGTGGAAAAAATATGTTTTTACTACCCACAATTAATCTATGGGATATTTCTTCACAATAATTATATTTTTTTTTGCTTAGAACAAGATAGTGCCATGCACATGCCTTCTTTTCGCTTATAAACAACTAGTCTTTTTACGTACGTGCTTTTAGATTCTTCTTCTTGATCTTCTTTTGGTCAATAGTTTAATTTGTAATTATATAAAATTAATATATATATATATATATATATGTATATCGAAGTTGAGAAGTTACCATTAGTTACGTTCCATTGTCGAGGTAGGCAGGTGGTGATTGTCGAGTGTCGACCATATAATATAATTAAACTTTTACACCATTAAATTTTGTATTTTTCAGATATATATTATTAATATAAAGCAAGTAACGAAATGTTAAGTAGAATGAATACAAGGTTAAGGATAAGAATGACATTAGTTACAATCCAATCATGGATGAACCACCTATTGAAACTTTAGTTTATCTTATATGAATCATGGTGGAGCGCATAATTCATAGGTCATTCGATTGAAACCGAACTCTAAAATCATGTAGAGCCAAGAGAAAGTATATTTACGAGCTCTTTTTCACTACACGGGTTAGTGAGGGTGTACATTCTGATGTCTATCACAACGACTCTATTCAACATATCTAATATTTCAATCCTAGCTACACAAATTGTCATACTAGTTGTATGTACACTTTAGCTACGACTAGCTAGTAATCAAGCTAAGAAACTTGAAACAAAATTTTCAATACTCGATTTCATTTACTTTTAAGTTGCATTTTCATTTAAACGCACATTTTAAGTGATTTATGCTAAACTGAAGTTAATGGAAAAACAAAATACCTATGAGTAAGTGAGTTTTGATTTCTTAGAAAAGAGAACGATACCTTAGAATCTTCATCAGAAAAATGAGATCTGATGGACCCTAATCATTGCAACAATGAGTAAGTTTAATGGACATTTGCCATAGCCATGTCATATATATATTCCTACGCCCACAATCGAACTTGATTATTACAAAAATTTCAACAGATTTTTTGTTTGGAATAGCAAAACTCGATATTTAAGAAATAGGGTTTGTTAATCAATTACGTAACTGGGTTTTTACAGTATCAAAACTAATGAAGAATGTCGAAAAGTACACAAATTTTGGTGTAGCTGAATGAATGATCTATCTATCTAACTGCCTTGGCTGAATCGAGAAGAAATTAAAGAGTAGTGACTGTTGGTAACTTTTATGAGCCCGGCCGCAAACATTGCTGACAAATACCAAACTGACCCACGACGATCGATCATGTTCATCGGTGACTGAGCTAATCACTTGTTAGAATGAATCAAAATGTTCCATGTCACTATGTCATATGTAGTGCAAATTTTCTCAACCTCACTAGTACTGCTCAGCACATGAAAATCTTCGAGTATTACAGGATACTTGTGTGTGCCTATAATTACATAACTTTTCTACTAAACTATTCTTATTCTATTCTTATGAGCGAAACAATAAACGAAATGATAAAGAATTTTGATGAACCGAACATGAACTTTAGAATCTCACCTCGCTCCTTCGACCCTCAATAGTACATTGGTGTGGCAACTCAAAACTATGATATCGACCAAAACATAGCACGTACCACTACGCACTTTGATTCTGCCAGCATCCATCGTCCCCTTAAATACACATGAAACAAATTAAACAAACACTTAACTCTAACAAAATAAGACGAAGAAAAAAGACGAAGGATGGAATACAATACTACGGATCCCCGTCCATCTGCCTGCCCTTTCTTTGCTTTCGAGGCGACACGAGCACTTTCCCGGCGTTCCTCCCATGCAACAAGCTAAGCTATAGCTCTCCTCCTTGGAAACTCTCAACTCTCAACCATCTCTCTCTCTACTCTCTCTCTCTCTCATTGTAGACGAGTGGTAGATATTTTTTAATACAAACTTCCTCTGCAATAACGTGATGGTCACTAAAGCCTCTTTGTCACGATGGTGCCCTCCGTTCGTCCACTCTATTTACACCCTGTTGGTAGAGTATGTGACATAAAATCTATTACCGAACCTCTTTCGATCGGTAACTCGAGTTATCAGAAGTAATTTGGTTCTTAACATGATATCAGAGTCTTCTGTAACCGAGATATCTTTGTATTCGAATCCATACGACTCTCATTTATTAAGCACGTGATATATTCAGATACGTACAAACTTCAAACTCTCGTGGGACACAGATGAATGCCCCCTTAGCTAGGGCTAACATGTGTGTGGACATGGATGCCATCTTAAGAGTTACGTGTTTGAATCCTTTGTAAGTTATAAGCCGAGTTTAAGTTGTTAGAATAGCTATATATGTTTGCTTGCATGCATTTTAGGTTATCGGATCCAGAGAGGGTCAAACATATACTAACTAAACCTAGCTGTCTGGTTTGCCGGCCATTAATAATACAAGAGCCAGCCATCACTTTAGTTCTACTTCGCAGGCTGCAAAGAAAAATCGGGATTGATATTGCTTCTTGGAAAAGATCCATCTCCATATGTTCAGATCTCAGGCCAGCCATGCACAAAATCACGATGTCGAGCAGTAGGGTTGTAGTTCCTGAGCTATAGGTTTTATCGGGAAGGAATAGCTAGCTAGGGCAAAAACAAACACACACAAACAAACAAACAAAGAGTCTCTTGTATTCATGGACCGATGCACGCGATCATAGACCAGCCTTAAAACCAGTGAATTCAACATGTTACATACTTGTCTCACTACTCTCTTTTTTTTTTTTTTTACTTTATCAACATGATAGCAGCTGGTATAGTTTTATGTAATGGTAGATGCTTCTTGTCATTGGACAACGAACCAAAATATTATCACGATTGAATTCGTTATAATGGAGCGAGCAGTCGGCAGAAAAAAGTACTAAAACGAATGATTTAAGTACCACTTATATGATTTCATTAGGGGTAGTCTTATCGGCTAACTTACATTTGGAAGTCCGCAAAAAATTTTGAAGGGATCGGTACAAATTATGTGTAAAGTCCATACATTGTCCTACCGTTTATATAGAGCAGAAACAACATATTCAAGACATCCAAATAGAATCGACACCACTAATACGTTTTGCACACATCCAACTTCAAATTTGCTAGATAACATGACACCACAATGAATAGAGCTTTTATTTTACTTAACTTATTTAATTTCTACAATTTACCATATTTTAATAGTTGAGTTGAAAATTTTGGACTGGGATTGAGGGGGGTTAAAATGGTAAAATTAAGGATGGAGGGGAATTGGTCAGAGAGAGTGGTCAAAAGCTTTGGTTCGTGTTTTTTTGTGCAAAGCATGCAAAGGGGATAACCACTTTCAAACCCTAGCTACACGAAGCCGGCCGGCGACAGAAACTGACACGTGTCAGTCGCATTCCTCTGCGTTTGTGCCGCAATATCTGAATTGGCCAACCCATGATTTTAATTACGGGAAATATAGTAGTTACATACACGTGGATATATAAACTCACTAAGATATGCAATTGTTAGAGATTGCCATTCATCCCAAAGGAATGACGCTACAAAAAAAAAATTAACCGATCTCTTGCAGGCGAATTGACCCAACTAAACGATTAATCGGGAAATTCTTAGCTCTAACCTTTGGTTGGACACAGTAGCTTCAACTATTCAACGTGTCAGTTTTTTATTGGTGATTTCATTATTATTTTTTTATATTGCAGTTCTTAATTTATTTAGCATTATTAAATATAAAGAAAAAAGGAAGGTGAATCCACCAATAACAAACTGACACGTTGGATGGTTGGAGCTATTGCATCCAACCAAGGTTGGAGCTAAGAATTTTCCCGATTAATCGCCCGAGGGCTCCAAGTACACTCCTAAAATTCAGAATTAGAAAAAGCCAACATCATTGAGCTCTGTAACACGAAATAAATTGATGCATGCAAGCGCTTTTTAAAGCACGGTTCGTATGTGTGTATCTAGCTATTTGCCCTAAGATTGTGGCCAACTACCTCACTCGCTGACCGGGCAGCAAGACCCCCAACTACCAGTCGTAGCGGCTGATAGTCCGATTCAAGTCATATCAACACCACCCTACTTGGATGCTCTCCCTCTTTCCATCTTTAACTTGAGTAATTTACTCGGAGAAAGAGATAAAGGTAAACGAGGGGAAGAGAAGGTTAGAAGCGAGAGGCGTGGGAGGTTGCTCCCTTATTGTGGAGCATGCAGTCTCAGTCTCAGTCAACTTAAACTTTTTTCTTTACATATACATATCTTGAAAATTTTTAACAAAAGAGAATTTTTGGGGGCAGTGTGTAAAAGCTAAGTGTAGTATTAATGGTGATCAGTAGTATTTTGTCTCTATACTTAATATTAAATGTATATTTTAAGTTTATAACCCCCACTATGGATTATTATACTTTCAAAAATAGTTAGGGCTTTTACTTCCTCTTTCTTCTTCTCTGTCTGACCATGCTATAATAGTTAGCTAGCTAGTTACCCGCAACCCGCAAAACAAACTTCCACCCCTAGCTATCACCGATCGATCTCCTCTCTACAGAAAAACATATATATGGGGAAAAGCCAGTCTGAACTCTGCAACTATTCTGAACAAAATTTGACAAAAATAACTTGCTTGATCTGACCATCGTCAACCTTCCAATATGTCATGCTCTTTTCCAGTCCTTTCACATGTCTTTTTGTTTCCTCCCCACGTTGTTTATTTCTGTCACAGTTGATGGTGGCTAACTTTGTTTAACTATGACAAAACCTTCAATTCCCCATTTTCTGGAGTGTTGCTGTTCATCTGCATATATAGTAGGTGGTATGAGACCAATGTTTGTGTGTGTGTTTTTTTTTTGGAAAGAAAAAAAAGAACAAATTGGTTGCTCGATCGCGCTAGTTCAAGTTGTCGCTTAGATTATGATGAAATGGAATGAGATGCGATGCTAACTCTTTGGAGTAAGCGTGTATCGTTCTTATTGATGACCTTCCAACGCGAGTAATAACTTGCGGATATATAGTTAGAGATAGCGGTGCAGATTTGATCACGAGATCTCTCGATCCTTAGAATGTTTATCTATCTGTGGCTTGGTACTGATCGAGAAATTTGCTGGGATTGGTGTATTCTCTATTTCTCTTAGCTTACTACATTAGCTGATCACCTCGCGCGGGGCGATTTGTTTAATAATAGGGTTTTTGACGGGGGCACGAAGATCAATTGGGCGGTCAACAGATTTTTACTTGGGGGAACAAACACAAGCCAAATCCTGCTTACAAACAAATAAACTATTGTTCTTTTTTTTACCTTTTTATTTTCTTCACCACATAAACTAATTAATTATTTAATTACCCATTTGTGTTCTGATTCATTTTTTAATAACATATATTAATTAGTTAACCGCTGTCACAACAAATATCTTTGAATGAAAACCTTAGGGTATAGATTAGGTGGATAATTTGGATCCATGGATTGAATTGGATTTGAATCAAATGGACTGGATTTAAATGGACTGGATTAGGTGGATAATTTGGTGGATGGACTGGATTGGATTCGTGGATTTGGATCCTAATTGCCACCTCTACTTATATGTATATATTTAACAGAGGCAAAGAAGGAGGTGTTCACTCGGGGATCCACGAAAATTTAGGGGGTTTAATGACTAGATCGTGTACTTAATACATTTCAAGTAGTTCTCAAAAATATAAAATGATGAAGTCTATAAGAAGTCGACTAACTCCATGATTTAAATCGTAAGAAGAACAAACGGAACTTAGAAGAGGTAAGAATAACATCTAGAGTGTTATGAATAATTATCCCAATGATGAGAATGTCTATCAAGAGTAAGTTTGGAGTCTTCGAACTCCAATATCTTTTCACATGCGGTAGTGGAATGTAGTATTGTTAGAGACAAATTTGTTGGATAGTCATTTTAACAAACTTTGTGGGTTCAACAATTCTCATGAAGTTCAAAAACAAACTTTGCTAAAAATATTCTCATACGTATCTTTTCAGAAGATACATGTAATATCACTTTCATATATGATTCTCTAGATAAATTTTTGAGAAATATGCCAAATAATGGATAACTTTATCAAATAGCTCATTATTCTCATAATGATCTTAATCATCAATACGTTTGATGGATACTTTACTCATTCTTATCATTTGGGCATCACATGATTTTCTCTTGCAAATATTTGATTTGCAATACAAGAGAATACTGTATATGTTCTTTCAAGCTATTGATTTCATTTACCTTTGAATACTCTTCTAGAGTTTCAAGTCATTCAATAATAACTTATTATCTTTGAATACTCTTTCAGAGTTTCAAACCTATCCGGGTAATAATGTTGGTGGTGGTGATTCATTATTCTTTGTGTCTCTGTAAACATTGGATGGTTTATTCAATTCACAAATGTTGAAACATGGTTAAGGGTATAACAGTTTGATTACTTTTTCTAAAGTATATCATACTGTTGATAAACCTGTCCATTCGGTATGTAAGGTCTCTGTGACATTTTGCTATTGGTCCTTGCTACTGACAAACAAAGCGAACAAGAAGGCTCGGGCCTTATTTGTTTATGTTCAGTGAAGTAACAAGTGATCCGAATAATTCTTCTCAGGCAGGCAAAGCACAAGCAACAGTGATTTGGGATTGATCAAGATTCAAAATTGTCATATCAATGGTACGAACTAATTAAAATAGAGATTTTCAGACTCTACTCATGAATTGGAAGTTAAGAAAATGAAAAGACATAGTTTTTGAATTCTCCATACATCTAATGTAGTTATCCTACTTGTTAATGTGAAGAAGAAGAAGAAGATAAATGAGATAGAGAGGATCGAGGTGTGAACCAGAGAGAGTTCCCATAAATCAATCAACTGTACAAGTGGGGTTACAAAGAGAAGAAGAAATTAATACAAACTAAAAAAAACTAATATTTTATATTGTATTAATAGTGTGTATTTGTTTAGTATATAAATGCACACTCGTGTCCTGGCATGGATTCTCTGTACATTTTTTTTTCTTGGCAGAAAGAAGAGATATTAATTATGTGAATGATGACTGTGCATGCAGTTGTTTATTTATTCACCTCTTAATTAATTGATTAATTAACTAATTAAAGACTAGTATCGGGAACTGTTGCGGTGGTGTTGAATGTTCATGTATTGTCTCTCTATGAACTCTTAGAATGACCATTTTGCCAAGTTCAGAAACAAAAACAAAAAAGGTAAATCTTTTTTCTTCCTGTTGACAGAGTTAGTTTTTTTTAAATTGAATGAATCGAATAGATGAATTGATTAATACAATCAATTTTTTTCATCGTAGTAATTTAAATTAACCAAATACCAAATTGTAGTCAAATACTTTTACTGCCATCACTACAGCATCTATCTAAAAAGATATTTGACTAATCATTTCCAGACTTGAAATGTTATACAAATACGACGAATATTGAATCATTTATAGGGAAAATAATTACATAAGTACATATAATCGATCACGTTTAGATTGGATAGTGATAAAAACAAAAATTTATATTCATCATATATCTGTAAAATTCATATCCTAGTTTTTATCTATGCCCCCTATCAGGCAATTTTATTTAGTTTGTTCGCTTTTTTTTTATATTTATCCAATCAATTAATGCTCACGCCAACTGAATCGGGTCATTCATAATCAAATTCGATCCACTGCCCAAACTACCACCCTATATTTTCAAAAACTAGGCTTTATTTTGTTGGATTAAAATATGAGAAGGCACAACTTGGTGGAGAAGAAGAAGAATGGTTCTCTAATTCTCTATCTAGCTAGCTAACCCATTACATTTTTGTTTACTTAAGTATAGCTTCATATCTCCCACCCACTCAAAATTCTCTCTTTTCAACCACTCTCTCCCTCTCTTCTCAATCCCTCCCATTTCCCTCCTTTTTCTCTCAAAAAGGAAAGAGCTTCTCACCTTCAAGCAATAACTCCATTCATGTATATGTCCCTTTGCAAAACAAAAAAAAACTCTTCATCATCTTCGATACGAATTCACTACTTCTTCCTCCTCTTCCATTTTGTATAATCAAAGTTTGCTTATATTCTCCTCTTCTTGAGATCGATTAAATTTTGGAAGCATAATGAATTCCAACAACTGGCTCTCCTTCCCACTTTCGCCGACACATCCCACCTTGCAAACCCATCTCCAGTCTTCTCATCACTCCGGCCACCACTTCTCCATCGGCCTAGTCAATGACACCATGGACAACTCTTTTCAATCCCAAGGTATACATATCATCTCCCTCTCGCTCGCTCGCGCAACAGTTCGAGTTACTACGAAAACGAACCGATTCCAAAAACAACCGTATTGCAACTCGAACACGCGACCACTAGTAACAAGAAGTTATTAGGACGAACGAGTTCTCTCTACTAATTTCTCGAAAGATGATTACATCTAATGGTTGCACACTCTTTTTTTTTTTTGTTTTGGTATCGAAAAGGGGATTGGAGCCTTATGAACAGTCAAGCAAGCAATGAAGTTCCAAAAGTGGCCGACTTCCTAGGGGTGAGCAAATCCGACAACGACAGCCACCACGCCGGAGATTTAATCTCCTACAACGACCTTCAACATCATCATCACCACCACCAGACCAATGATGCCGCGGCGGAATACATGTTTGCCACCGGCGGCGGCGGCGGCAGCAGTCTGCTGCCGGTGCACAACTCCGCGGCGGTGGTAGCTGCCACCGCCTCTAGTAACTACGAGTACCAAGAGAGTGCCGGCAGCCTGCAAGGGCTGACGTTGTCCATGGGGAGCGCCAGCGGGAAGAGCGAGACCAGTGGGGATAACACTAGCACCAATAGCGCCACCGCCGAGGCCGCCGCTCCGAGGAGGACATTGGATACTTTCGGCCAGAGAACCTCCATTTATCGCGGCGTTACGAGGTCGGTCGTCTTTGCACTTCATTGGGTTTCTAGGGTTTTGAAAAGAAAATTTTTTTGGTAGGTTGGACCCGAATTTTATCCTACTTTTTTTTCTTATCGATCTTTCGACTATCAAAGACTCTATTTTCCCTCTTTTTGCTTTTGGAATAAATAGGTAACCGCGGTGTGAAATATACTCGGTAAAGAAACCAAAACTTCAATGTTCGAATTTGAACAAAAACCAATCTGAGTGACCATCTTCGTAATCCGAAATCTGAACTCAGAATGCGTTGGATGCATGGTTGTCGTGCCGGTGGCATGCCACCTGGTTGAACCTGGTTCAACCTATGCCGGTCATGAAACCGGCATGACACCACCGGTATGATCGGTATGATCGATTTACGTATTCTGTATTCTAAGTAAAATGACATCATTTTAATGAATTTAATGAATACAAAAATTAATTTATTATTCATTTTATGAATGTATTAGTTAAAAGTTGATGATATTTGTTGGATTGTAACTCAATTGTCCACAAATATGTTTAAATACATTGGATATTAATTATTTTCACATTTTTTTAAACCGGCATGAACCGGCACAAATTGGTTATACCACCGATCGTTCCATTCCACTTGCCAAACCGGCACAACGGTATAAACCGGTTTGACAACTTTGGTTGGATGTTTTCTCCTGACATGTTTTTTATCGGCTTGTCTCTCTTCTTCTCTAGATTTTTTCATGTTGTCTTTGAAATGGGAATGCAGGCATAGATGGACGGGAAGGTATGAAGCACACCTTTGGGACAATAGCTGCAGAAGGGAAGGCCAATCAAGGAAAGGACGACAAGGTTATTAAATCGATTATTGTTGACACATTTTGGATTTTCATTATTTTTTTTACACATTTTAGAACATTTTTATTCTGACAAAATTCCCTTTTGTTTTTTTTTTTTCCTTTACTGATCTTCCCGTAATGGTGCAATTCTGCCACTGCCAGTGTATCTAGGTCAGTCTATACTTACACTGATATCAGATCCTTCTTCTGTTCTTGCCACCTTTTCGTTGCAGTTTCTTCTTCTTCTTCTTCTTGTCTTTTTCTACGTCGTATTGCATGTGTCGGATTATTTTGCCAAAAGTGGAAGTATACTAAACCTCTGTACGATGATGATATGTGGTTCAGGTGGGTATGATAAAGAAGATAAGGCTGCTAGGGCTTACGATATGGCTGCTCTAAAGTATTGGGGTCCATCTACTACCACCAATTTCCCCGTATGTTCTTCTTTCTTACATCTTGTTTACATTATACATTTTTTATCAAAACCCTAATCTATGTTTCGATCTTTAACATAAAAACTTCTCATTCTAACCCTTCAGATCACCAACTATGAAAAGGAGTTGGAGGACATGAAGCATATGACCAGACAGGAATTCGTAGCTTCCATTCGAAGGTACGTTCGTACTAACAAAGAAAATTTTACTCATCCTGCACACACGTCAACTACAAGATATGTACACAAAATATGTTTATTATGTGTGATCTAGTGCCGAGCTTATCACGATGATCTCTTACGATAATATGTCTCGAATAAAATTTTTGCAGGAAGAGTAGTGGCTTCTCCAGAGGTGCATCTATGTATCGTGGTGTTACGAGGTATGACTGTATTTCCCTCCATTGATACAACTTTATAATTTTCTCGTTCATCAAATCAAATTAAAAAAAAAAAAGATTTCGTTACATAATCGCAGGCATCACCAACATGGAAGATGGCAAGCGAGGATCGGCAGAGTTGCCGGAAACAAAGATCTCTACCTCGGCACCTTCAGTAAGCCCACTCTTCAGCTCTACGCTTAAAAGTCAAATCAAAGATTCAGCCTTATATCGCGCGTCGTAGACAATTAATAAATATTGTCTAATAGGCACGGAGGAAGAGGCGGCGGAAGCTTACGACATAGCGGCGATAAAATTCCGCGGCCTCAACGCCGTCACCAACTTCGACATGAACCGCTACGACGTGAAGAGCATCCTCGAGAGCAGCACGCTCCCCATCGGCGGCGGCGCCGCCAAGCGGCTCAAGGAAGCCCAGGCGCTCGAGTCCTCCCGCAAAAGGGAGGAGATGATCGCCCTCGGCTCCACCTACCCTTACGCCGCCGCCGCAGCCGGCTCGAGCCGGCTCCAAGCCTACTCTTTAATGCAGCCGACTACGACGCCGTACGAGACCCAGCCGCTGCTCTCTCTACAAAACGGCACCGACATCTCGTCCTACGACGCCGTTCAGAACAACTACCTGCAGACGCAGCTCCACCTGGCGAACCAATCGGCTGCTGCCACGTCGTCGTACCCGGGCTCGTTCTACAACAGTTACTTGCAGAGCAATCCGGGGATGCTCCACGGGTTGATGAGCATGGAGAGCGGGAGCAATAATAATAATAATGGCGGTGGTCCGGGTGGGGCGGGTTACGGTTCGGTTGGTGGTGGGTTCTTGGGGATGGGGACCGGTGGGTTGGGCAGCTTGGGTGGACCGGGTTCCGGAGGAGAGGAAGGGGTTGGGCCGTTGGTGAAGGTGGACTATGATATGCCTTCGACCGCTGGGTATGGTGGCTGGACCGGGGAGTCTGTTGTCACAGGGTCGAACCCTAGCATGTTTACGATGTGGAATGATTGATCCGATCGATCCATCGAGTCGATTGTGCTGTAGAGGAAGATGGTTGAAACTTGGAGGAGGGAGTGTGGATCATCTAATTAATTAACTCTAAGTTTAAGGCTAATTGTTTCCTTGATTTTGTTTTCGATTTCAGCTTCGGTTAACAAGGAGAGAGATGGATGTGAATCGACTCGTTACTGACCTCTCGAATCTGGATTGGTTGATTGGGTTAGTTTTCGTTCTTTTGGGTGTATTGGGGACACGTGGGGCTTTGATTATGGGTGAATTACCACCCAAATTTTGTAACCTATATTGCTCATGTGTCTTCTTTGGAGCGAACTATTTAATTGATAAAGAAAAGTATATCCTCGGCAATGTTTTGTATTCATTTTCTGTAATATCATATATTTTCTTCTTCTTCTTCTTCTTCTTCTTCTTCTTCCTTTGGACTTGTTTCGTTAATTCATTTGTTGCACCATCCATGTTGTTGCATGCATGAAGAGTAATCCGAGGCTCCGAGCGGCGACGTCCTTCCCCTTGCATGTTGGGCCTGGGCTTTATTCTTTTAACATGGGGCAGCCCGGCTGCAAACTGCAATTATGGGCTGCAAGCGATCTGTTCCTTTCCTGGATTCCCCAAGGTAAAGGATTTGCTTCGTGGGTCTCGTGATCGGAACATATAGCCGTCATGGTTCGTCGAGTTATGGTTCTCACTTTATATATTTGAGGTGTTTGGTTGTTGTGTTTCTTGGACTTATATATAGTAGATAGTTTGGATCCCAAATGGAACCTTGATCATGTTATGTTCCTCTTATTTAGGGTGATCGAATGTATCCTTCTTCTTTCTAATGATGATGAGTTTGTTACACCCATATGCAAGACAAAGTCAGATGGGGGTTCGCTATATATGATGGTGTTTGCTTATCCATTCGCGGTGTAACTTATAACTCTTCCTGAATGTAGAAGAAGGGAGACTGAACCGAATGGTTGTTTGTGCCGATACAAATATTGTCATGGACATATGTAGTAGTCGTCGGACATGCGATACAAATGTTGTAGGGGTACCATGAATTCTTTTAAAGAGATTTGTTTAACATTAGATACATTCAGGGACGGAGCTAGGATCCAGTGGTCGGGGGCCGGACTTTATTGTATAATATCAGTAAAAAAATTAATATTTACATAGTGAGTCATAAGCTTCAAAATTTAATTATCTAGACTCCGAAATTTAATTATCTAAATTAGAAAAATATTATAAGATCCAAAATTTCATTATCTAGTTTAAAAATTAAAAAGTATTTGAATAAGTACAAAAGTTAAGTGATCAGTCTAAATTTTAAACAAAAACTCAACCAAAGTAGGAAAACTAAAAAAACAATGTTGCTGCTAGGGATTGAACCATGGTACTGGGGTATTCACAAATACCAGGCAACTGCTGCATTCCATTAGACTAGACCAAAACATTATTAATCATTATTGCACGTTATCGTTATTCTACAATAGTTAACTTCTTCAGAATTTTCAAAATTCCCGATATTTTTACTCGCGATCTCCAAAATTCTCGGGGGGAGGAGGAGGGGGTGCCCGAGGCACAAGGTAGCTCCGCCCCGTGTCATACAATTTCATAGTATTGTGTTCCATTATCGTATTTGTGTTAAGCAAACCTTTTTTTTTCTTCCAATTTTGTTCTCTTTGGTATATTCGTTACCTTTAAATGGGAGTTGTAGTATCGATTGTCGTCCGGCGGCAATGATAGAATACTTCGAATTCGTTCGTGCCATCAATTAGTGCCTATGAGGATCTGTAATGAAACCACCATCCCAACCAGTTCAACGATTAGGCGTTTTGCTGTCTGTTTTGAGTAAAAAGAAAGGGGCAAAAGCAGAGAATTAGCTTAGGCTGCTAGGCAGAGTGAGTCCAAGTTCGATTTTGGAAATGTTTGTCCCCTTCTTTGTGTTTTTTTTTTTCCCATTCGATATCTTGATTAGAGAGATAAAACATCGATCGAAAAGAGTCTGCATACACCTAGCCTATTGGCTAGTAACCCAAGAAACGTAGTCGAACCTCTGCAACAAGCGAGGCGACAAAAACAGAGCCTTACGAGCCACTAAATGAGCCACCCTGTTACTAACACGACCTATGAATAACAAATTTACACCAAATGAGACCTTACTAAACCATCAATCTCTTGGAGAATTACCCCTGCCCGAACATGAGAAAGATCGTGACTGCACAACGATCAATCACCACTTTAGCATCCCTGAACCAGCAAGGAACTGTGGGCTGAAACATTTGTCAAGTTTAAAAGGCCGAACATTTTTATCTTTCTCTTCTCCCGATCGTATTTCGGACTGGACGGGCGGCATATTTTAAATCTTTTTCACTGCATGTGGCCCATTTTCAATATGGTTGGGCCCTTGGACCTACGTTAAAGCCAGCCCAACCCATGAATGCCAGCCAGCCATGTCCACCATGGACCAAAAAAAAAAAAAAAAAAAAAGCTAAATTAGCCGCCACAGTAGTCTCTAAGATTTTGTTGTTTTGTTCTCAGAGAGTTTGAATTTACACGTAACAAAATTCCTAAGCAAATAAGAAACAAGACAACAGATTCATTCATGCATGCATGCACGTATCTTCTACAGCCTTCATATAGTAGGTGTTCACGTAATTAAGCCAGGAGTAGCTGGAGGTTTCCTACGAGAAGATTGCAACTTTCAATGGTCGGAAAACAAACAAAACCAAACGTCAAGTTGATTGTTCTGTGATTCAGGAGGGTGGAAAGATTTGTACTTTTGTTTAGATTCACAACGATGGGATCAAACTGCTAATTACCTACTACAATTCGAAAGTCCTGAGCAAAGCTAGAGTTCCTTCGAGAAGACTACCACTTCTTCAATGGCGGAAAACAGACAAAACCATATATCAAGCCGATCGTTTTGTGGATTGAGGGAAAAAAGGGTTTTGTACGTTTGTTCAGATTTACAACGTTGGATCAAACAGCTTATCTTCATTCAACCCTTTGTGCAAAAAACAGTACTTAACGTACCGTAATCAAACATGACTTCCCATACTTCATTGTCTTTTCTAGCTACCATTAGTATATATACGTGAACGAGAAACCCCACTAAGAAAAAGCATGCATGCAGCTAAAACTCCACCTGTATCTCCCTCTTCTCTCAAACCCTAGCAGCAGCCACTTCCTCTCCCGTGTGTCATCTTCTTTCTTCATAGCTCCCTCTTCTCTCAAACCCCAGCGCGCAGCAGCTGAATTCCTCCCTTCGCAAAATATTATCAACCAGACACTAAACTCTAGACCCTTAACCCTAAATATCTTCACGTACCCCTCGCCGCAAAATATATCAACCACACACACCTTCTGATTCCGCGCGTCGACGACAACTAGGCAGAAAGGATGGTGAAACCGGAGGTGCTATCAACAATCGCCGCACTTTCCTTCCTGATTTTGGGATACGGTAAGTCGTCGTTGACCCATTAATCAAAACTATAATGCATGGTTAGTTACGTCCTTCCTCCAACGTAAAATCTGACTCTCTTGTTTTTTCTTCTTCTTCTTCTTCGGTTTTGTACGGTTGTGTCGCAAGATTTTGCGACGAATCGGTACGGGTGGACGCTGCTGGCGGAGAACACGGGGGCGGGACCTAGCGGCTTTACCATACTGGTGGTGGTACAACATGTCGCCGCCATTGTGAGCGCGGCGGCGGCGGGGATGGCCGCCGACTTTTTCGGCCGGAAGTACCCTCTTGTGGCGGCGGGGGCGCTTTTTTTTGTCGGCAACGTGTTCAAGTGCGGCGCCACGTCGTCGTACGGACTTCTGGTGGCCGGACAGCTGTTCGCGGGCCTGGGCGCCGGAGTCGCGCTCACGGTCGCTCCAATGTACATCGCCGAGCAGGCACCGGCGGCCCGTCGGGGACAGTACACGTCACTGCCGGAGGTAAGTATAAAAGGTTAAAGAATAATAATAAACAAAATATTGAAACAACTATTTTTACGTCATGATAATAGCATGAACTTTCCTTGAGATAATTAAGACTACTTTTAATTTTTAATAATAATTCACCTCCAAATTGTGTAGCATTTTATTTTCATAACTAAAGTTGAATTTATGCCATAGAGTCAATATGAGAAACTATTAGTTACTACATTCGAAAGTATTCCTAAAGTTAAAGACCTTTGATTAATTAGCGGACTTGCCAAAATGAAATATGAAAAGTAAATGATTAACTTGACTTATTTAGTCAAATGAAAATTGTAAGTGGAATAAAACTTAAAAATTTATTTATATCCAAAGGTAGCCATAAAATCAATGGAACTAGTTGATCTAAATTGGAATTAATGACTACACAAAAAGAACTATGAAAACAAAAATAGTAGTATTTGATTTCAATATGAAAATAGTAAGGGTTATTTTTGTTTAAATATATGTCTAGGAAAGGCCAATACACGAGAAATTAAATAAAGAATACAATACTTCTGCTTCAAGTTAAGTTAAGTTTCACGTTAATATGTTGCACTCTATTTCAATTTATTGTTTAATCTTAGTTTATAACGTAAAAAATCAAGCTCCTTTTATACGTAAGTTCCAAAATTCTCAAAAGTCCAAAGGCTTCTGTAGCTCCGCGCCCACCTAACTAATTCACCACATGTACAGATGTGGCAAAACATCGGAGTTCTAGTGGGCTACCTGATCCAGAACAAACTCGCACCGTTGCCGGACCACATCGCACAGAGATGGATGTTCGCGATTCCCATCGTGCCATCCATTCTGCTAACGATAGGAATGGTGTTGATGCCTGAATCCCCGCACTGGCTCATCATAGCCAGGATGAGGGTGGACGAGGCGAAGCAGATCATGGAAAGCGGCGAGAAAAGCCCGGAGGAGATCGACCGCATAGCGTTTCAGATGGAACTCCTAGCGGACCACATACCTTCGTTGCGCTTCATGTGGAAGGACTTTGTGCGACCTCCTCTGCGGCGTCTCGCCATCTCCGTCGCGCTCGTGCAGGCGCTTCGACACCTCGGGGTTGACACCTACCTCAAACTGGAGACTCTGGTGACTTTGTACGAGGTGGAGGAGAAGCTGCTGGCCAAGGCGAATGGGACGGTCCTGCTGGTGAAGGCAATCTGCGCCTTGGTCTCCGGTCGCTTGGCGGACATAACCGGGAGACCGTTCTTGCTGCTGGCCGGCACTGAGCTCACCGTTTTGTGCCTGCTCGTGTTCGGGTTCCCGTTGATCCACTTCCACAATGGCTCCCCTCACAAAGTCTACGCCGGAAGCAACAAAACCCTCAGCCTGGCTGCATTCAACGGGATCATGGGCACGTTCCAGCTCGGGCTGGGGCCCATGACGTGGGTCTATACGACGGAGGCTTTCCTGTACCGGGCCCGAGCACAAGGGGTCAGCTTCGGAGTCGTCGTGGGTCAGATCGTAGAAGTAGTAATGTTTGTGGTTTTGGGCTTTTTGTTTGGGTTGCTCGGCATTGGTGGCGTGTTTGTTTTACTAGCCGGCGTAATGGCTGTTGGAGTCGTGTTGTGTTGGCGGTTAGTCAAGGACAGAGTTGGGGATATTCTTGTGTGATGATTTTATCTTATAGTTAATAAGTGATATTTTTCAATCTTGTCTTCTTCTTTTTTACAATATGTGATTTCCATTTCATCAACGAAAAAGTACAAGCAAAGCCACATTATAACATCGGATCAATAATATTAAACACTTGGATCCAATCTTGGGGGAGAGATCCGTTTGCCGCTTCTTTTGCCACCCAATCTGCACTTCTGTTACAAGATCTTGGGGTAAAGCAGATAGATAATCCGACTTTCACTCTGAGCAGATTGCGTATCCACTGAATCCAAGCTCTCACTTGCCAAGGACCTACTTTATGCTGATCTTGAATGATATCCACAAGCACCTTGCAGTCCGAGAAGATAGAGGCTGAACCGTGGAGGGAGACTGCTGCTCTCACCGCCGTCAATAGAGCTTTTGCTTCCGCAACTATCGCTGATGAACAGAAGAAAGTGCCAACACAACCATCCACAACTTGCCCATGGGAGTTCTTAATGATGTCCCCATAAGCCACCACCTGTGATTCCGATCTAAAAGATCCATCACCGTGAATTTCCCACTAGGAAGAACTAGGCGGTGGGCGAAGTGTGTTATGGTTAGAGAGGTGTTGGGCTTGGACACCGGGGGGGGGGGGGGGGGGGGGGGGGGGGGGGGGGGGTAGGAAGCTGAAAGGGAGTCGTCCAGAAAGAGAAATCTCTAACTGCATTTGCTGAAGTCACTGTAGGACGGGGGATGACACCTTTGAAGACTCTCTCGTTCCGGGCCAACCAGATTGCCCAAAGGCAAGCCACGACCCCAGGTATAGAGACCGTAGGGGAACCAACACAGATAGACAACAACCACATAACAACATGCGGCTGGTCCTGGGGCAAAGAGAGCGAAGGCTGAAGGATCTGCCAAACTCTAGCAGCGTGAGGACACCGGAAGAAGCAGTGCCACACATCCTCCACATCCCCTTCACAGACATCGTAAAGCGGGGATGAACTACATTTTCTATGCCATAGATTCCCCTTCGTATCAATCGCATTCCTCGATATCCTCCACAGAAAAGAGAGGATCTTTGGAGGCAAAAAAAGACTCCAAAGCCATTTCCAAGCTTTTGAGGTGCAGTTAGGATGATTCGGATTTGGGGTCCCCAGCCGATCTCTTTCTGACTCCCTGAAAATATGGTAAGCTGATTTCACTGAAAACAACCCTGATCTCTAAAAATGCCAAACCCAGTCATCATCAGAAGAATCCGTGCCAATTGGGATTCTCCTACCTTTCTCAGCCTCCATAAAATCACCATAAGGAAAATAGAGACCCTTAAGAAGCTTGATCCATGTCTCTTCCTTCCCATTAAGAATTTTCCATCCTTGTTTCACCAATAGGGCCATATTGAATTGATGGAAGTCCTTAAACCCCATACCTCCTTCCTGCTTAGGAGCCGTTAAAACGCTCCCTTTTCTCCATGGGATTGCCTTCTTTTCCATGTCCCCTCCCCAGAAGAAAGCATTGAGGCGTGAATTCATCTTCTTAGTCGTCCCTTTTGGAAGGAGGAAGCAGGACATAATATATGTGGGGTAACCCTGAAAGACTGATTTCAACATTGTTTCCTTTCCTGCTTGAGATAGAGCAAGACCCTTCCAAGCTTGACAAAGCTTTTCCATTCTGCTCACAAGAACCGAGAAGACTTCTTTCTTTGATCTGCTCCATTCGGTAGGGACCCCCAGGTATTTTCCCAAACCCTTTTCAAGAGGGATACCCAAACATTGAGCGATGATCTTCTTGATAGTATCAGGGGTGTTGTGACTGAAAGTGAGGGCCGATTTTTCACAATTGATCTCCTGACCCGTCATTTTGCCATAAGTCTCCATTGTTTTTTTAATATGCATAGCCTCTGCCCGAGATACTTTCCCAAACAGAATTGTGTCATCTGCAAAAAGCACATGGGTAAGTCTAGGACAATTTGGGTTAAGAGAAATGCCTTGAAAAGTACCTTCCTGAACACTCTTGGAAATGAGAAAAGAAAGCGCATTAGTAAGGAGAATGAAAAGCAATGGAGAGAGTGGGTCTCCCTGACAGATGCCTGTGGACGGCTGAAAGAACTCTGAGGGTTGACCATTGAACAAGACCGAAAACCGCACAGTCTCACTGCACTCTTTGATCCAAAGACACCATTAATGTGCAAAAATCATAGCTCTAAGGATACTCTCCAGACATTCCCACTCAACCATATCGTAGGCCTTCTTCATATCCAGCTTAATCATCATTTCCCACTTCCCGCCTTTTGGGCGAGTCTTGAAATGGTGCATGACCTCATGGACAATGATGATGTTATCCTGAATAGCTCTCCCTCCACTAAAAGTCGTTTGCATCTCATCAACCATTTGAGGGATCAAAACATTAAGTCTTGTTGTCATGATTTTGGATATCACCTTGTACCGGAAGTTGCAACAACTAATAGGCCTGAATTGGGATACTCTCCGGATTCAAGATCTTCGGTGTTAGCACCAAGTGAGTATCGTTACATCCTTCAGGCATTGACCTTTGTGAGAAGAAAGTTTTAATTTCCCCACAAAGTTGCTCTCTAGGTCCTGTAAAAAAGACCGGGAAAACCATTCGGCCCAGGGGACTTACCAGATCCCAACTCAAAGACAGCCCTTCTAATCTCCTCGTCCTCAATAGGTTGGCAAAGAGCCTGATTCATCTCCTCATTCACAACACATGGAATGTCTTGATAGGATCTCATATCCACACTTTCTTCTCTTTTTTTTGAACAAATCCATGTAGAAAGAGACACAATGATGTTGCAAATCATGTTGGTTAGTCAGCCAGTTATTCCCTACATCCAACAACTTCATGACCTTGTTTCGAGAGACATTGGTTTCCTTTCTTCTTCCATGGCTTCCTCCTCGATACACGATGAGTCTGATGGAGATGCTGAGGTGGTCGCGCATGATGCGCACCACCAGCAGCAGCTTAGGCGCTCTACTCGACTCACCAAAGGGAAACCCCCCTTTGCATCATAGTGACTTTATCGGATACTCGGCAGAGCCTATTTTTATACTGGCTAATTGCAGACAGGCATGCGGTATTCCTGAATGGGATGCAACGATGGTGGAAGAGGTAGATGCTTTAGAGGCAAATCATACATGGGATCTGGTCCAGCGTACTCCTGAGATGTCAGTGGTTAGGAGCAAATGGGTATACAATGTGAAAATGAGGCCAGATGAGATTCTTGAGACACATAAGGAAGGGGTTATAGATAGGGCCACCACTTAGACTTCGAAAAGAGGATCGCGCTTACGCGCAAGGATTCAGTCAGGAGTTTGGCATTGATTATGAGGTAACATTTGCTCCGGTTGCGAAAATTCAGACAGTTTGATGTGTCCTGGTGGTAGCTGCTAAGCGAGATTGGCCTCTTGTACAGTTGGATGTTAAAAATACGTTTCTGCATGGAGATGTAAAGGAAACCATATACATGGCTTGACCAACTGGTTATACAAAAGGGGATGCAAATACAATATGCAGGCTGGTTTGAGAAGTTTCATGGGACGATCGTGCATGCTAGTTTTACATAGAGTCAGAACGATCCTTCCTTGTTCCTGCGACATACAATATATGGTCTTACAGTGGTACTGCTTTATGTGGATGACATGATTATTTTATGGGATGACAAGTCTGAGATTAGGGAACTCACTGAGTCTCTTCATCAAGCTTTTAAGCTCAAGGAACTTGGGGAGGCTTCCTATTTCCTGGGCTTGGAAATCGAGAGAAGCAAGCATGGCATCCTAGTTAGTCAACAGAAGTATATTCGGAACTTGTTGTCCAAGTATCAATTTGAGAATTGCAAGCCATGTGCTACACCTATGAAGCAGAACTTGAAGCTGAGCAAAACTAGTGGAGATCTACTGGATGATCAGACACCGTACCAGACTATTGTTGGATCTCTTCGATATTTGAGTTCGACACGGCCTGACATTGCTTATGTAGTGCAGGTGGTGAGTTAGTTTATGGGCATAACGTACTATGCATTTTGATGCAGTGCAGAGGATCATGCGGTATTTACAGAGTACACAGGATGTTGGTCTCTTCTTTCCTGCAAAAGGGGAACCTGTGTTGGAGGCCTTTGCTGGCACTAACTTTGCTGGTTGTGTTGACACAAGGCAGTCAACTTCAGGATGGTGTGTAAGATTTGGGAGCTCATTTGTATATTGGAGGTGTAAGAAACATGATCAGGTATCAAAATCTTCCACAGAGGCGGAATACATGTTGATGTCAAAAGTGAGTTTAGAACTCGTCTGGCTGCAGTGTCTCATAGGAGATCTGGGTGTGGACTGTCGTGTGCCTATGAAGCTACTTGGTGATAATACTAGTGCCATTCGGATAGCTACTAATCCTGTTCTCCATGTTCGGACTAAGCACATAGAGACACATGTCCATTATATCTGGCAACTCTTAACTGAGGGAGTCATTCAGCTTAGTTATTTGTCAACAGAAGATCAGACTGCAGACTTGTTGACAAAGGCAGTTGATACCAGTCGTCATTGGTTTCTGTCTAACAAATTGATATTGCGTAAGCATCATCAATTTGAGGGAGGGTGTTTAATTATGTAATATACTTAGTTTAGGGATCTTACAGTAATTGTCCCAGTACGTGAGATTCTAGACTAAGTACGATTAGGGTTACATTAGAGTTGTATCCCTAACACATATATATACCTCTGCTATGTACTCTGAAAACTAAGGTGAATAAGATTGACTCTGGAGAGTACTACCTCTCTCGTGGACTAGTCCTGATCTTCAGGGAAACCACGTAAATTCGGTGTTCGTGTTCTCGCGTTTTACTTTCTTGACAATTTAATGGGCTTAAATTTTATTTCTAGGTCACTTATTAGAAAGACAAAAAAAAAAGGTGAAAGAAAAAGAAACTGGTCTTGTGGAGGAACAAAAAAATGTAAAGAAGTTCGAGATTAAAGAAAAAAGAAACGAAAGAACAGCGACGAGTACTGGTGGTTGCAGGTAATGTCAACAGATTTTTTTTATAGAATGTGTTTGTTAGAATAAGAAATCCCTGAATAATAAAAAGAGAGAAAGAAAAAATATGTATTTTTAACTTTAAAGTTAGGGTGATTATGGTAAAAATTAGTGCGGCCATTAGCAACCCTCTTCTCTATTCGTCAAACAGAAATGACATATTTTATTCTCATTACATATGAGGTTATTATTTGATAACAAAGAACCGCGGCTTACATTATTCAATCCTAACCTTGATTTGGAATTATGCTTGTCACGATATTTTTTGAATCTTTCTTCGGATTTGAAGGGCGACATTTCTTAAGACACATATCATCGCAGAGCAATACACCATATGTACAATGTCTCATGCAATTTCGATAACATGCGTAGACAGGTTCATCATCCGCTGCCGCTTGATGCTGAGATGTCAGACTAACCAATAAGAACAGGACTACAACCACACGGGGAATACTCCAAATAATGTTGGTCTTCATATTTTGCATCATATGATCTTCTTCCCTCCTATGCCTTAGGACTTAGGTGTGAATTAGTTCAAATCTTTTGTGGTAGTTGTGCTTAGTATCACATTTGACTTATCAATTTATAGAGTTTCTCTCGAGACACAAAAAAAAATTATACAGTTTCTTCATTCCATAGATATGAAAAGAAAATCTACACAATAACTCCCTTATTATTATCTAGATTCTGTGTGCATTTAATTTGTGTGGATTTTGGTGCAATTTCTATTCATTTTTTAATTAATGTAACTTCTATCCACTAAGGTATAGTAAAATTTACTTTTTCTTAATGTAATTAATGTTTCTTTTGACTACTCTAGCATAACTTAAAGGTTGGAGCGTTATAGATAATGATTTTTTTAGTAAAAGTATGAAAGTCATTTTGACTTTAAGAAGATTCAACATAATTAATGATATATTTCGTCTAGGTTCATTGACTTTAACTAATGTTACAATCAATTGCAACCATCTATCAACTAGCTCCCCGCCAACCATATGCACATTTCAGCACGCAACAAGCTTCCCTCAAGCTTAAAATATATACCACTTTTCACATGGACTCTGTCACAGACAAGACCAATCTTCTCACTGAATTATGTTGCAATATCATCGGTTCAATGAAACATTTTTCCTAATGCTTTTGTCCAAATTGTATCAAGTGAATGACAACAAAAGTTTTGGCGGTCTGGGGTTGACACTAAAAGTTGCGATGGGTTTTGATGTGCATATATATTTTCAATTACATAAATTGCTAGCATGTTAGAGATTTGTGAAGCTCTCTTTGACATCTCAAAGTTGTCTGTTTTCTTTAGTTAATTTGGGTTCAAATATTTGTGCCTACCTATAATTAGTATTTTTTAACTTGAGAGTTAGGGAAACTATAGTAAAAATTAATGTGACAATGAGCAACCCTCTTTCCTTATTCATCGAACAAAAAATACATATTTTATTCTCATTACATATGAGGTTATTATTTGATAACCAAGCACCTACTTACATTATTCAGTCAAAACCTTGATTTGGAACTATGTTTGTTTCAGTATTTTTTGAATCTTTCTTCGGACTTGGAGGACGACATTTCTTAAGACACTTATCATCGCAAACCCATGATCCACCACTACAATGTCCCATGCAATGTCGATAGCACTTGTAGACAGGTTCATCATCCGCAACTTCATGCTGAGATGACAGAGCAATCAATAAGAACAATACAACAACCACAAGGGGAAAACTCCAATTAATGTTGGTCTTCATATTTTGAATCGCTGGTCTTCGTCCCTCCTATGTTTAGGTGTGAATTAGTTCAAACCTTTTTGGTCGTTGTGCTGAGAATCACATTTGGGGAATCAATTTATAGAGTTCCACTTCACAAAAAAATACAGTTTCTTCATTCCATGGATATGAAAGAAAATCCACAAAATAACTCTCTTATTATTATCCAGATTCTGTATGCATTTAATTAGTATGAATTTTAGTGCAATTTCTATCCATTTTTTTTAGTCCATGCAACTTCTATCCGTTAAGATATAGTAAAATTTACTTTCCCTTAATGCTATTAATGATTCTTTTGACTGCTCTACTGTAACTTAAAGGTTGGAGCGCTGTAGGTAATAAATTTGTAGTAAAAGTACAAAAGTCATCTTGACCCATATGATCTAAGGAGATCCAACATAATTGAATCATATATTTTGTCTGGGTTTATTGACTTTGACTAACGTGACAATCAATTGTAACCATGTGTCAACTAAAAATCGAGATTTTAAATGAAGTATACATGTATTGTATAATGCATTGTGCTTTTGTTATAAAATATCATACAACATTTGCATATTTTAATATGACATTTCATATAATTCATTTTGAATAATTAACCTTTTCTCCGATGTCACTATCGTTTCCCAACTCATAACGGTCAATCCAAATTACACCTAGGTTTAAACTTTAAAGGCCGAAGCCTTTTTTCTCTTTCCCTTCTCCCAATCGTATTCGGAACTGGACTGGCGACAGATTATTCCGCTTTTTCACCGTGGCCCAATTTCGAATTTAGTTGGGCCCCTGGACTCAAGTTAACGCCGGCCCAGCCCATGAATGCCAGCCATGTCCACCATGGACCGATACTTGCTAAATTAGGCACAGAGGTCTCTTAAGGATATAGATGTTTGAATTAGTGAAGAGAGTTTGAATTTACACGTAACAGAACTCCTAATAAGCAAAATAAGAAACAAGACAGGAGATTCATGCATGCATGCATGCACGTATCTGCTACAGCCTTCATATATAGTGTTTACGTAACTAGGCCAGGAGTACGTAGGGTTAGTTAATTAGCAGAGACGCCATGGAAGTAATTACCCATCATTTAGAGACGTGTAGTTTAACTATCGTTGTTTCTGCAACCCAACAATCCTATAGCTTCCAATCCATCGTCGCAAGTCCGCATCAGCTCATCAGTAAGCTGGAGGTTCCTCCCAAAAAATATTGAAACTTTCAATGGTCGGAAAACAAACAAAACCAAACGTCAAGTTGATTGTTTTGTACATGATTCAGGGCTTTGTACTTTTGTTTAGATTCACAACGATGGGATCAAACAGCTTACCTACTACAATTCGCAAGTCCGGAGCAAAGCTAGAGTTCCTTCGAGAAGACTGCCACTTCTTCAATGGCGGAAAACAGACAAAACCCTATATCAATCCGATCGTTTTGTGGATTGAGGGAAAAGGGTTTTGTACCTTTGTCTATATTCACAATACGTTGGATCAAACAGCTTCTCTGCACTCAACCCTTTGTACTAAAACAGTACTTCCGTAGCGTAATCAAACATGACTTCCCATACTTTCATATTCGTCCTTTCTAGCTACCGTTAGTATATATAAGAACGATAACACCCACAAGGAAAACCCATGCATACATGCAGCTAAAATTCCTCCACCTGTATCATTTTCTTCCCTACTCAGCTCCCTCTTCTCTCAAACCCTAGCAGCAGCCAACTCCTCCCCCCTGTGTCATCCTCTTCTTCCTTGCTCCCTCTTCTCTCAAACCCGAACAACAGCCACTTCCTCCACCGTACGTGTGTCATCTTCTTCAATTCCTTACTCCCTCTTCCCTCAAACTCTACTCCCTCCGCAAAATATTATCAACCCGACACTAAACCCTCAACTCTAAATCTTCACCCCTCGCCGCAAAAAATATATAAACCACCCCTCGTCGGCGCGTCGACGACAACTAGGCACAAAGATGGCGAAACCGGAGGTGCTATCAACAATCGCAGCACTTTCATTTCTGGTTGTGGGATACGGTAAGTCGTCGTTGACCGACTGTTGACCCGATAATCAAAACTATATATATATATATATCATGCATGCATGGTTACGTCCTTCCTCCAACGTAAAATCTGATTCTCTTGTTTTTTCCTTCCTGTTTTGTACCGTTTTCGCAAGATTTTGCGACGAATAGGTACGGGTGGCCGTTGCTGGCGGAGAATACGGGGGCGGTGGACATCCACCTTCCCATACTGGTGGTGGTCCAACATGTCGCCGCCATCGTGAGCGCCGCGGCGGCGGGGATGGGCGCCGACTTCTTCGGCCGGAAATACCCCCTGGTGGCGGCTGGGGCGCTGTTCTGCGTGGGCAACGTGTTCAAGTGCGGCGCTACCTCGTCGTACGGCCTTCTGCTGACTGGTCAGCTGTTCGCGGGCCTGGGCGCCGGAGTCGCGCTCACGGTCGCTCCGCTGTACATCGCCGAGCAGGCTCCGGCGGCCCGTCGTGGACAGTACACGTCACTGCCGGAGGTAAGTGTAAAAGGCTAAAAATAATAATAATAAACAAAATATTAAAACAACTATTTTTTTTACGTCATGATAATAGCATCAACGACATTCTTTGAAATAATTAAGCCTACTTTTATTTTTAAAATAAAAGAACTAAGTTTTTCATGTGTCTAACCGAATAAAACAATCTATGCCAGATCATAATCACTCTGGATAGAATTAGACCAAAGTTTTCATTAGGTTTAAACAACCATTAGAAAAATATTAAAAAGTAATTATTCATCTCAAAATTGTGTATCATTTTATTTTCATAACTAAAATTGACTTTATGCCATAGAGTCAATATGAGAAACTATTAGTTACTACATTCGAAAGTATTCCTAAAATTGAAAACCTTTGATTAATTAACGGATATGACAAATTGAAAATATGAAATTAAATGATTTCACTTGAATTTTTTAGTTAAATGGAAATTGAAAGTGGAATAAAAAGTTAAAATTTTATTTATATCCAAAGGTAGCCATAAAATCAATGGAATTAGTTGATCTAAATTGGAATGAATTACTACACAAATAGAACTATGAAAACAAAACAAAAAATAGTATTTGATATCAATATGAAATAATAGGGTTTTATTTATTTATATTTAAATTATATGTCTAGAAAAGACAAATACACGAGAAATAAGAAATTAAGAATACAATGCTTCTGCTTCAACTTAAGTTAAGTTTCTTAGTTTATACCGTAAAAAATCAAGCTCCTTTAATTTATACTAAGTTCCAAAATTCTCAAGGGTCTAAAGACTTTTGTAGCTCCGCCCAGCTAACGATCTACCACATGTATAGATGTGGCAGAACATCGGAGTGCTGGCGGGCTACTTGATCCAGAATAAACTCACACCGTTGCCGGACCACATCGCACAGAGGTGGATGTTCGCGATTCCCATCGTGCCATCCATTCTCCTAATGATAGGAATGTTAGCGATGCCGGAATCCCCGCACTGGCTCATCATAGCCAGGATGAGGGTCGACGAGGCGAAGCGGATCATGGAAAGCAGCGAGAAAAGCGTGGAGGAAATCGACCGCATAGCGGTTCAGATGGAGTACCTGGCGAACCACATACCTTCTCTTCGCTTCATGTGGAAGGACCTCGTGCGACATCCACTGCGCCGCCTAGCCATCTCCGTCGCGCTCGTACAAGCGCTTCGACATCTCGGTGTGGACACCTACTTCGAGCTAGAGTATTTGGTGACTTTGTACGTGGTCGAGGAGAAGCTCCTGGCCAAAGAGAACGGGACGGTTCTCCTGGTGAAGGCAATCTGTGCCATTGTCTCCGTTCGCTTTGCTGACAAAATCGGGAGTCGGTTCTTGATGTTGGCCAGCAGTGGAATCACCATTTTGTTTCTGCTCGTGTTTGGGTTCCCACTGAGCCACTTCCACGATGGCTCCCCTCGAGAAGTCTACGCTGGCAGAACCAAAGTGCTCAGCTTGGTGGCGTTCAGTGGGATCATGGGCTCGTTCCAGCTTGGGCTGGGGCCCATGGCATGGGTCTATACCACTGAGGCATTCTTGTACCGAGGTCGAGCCCAAGGAGTTAGCTTCGGGGTTGTTGTCGGCCAAATCATCAAACTAATAATGTATTTTGTTTTTCCTCTTTTGTTTTGCTCGCCGCTCTACATTGCCGGCGCGTGTCTTATACTTGCCGGCGTAATGGTTCTGGGACTTGTGTTGTGCTGGCGATTTGTTAAGGACAGAGTGGGGGAAATTTTGTTGTAAATAATAAAACTAATATATTGTACTTGAGGATCAAAATAATTGTATTTTTTTGTGGTTGATTCATATTGTCGTAAACCTATATCACCCTGGATTGGTAATCGGTTGGTTACGGTACCAATGTACATCCGGTTTATCGGATTGTCGGGTTGCCGGTTACCAGTCTGGTTACTTTCAAACGTGGGGTGCTTATTTGGTCCAAAAAAGCACCTCCGTCGAAGACCAACAACGAGCAACAATGCTCGTTTGCAGGTACTGACACGTTGTCTCCACCGACTCGTCCCTCCACCCCACCTTGGATCTCGACACTCTCTTCGATTCCGGTGCGAAGTTCTCTTGTTGGTTGTCTCCAGAGTTCAAGAGACGAATCGATTCCATGATCATTTTATCAGGGACGGAACCAAGATTTTAGGCTAGGAGGGGCCAGCTTTTTTTACAATTAGATCATTCAAATATAAAATATAATTGTTGAAGGTGCTCATTTAATCAAGGTAAATTAGAAGATATGCGCAGTAATTTTAATTTAGAAATATATATATATATATATATATATATATATATAAAATATGTAATCTCTTCGAGAATTTTTTTTATAGGGAAACCTATATTAATTTATTGATAAAGTAGAATTAGAATTTCCAAGCAAATCCTCTCTAAGAAGAGGTACAATGAAAATAGGTGGGTTATCAACCCAAATCTCTTCCTCATCCCAATGGCATTCAACCTGGGCCAAAGCATGGGCCGCCTGATTCTTACCTCGGCCCGTAAAGTTCCAAATAACTTTCACCAACTCTTGGGGTTGAGCCCGTAACGCCGCACAGAGGCAGCCAGCTCCGTTCGTCCCTCTTCTTCCATGCGTATCGTCTGAATCACCCCCAAACAATCTGACTCCATTTCCACTTCCAACCAACCGAACCTCCTTGCCAATTCCAATCCGTACTCAATCGCCTTCGCCTTCGCCAGCTCCGGTTCCCACTGGATCCGCGACCGTTTCACCCCTTCAAGCAGGCATCACCCTTCTACATCGCGAACCACTACACCCCATCCTGTTCCTCTACCTTCAAAACATGCCGCGTCGACATTTATCTTCACCGACGTCAGATGCGGTGGTCGCCAACCTCGATCCGTTTCCCCAACTCCATTCCGCGGGCGAATTTGCTTCTTCCGGTAATCGTTTAGCCATTCAGCTGCTCTGGGCATGATTTCCCACTCCTCTAACTTCTTCTTGTTCCATAGTTGGCAGTTTCGTTGATCCCAGATGAACCACGGCGCAACAAGGAAAGCTCCTAGTGTCTCCCCCGATTCCACTTCCTGGAGTTCGCAGAACCATTCTTCTGAGATAAGATTCTCTCCTTTCTCGAACAAACTCCTCAATTGATTGCTTCGCCACACCCTTCTAGCCCAACTACACTCCCTTAGAACATGTTCTTGGGTTTCTCTTAGATCACAGAATGGACAGCCTTCACTGCCTTGTTGGGTTCTATCCAAAATCTTTGCACCTGTAGGTAAAATATTTCTTAGCCAACGCCACCCAAAAACCTTGACTTTAGGTGGGATTTTTAATCCTCGCACCTTTTTTCAATTCACAGGCGAGTAGATTTCCCCCTCTTCTGCTTCAAATCTGGTTTCCCATAGGCGATATGCCGACTTTACTGTGTATTCACCCGATTTTTCCTTACTCCAGATTCGCTTATCTTCAATACCTTGTCATGGGATTGGTATTCGTTGTATGTTTATTCGATCAGTAGGGTTGAAATGTTGTTGTAGAAGATCACTCCTCCATGTGCCTTCTTCCTGATTGATTAATTCTACAACTGATGTAGAAACCCCCAGCATAGTGCTTGGAGAAGTAACCTTTAGATTTTCACTCGAGGGAACCCACTTATCCAACCATATATTGATCCTATTCTCATTTCCAACCCTCCATCTCATGCCTCGACTAACCAGATCCTTAGGCGCCATCAGTCCCCTCCAAACCCAACTAGGGTTTCGTCCCACCTCAGCCTCCAATGGTTCTCTATTTTGGAAGTATTTTCCTTTGAACACTCTCGCAACCAGAGTATCTGGGTTCTGAACAATTCGCCGGAGCTGTTTGCCTTGAAGGCTAGATTAAAACTCTGCAGGTTCCTGAAACCCAAACCTCCAACCTTTTTAGGTTTACACAATTCTTTCCAGCTTAGCCAGTGAGTCTTGGACTCCTCTTGCTGCTGTCCCCACCAAAAGGTTGAGATAACACGCTTTATTTCCCTCAAAATGTTTGCTGGTATCAAGAACAATGACATTGCATATGTCAATTGAGCTTGTGCCACTATTTATTAGTACTTCCTTCCTCCCAATCAATAACAACTTTCCATTCCACATTTTCACCTTTGAGCGCACTCTGTCGACCAAATGGCCAAATACCTTCTTTTTCGACCGGCCAATTACTGTTGGCAAACCCAGGTATTTTTCATGATGATCCACACACCTCATATTAAGTACTCCCGCCAGCTCCCTTCTCTTATCCTGCTTTATGTTAGGGTTGAAAGAGAGTTCTGATCTGTGTAGATTGATCTACTGCCCTGACTCTGCTTCATAAAGAGTTAGGATATCTCTAATCCTCTCACACTCTGCTCTGTTTGCTTTAGCAAATAGAATACTGTCACCTGCAAACAATAGATGTGAAATTTGCGGAGCATTGTGCTTCACTCTTATTCTTTCAATCTTCCTTTCTCGTTCTGCTTTAGAAATTAGTGCTGAAAGCCCCTCAACTACAAAGAGGAACAGATACGGAGAAATAGAGTATCCTTGCCTTAAACCCCTACTGGGTAAAAAACTTCACTCTGATGCCCATTGACTAGTGTCGAGAAAGACACAGTGGTAACACATGTCATTATCATTTTTACCCATCTTGCTTCAAATCCCAGCTTCATCATTATTGCCTCTAAGAAATCCCACTCTACCCTATCATACGCCTTGGTGATGTCCAATTTTGCTGCCACAAAACCCTTATTTCCAGTTTTGCGGGTCTTTATTGAGTGAAAGCACTCAAAGGCAATCATCATGTTGTCAGTTATGAGTCTTCCTGGTACAAAAGCGCTTTGATTAGGGACAATGATCTCGTTTAGGATACCTTTCAGTCTATTAGCCAAGACTTTGGAAAGAATCTTGTATAGAACCTTGCATAGGCTAATAGGCGGAAAGTCAACTGGGGTCTGAGGCTTATTTTTCTTTGGTATCAATGCAATTAGAGTATGATTAAGTTCTTGGGGGAAACTACCCTCCTCCAGATACCCTTGTAACTCTATCGTGACTGCATCACCCACAATATCCCAATTCTTTTAAAAGAAAAGGGCTGACATCCCATCTGCTCCAGGGGATTTTAGAGGCCCATCACTTTCAAAGCTGCCCATATCTCCTCTCGGGTGAAAGGTTTAAGTAATTCATCATTCATGGCAGCTGTAATCTTTCTTGGTACTGCTTCAATCACACTATTCGAGTTTGCACAGTTCCTAGAAGTGTAAAATTTCTTAAAGAACTAAACAATGCAATCTGCCACCTCCTGCTGTCCTTTACATATTCTGTCATCTTCATCTCTGAGCCTTCTTATCATATTCTTTGCTCTTCTCTCTGATGCTCGTCGATGGAAGTATTTGGTATTTTTGTCGCCATGTTGCAACCAATCTGTTCTGGAGCGTTATTTCCATTTCAGCTCTTCCAGCAACATTATATCCTCCAATTCATTTTCCAGCACCCTTCTTTGTGCTAAGATAGCTTCTGTTTTTTCCAGCTTATAAATTCTGTCCAGAGCTTTTTCTGTTTTGATGTGTCTGGATCTAAGGCTACCAAAAGTCTGCTTACTCCAGCTCTTAAGCCTCTCCTCACATCTGCGTAGACGCCCCATCACAGAATTATCTCCCATATCTTCCCATCCCTGTTTGATCACACTTTTACAGTCCTCGTGCTCTTTCCAGTGGGCTTCGTACTTGAAGTATTGGCCCCACCTCACTTCCTCTTCCATATCATTCAATCTTAACATAATTGGGTTGTGGTCAGAACCACACCTCCTTAGGTGGTAGACCACAGTTGTAGGGTATAGTTGACTCCATGAGTCCGAAGCCACCGCCCTATCCAGTCTTTCTTCAATATAGGTCCCATCCTTATGGTTGTTATCCCACGTAAAAGGCCTCTCATAGAACCCTAAACCCTCAAGTTGGCAATACTCCAGGGCTTGACTAAAGCCTTCCATTTCATATCAATTTGTTGGTTGCTTTCCATTCTTTTCTCTGTAGTTTTGTATGAGATTGAAATCCCCATAGCAGACACATGGTAAAGTTGTCTGATTTTTTTGATAACGTATAATTTCCCACGTCAGATGCTTGTTTCGTTGTTCAGGCCATCCATAGACCCCTGTTAGTCGCCAAACATTACTGTCATCCTTGATGCACGTATCTATGTAATTCTCTGAGTAGTCTTTCACTTCCATATCCAAATCTTCTTGCCATAGTATCAATAGACCACATGCTCTTCCATTAGAGCCCACTCCAAATCCTTTGTAACCACTTACTTTTGCCACAATCTCTTCCCATTCCTTTTCCTTCTTCGTTTCCATTATAAAGACCACCTTGGGGTTTGGGTGCTGGATCAAACGCACCATCTTTTTAATTGCCAGGGGACTCTCCAAACCCCCGACAATTATAACTCAGCAGACTCATTGGACTGGGTGGTCCTGCTTTTTTGCAGGATCTGCCACTTCGCTATCCATGAATTTTGTATAATTTTTCACTTCTGTATTCTCCTTCTCAAAAAAGTTTAGCATATTGGTTCTTTTCGCCTCTTTAGCTATTGGAATCTCATTTGTCTCTCCTTCTTTATGTGTTGCAGCTTGTCTCTTCTGCGGTGTAAGTTGGGTCATCACCACAGCTGGTTTGGTTCCTCCCTGCTCTTGTCTCCTCCACACTTTGGTTGTACTCCTCCCCACTCTACACTCCCATGTACTTCTCATCACAAATTATTTTAATGCTCCAACTAGTGCTTTCATTGTTCCTGCAGTCGTAGCTCTCTCCTGATTAGCTTTTCCCCCTTGTTGCAGGGGCTTTACAGGAGGTTGAATTGACTGCATACTCTCCTTGCCGTGCAGCTGGATCTCCTTCTCTACGTTCTCTTCAGGTATTTTTGCCTCTTCCATGGGTACATCATCTGCTTTTATGTTCTCCTCTGTTTTCAGCGCCATGTCATGATCCGAGCTGGATCCTATGCTTTCCATTTCCAATTTCTGACGTAGGGCAACCCAAACCTCAGCATCCTCCTTCTTAGCCGTGTAGGATAGCAGTTCTTAGGTCCAGGTGCTGCTACCCTTAGATCATAACCAAACAGATCCACTTCTGGTTTTGGATCCAATTTACACTTGAGTTTCGGATGGCCAATTCTTCCACAAGTATAGCAAAACAAAGGTAGTTTCTCATACTTCACTGGGTATTCCACCAAATTCCCCTGAATGTATAGCTTTAACTTCTTTTTGAGGGGTTTGTTGATGGATAAATAGACCCTTAGTCTCATATAATCATCCCACATTGTGCTTGCTCCATTGTCAAACCAGTCCAGACCCTCGAACCTTGATGCAATTTTTTCTGCCATTTGTTGAGTTCGAAGCTCTACAGGAAAACCTATGACTCGTATCCACAGGTCAATCATATGCAAGTCCTTTGGTTTCGATTTCTGTATCAGAGTACTAGCTTCAACACTATGATATTATTCTCATAGTACGAAGGACCCCCAAAGCACACTTTGTTTCTATCATCCATATCTAAAAACTGGAACGCAAACATCATATCACCCAGTTCAGTTACCTGAAAACCCTTTCTTAGCTTCCACGCTTTCGCCAATGCAATCTTCATTGATTTTATATTTGGTTCTTTTTCAGATACCAGCCGGCCAATCAAGCCCAGCCTACGTACCGCTTCCATCCTGATGACATCAACATCGGAATCCTCAACCTCAAGGGGTTCTTCATCGTCCTCCTCAAGGGTTATATTATCTAGCTGTTTTTCCATCTCCAACGTGTGATCTTGCTCGTTCCTCTTGTCCTTGTTTGTAGTCGTATCCTCTACAACTCCCTCTTTACTTGCCGTGATCTTTGTTCTAGGGGTCACTCTCAGAGAAACCAAAGTCGTATGTCGTCACAAAGTTTGTAGCTATAAAACTCTGTCACGAAGAAAGATATACTCCTTTCGTCGTGGGTTCCAAACCCTAAATAGGTCTCCAACACTGCACAGAGAAAGCTCCAGACCCGTGTATCACCTTTTACTTCCTTTTACTAATGGGAATCAAACACCTTACTCCTCTCGGAAAAGCTCAATAATCTTGAAAAACCCCTAGGGTTTCCGCCGCTCTATTGCTCTCGCTAAACGAGAGAACGGCCCTTTGGAATCTCTTCGAGAATTTGACATCATGAGAATAACTTAAACTTAGTTCCACAACATAATAGTTAAGAAACTGAGTTAAACATTTTTTTTTTGAAAGTCAACAATAAAATCTTTAACTGCATAAATAAAGGAAACCTATAATAAAGAACGAGTTTTATAGATTGTGTTGTTAGAATTGAATCAATTTTTAATTATAAACATTAACTCAAATTTTATAATTATACAATACCATGACATAGTTAAAATATAAATAATACTTTCTAAAACAGAATAGTTAACAAACTGTGTTAGAGCAATAAAAGTTGAACTACATAAATAAATGATAACTATTAAGAAAAATGAGAACATGTTCCTTTAAAATTGCAATTAATAAAAAAAATTCAAAAAAGAAGAAGAATGGGGATCAAACCGCAGACCCTTTTGAACTAGTTTGGACCCGGCCAGTTGGCAGAAACATTATTTATGTTTAATATTTAATAAAAATTATGAAAATTTTAGGTTTTATCAGGTCTCTTCAATTTAATTTTTTTCAATAATAATCATTATGTAAAGTTGGTTAAGTTTTCAAGATGAGTCTTTTAATAATGATGTCCATTGTTGAAAATTCTTTATATTTGGATTCTCAACTCTTCATTTTATGGATTCTCAACTCTTATCTAATACGACATGATTCCAACAGAGTTGGCAGAAACATTATTCGGTTGACAGGGACACGAGCTTGATATATATAGTCCTACTTCCTTTTCCTTACAACTATGGTTTTACTTTTTTTATTGCTCCAAAAGAAACGAAATATTTTATTCTTATCACATATTATTCTACCATGTAATTATTGGTAATCAAGAAACTACTTCTAGTACAGTGCTAAGCTTGATTTGGAACTATGCTTGTCATAGTATTTTTCGAATCTTCCTTCAAATTTGGAGGACGACATTTCTTAAGACACTTATCACTGCAAGTCCATGCTCCATAGTGACAATGTCCCATGCACTTTCCAAAGCACTTCTCCACAGGATCAACTTTTGCCTCTTGATATTGAGATGAAGGAGAAATCAATAAGAACATGATTGTGGCCACAATGAGAAAACTCCAAATCATGTTGGTGTTCATGTTGTGCATAGTTGATCTTCTTTCCCCCCAAACGCCTTAGGTGTGTATGAGTTCAAAATCTTTTGAGGGCGTTGTGCTTAGAATCACATTTGGATAATCATTTTATAGAGTTTCACTTAAAAAAAATTATTCCATAAATACAAAAAAAATCTAAACAATAACTCCCTTATTATTATTCAGATTCTATGTGCATTTAATTTGTATGGATTTTAGTTCAATTTACATCTATTGGGATTTAGTAAAATTTACTTTATCTTAATGCTATTAATTTTCTTTTTGACTACCCTGTCATAACTAAAATGTAAGAGCCTTAGAAGGTAATAAATTTGTTGAAAAGCACAAAGTCACATCCTCACCGGTTGGTCCAAGGAGACCCAACCACGATTATTGAATGAGATATTCCAATTTATCGACTTTGACTATGTTACAATCAATTATACCATGCCTCGTTTTATTTAGTTGGGAGTAGTACTAGATCATCGTCTGGCGGCAATGATAGAATTCTTGTATTCGTTCATGCCATCCATTAATTTTGTGCCCACGATCTGCTATTCATTAGACAAGACCCGACTCTCGCTTCACTAATTAATGGAAGGAATGGAGAGCTTCGATCCATTATGATTTGGCGTGGAGAGATCTAAGTAAAACAAAGAGCTCATAAGCACTATTTTGCGGATCAAAGAACGACGTATTTATTCCCTGTGCACTCTCATGAACATTCAAGTTCGTGGAGTTGATAATTATACTTGTCGACTAATATTTTTGAAATCCACATGTTCTAAATTCATGAGTCAAATCATACCCAGGTTGTTCGCGATTCCCATTGTGCCATCCATTCTCCTAACGATAGGAATGTTAGCGATGACGGAATCCCCGCACTGGCTCATCATAGCTAGGCTGAGGGTCGGCGAGGCGAAGCATATCATGGAAAGCGGCGAGAAAAGTGCGGAGGAGATCGATCACATAGTGTCCCAGATGGAGTACCTGTGGGACCACATACCTTCGCTTCTCTAAGTTGTCATGCTGGCTGGCGTGCTACTGGTTGAACCTGGTTCAACTTGTACCGGTCATAAAACCGGTATGACTCTACCGATATGACCAGCATGATCGATATACGAATATCCAAGTAAAATGATCTTATCTTAGTGAATTTAATTGATAAAAAGTAATTTATTATTTATTTTATGTGTTAAAACGTTAAATGTTGATGTTATTTGTTGGATTCAAGTACAAATATTTAGGTATTGATGTTAAATGTTGTGTTTAAATATGAGTATTTGTAAATTATTTGTAATATTAACCGGCATGAACCGACACAAACTGGTATGTACCACCAATCGAACCATTCCGCTTGCTAAACCGGCACACTGACACAAACCGGTTTGACAACCTTACTTCTCTTCATGTGGAAGGACCTCGTGCGACATCTGCTGGGCCGCCTCACCATCTCCGTCGCGCTCGTAGAAGCTCTTCGACATCTTGGTGTGGAAACCTACTTCGAGCTAGAGTATTTGGTGACTTTGTACCTGGTCGAGGAGAAGTTGTTGGCCAAAGCGAACGTGACGGTTCTCCTGGTGAAGGAATCTGTGCCATTGTCTCCGGTCGCTTTGCTGACAAAATCGGGAGCCGGTTCTTGATGTTGGCCAGCAGTGGAATCACCATTTTGTTTCTGCTCGTATTTGGGTTCCCACTGAGCCACTTCCACAATGGCTCCCCTCGCTAAGTCTACGCTGGCAGAACCAAAGTGCTCAGCTTGGTGGCGTTCAACGGGATCATGGGCTCCTACCGGTTGGGGTTAGGGCCCATGACGTGGGTCTATACTACGGAGGCTTTCCTGTACCGAGCCCGAGCCCAAGGAGTTAGCTTCGGGGTTGTTGTTGGCCAGATCGCCCAAGTAATAATGTTTGTAGTTTTCCCTCATTTGTTCTACTCGCCCCTCTACATTGCCGGCGTGTATCTTATACTTGCCGGCGTAATGGTTCTTGGAATTGTTTTGTGCTGGCGATATGTTAAGGACAAAGTGGGGGAAATTTTGTTGTAAAGAATAGAACTGATATATTATTATACTTGAGGATCAAAATCATTGTATTTTTTGTGGTGGATTCACAATTATCACTACAAAAAAAAAAACAGACTTTTGGCGACGAATAGTTAGCCACGAAACTAAAATTAGTTGTAAAAGGTATAGTTTTATCATGTTTCGTCGCTGATAGACATAGTCATGAATTTCCTTGGCGATTCCGGTTCCCCATCCTATTCATCCTTCTTCTCAGTTTAAGATCTCAGTCAATCCCACATCACCAATTGCAGAGCTCAACATTGGATGACGAAGGGAAGGAGATGACGTAAAAAATGTATTGTTTCTTGTAGTGTTTTATGCCTTATAGCGATGAATCGTTTATCGCAAAAGGTATTGTTTCTTGTAGTGTTGTTGTAAACCTATATCACCCTGGATTGGTAATTGGTTGGTTACTCGTTTAACCGGTAATCGATTAAATGTAAACCGAAATATAGCAATTTGCTTCCGACTACGGTACCGATGTACATCCGTTTTATCGGATTGTGTGGTTGTCAGTTACCAATCTGGTTACTTTCAAACGCGAGGAGCTTATTTGGTCCAAAAAGGAACTTCGTCGAAGATCAATGGCGAGCAACAATGCTCGTTTGCAGGTCCTGGCATGTCGCCTCTACCGGCTCGTCCCTCCCCTCCGCCTTGGATCTCGACACTCGCTTCGATTCCGGACCGGAGTTCGAGAGATTAATTGATTCCATGGCCATTTTATAGAGTTTGATAGATGGTTTACGATTCTTTCCTGGCCTTTGATTGGTGGTTTACGATTCCCCTTTCCTTATTCGTTCGACAAGGACCCATACTTGATAGTCCTACTTCCATTTTCTTTGCAATTATGGTTTTCCTTTCTTTATTGCTCCAAAACAAACGACATATTTTATTCTTATCACATATTATTTTCTATCATGTAATTATTTGCTAATCAAGAAACTACTTCTCGTACAGTGCTAAGCTCGATTTGGAACTATGCTTGTCATAGTGTTTTTCGAATCTTCCTTCAAACTTGGAGGGCGACATTTCTTAAGACACTTATCATTGCAAATCCATGCTCCATAGTTACAATGTCCCATGCACTTTCCAAAGCACTTCTCCACAGGATCAACTTTATACTGAAATGACGGAGAAATCATTAAGAACATGATTATGGCCACAATGAGAAAACTCCAAATCATGTTGATCTTCATGTTGTGCATAGCTGATCTTCTTTCCCCCCTTTCCCCCCAAGGCCTTAGGTGTGTATGAGTTCAAAATCTTTTTGAGGCTGTTGTGTTCATAATCACATTTGGATAGTCATTTTATAGAGTTTCACTTCACAAAAAAAAATATAATTTGTTTATTCCATAAATATGACAAAAATCTAAACAATAACTCACTTATTATTATTCAGATTCTATGTGCATTTAATTTGTATTATTATTCAGATTTTAGTGCAATTTACATCTATTGAGATTTAGTAAAATTTACTTTTTTTTTTGCATTAGCGGGAGGCCGAGGCCGATAAAAAAAACACGATTACATGGGAGAGAGGGGAGAGTGGGATCTTCTTAGACCACGATTATCATTCAATTATGTTGGATCTTCTTAGACCAAATGGGTCAAGATGACTTTTGTACTCTTACTACAAAATTTATTACCTCTAACGCTCCAACATTTAAGTTATACTAGAGTAGTCAAAAGAAACATTAATAGCATTAAGGGAAAGTAAACTTTACTATATCTTTGTGGATAGAAGTTACATTAATTGAAAATGGATAGAAATTGCACTAAAATCCTTACAAATTAAATGCAAACAGAATCCCAATAATAATAAGAGAGTTATTGTGTAGATTTTCTTTTCATATCTATGGAATGAAGAAACTGTATAATTTTTTTTTGTCAAGTGAAACTCTATAAATTGATAAGTAAAATGTGCTTCTAAGCACAACTACCACAAAAAGGTTTAAACTAACGATGAAAAATATGAAGACGAACATCATTTGGAGGTTTCCCCTTGTGGTTGTAGTCTTATTATTATTGGTTACTCTGGCATCTCATCATCAAGCGATGGCGGATGATGAACCTGTCTACTCATGCTATCGACATTGCATGGGACATTGTAGCGAAGGACCAATTATATGCGATGATAAGTGTCTTAAGAAATGTCGTCCTCCAAGTTCGAAGAAAGATTCAGAAAATACCGTTACAGGCATAGTTCCAAATCAAGGTTAGGACTGAATAATGTGAGTAGGTTTCTGGTTATCAAATAATAACCTCATATGTAATGAGAATAAAATATATATGTTCTTTGTGTTACGAATAAAGAAGAGAGTTATTACTTGTCATCCTACTTTTTACTATAATCGCCCTAACTTTCAAGTTAAAAATACGTACTTATCATTCTCATTTTATTGAGTTTTTATTATGACGGAGGCGGCAGCCGGACAACTTAAAGGAATCATCTTTCTTTCTCGAAAATATTCATGATCGTATAGAGGAACAAATTTAGAATTTACCCAATTGAATTATGAATCCCCCCAGCTCGATTAATGTTGGCAAACGCCACGAAGCATAATTGAATTTTTCCAGTAAGGAAGGGGACGGAGACTGAGTGGCCCAAAAATTAGAGAATATGGATCAGACGTCATAGATAGATAGAGAGAGAGAGAGAGAGAGAGACGCTGAAATTAAGCTGAGTCGGGTGGTTGAGATGGAATACATGCAGCCGTATTAGAGAAGGACGGAGGCGGCGAGACTGAGTGGTTGCAGAGGAGGACGGCGACGACTGATTGGATGGTCTTCTGGCGGATGAGTTACGCGATTTTCTTTCAAATTCGTTTGGATTGTGATTTTATTTCTGAAAGTTACTTAATTTTTACGTTCAAATTTGGACGATAATAGTAAAATTATGGTGATAATCTTAGCGTTCAAATAATGAAAAGAAAAAAAAAATGCAACTAAAACCTAAGCAAAGGGAAATTGCAAATCTTCAAACAATGGGGCACAAGAAACAAGAAAGGGTAAAAGGGAAATTGCAAATCTTCAAACAATGGGGCACAAGAAACAAGAAAGGGTAAAATTCAAGCAATGTCCTTCTTAATCAATAACCAGTTTCAAGATTAGGAGTGAGCTATAATTCGGATCACAGTGTACCAAATAGGACCATATCAAATTTCGGATCAATCGAATCATTCGTATCTTTTGATTTGATTTTGGTTCCCGTATTTTCACTAGTTCCTGGACTAAGTACAACTTTATTTGAATTACTTTCTAATGTTCTATATTGTGTGATTGCAAAAGGTTTAGTTATGGCTAGTGAGGAATTTAGAGAATTATTGGATGGTATATATGACGTGTATTGGAGATTGGAGAGCGATGATGCATGGAAGAATGAAGATTAGAGAAACAATTATCTAGACTACTTTTAAGAGAGGATAAGAAGACTTTAGCTTTTTACATTTAAACATTAGTTTTCGCTTACACCTTTGCAGAATGTTTTAGAACATTTGGTTTTTCATGAATTGATAAGTATTTAAATTGAGATCATTTGATGACTTTCCTTTCCGTGTAGTTACTTTTACTTAGTATTTTTTTGTCCTTTAAAAGTAATCTTATTAGTATTTTAGGATTACTCGGTCTAATGGGATGGTCCAGATCGAATCGAACCATCTATGGTTCCACCAAGACTGAATCGAATAAATAACGATTCAACTTTGGTCCTTAATTTTAAAGAAATTTGGGTTCGACCGTGAAATGGTTGGTCCGGTTTTTTTTGGTTTAAACCGAAATCGAATCGATAAGGATCAATCGGTAAGGATATGAAGAGGAGGCCAAGTCAGAAGAGAACAGGAAGGTCAATCTATCTTCATGTGCACATGTTTTTATCCGTTCGACCTTATTGTGTTTTTTTTGTTTCAAATCGGTTTGTATCGTCGATTTAAACCGAGAAATCGGTACGTACCAAAAACATTCTAGGTGAGAGGTGTAGGGAGTTTCAGTTTTGATTAGGGGTGATGGGGTTCAGTTTTGTATTTTTTGTTTTCTAACTGAAACCGAACCCTTAAAGATTTTTTTTTTTTGGTTTTGGTCTAATTCGATTTGTATTTTTTCAAAATGGATTCGATTCGGTTGACCGAATCAAACCAAACCAACACCCTAGTACGTACAATGGAAGCTACAACTGTTGGGTTCGGAAACAACGATAGTTCAACGACACGTCGGCCTTAAGGATTAAGGAATGGTAATTACTTCTCTCTCTCTGCTAACTAACCTACTGGCCTAATTTCGTAAACACCTACTATATGAAAGCTGTAGCAGATACGTGCATGCATGCATGCATCTCTTGTCTTGTTTCGTTGTAAATTCAAATTTTCAAAGTGCCGGTCCACCGTGGACATATGGCTGGCGTTCATGGGCTGGGCCGGCTTTAACGTACGTCCAGGAGCCCAACCGAATTCAAATTGAGCCACAGTGGAAAAGCTCTAAAATGTATCGCCGGTCCAGTCCGAATGCCATTGGGAGAAGGGGAGAAAAAGGAGCTTCGGCCTTTTCAAAGATAAGAATGCTGGGAAACGTTTCAGCCCACAGTTCCTTGCTGGGCCTACTACCAGAATCCGGAGTCAACGAGAAATTGAGAGGTGACGACGAAGCCACCTCCATCTTTTCGAGTGGCCGTAGTTCCTCCGGCGTCCACCATCGGCGTCACCGGCTTCTTCCTCTCCGGCATGCATCCCTTCCCGTCCAATCCCACTTGACAGAAACGAAGAACAAGGAGAAGGAGGCATAAGAAGATTTATGTTCCCCTTTTTCAAATTCTAGAGCAAAATAGTAAACTCAGCCATCCATATATAAACTGAACTTCGGAGAAACTCGCTTCCGGCTTTCATCTTCTGCGGCGGACGGTAACGAGCTTGGCTCACCGCTCCTGCTCCTAATCTTCTTTCAGTTTGACTGGCCTGGTCTTCTCAGCGGCGACCGCGAAGGGTAAAACCTGTTTTGGTGTGAAAATTTTGGAACTTTTTTCCCTCTGTTTTCTTGGGTTTCATGCATGTAATTAGGTGGTTTTAAGCCTCGTTGTATCTGAGTAAGCATTAGATTGCCTCTATCGATGGTGCAAATGGGTTATTTCTTCAACCTTCAGGCTTGAACTGCTGCAGACATCTATCTATGCTTGGTTCCAATTGCATGAGTCAAGTTGTTCTATTCTGCCACCGGGGTCTAGTTTGGTTTGTTGTTCTGAAAATCGTGGCTTGCTTATCTCTTAAAATCAACGATTTGCAGGGGCAGATAGAGAATTAGGTGGAGAGGGATTTACTTTGTAAACATGGCTTTCACATTGTTCAGGAACGTCATCCAAGCTCAGCCTTTGTTTCTGCATTCATCTGCTTTGCTTAGAAGGAAGAACGGGGTTTTGTATTGCACAATGAAGAGCACCTCACAGTCACAAACTCAGACAGCCACGGAAGAAAAGCAGCAGCAGAAGAGTCCACAAAAAGTCAAAGTTTCTCCTCAGAAGCAGATGAAGGAAGTTAGTAAAATCGCGGCAGATTATGAGGCAGTCATTGGCATAGAAACCCATGTCCAGCTCTCTACATTGACCAAGGCTTTCTGTAGTTGCCCTTACAGTTATGGTGCCCAACCAAACACCTGTATCTGCCCAGTTTGCATGGGTCTTCCGGGTGCTTTACCAGTTCTGAATTCGAGAGTCATTGAGTGTGCTGTGAAACTAGCCCTTGCGCTGAATTGCAAGCTCTCTTTCAGTTCCAAATTTGACAGGAAACAGTACTTCTACCCAGACCTTCCAAAGGGCTACCAAATATCTCAGTTTGATATCCCGATTGCAACTGGTGGTTCTATCGACCTGGATCTTCCGCTTGAATTTGGTGGTGGTCATAGGAGGTTTGGTATCACAAGAATTCACATGGAAGAGGATGCTGGCAAGTTAATGCATTCAGGAAATGGGAGTTACTCACTGGTATTTTTGTGTGTTTTGCTATGTTCTTTTGCATTTGTTTCCCAGCTTCTCACTACTATCTGTTTGTGTTTGCTTCATTGAATATATGCCTGTTTCTTGATAAATTTTGTTGATATTAACTAGTTATTGTTTTAGGGGATTGTTTCTTTTATTGTTAGCACTATCTTCTTTACTCAGCAAATGAGCAACCACCCTTTGCAGGTCGATTTGAATAGAGCTGGAGTCCCATTGTTAGAGATTGTCTCAGAACCAGATATGAGAACTGGCATTGAAGCTTCTGAGTATGCTGCAGAACTTCAAAGAGTTGTTCGATACTTGGGAGTCGGTAATGGTAATATGCAAGAAGGTTCGCTGCGTTGTGACGTGAATGTCTCGGTTCGACCGATTGGACAGGCAGAATTTGGGACAAAGGTAGCTGTTTCTCTCGCAAGAATACTGTTTTCCGTCGCATTTATTTATATAAGCTGCATAGTTTTCACTTTTCATCCACCTATCAATATTAGGATTGAGCCAACTTATTCTTGTTAAAGGTTGATGATTTCGTTTTGGCATTCTCAAAAGTTTGTGTTTGATGCATGTATTTGCTCCATGGCATCCCTGATATACTTTGCTTCACTTTTTATTGGCAGGTTGAGATAAAAAACTTGAACTCCTTTTCATCAATTAACAGAGCTATTGACTTCGAGATATCTAGGCAAGTCAATCTCCATAATCAAGGGCAACAAGATTCAATTGTACAGGAAACTCGTCTTTGGGAAGAAGGTGCACAGGTTGTATCTTCACTGTTGATTTCTTGTTAGATCAACAAAGGAGGAAATAATGGGAGGGGTGGGAATGTTTTTTTTTTCTTTTTCAAATCCAACTGCAGCTGATCCAACACTATTTCTTGTTCAGAAAACAGTTACTATGAGGAAAAAGGAAGGGCTAGCTGATTACCGATATTTCCCTGAACCAGATCTTCCTGAAGTCGTTCTTACAAAAGATTATGTGGATAGTGTTGGTAAATCCTTGCCTGAGCTTCCAGAAGCTAAACGTAGGAGGTACGAGGAGATGGGGTTAAGCATGCAAGATGTTCTTTTCCTTGCAAATGACATAACAGTAAGTCCTGGTTTCCAATCGCTGAGCCTGGGTCATCTCCAATTGCATGGTGTTTGTTTCCCTTGGGATCATATCATATCATCCAAGATATTGTTTGTTTCCCCCTGAATCAGGTGGCAGACTTTTTCGATGCGACAATTCAGAAGGGTGCTGATGTGAAGCTAGCTGCAAACTGGATCATGGGTGATATTGCTGCCTACATGAAAAATGAGAAGTTATCGATAATTGATATCAAACTTGTGCCCCATGAGCTGGCTGAGCTGATTGCTTCTATTAAAAGCGGGACTATTAGTGGGAAGATCGGAAAGGAGGTAAAAATTTAAACTAGTCTTGGTTCACTCTCCAGTTCTTTGATCAGTCTACCTGATGTCTTCTGTTTTACTTCCAAACCGTTTGCAGATACTGTTCGAACTCTTGGCCAAAGGTGGAACTGTGAAGGGACTGATTGAAGAGAAGGACCTTGTCCAGGCAAGTTATTGTTTTTCCTTGCTTAACCTGATTATCTTTTTGATTTGGTTAGAAGTTATTGAGCACTGCGTAATCAGGATTGTGTACGTAGTAGCTATTTGTTATTTCACAAAGTTTCTTGCATAGAGTGGGTGGCTGGAGCTCTGGGTTCAGTCAGTCCCTGCAAGTATATCTGAGGAGTATCTGAGGAGTGTTTTTGGGGAGAACAATGCAGATAACGGATCTTGGTGATATTGAGAAGATGGTCGATAAGGTGATTGCAGAGAACCCGAAGCAGTTGGAACAGTACAGATCCGGGAAGACGAAGCTGCAAGGTTATTTTGCCGGCCAGGTAACGGAATGAAGTGTGTTTGTGTGTACTGTTATGATCTGGCACCACCCTCTCTGTTCTTGGCTCAGAAGGTCATTTCATTTCACTTCACTAGGTAATGAAAGCATCAAAAGGCAAGGCGAACCCTGGGGTCTTGAATAAGGTACTCGTCGAGAAACTAAATGCCAAAGTCTGAAGGCAACACTGGCAGATGCTTGCAAGAAAGAAGCCATGTCAAAAGATAATACAGGCTGCACTTCCAACACACTGCAAACGGGATGGAATTAGAGCCTTAATCAATGACTAGGTTATGTCCCCACATGCAGAGGGTTTTTGATGATGATTGATTTATATGTAACAATTGTTTGTACTGATTTTTTTCATGAATAAGTCCTATTTCAGCAAAACTTTTGTACACAATTTGCAACTAGAACCCCTGCAATTTGCAGCTTTTCTTGCTGCAATGGCTAACTTGTTAATACTTGCTCATTGGCCTTCAAAATTCCTCAATCCTCAGCAATACAATTGCAAAGTTCAACACTTGTTAATAGTTCCCCGTTGGAAGACATCTTGGCTGCCATTCTTTCCAAATGTGACAAGAAGCAAGCCATCCACAAAACACAACCAGCCCTAGGCCTAGCCAACTCCGACGCTCCGTTGAGCTTCATCTTGGCCAACCTAACTCGTCCCAGATGAACTACAGAAAATTTGCAGAAGCTCACTCACAGTTGGAGAGTCTGAGCACATTACATTTGAGCTTGATTTCGTTTATCTTTGCGTCATGGAAATGGTTCTAGTGACACAAATGGTCGGTTACTACTTACGCTTGAGGTTACTTATGGTTTAACTAACGATTTTCCTTAATTGTTCCAAGTCAGCTGGTCGTATCAGTTAACTGTGTAATTAAAAGGCCACATAGACACCTGGTGTACTGTTCACCAGTCCCCTTTGATCCGGTGTAGGATGTTGGTTTGCTTGCGTGTGAGCTTGGACACCAAAACATAAAGTTCAATGTGCAATCTGGAAAAACTTCATCCAAGAGATTGTTGAAATCATACGTAAAGCTAATTATCTGCAATTTCGGCCTCTACTTGCTACCTCTAACTCCATTTCTCTTAGGGATAGCTAACTGACTACTCTGACTCAAAAGACTGCATAATTGGCAAAGCCAACTGCTAACCCGAACAGGTGAAAAGGACACAAATGAAACCAACATAAAGTTTAAGGATCCAATTCCAACAAACCAGAACGACGCAATTTGACATAGAAAACTGAATCAGTGAATTGACTTCATCTCAAATCTCCCGGGCACAGGTTCGTCACCAACTCCAACAGGACTACTCGTCAATGTCGTCGGAGGAGGAACTGGCATCCCATGGGCCACGGAAGAGACTGGCAATCCTCGTACCGGCAGTCTCAGTACCGGCAGTCCCGGCAGTCCCCGCAGTCTCAGTCCCGGCAGTACCGGCAGTCCCCGCAGTCTCAGTACCGGCAGTCCCGGCAGTCCCCGCAGTCTCAGTCCCGGCAGTCCCGGCAGTCCCGCCAGTCCCGGTGTTGGCATCCTCAGAGGAGTGCTACCGTCCTCTTCAGACTCTGAGGAAGAGCTGGTGGCGAAATGAACCCGCCCCGAGTATATGTACCTCACAAGAAGTCTTCTTCCCTGCCTCCCAATAATCTCTCTAGTGGGCGGAGGTGGCGGAGGCGGCTGCTGAACGTCGGGCACCGGGACCTGATCGGGATGACGACCATGTATAATCCTCAAACGCGGAATGTGAGCCCCATGAGGCAGAGGGTCGCGAGGTGGAGGAGGCTGAGGAGGACGGTGGCTAGGAGGCGGAGGAGGAGGACGGTGGCTGGGAGGCGGCGGCGGAGGCGGAGGAGGACGGTGGCTAGGAGGCGGCGGTGCTGTCTGGATTCGAATGGGAGCTGGCCGAGGAGCTGTCTGGCCACCAATCCACGATCTCCAGAATCCCATCAGCCTCCCGCCTGAGTTTCGGCTTGAGTTGGGCCGTTGTACTTGTACGGGTGACAGCGGCTGGGTAGGGAGCAAGCTACCAAGCCCGACGGAAAAAGACTCTGGCTCGACGGATGAAGAACTTGACCCAGCAAAACCAACCTTTACTTTCCCCTTCTTCTGATACCTGGGGCTTTTAGCCAATTCTGGGTCTTGGTTAGGGAGAAGGGTTTTGCCCCTGACATCCCTAAGCTTCTGTTCTTGTGATGATGGGAGCTTTTCCTTGTCCTCCTCAGCTACGGTTCCCTGATTTTCTGATGAAATCTATGCCCTGTCATCCTCGGCCTGGGTTCCCTGATCTTGTGATGGATTCTTTGCCTCCTCGACCTGGGTTCCCTGATCTTGCGATGGAACCTTTGGTCTGTCCTCCTCAGTATTGACTCCTGCCTGCTCGTTGAGCAGCGCAATTACTTCAGCCTGAAGACTATGTTGGAGTTCATATAGCCTCTGCAACTCTGGCACCAATGCATGAATCCGTTCATTAGCTTCTTGCATTTGCTGTGAGATCTCTTCAAGTCTTTTTTGGACGTTAGTTCTTGGTTCAGGTGCCATCTCTGGACAAGATTCGAAAAAAAAATTCTACTTAAAACCAAACCAACAGTATGATGGATGATATACAGTGCTCCTATATCATTTGACAGAAGAGAAATGGTGCCCTATCTGGACAAGATCATATAAAAATTCTACTTGAAACCGAACTAGCAGTATGATGGACGATATACAATGCTCCTGTATCATTTAACAGAAGAGAAATGGTGCCATCTCTGGAAAAAAAAAATCCAACTTCAAGCCAAACCAACAGTACGAGGGATGATATACAATGCTCCTATACCATTTGACAGAAGCGAAATGAGCTATGCTACGATCTTAATCTACTGGCCTTTTCACATTCATCTCAACAGTACCCGACTAATAGCAATGAAAATGTCAAGAGAGTAGAGAAGAAGAAGAAACTGGAGAAGCTTACCTGATGATAGCTCCTCTGCTGGAAACAAGCTGACGAAGAACAATGGCCAAAAACCACAGACAACCCCCCGTCCGGGTGCTCAAAACAGGCTGAGGAAGAGAACAATGGCCAAAAACCACAGAGAAACCCCGTCTGGGTTTATAAAGGGGTCCGATGGAGTGGCAGATTTCTTACTCTTACTTACCCTGCAAGAAGCACTAGAGACAAACTTTCATCGCTGCTGCAAGCTGTGCCGGTGCAACCTGGCAGCCTCTCAGTGGTTCCAATCCTGCATGAGGAGCCTTGGTGAATAAGAGAATAACCGTCTGACAGTGAGATTGTGTAATTTGACAACGCTGTGAGACAGCCATTGTCACCCCCGCGCTTCATTTTCAGCTCTAGAATTAGTTTAAAATATTTCGGATAGTCTAGCCAGCAACAACCAACGAGAGACCACAGGCATGGGACACAATTACAAGATTAGAGTGAATTAGAGTGTTGACAGTGGTCTTACATTTTCAAGGTTATATTTTTCAATTGTAAGATACTGTATGGCTTTTGTAATTGTAAAATTAATTGTATTATTGTGGTCATAACTTAAACATAACATTTATAGTCACTAATTGTAATGGTAAATGAACTGCATTTGCATTGTTGTAAATGTAATGAAACTAGTATGAGTAAGATTGCAAAAATTTTGAGGTTACAATAGGAATAACATGCAATTGATTTGAAATTAGTACGAGTAAGATTGTAAAAATTTTGAGAGTACAATCGGAATAACATATGCAATTGATTTTCCAATTGCATTGATATGGATGTTCTTAGCAGAAGAAACGAGATAAACCTTTTCTATTAATGAATCTAACTCTTTGTAGGCGGTTAAGAACAGAACGATCACAGTACAACTACTTTGCATTACACGAGAGTACAATACCATCTGGAGACAATCTTAAAAAGCCAAAAACCTATGGCTGCCAACATATAATACAGGGCGGGGAGCAGCATCCCTATGCAGAGTCTGCTCCACAGAGGTCCCTTAGCAGCCACTTCTTGCACATTCTATGAGATCAATCTTGCTTTTCTCATCAGCATCGTTGAACAGAGCACAAACATCCAACAGAAGTGCATTATGACCTGGAGTGCATCAACAGGTTCTACGGATTGATCCGAAACCTTTAATGCATCAATCATTTTCTTCTAGCACAGCATCATGCTTAGAACAGGAGCTTTTCGCCCATCTTCTGCTTCTTAACACAATGCCTCATGCGAGACACTGATCTGTTGTCCTTCCTCCATCGACCAGATTGTTCAACTCTCCTCAACTGGTTGGCATTCATCTGTTGGTTCATCAAACAAACCAACCACAAAGTAAATGAAATCGGACCACAGAAATAAATGGAGAGAACACAGAAACGCTATCTCAGTGCATCTTGACAAGGATAACTTCATTCTGGTTAAATTTAGCTTATACAAGAGTGAAGAGTTTGGAAGATAATAAAAGCCTCAGACAATTAGAAACAAGAAAGACATGCAATGCTACTTAATACGTCACAGGAGAAATGAGTTAGTAAGTTTAGCTTGGAAGACAGCTAAGTTTGCAAACAGAGCAAAAGTCTCAAGCAACTAGACAGAGAATGAGAGATAGATTGTGCTACTTAATATGTTACATGAGGTAGGTAAGTAAGAGAGCACAACCAAGACATCTCCCCTTATTCTGTCGGGGAAAAGGGAAAAGTTCCTTTCCATTTAAACAGTCCGTCCTAAACCTAGCAGAAATGCAATTGCAGAAAAGATAGTAACAAAAAAGGTGGAATCTCCCAAGCATAAGTAATTACCAAATTCCTGAGGAAGTTGTGGCTTCAATGCTCCGAACCAAACAGTTGTAGCTCCCATCGTAGCTACCTTCCAATTCTTCGTACCTAGGAATCGGAGTAGGCCAGCAAGAGACCGCTGGTTGGAGCACCATCAAATTAAGTACAACTTTCCCTTGTTCAGCAAATAACTCTAGCTCTCCCCTTCTCATATTGCAGGACAAGGTACAAAACCCCTGAACACTACGAGTACGATATTCTAAGAAGACAATTTCCGGGTTCTCTGGATGCAGATTAATTGTAACAAGATCCTTAAGATCATAGTTACACCTTGATGTGTTGAACAACACTTCAGATAGTCTCTTCCAGGATTTACGGTCTTCTTCTAGTCTCCAAACACTCAAGACATACCTCGAGCAATCAAGTTTAGTTTCAACTTGTAGTGTAGTTATGTGCAAAGCACCTTGGGACACTGAAATACTACAGGGTTTCTTGAACAATACACCAGCATCAATAGAAGTGGGAGGTATATCAAGGTGGAAAGGATTAAACACGGCAATTAAGGGCCTATGTTGGGAGTGAATATGCGTCCAAAACAACTCCCCATTGCACGAGACTACATTGTGATATACCACTTTCAAATAACCATCAAGCACAAGAGCCTCCTTGATCCATCCTCCAGACTCCGAACAGAACACATCTAGTTTTATAGACATGATTGGTTCACTCGACTGATAAATACACACGACCCGGAAGCGATACTCAGAATAAACAAATACTTGGCCATCTCCTAGATCAAGATCACACTTAGAATCACTACGTGGTTCACAAACTAACCTTGCATCCGATCCCAGATACCGCATCGACTTCTCAGGCGATAAAGGAAGGGCGATCCATTGCTTCGTAAACGGATTGCATATCAGGTACGATCTTCCAAGTTCGTTACTGTGATCAAAATCCAGAAACCCGCATAAAAGCAAGTCCTTGAAGGAATCCCAGACTATGAAACGCGGTCGACCTGCGTCGGGCACGGGGAGAAAGCTCAGGATGATCGATTCCGGGTCATCCGAACGAAAAAGTAGAGGTGGGTCTCTTCCGTTCTTGTTCTGGTGGTGAGAAATGAAGCGGCGATTGAAGTGCGGACTGGAGATGATGGAGCTCCACCGCTTGCAGACGGGTTTGCAGCGGCAGGTAGATCTTGGGTTCGGAAGTCGGATCAAAATCTCTACGAGGAGATCGTCTCTGAGGTTTGTGATGGGGGGTTTCAACTAATTCTGAGAGGATTCCTCGCTTTCTAAGGGTCGCCATGGCGGTAGAGCAAGGGAGGTATGGCGGGAGCACGGGAACGGACAAGCAAACGAATTAGTACCTCTCTTTAATCCCTAAAAAGTTGTCGAATTTGCCAATTTGGGTTCAGGTTAATGATCGAAATAGTCACTAAATTTCGGCCTGAAGAACGGATAAATCACTGAACTTTTGATGCTTATCAGAATTGCCACTTAACTTTCATTTAGTAAACGAAATCGGAATTTCGGCCATTTCCTTCTCTCTTTCCCTTTTCATCTCCTTCATAAATCCTTCCGTCGCCGACGAATTCGATTTCATGCCATTCTTCTGCCGCTATCAATCGACACCACCGATATGCCAACTACCGCATCCGCTTCTTTCACCTCCGGAGCCGACGGCGGTCCCACTTCCCTCGTCGCTCGACTCTCCTCCGGCGACCCCGATGTCAAGCTGAGGGCCCTGAGGGAAGTCAAGAACCAGATAATCGGCAGCAAGACCAAAAAGCTCGGCTACATAAAGCTCGGCGCCGTACCCCGCGTCGCCTCAATTCTTTCCGCCGCAATTGCCGACGGCGACTGCTTCCAGCCAGCTCCCGCCGCTTCACCACGGGGAATGCTCGGCTATTCCAGCAATGTCGTCGTCCAATCGGCGGCAGCTCTCGGCAGCTTCGCCTGCGGATTCGACGAGGGAGTTCAGGCAGTTCTCGCCGCCGGCGCTCTGCCGCTTCTGGTTAGACTGCTCGATCATCCCGACGACAAAGTAACGTGCTTATCTGATTCTTGTTCCTGCCTTTTTTCTTCTTCCATAAACATAAATTTGAGAAGGTGAAGAAAAGAGAAGTTGGTACTGCAGACCTAACTTGCTATAACGTGAAATGAACCACAATGACATGCAAAGCATGGGGAACTGGGAATTCAAAGTTTGGTTCTTTCATCCTTTTATGATGATTGTTGCAATGGTGATAATCCATGGCTTTGTTCATTTGATGTTTCAGGTGGTGGATGTTGGTGCTCGATCCCTGAAAATGATCTACCAGTCCGAATTTGCTCCCAAATATGAAATCCTTGAACGCAAAAGCTTGGAATTCCTGGTTTCCTTACTGAATAGAGAGGGTGAAAACGTTACTGAATTAGGTGCCAGTATCATAGCTCATTCTTGCAGGACAGTTGAAGAGCAGAAAACTATGCTCGAGGCTGGGGTTCTGAAGAGGCTTGTCAGCCTCCTTGATGGGAGTGTAGGTCAGAGAGATGCTAGCTTAGGTTCTCTTGCTGCTGCTTTCAGAAACAACGCTGAAGTAATTACAGAGTTTATGGGACCTCATGGCGGGAAACCGTTTAATGCCATATTTAGGCTGACCGTGGATAGCAACCCCAAGACGAGGTTGCTTGCTTGCCAGTGCTTGATTGTCATTAGGAATGCTACCGATTGCTATGTCCAGGAATTAGGGTTCAAAAGGAAGTTGGTCACTACTCTCCTTGAGCTCCTTGATGATCCAGGTCAGGTTGGAGATGAGTGCCCGTTTGTATTGTCTAGTCTGGTTGAGGGGAAGGAGGACCTACATAAGATAGCTCTTGAAGCGGATGCTATGGTTAAACTCCGTAATTGCATGGATAAGGAAAATGTCAATCCTAGGCGTCTTCGTGGTGTATTGTTGGCCTTGGCTGATCTCTGCTCAAAGTTAGAAAGCTGTAGATCGACATTCTTATCCATGAAGGTATAGTGCATGATTAGGATCTAGTGAGTTTTATAGGATCGACATTCCACTGTTATCGGTGCTAGTTTTGCTGGCCCTACACCTAGCTGTTGAATTAACATTTCCTAAATGTTCAATGCATCCATCGGCGGTAGCATGCTGCACATATTGTATTCATTTACATCCTTAAAACGGCTGTTTACAAGGTTAACCAGTCAATCTTGAAACATTATTTTATGTTTCTTAAGTTGCATTAAGGTTCTTGGTAAACCTTGATCTCCAAGCGATTCAACATGTTTTTGCTTCATACTCAACTTGGTAAAATTTCTTTGATGAATATTAGATGGGTTTTTAACATATATATTTAGTTGGTATGTCAGAGAACTGGTCCCAATTTCAATAAGAGTATCTGATGTCTAGGTTCGTCATTATCAAGTGTATCAATGTCAATCCCACTGTCCATAGCTAATATGGGTCTGATGTCTAGGTTCGTCTGATAATTGTCTTTTCAGCCCGCAATCTGTACTAAAATTATGTAACTGGATTTTTAGGTCTTGAAACCACTTACCGGTTTCCTAAACCATAAGGAGGAAGATATACGAATTGCAGCTTGCACCTGCTTAAAAAATGTTACTCGATCAGTCAAGGTTTGCCATCTGACCGCTAATTCTTCTGATATTTTACTTCAAGATCTATCATGCCTGTGTGTCAGCTAATAGAAATGTTTTCAGAATTTGTGTGCTGGTTACTTTATGAAAAATGAAGCCCTCGTCAATGCTTTGATTCTTTTGCTAACGGATGCTTCAGAGGAAGTGCAGGTAATATTATTCTCAATTCCTTTTTGTAACATAAATCACCTTTTAGTAATGTAAGCCATTTGTAGGAACTCCAGGTTGTCACTAAGCACCAGTTTCGGGTTAGGTAACACCTTTGTTGTAGGGGAGAGAGATAGATAGAGTGAGGTTAGGGAGCATAATTTGTATTAATTGCTAAATAAAAATATTTGTGCCCTCATAGAGATCCAGTATCGTTGATCAAATCCATCAATTCAAGGAAATCAGTGGGGCACGTGGTTTCAGACGCTTCTTGTTTTTATTTTCCATTTGAGGGGTCCGAATGATGTTATGACATGCTACAATTTGGTAAGAGCACCATGTCGCTACTACCATTCCAAGTAATTATTTTTTGGTTTTCAGGTTGCAGCTCTTGGTGTTGTGAGCAACATTGTTGTTGATTTCACTACACATAAGTCGATGTTTGTTGCACATGAAGGCATGCAGCAGCTTTTTTGTTTGTCAAAATCAATGGTTCCAGCTGTTAGGTCAAATGCCCTGCGGGCTTTGAGGAACATGACGTTCCTTGCTGATGATAAATGCAAAGAAGCAATTTATTTAGGGATGACTCCATCACTGATTGCAAATCTTATACGTGGTAAAGTTAATGTTTCAATGAGTTTTTCAGCTGAAGAATGTGATTTTTGCACTTACTCTAAATGATATAACTCTACATTTTATTGCAGACGATGAACTTTCCGTTAAGGAGCAAGCTTTGGCCCTTGTTCGCAATCTTGTTGATGGAAGCGTTGGGTCAATTGAGCAAGTTTTTGCTGATGATAGTATTATTTTAGATGCTGTTGGAAGCCAATTACAGTGTTGTCCAAACGCTGAAGTTTTGTTACAGGTTTGAAAACTCCAACCAGGATTTTCTCGGTTCGAATAATTATTATGAGCGACCAGAAGATATTGATTACTTTGACGAATATATATATAATAATCAGAAAGAGGAAGATATTGTTACCAAAAGAAAGGAAAGGGGAAGATATTAATTACTTCTGATAAGCTGCTGATGCAGTACACCCGTCTGCTTGATTAGCGGTTTGAATGTGTTTTGATTGAACCATCCTTCATATCTGGTGCATAATATATAGATTCGGATTTCACAAACAGCAGTTCATATTTCTTGACCATTGATTTCAGCTTTTCCGAGAAAAAGGTGCCAACTTCCAAGTTATGTATTCATACTCTCATTTGGTTTCTTTTTCTTATTTGAGAGATTCAACCACACACAATAAAAACTTCAAATTTGCTTTCTCCGCCACTTTTTCATTTGTATAATTTTCTTTTTATTTAATGATTTTCAATCCCATGGGTTAAAGCTGGAAGGTTTTGATTGCACTGTGCTTTCAGAGGTAATAGGCTACCGACATTCTAATCTTGTAGGGAATCTATGTGCTGGGAAACATTGCCTGTGGAAATGAGATTCATAAAGAAGCAGTTACGTGCCTGCTTTTCCCATTAGCGGGAAGGGGCCCCGAGCCTTTCTTTGTCAACTTCTTGCTGAGTTCTGACAGTAGATTGCGCCTTGCTACTATCTGGGTCCTTATAAATCTCACCTTGCCATCTCCTGGAGCATTGAAGCGTCAAGAAAGACTACAGAATGAAGGGGTACTGTCCATAGTAAGAAGTATGGTCAATGATCCTTGCTTGGATGTGAAGGTAACCTTAAGTTCATATATAAAGATTACCTTAGATTTGGGTTTTTCTCTAAACGTGTCAAACATCTTGCTAATCGCAGCCACTTTTTTTCTTTCTTTCTTTACTGCAGATTAGAGTAAGAACATTGCTCACCCAGACTGAGCATTTTGGTGACTTTTGACATCAGTTGTGGAGGATTAGCCTCTGAAACAACTAGACCATAGAGAGGAGAGGAGACATACATTTTGCTTCTTTTTTTCTTATCTTCTTTTTCTGATCTTAAACTTAGCCGTAGCAATTTGTCCAGCTTTCTTCCGGCGCGTGCAACATATCATGCTTCAGCCAAGGTTTGTGGTCATTTCAAGCTACTGCTGTAGGAATCAAGTTTCTTGTTCCTCCCTCCCCCTCTCATGGTGTTGAATGAACTACAGAATCATTGATAAGTTTATAAATTTGAACATTTCATGGTCATGGCTAGTTGAAGTTTTCTTTCTTGTGCGTTTTTGTGGACTGCCCACATTTTGGATGAACAAAACACAAGGGTTTATGTGGCCATCATCTTCAACCATCTGGTATGGTGACCCATAACACCTAAAAAAGGGTTCATCCAAACTTTCCACACTTACCAATGTAAGCAAGCCCAAAGTATATACTCTCTGTTGGAAATTTGTCATGGTTAGTGTCATACTTATACAACTGTAGAGTTGTTCTCTCTAGAAAAATTGTGATGAAGTGGAAAAATACCAGATTCATGCCTTGATCTTCTCTTCTCTTTTCGTCGTGACTGTCTATCTGAAGAACTATTTGCATGATCCTGTTTCTTGCTTTTTGTAGGTGCAGACCACACTGCTCTAGAGCATTCTGTTTTGACAATTACAGCAGTGTGAGAGGAGATGCCTTTATAACTTTGTGGGATGGTTCAACTGTCAAGAGTGTTCCCTTGAAACATCAAATTGTGCATACAAATGGCTGTAACATCATTCAGTAGACTATGTCAGAGGATTCCTGTTGTATTTTGTACATTATCTGCCATCAGTTTGCATGGCACTGTAAAATGCTTGCTTAGAGAAAGTTGATGCAAAATTTCAGGATTTCTCTTGCATATTTTCCTACTAGTTGCTGCATATGTTCCCTAGTGTTGTAGTTTATAGTACACAGGGTTGTGTCGGAGCCGTGGATCAAATCAAAAGCATTCATTATCAACAATAATCAGAGATTAACTTTGGTACATGCTATATGTGCGAAGCAGGGCATTGTACTTATTGCGGGTCTCTTCCCCTTTACAGCTCTGCTTCATAAGAGATTGCCACATCTTTGCTTGGAAAGAAAGGTAACCATCTCACCAATGATTGATGCTTGACTTGTATCATTATATACACAGAAGGTTCTTACATTATACAAGCTACATAATATCTTCTTTTTTTGTGACAGTTTCTTTTCACCTTGGATCATATATAAAGATCAACCAAGGAAAGCCAATAAATTCCATTGACGAGTCTGAAGTCCCTGAGCTACGAAGTGACAAAGAAGAAGCAAAGCAAAATTCATCTGGAATTCCCTTTTATCCTTTTCCGGTGTAGATCTCTTCCAGCAGCAGCTACTCGATTCAGCCAATCTTCTCCGTGTTGGTATCGTCCGATGGCCATATCACAGTCTCCAGGAGCCGTTCACGCATTAGCGCTAAGTTCTCGTCTGAAATCTCTTGGTACATCTCTGCATGGTTGCATTTCTGCATTCCCATTTACCATATTAATCACACTGTTTACTTTCACTCGCTTGCTTAATGTAAGCTAAACACATTTCATGTTTACCTTAATCCATTTTCCATACAGGTGAAGCCTCGTCACCATTACCCTCTCAGCAAGGTCCTGCCTCTCCTGTATTTCACCCAACCATTTACTCCATCAGGTAATTCATTCAAGCTTCTTTCAACAATTTACTCCATTAGGTAATTCATTCAAACTTCTAATGTAAAGAGCTTACTTTGGCTAAGGTACGGATGAAATGCTTCCCAGTTCCAGGCTTGTTCGTGACCACAAAACTATCAACCACCAAAAAGTTAAAAGAAAAAAGTGACCATATTATTCTCTATCTCAGTTGAAAACTTGAAAGATTCTTGGTGCAATTTCGCAGGCTTACTCGTAAAACCATCGGTAATGAGTTGGATTCATCTCATACAGCTGGTTCATAACCGTCCTCACTGCCTTGTACGTGAAGTAGTTCATTATTTGCTGCAACGACAACAAAACAAGAAACGATCCATCAAACAAAAGGTGAAAAAAGATTCAATCTTTCTTCTCCATTTTTACTGCTTTCTTCGAATTATTCCTCATACCGTTTTAACGTCCTCGAAGCTGTCTTCATACTGGCCGCCGAGCTCTGCCACGACTACAAGTTTCCCTTGGTCTTTCCTCTGCTGCTTCCTCGCCATACTTCTGCTTCTGCTACAAATCCCGGAAATGGCAAAAGAGCTCCCTAGTTCCACCGTCCTTCCGGCCAATTGCTGCTTCTTCTTCATGGAAGAACTCCTCGGAATCGCCAAATCAGGGAGGGAATCTAAGCACAGGCAAGGAGTGGTGTGGGAATCCATCACCGACGAACCCACCATCGGCAAAGCTGCTGCTGCTCCCCCAACCATTCTCTTGGATCCAGAAGTTCTCAGAAAACCCAGATCAAAGATTGCTACTTTTCTGCTGGATTCTGACAGACCAAGAAGGCCGAGAAAGGTCGTTGAAGATACTAAAAAGGGAGGAAGGAATCTATGTGGAGATTGCAGAATCTGGGAACAGGGAGGGATCAGGGATGGGCGTAAATAAAGGCGTGGAATTGAAGGTAGAGAGGGAAACAGAGGGCGAGCAGAGAGAAAGAGTCAAGAAGGGTATGTGCTGGCGAGAGGAGGCGTGAGACGACTCCTCACCAAGCAAAATTTCTGAGGTGGAGAATTCTCCAACCTGGTCCCAGAAGAAACTTGGAAAAATCAAGGGGAAAGGTGAAGCACACGACAGGATCTTATAACTAAGGAAATGGGTTTTTGTTCTTTCATATCCTTCTTTCTGCGACGGTGGTTTGTTAGTTAACCTGGACGGTTTCGTTGCTGGTGGGAAGCCAAAAAGACTTTGGCTTTCCTGGATTCTTGTCGGCTTGAAATTTCCCACTTGGAAGTTGGGACGTGTTCAATTTGCAGTAAGGCATATCGTTGAAGGACACTATTGAGTTTGTCAACTAAAACAGCAAGTCCTAGATTGTGGGTTGGATGGGAACGTAGAATTTAGTGTATTTGAAATGATTACGTGAAGCAAGTTACGTGCTCAAAGGATCCAATGAAGATTTGCAAAGAAGTCGAATACGTTCCATTCGACGTTGCACATTCGTTGTGTTAGCGAGAGGGAGTCGAGTAGTATTGTAGCCGATGAGGGTGTTGAGTAGTGGCCTAACTAGGGGTGTATACTTGGATTTGTATGGTTGAAATTGTTGACGAAAATGCGATCGAGAATTGAGGCCAAATGTTCTAGGTTGGGGCTTAAGGCCAAGATATTCAAGGTTAATACTGTTGAGATAGAGGAGATGATCGAGATTAGGAGTCGTGGTTTATGGTTGTTCTGGCAAAGCTCCGGGTAACACTAAGGGTACAAGTTGGTGTTCATGGCCTCTGTATCGTTTGACATAGCTTGATTCTCCCAATCACGTATGTGGGTTCACTAACATTGAACAAAATCGATAAGAATCAATGACAAACTCGAGTCAAGAGCCTTTGAGCATATTCATGAACTTGTACATCACTAGATTATCTTTTCTTGGAGTAAAGAAGAATGTGGTGTGCTTGCTCATCAACTAATGTTATTGACATAAATTACATCTCTATCTTTACAAGTTACAACAACCAAATAATGTTTGTAGCCTCTAAACTATAAATTTCATGATATACAAATAAATGCAAGCTCCGAACATGTGAAAAGTTTGTCAACATAATCGTACAATAATCAATATCTAACACCTAAACAATATATCTCTCGTATTAAGATTACTACTCATCATTCATATTTCTACTCATCTATAGTTGACCCAAATTTACACATGACCGCTATAGTTGGACATAATAATGTGGCTATACGGTCCGGTCCAGTTAAATTGGACCAAATTGATCTGGTTCCAGTCCGGTATTTTCGGAAATAAAAGGACCAAAAATTGGATTGGATACAGTCCGATCTTGATCCGGTCCGGTCCCAATTTTATCTTGATTTTAGGTGTTGGGGGTCTCTTATCCGGTCTTTATCCTGTTTTTTACCACAAATCTAAGCCCGAATATGATATTGCATTGTTTGCTATCCGGTCCCAGTTTGGTCCCGGTCCGGTTTCGGGTAAAACCAAACAGTACGGGACCAAATAGCCAGCCCCATACAGCACGATAAAAAAAAGGGTAAATACAATTTAATATCCAAACCTTTCATTTTAAACAATATAATAGCCAAACCTTTTCGAAAACAATCTAATATCCAAATCGTCAACTTTCCGTTCGTTTGACCATTAGTTGACACTTCAAAAAAGTTCGAAGTACGACGTTTCATCAATATCCATCGATATCTTCTCTGAAAAACACCAACATATCGTGGTTCCAAACCCGAGAAGTCCATGACTCCACCATGATGGTATAGAATATCTAAATATTCAGTCATCTGCAATGCCAAAACAAGAAAACAAAGTTGTATTGTGACAATTTCCCCTAAACAAAGCTTTTTTGAAGTGTCAACCAACGGTCAAACGGACGAAAAGTTGACGATTTGGATATTAGATTGTTTTCGAAAAGGTTTGGCTATTATATTGTTTAAAATGAAAGGTTTGGATATTAGATTGTATTTACCCATAAAAAAAATGTCTATAGACAAAAATTTACCATTCACTAATATCAAAAAGCGCCACGTGGAGGTCACTGGTAAGCCACACACTGTTAATCTAATGTATTAAACGACGTCGTTAAATGGTCGCCGACTCGCCGGCCATTTCTATGTCGCATAATATTTTCGGGCCACAAAAGCAAATAGCGCGAACGTGCCTCCAAGCTCCAACGTCAAACCTCGAAACCCAGAAGGAAAGCGAAGCGCGAAGTAGGAGCTCCGGCGAAAAAGTTGCAGACTTTGACGACACCCAATAATCGCTGCCGCCGCTCAACGATGTTTTACAGAGGGTACGCTCGTTTCCCATTTCAGGAAAACTCAATTCTTCCTAATTTTCCTTATGTGTTCTTCGTCGCTCCACCGCGCTACTTCTCTATGCATATCGTCTGTTTGATTGGTCGTTGTTGCTCGTATTTTTTATTTTGGGATTGTAGGGTTTCGAATTATATCAATCAAATTGGGGCAATTTTATGTTATCTTGAGCTGCTTAGGTTCTCGTCATGGTTCTTAGTTACTACCCCCCCTTCTCAATTCAGCGCCAGTTGTTCTTGTCTGTTCATGTTAGATGTCGAGATCAACCAGTGGCTGATTTAGTATTCATTGTGAAATTGTAATGCCTGAGGCACTTAAATGTCGATGCTATGTACTAAGTGCACATTTTTTTTTTATCGAGCATGATAGGTATGGCGATGGTTCAGATATGCGTGAAATGGGTGCAAAGCGGCAGCGGGTAGTTGACCAGGGTCCTTCATTCTTTGGGGCAACCCCAGCTGGGACGAGCTTTATGTACAACCAACCAACGTATGCCTATGTTGGCCAAGCTCCACCTTTCCCTGTTGTGCGACTCCGTGGTCTGCCGTTTGATTGCACGGACACTGATGTGGCCGAGTTCTTCCGAGGTCTAGACATCGTAGATATCCTCTTCGTCCACAAGGGTGGCAATAAGTTCAGTGGCGAGGCGTTCTGTGTGCTTGGTTACCCTCTTCAGGTCGATTTCGCTCTCCAAAAGAACAGGCAGAACATGGGGAGGAGATACGTCGAGGTGTTTAGAAGCACGAGACAGGACTACTACAAGGCAATAGCAGGTGTGATGTTAACAACCAACAATTCATTCTAGTCTACAACTATCCTAATATTATGTATTACTCTAACGCTCAATATTGTCTCTCTATCAGGTGAAGTATCGGAGTATCGCGGTGTTAGTTCACCGAGGCGGAGCTATGCACGAGCGAGATCATACGACGAGGGGAAGGAATCAGCGGAGCACACAGGGATGTTGCGGCTGAGGGGGCTGCCATTCTCAGCAGGGAAGGACGACATTATGGAGTTCTTCAAAGACTATGGACCATTGTCAGAGGGATCCATCTACATACTAACAAATTCAGAAGGGAGACCCAACGGGGAGGCGTTTGTGGAGTTTGAGAGTGCAGGGGATTCAAAGGCGGCCATGGAGAAGGATAGGATGACGCTGGGGAATCGATACATCGAGCTGTTTCCTTCATCGGTGGTGGAGTTGAAAGAAGCTCTGTCCAGAGGAAGGTGACTCTCGGTGCAATTACCATTCCCCCTTTATTGAGAAGATGCATTTTTGTGTTAAAACTTAGTTTGATGATTGAGAATGAATGAAGTTGACTTAAGTTTCTTATGTAGATTTAGACTGATGAGCTTATCCTTTTACCAGGTTGTATATGTTTATGGAGCTCTCTTTTGCAGTAGTAGTATCAAGTATGGATAAACATTACATATGGCCTAGTTAACCTCGATCCTGTTTTTGAACCGATTCACCAATATTGATGAGGAAGCAACCTGTGATTTTGGGAATTCTAGAGTTTGTGTTTTCATCTCTTTCTCTCACAATGGAATATACTCCATTCTCGTTTAGGTGTGTAGATTTCTAACCATGTATGTTAGAATTTGATATTGAATGACTCATATGCTTGTTACACTCTCGATTATATAATGAATTGAGGTATTATTATGAAATTGATAAGGTATTAATCACACTCAATTTGAGCTATTGATCTAAGGTAGAGAATATTCAATTAGGTTGATTAGAGCCTATTCAATTCTTCATAGTAGGTCAATTGAACGAGTGCGTGATAGTGGACTACAATGTCATACTGGATCGTGATCCTTTAGTGGGAGCCGAATTGCACGCCTCAGGTGTTCTATTTGCCTGTTGTGGAAATTGTTCCTCTGGGTAGTTCATCTCAACAGAGGCTTGGATAGCTCGAATAGCGAGTCTAAACTAGTTTAGATCTCTCCGCGGTATAAATCTAGAGTGGGCAAGTTAGCGGACGTCAATATTAACCTAACTAAGCGCTAGAGAGAAGCACAGCCGAGTGATCTTTCTCTTTTAACGGAATTCAAATCAATCTTCTATGGTTTGCATGTTTAGTTGTTAATTCAAATATTATTGAATATTGTTAGCTAGATTTAACCGTGAAATGGGTGCAAACGACCTCTTACGCGATAACAACACAACACAAAAAAACAATGACCAAAGTTCAAATTGTACTAGTGATCAATATATAAACCATTTTATTGCAGGTGCCTGATCTTCCTTCCTGCTTGCTTCAGCTAGACACGCCTCCCCTCTTCACCCGTGCTGCGGCGCGCTCACATGCTGCATGTGGGCGAAAGGGAAAAAATGTTAAAAGACCGAACGGTTCTAATTCATCGAAATATATCGAAATACATCTAACGTTATATTATACGCGCGCATGCATGAATGATGCAGGGTCTAGGCCAGCATTCGTGGTGTTGATTGATATTATTACTTGTTATCCAGTCGATCATCAGTGCCAGCTGCATGCTGGTACGAGCAGTTTCAGAGTCCGCAGGCGTCGGCAACACTCTGAACTCGAGCTTTCGACTCGGTGATGCATTTGCAGGAATCCGTCTGCTGCTTCTTTTTGGCGTGGGCTAGATGGGCTTTGATCCCGTCGCAACACGCTTGAGAGACGACATCGCAGCTCCCCTTCACATAGGCCATGCAGGGTTGTACCGCTTTCTTGAAAGCACCACACCTTGGTTCCGCCGCCGCGACGAATATCATCGCCTGATCGCAAATCACGACTGAGCTCACAACGATCACCACCAGCAACAAGTTCTTCTTCATCATCATCACTGTGTGTATCGAATCGTCGGCAGATTGAGAGAAGGAATGGAATCGATTGAAGCTAGATAGCAAACAAGTGTTGTAAAGGCGTTTGTGTGTGGAAATGCCTGCGGTAGGTTGTGCGTTTATATAATGTCCTAGGACATAGCTTTTGATCATGAATTAATTAGTGATCATCTGAATGATCATACTTCTTCTACCACTTTTGTCATTACAGGGATGCAGCTCGTAGAATAAAATCAAATTAATGGATAGAAAGAGAGAGAGAGAGGAGCAGTGTGGAAAGTATAAACTCTCTGTCGTCCTTTACATATCTGGAAACCGGCCAGGTAGAATAATTCATAAGAAACTATTTCTTTCCTTTTCACATACTAGATTGTACCCTGTTCGTTGGCCGGTTATTATATGATAATGACATTTAAAAAAAAAATTCCGAGTTTAAATTTCAGTAATATGTTCTTCTCTTAAATCCGTGTCATGTTATATGTCAATGCCATGTGAATTATCAAATAGTCTTTATCCATTCTACAAAATAATAAGGTAGTTTGTTATTTTTTAATCATTAATTAGCATGTCGGTTGCAATTTAATAATAGTAATTAACTTTCAGTTAGTTCAAATTGACTATCACTAACTAACTCAGAAGTCTTGGACTTGGGTTGCTATTCTCCTAGCATGAAGAAGCAGCATCTGGAATCCCACCGGTTTCTGCATCGTTTCAATGAGGCAATTTGTCGGACTGTCTGCAAGATAGACGGTGTCCTAATTCCAGGAATGTGGCTGACAGAACTGTTACTTTCTAGGCCAGCCATGGCCTCAGTTATGTCCACCCACACACAACATATCAGGTAAGATGGAGGATTTAAGTTTCTTGTTTTTGCCTCTCAGTGAAACTGTGACTAAATGCTGATGTCTCTTCTGATGCAGGAATCAGGATGCAGAGCGTTCTCTGAGAATGGTATTGGAATTTTTACTTGAATTCTACATTGGCTAGGCTATCACTGGTCAAAGGCGTGGACAATTATTCTACATCTCGACTATTCTGCTCTATCATGTCCTGCTTCTTTCATGCTGATATTCCCAGGCTCGAGTACGAAGAATTGCTGATCTATCATATTTATACCAGGAACCCTTATAAGCTGTGAAAGTGCTGGATCTGGCTAGTTGCTGACACTGGACAATTGGAGACCTCAATAACATACCTCGAAGGCTCGAACACATTCGTATGACTTTTAGTTTCTGATATGAAATCACTACAACTTCTGTGTCTGCTTGATCAGTTGGGACATCAATGTATTTTCCTTCATGAGACTTATCTCTCTTTTTGCCTGAGTTCTATGTTATCTCTTTTACTTGGTGTGCACGCTAGATCAGTTTCCCAACAAATTGTAAAACCCCATGTATCTCAAATACTGGTTTACCAAAAGTCATTGCAAGAACAATGTCCATTCCAGAAATGATGGAACCTGTTAGTATCCCTAACAATAATTTCCCTACCCTCAACACTAGACACAGACTTCATAAATGAATGACAATCTCCACAAATCCTGAGATTCTTCATGATCCTGATAGGTATTCCCTCAGGCAAGCTCATGAGCCCGAAACAAACAGCGAGCTTCTCGCTGTGGTGTTTCAACAGTTCCAGCTTCTTCCCCTGCTCCACATCATGGAGTTCATACCCAGCATCAGGTTTATAACCACCTCGTTTCTTCGTCTCTTCCATCAACCTATCCAGTTCCAGCAAAATCTCCATGATTCGAGGATGCTTTCTCTCTCCTGCCATAAAAGTATGCACCTTGTCCTTGATCTCAACCCAACTCTTACCTCTCTCCTTCTTCATCACCCCATCATTCTCTTTCAGAAGTTTCCTCGTGCTCGCAACACCTTCCCACTGTCTCCCTGCAGCATATGTGTTTGACAGCATCACGTAGTTTGCTGCATTCCCAGGTTCTATCTCGAACAAGTTTCCTGCTGCAACCTCTGCTAATTCCACGTTACCGTGGACCCTGCAAGATCCCAGAAGCGATCCCCACATCGGAGCAGTGGGGTCGAATGGCATGTCCTTCATCAGCTCGTATGCTTCGCGGACTAAACCTGCCCTGCTCAGCACATCCACCATGCAGGAATAGTGGAGCACATTGGGAGACAGATGGTGGAGTTCTGTCATAAGGTAGAAATACGTTCTACCCTCTTTAACTAAACCCATATGACCACACGCTGACAAGACCGAAATGTACGTGACTTCATCCGGTTCGAGACCGGCCTGCTGCATCTTCTCGAACAGAACCATCACCTCCAGGGACCGAGAGTGTTTGGCCAATGCGGAGATCATCACGTTCCAGAGAACCAAGTTCTTGTCTTGGATGTTCTGAAACAATCGGAATGCGTCCTTAATAGCCCCACATTTGGCGTACATGTCTACCAGAGAAGAGGCGATGAAGTTGTTCGATTCAAACCCGGTTTTGCAAACTACGGAATGCACCTGTCTTCCTTCTATAAAAGCTGCCAAGCCTGCACAGGCGCTGATAATGGAAGATATCGTGAACTTGTTGTCAGTTTCCAGTCCTGTTGTTGCTCTGGCTCTGGTGTATAGCACCAAAGCCTCCTCGTAGAGCTTGTTTTGGACCAACCCTGCAGCCATTGAACTCCACGTGACGTCACTTTTCTCGGGCATCCCCTCGAAAACACGACTCGCGTCATGAACGAAGCCACTTTTGGAGTAAACGTCAAGCAATGCAGTGCCAACAAAGACGTTTTCATCCATGGAGTTCTTGATAGAGAAACAATGCAGCTGTTTCGATGTGAGGACGTCGCATTTGGATGCACAGGCACAAAGGACGCTGGAGACCGTGAATTCAGTTAAAGGGTTGTTCCCTTCTCTTCGCATTTGTACGAAGAGGAACAGAGCATTCTCCTCGTCCCCCTTTTGTGCATAAGCGCTGATGATGGTGTTATACGAGACCAAGGTTCTCTCAGTCATTCTGTCGAACACCTTGCGAGCGGAGACCTCTGATCCACATTTCGAGTACATGTTTATCAGCATGTTCGATGTTAAAGTATCTGACCCGTAACCCAACTGAAGAATCCGTCCATGGCATGCCTTCCCTCTGATGGGTTCTTTCCTCTTAGCGCACAACTGTACTAAAACATGCAGCTTGGCGATCTGGGTGGCGCTTCTGAAAAACTCACTTCCAGCCTTCGACTCAGGCACGTAAGCATATGCTGCCGTCGATAGCTGCTTACAGCGTGAACCAATGGATTTCGCCATTGACGACTCTCCTATTGCACTCTCTAGATTTGTACCTGCTCTCGAAAGGGTTTTATTTAAGCTTGGTGGAATTGCCAATTCAGTGTAGAAAACAAAAACACCATCTTTTCCCCCATTCAACGGATAAGACACTACTTAACCATTTACTATTGCTATGAGATAATACAAACTGTGAAGTCTTGGTAAAGATAACAGAAGAGGTGCAGCAGGCAAGCAGAAATGCCTGTACAAGTCAGTCAACCCTCTGAGAATGAAGAAAAAGGTGGCGAAGAAATGGCGACCCTTAAAAAAAAAACAGTAACTACTTTGATATGGATACTAGACTATGGTATTCTGGTCAGCTGCTGACTCAGTTCTGGATCCTTGTAGTTGCCTCCTCACTAGTGCTGTGTAGACTCCATTCTTGCTGAGTAGCTCTTCATGTCCGCCGCTCTCAACGATCTGGCCATCAGAAACGACAGCAACAGTGTCGGCACTTTGGACTGTTGATAACCTGTGAGCTATGACTAGGACAGTTCTTCCGGACATCAGAGAATCCATTGCATCCTATAAGATTCCAATGGGAAACCAAGCTCATCATTTTGTTGTAAAAAAACTAAGAACCTAGGGGATCGTTAGTTAATTGGGGTGAGTCTGCATTTGAATCTTGTACCTGGACTAGGTATTCACTCTCAGCATCCAGAGCACTTGTGGCTTCATCGAGGAGAAGAATCCTGGGGTTCATAAGTAGCGCTCTGGCAATTGCTATTCTTTGTTTCTGACCTCCAGACAGCCTTATCCCACGCTCTCCTACATGAGTTTTGTACTTGTCGGGGAAGTTCGACACAAACTCATGTGCATTGGCCATTTTCTGCAATTTTCAGGATTCGTGTTAATCCCGCTGGCTGAATATCACACTTGCTGCAGGAACGAGAGAGAGAGAGAGAGAGAGAGAGAGAGAGAGAGAGAGAGAGAGACTTACGGCTGCATTTTCTATTTCAGAGCTGCTTATGTTTCCATCACAGCCATAGGCTATGTTTTCCTCTATTGAACAATTGAAAAGAACAGGCTCTTGGCTCACTATACTGATCTGTACCAGCAACAAAGAAGTTTGTTTGTACTTGAGAGTGTTCAGAAGTAATCTAACTTCAAGCACAAAGTAGCTATTTCATTTGGATGCTTCATAGAGAGAAAAATGTCACGATGCCGTACATCCAGCTAGTTAAGTTGAATCTACCTTTCTGTGAAGATGTTCATGGGCTATTTCAACCAGAGGAACTCCGTTTATGAGAATCTTTCCCTTTGTTGGATCATAGAACCTTTCGATCAAGTTTGCTATTGTTGTCTGCAGCAAGGAAAACATCAACTCTTTAGGCTTCAGTTAATTTTACAGCATAAGCAATGTGATGATGATTAGAATAGCACAGTAACTTTAAAGTCACGAAAGAAACTTACTTTTCCTCCGCCACTAGGTCCCACAAGAGCAACTTTTGAGCCAGGCTGAAGTTTCAATGATATTCCCTGAAGTTCAGAGTTTTATGAAGGGTTTATAATCAGGCAAGGAAGATGCACATTGATGAACTGAAATGTAGTTCAAGGAATCCAATTACCTTGAGTACCATATGGCTAGGACGGGATGGATATGCAAACCAGACATCATTTAACTCCACTTCACCAACTTGATCGCTGCAGTAGGAAGCATGCATTTGTCAGTTCTACAACACTACCAACAGGTAAGCAAAGAGTTGGAGCAAAGTTTCATTTTGGAGAATAATCTCATTAAATAAGGATGAACCATTCAGTTGCATGACCCAGGAAGAAGAGAACCATTGCAAACTCTAATGATCGACGAGTCCTATCCAAGACCAAAGCATATCATGCTTATCTAGTCTTTTCTTTCACACGGATTCTTATCTTTTTTCTTTCCTTTTCAGGAACAGAGTATTCTAGTTCACGCTGTATTTGCTTGCCAACCAAAATGTCTCATGTTGGTGAATTTTTACATTTAGTAGCAATTAAGCTTGCAAATCTAATTGCTGACCAGAACACTCAAGACAGTAAGACAGACCCAAAGGGGTAGATATCTGATGCGTGATGACTAACCCCAAAGGACATTTGTCTCCCGATTTTGGCATGGTTGAGATCCGATCCAGAAGCTGGAAAACCCTCCTACTCGAACCAGCAGCTTTCATTGCCACTGTGTACAAACTTGATAATCCTGATATAGATGATCCAACTGCAAGTGGAAAACAAAATCAATACAAGTCGTACGAACTTCCATTTGCTTAATTGACTATCACTGTTGACCTATGCTAATGGGCTCTGGAAATCACCTGTCAAGCTGTATAGAATGAATGAAGTAAGAGCACCAGCAGTCATATAGCCTTTTATTGTTAAATTTGCTCCATATATCACCACAACAATAACTGATAGTGTTGATGCTGCATTCATCCCTCCACTGAAGAGCCCAACAACTTTCTGCAGCACCAAATGACTGATAAGAATATGGCAGCAAGACACGACAACAGAAAGCAGGACTGGTGGAAGGAGGACAGCAAAGATGGATACAACATTAGAATAATAAGGAACTCACAGCTTGTTTAAGTCCAAGGTTCAATGTCACGTCAACTTTCTCAGAGTAACGTGACACCTCATAAGCTTCTTGAGCAAATGATCTTACAGTCCTTATGGCACCAAAAGATTCCTGGCCACACAAGTCATTGCAGATACATTAACTGGTATAGTTTACATATATGATGGCAAGCAAATTCACATTTTCCCATGATCGAGCAGTAGTTTGACAAAATATCACTCCTTTAGATGTCTTTTCATATTTCCATGACTCTTTCACTATCGAGTATCGATAGATGAAAAAATTTAGCGAGTACCAATAGCTCTCGGCACTTACCTCAGCAATTGAAGCAGCAGCTGCTGCTGCAGCTTGAGTCTTGTGAGAAAGTTCACGCAGGAAACGGCCGAATTTTCGTACCGCCATAGAAATAACAGGTACAACAACCAAAGCCAACACTATGCACAGATGAAGAGAAGTTATACATCATGAGCAAACATGAAGCTGTACAGAATTCAAGTATTATGGTGGCAGTGGTCAGAGATCTCACAGGTTAACTTCCAGGAAGTTGAGAACATAAAGAAAAGGCCAATAACTGCAGTCGACACGTTCCTCAATGCCTCACTAAGATTAGAAGTTGCAGCATTCTTTAGGATTTGTGTGTCTTCGGATAAGCGGCTCAGTAGTTCCCCAGTTCTAGTAACATCAAAGAAGGCTATTTCCTGAAAAGTTGCCATTCCAAAATCAGAAGTGACTGTGATAAAGAAAGCAAAAAGTCACCTACAAGTACGTTCAATCAACTAAATACAGTTATTGAGGGGCATAAGACATTAGTTCCTACCAACTGCAGAAATGATACCTGGTTAATAAGGTGACTGAATAGGCTCTTCCTCAAACGTGCAACCACCCGTTCACTAGTCGAAGAAAATAACCATGCCCGAAGAGCTGTGCAGACAGAGCTACATGGAACGAAAGTTCATTTAATAACCATAAAGTAACGGAGTGCCTGTTTGCAGATTCATTGTGTGATCTTATATTTCTCTTCTTTTCAGAAGGACAGGAAGTTATGCTAACTATAAACTTGAGAGACAACTAGATGACTTGAACCTTCAGTTGGCGTTAAAATTACAGAAAGCGCACAACAAAAGGACATACATACCCTACAACAACAATCACAAAGATTTCTAGTATGGTATTGGTCACAGCATTTAGAGCTTCGTTCTTCTCTTCAGGCGTGTCCAAGTCTCCTGAAACGATGTCGATTATCTTGCCACCATACTTGGGCTGGAGAGTCACAAAAACAAACTTATTCACAACCAAGAAACATCTCATCCGAAAAGCAGAAAATAGCTACTAACACAATGGTAGCTGCTAAAACAAGATTTCATACTCACAATGAGAATGCTTGATGTGGAGGCAATTAAGAGAGCTATGGTAGCAAGAATCAGCTTCCATGCATCAGGTTTTGCCTGATAGACGATTTGGCATTAGGAAAATTGATATTCAAGTCCAAGATTCTTAAGCAGTTTTTACATTGACAACTAGCAAATAGTAGACACTTACAAGTGCAAGAACTCGCGCGAAGCTGACATTTGCAGCCTGAAGATTCACATGGAAGATCAGCAGAGCAGGGCTTTTCATAACATTAATGAAAGGTTTGTAAGAGAAATTTCATCATACCTGTACAGCATCTCCATGCTCCAGGTCTGACAATCCATTGTTCCCCTCAGGATCATTCCTCTTTCGTCCCTCCTTCAGCGAAAAAACATACATCAGATGAGGAGCTAAAACTAGAAGAAGAGAAGTCCCAACATGTGATTGCTTCATTCATCTCTACAATTGACTATCATCAGTGTCAAAAGATCAGAACTTTGCGAAATGCACCAGGGGATACTGTGGAAAACCAAAACCCATTTCATCGAACACGTGACGAGCACAAAAAATTGACCCCCAAAGCTTCTTTGCAGTACACACTAACAGAAACCATTGGTTGGAATTTGGTAAGCAAGCTCGTTCCCATATTCACTCCAGTTGAATTGCAAAGCTTCAATTCAGTATTTACCCCGGAAACCACAAGACTATACATACAAGGAAACCGCAATTTCGAAACTCCGAGCGCAAGCAAATCTCAGGTAGCTGAATCAATCGTCAAAATGGGAAAGCGAGACTTACTCCGCGAGATAACAGAGGCGTCCTTTCACCACCGCCGAACCCACCATGGCCGCCAAAGCCTTGCATCCTTTAAACCCAAACTTGCGGCCGAAGATGGAAGCGAAGAAGCACAACAACAACAACAACGCCAATCCCAACTAGTGTGTTCGTGTGTCCTTCCTTCCTTTCTTAGTAAGAGTCGGAGGAGGCTCCAATCCTTAATATAGACATGGAGGAAGAAGTTAGATACATGAATGGCTTTCCTTTTGCGTTGTTCGCGATAAAAATGGGAGTATGGAGTTTGGCGCCATTGCTAATTGCTCTCTCGGTACTTACAATGGTAGAGTGGAAGAAAGTGTGTGGAAAATGAGGGCGTTCTTCCCATTTTTCATTACTTTCTTTTCTTGGTGAGGAAGAAGGCACAAGGCAGGCAGAGATATTATAATATGGCTTTGCTATCGTCACTACTGACGTGGCATGGAAAATGAAGTCAATTTCTGGCCGTTGGATTCAACTCTTCCCAAGGCCAAAACCCCAAAATATCATTTTCCCTATTTTTAACTTTTTGTACACATGAATTTTTGTTATAGTCTACACAATAATACTCATTTTGATTTAATTAGGGTATCGTCACCATGGATGGCGTTGGCAATCATTTTCCCTATTTTCTAACTTTTTGTACACATGAATTTTTGTTATAGTCTCAATAATACTCATTTTGATTTAATTAGGGTATCGTCACCATTTGATGAATGGCAATCATGGTGGCGATGCGATGCGAGTTTCATCGATTTTGATGTTGATGCGGTATCGTCATTTTACTTTTGATCGACAAGTCCCGTGAGCATATAGATGATGATTGATCTTATTGAATTGATAGTAATACGATACGTACGTTATGGTTTAGTAATTTATCCCGTGGTTTTTGTTAATTGGGGTTCGACAAGTGCTGGCAGGGGAGAGACGTCTTCTACTCATCTGGGTGGAACATTGATGGAAGACATCCTATGGTTGTTGTAATTCATTTTCATTTTTACTTTCGTTGCACTAACAGGGTTGCTCACTTCGTAGCACAACATGCAGTTTCATCAGTGCTGAGAGAATTGGTATTGATGTTCCAACTTTTTGGCAGTTACTATTTGGCATGGTGAGATCAAAATGGGGGGCAAAGATTGGTAGTTGGTGGTCAAATGGCAAAGCCTTTGGCCTTTACTTGAGTATTCACCACAGATGATGATCATAATGAAAGAATCTTTTAAATAACCATGATGGCCATGCAAAAATGAAATACTTTGCAGAATCTAATTATGAAGGATGACCATGCAAAACAGTGACGGAGCCAGGATTTGAAACTACCCCTGTCCTCTTTTCAAAATATAAATATAATTAATTAATTAATAAATAAATAAAATTAAAATTAATAATATCCAAATAATCCATTCATAGATAAAGAAATTACCACTAATACAATCATTGTTTTCACAAACAACCACGACGGGTTTTCATATTCTGAAAGAAATGCAAAATACATTCGTTGTCTACATGCGTAAGTAAGTCTATTTCAATGTATCCTACTAAACAATCATTAGCAAACTGATCTCCAATTCGACTTCGAAGCTTGTTCTTGATATAGCTTAAAGCTGAAAATGCTCTTTCTACACTTGCAGTTGCAACTGGAAGAGTCAAAACTAGCTTCAGAAGCAAATAAACAGACGGATATGACTGATGCACTTTTGTCTCCACCATTACTCGAGAAAGTTCATCAATTCCTTTTAATCTAGCAAATCTCTCATCAGCAGTAACATCACAATGATACCCAATAAACTGTTGTCGAATAATAGTATCATGGATGGAACCAAACTCAGCAGGATAAAATCTAGTAAGACACGTCAGTTTCTCCAAGTCAAAAGCAGTGAATTCAGACGTCGGGCTAAAACAAGTCATGCAAGTCAACAATCTGGTATTCACCTCATCAAAGCGATTATTCAACTCTTGCAGCTGCATATCCACAACCATGTAAAACAGTTCAACCTGAAAGTGATGTAGGTTTGTGATATCCGGAGCTTTGCGCCTTGACCGTCCTGGAAGAACATACACATCATGCATAATAGGAATGTGAATAGAATCTTTAGTGCAGCTTGAAACTACATCATCAAGCAAAGACTCCCATCCATTGTCTCTCATCTCTTGTAATCTGGTCTTTGACACACGAACAAGTTTCATGGCATTTACAATGTCTTGATCTTTCCTTTGCAATGCTAGTGATAGCTCATTCGTTATCGCTAACACTTCAATCATCAACTTCAAAATGAAGACAAAGTTAAAATCTTGAAGTGTAATCGACATACGCCATGCATCAATAGCTGTATCTGTCTCAGAAGTAGGGTCATTCTGAATTGTATCCAACACATCAATAATAGCAGAAAACATGCTATCCAAATTGATAAGCGCCCCATAGTAAGAACCCCAACGAGTATCACCTGGTCTTTTAAGAGCCATTTCTTGATTCAATCCCCTTCCAGTCTCTCGTTCATTAGCAGCTACAGCCTCAGCAATCTTCTCAACTTGAGCATCCCGAATAAACTCAGATCGTTTGCAAGATGCTCCAATCAGATTCATCACACTATTGACAGTCTTGAAAAAATCACCAACTTCAAGATGATTCTTAGCTACAGCAACAAGAGCCAACTGAAGCTGATGTGCAAAACAATGAATGTAATAAGCAGAAGAATTTTCAGCTAAGATCAAACTCTTCAACCCATTGATTTGTCCTTTCATGTTGCTAGCTCCATCGTAGCCTTGTCCCCTTATCCTTGACATACTCAATCCATGTTTTGAAAGCATAGTTTCAATTTGGCAAAATACAGTTCCATAGCCAAAACTTTCACGTTTGTGCCAATAATAGCCACATTTGGCGAAATACCACTTATAGCCACCTTTTGAAAATGTTGTTGGACAAATATAGCCTTTTCCGTTAGAAACATTGACGGCGTTACTAACACCGTCAAATAAGTAGACGGTTTGCTGATTAGGCGAGAAGAACTCGAACACGTCAGCGCCAACTAAGCAAGTCTTGACACGTCATCTTGACACGTCATATATTCCTTTATTAAAAATAAAAACTTATATATTACATTATTAAAAAAAAAATTCTTACCATATATTCCATTTCCATCGAAACGAGTCCTTCAGCCCCAATTTTTGCCCGATCTAAAAATTAGGGTTCCTCTCCCAAACTTCAAATTTCGACTCTCCCCGAATCCTCAACTTTCCACTCTCCCCGATTCCTCTACTAATCGATTCCGATTTCGGAATTAGGGTTCTTCCCCCAAATTCCACTCTCCACGAATCAAGCCCGTATCAACCTCCGTATCAAGCCCGCCGAGATCTCCGGTGCCTCGTAGGTGTACGGGTGTCCATCCCAGCTCCCCGTCCAGTTCACATTCGTCAGAGTGAACTTGCTGCACCCTTTGGGATCCGCCATGGACAGAAGCGTCGGGAAGTAGTGCTCCTCCGGGTAACAGGAGTCCAGGTTCAGGCACTGGAGCCGGAACTTCCTCCACAGCTTCCTGTCAGACAGCACGAGCAGCGCGTGGCGCTTGGCGAGCACGAAGAACTGCGACCCGACCCGGAACTTGTCGAAGGGCACCTCCGGCATCATCGCGTTCTCCCCGCGGGCGGCGATCTTGGTGGTGGGGTTTTTGGTGGCGAGGCGGGAGATTCGGAGGCGGCGGTGGCCGCCGCGGCTGTCGCCGTGGACAGAGCGGAGGGCTTTATTGAAGAGGGCGAGATCGTCAAGATCGTCGTGAGGGGAGGAGAAAGGGTTTTGGGAAGGGAGGATTTCGGGAGCGAAGATGAAGATGAGTGCGAGGGAGAGAAGAAGGGAGATAGAGTAGACGATTGGAGAAGAAGACGACATAACTTCCGGGGAAGGGGAAGGAAATGCTACGAATTGGAGATGCAGAGACGGCGGCGGAGGGAAGACAGTGGATGTGGTGGAGATGAGGGTTGAAGAAGAAAAAGGGGAGTGGAGAATGGCATCACTGGAGAGAGACTGTGGACTGGAAGGAAGATGAAGAAGAGCTTTATTACACTTTATGGTGGAATATAAAAAAATAATAATTTTTTTTTTAATTATTGTCCACGTGGAAATTACGGGCGGTCCACGTAAGCTGCTCTGCTTGCCCAGTCACACTTAACGTTAACAGCGTTAAAGAATTGGACGGAGGTGGCTATAAGTGGTATTTCGCCAAATGTGGCTATTATTGGCACAAACGTGAAAGTTTTGGCTATGGAACTGTATTTTGCCTTTCAATTTCACCCTTAAGTGTCAAGGCTTTGGTATTTGCCACATGAGTAGTACCAAGAAACCTCTCCATAACCAAACCCTGATCATTCACATAACGTAAAACAATGGCCATTTGTTCCTTGGTTGAAGCATCACGAGTCTCATCAACTAATATGCAAAAGACTTTGTTGTGGAAGCTGTTATGCCTGCCCACATGATCAGCAAAACACTTCTTTCTATTCCATCCTCTGAAACCTTCACCAACAAAACCATCATGTGCTCCACTTTTCTTACCAAACAAATAACAGTAGAGACAAAATGCTGCATCTTTCTCAATACTGTATTCAAGCCAATTATACTCTAGAAACCAAGATGAACGGAATCTGCGTTTCTTCCCACTAAAGTCACTATATGGAAAACGATGACCTTTAGGTTGGCACGGACCATTTTCAAGATAAAACCTTCTAACTTCATCTTGCACATCAGGATGAAGGAGGAAAAGTTTGTCGAAACCGATACATTTGATTTTCGAATCTCGGAAGGAACCACCACCGTTGAAGGAGGAAAAGTTTGGGCTTGTCTACTTCCACTTCCTTCAAAATCTTGGGCTGTAGTAATTGGGGAAGTCTTGTTCTTCTTTGGAAAGTAATACCTCTCCATTTGAAAGATCTAATTTGCCAAGATAAGCACACAATAAGCAACACAATTTCAGTTCTATTTACATATCAACAAACACAACTATCATGAGTTACATCGGTGAACAACACAATATAATTTCAGGTTTCAATTTCACAGCTTACCTAGAACAAAATGGTGAAATAGAATGGAAGGATTGCCACCCAACACCCGCTGCCGCTTGCCTGTGGACGATGACTTTTGCTGCTGCCGCAAGGAGGTGCTAAGGAGAACGAAAGGCAAAGGCCTAAGGGGAAAGTAAGAAGAAAGGCCGAAATGGTTGGGGTTGCTGGGTTGGATCGGTGATGGTCGCAGAGGAGGAAAATCCCCTTTCCCCTGCCGCTGAAGAGGCCGACTGCTGCTGTTTCTCTCGTCTGTCTTTCTGCTGTATGAAAAATGAAAATACGAAGAGGGTAAAGGGATGGGATTAGGTTTTTGTTTAATTGGGATTCCGTTTAAGAACGAATATATCTATATTGTTTCCATTTATAATCAAACAATTGGATGTAGCGTAGCGGTAAAGCTATGCTGTGTGAACTGAAGGTTCTGGGTTTGATACTTGTGTGGAACATATATGGGGGTATTTTTTTTCCAAGTCAAAAATGACCCTTGTCCTGTGACAGGGGCAAAAGTGGCTGCCTCCGCCTCTGATGCAAAAAGAGGAGGACCAAGGAAAAGTAGCATATATTTATGCACGAATGAAGTTTAGTATCCACGATTTCCTTTTTGATGGTTACAACCATTGAATCACGCTGTTTTATCGTATCCATCTCAAACAAAAGAAAAGAGAACGTGTATCCGAATTTACCTCTCGAGATTGGTTTCTTTAAAAGACATATGAATGATAAAAATGGAATAATACCCAGAAATATGTTCTTGGTGTCGATCCAATTAAAATTAAAACTTGTTACAACTCTTGAGAATTCCTAGTGTGATTAAGAATGCGACGTAAGTACTTCTTGTCGACGACACCATTTCTAGTCGTTGTTATGTCATCGTGGGCTTCGTAGGGTAAACAATCGAGGTAAAAATTAATTTGAAGTGTATGGTAATGTAAAACCTAATCCTTTAATAATGTAATTAATTAACCTACTTAATTAAATGCTTCACTGAATTCATTGGGAAGTGACTCGTGGTAATTATTTAATTAACCTAGATAGCTAGCTAAAAAGAAGAAAAGGAACAATGAATACATATATATATATATATGAATTATGATCCATAAAAAAAATTCAACATAGTAAATATAAAGAAAAAAACAATACAAGAGAAGATCATCAAGCTCAACGAACAGGCACATTTATATATGGATTATGTATAGGGTGAATTGCGAAACCCAACCTAAGGAGAGCACTCCAATGGTTTTATACTACTGAAAATTAGTTAACCTACATAATTAAGTGCTTCACTGAATTTCATGGAAGGTGACTCATGGTACTTGTTTATAGTTACAAGCTTCGGTTACTGAGTTAATCGATTGATTGATCTAATTAAAAAAAAAACCAACAGCTTTGGTCTAGTAGTGATACTATCGAAGATGGCGAGTATTGCTTTCATTAACATTGCCTAAAGTCAAGAAAAGCGAGTCTATTTACACAAGTGGTGTACGTCAAAATACGTCTACAAGGAAAAAAAAAATTCAATTAATCACACCGCCGTCATACCAAAATTACAAATAGGGAGATGTACAATGTCGAGGCAGACATCTACACACCCATTTGCTCTCCCAACTGGCCACACAACCGCCCCCAAGCCTCTAAGAACGACGCCCGCCAGAGAATTTGAAAAAGTCACTTATTCGAATCCCTTAAGTCAGCACCTAATGATTAAAAAAACCATATATCCCACCCTTCGTATACATGGTGATGAAAATCTATGTGTGTTTTTCTCAATACAGGTGGTGAAATCCATGTCAATTAACAGTAAATAATATTTTACATGAATGTACTTAGTTTATCCAATAAAATTACTTAAACCAAGCTAGCCAACTATTTGACTTTTGCCACTGATTCTTTTGCATTGACAACAGTGCATCTAATTATAATTAAGCTATCCCCATGCAAAAATCCCAACTACATAAATGGCGCCTCCTCAATTCACTGATTCATTCTAAGCTTATAATATAACGTGGAGGGAGCATTAAAGAATGAGAAACAGAAGAGCATCCCAATATTTTCACACATAACATGACAACACAAATTACAATTAAAGATTAGATTAAATTTTAGTTTAGTTTAGTGCATGAAAGTTTGAAAATGAATGAAATTGTGGATTAACGAGGCAAGCTTCCACGTGGGGATTCCCCTTTCTAGGATCCCCTGCTATATTGCTAGACATAATCTGATTCTCTACCCACATATAATAAGACAAATTGATGGTTGATTAATTAAACTCGAAGTCTTGTCATCAGCAGGCGTTTGGAAGTTGCGAATGTTAAATCGATATATTGTAATGAATCACTACAATATAAATACATGCATTTATACAATAAATGCATTTTGACAATACATTGTTTGATTGATGATATTCTAGTTTATGTATTGATTTGCATAAAGTTACTTTACGGGGAAATGTCACATTTACCCTCAACTTTTAGTATAAAACAAAAAATATTGGGGATATAAATGCAAAGAAAAAGTGGACACAAATCTAAAATGAACAATCACAACAATCTAAACTTTTAGTTGAGATTGTATAATGCATCATTTTTTGTGATTGTTGGTGGGACATGCACAAAACAATACATGCATTGTTTTACAACTTAACACTTCCAAACATTGTATTGTACATAATACATGTATTTAACAAACACAACTCTAACAATCACAACTTCCAAATGAACTCTAATTAAACTAATCCCTGGTAATTAGCTAGTCCGTATTAGACATAATCTATTGTTGGCTGAGATCTAGGACCATTGTTGCCGTGTGTCACACATGCAATGGATGCATATATATAGGTGGCTAGATAGATGACAAATTAGAGGAGGCAAAATCTTGTTGGTTGATCACACTATAGAGTTGTTTGTTTGGTTGTTGTTGTTTGTTGTTTTGCTGCAAATTAAACTAGAGAATTAAGTACTAATTAAACAAGATTAGAGAGTTTGGTTTGGTAAAGTGATGACAATTTCTGATATGATTCGTGGGAACCGGTCTGTTCCGATCTATTTGGGAATGAGTATTGCCCTATCTGGCAGTTGTGTGGAGCGGGGTATAGGTATTGCTTCCGACCTGTCTCCCACGTTCCATTCTGTTCGATAATGATTTGCATCAATATTTACATGTATTTCTCTACTTTTGATCTTTCTAATTAAAGTCGTATTTTCATCCCAAAGAGATTTTAAGATTCCATCTTTCAACTATTTGGACTCTAAGTATTTCTTCTACTATATCTCTCATTCATTTATGAAGTGGTTTCTCTATATTCTCTTGTAAAAGAGTTAACTATCAACGTTCTTTTTTCAAATATAATATATAAGAATGAGTCTCCCTATCTCGTACCTGCACGATTATTTCTTGAGCTGACCCACACCTAGTACTTGATAGATATGGATAATGAGATACTCACTCCACCTTGTCCATTGCCATCACTACTTTGGGTAACTAAGCATCCAATATAATCTATCTTTGATCATTGTGGTTAATAAGGATTTGGTTTATTGTGTAAGTGGAGGAGAGTTTCCTTTTGTATAACCTAGCTAGACCAGTATTTAAACCAATACAAAGCTCAAAATTGCATGTCAAATCTTCGGTATTTGTACATTTTTTTCTTTTCAAAATGAACATATCTTGTAATTTTTGTTTTGTTGATGTCAGGTTTCTAACCTGATCTGGAACTTCTAGTGAAACTTCGAACAATGGATGTCGTGTTTTACCAATTCTCAAAGCATAACTTATAGAATAGACACGTCGTCGGCCTATTTGTTTATTTGAAAAACTCTACAACATTGAATCCAACTACATTAACTTATATCTCAACTAAAAATACTATATGTTAGACTTCAAATTTCTATTTTGCTTAAGTATCATTACCCTAACTAATAGCTTCTTTCTTGGTCGACAAACAACTCCCCTTTTTCTTGCTTCTTCTTTGCCCTCTCTCTCTTTTGGCCATTAAATAGGAAAGGTTAGGGTTCATGAACCCACGCCCATATAATCAAAGACATCAGAGGGAACGTGTGGTCTCAAACTATATATTTGAATATGAATCTCTCAATCTATATATATATATATATATCATCAATTGAATCGAATTTGGGTATCCTAGGATTCGATTTACTGCATGGTGTGATGAAAGCAGAGGACACGAGCAAACTAAAAGCAAAACCACACAACTGTGTCTGCATACGTTGTCGTTTCACTTGGACTTTCTCTTATATTCCCAGCCGACAAGTCTCACATTGATTTGCAGCCGTTAATTAGGTAAAAGCTCTCATTAGTCGTACCCTTTTTTTAATTAATCTCATAGAATCCGAGGGAGGAAAGGAATCCCTTCGAGTTTTGACTGAAAATTGAATCATTAGAGCAATGAAGAAAATAAGCAATAGTCCATTAATCCATCTTTACTTTATCGGCCCCGGGCAGTGTTGCGGCTGCCCCCAAAACTTCTTCTCACCGTAATAGACACTAGGTCGCGACGAGTATCTCAATATCGTATAGGGTGAAAGTTGATAGCTGGCTATTTGATTCAGTAGAGCAATATTATACGAGTACTACACGAGTAAGAAACATGCATTATCAAAACTTAAAAAAATGATGAGAAAAGGTGGCTTTGATTCAAGAACACGAGTTGGTAGATATATGGGCTCAAACGTAACCGTGGATTGGTACCGATAAAAAAAACCCGTGGATTGGTTAGTTGTAGTTTGTGATTTGATTGGCTGATCTTCTTGTTGATTTTGTCTGATTCACTTAGTTCTTATGTTTTTCAATGTTTTATCCTCATTGTTTTCGGAGAATGTACCATGTTGTTGACACCTAAAATTGTTGTTGACACCTAAAATTAATAATTTTAGGTGTCAAATACGTGTTCTACTAAACAGACTGTATATTCAATAACAATTAATACGGTCGTTTTTTGTTATCTCGCAAACTTATATTTTTATGATTTATTGTTTTAACTACATGAATCATCATAATATTTATTGTTATATTTTATCCACAATATCATTCAATTGTAAGATTATCGCTTAAATATAAGTGAAAGAAAGTTATCGAATTGACGAGTTTTCTGCCTGTCTAATAATTTTTGTATATTTTCTTCTCCTGATTTAATAACTCTCAATTCTACCACTTCGATTTATCACTCCGACTAAATCAGCATAATGATCTCTTGTTATCTCCAATCATCAATAGTACCATCTATGGAAATTACTATCTCGTAACACGGCTTATCTCTAACACCTAACCCTAATTGTAATTTGATTCTTTTGAACTATTATCAAAGCCTTAATCCGGGCAGCCGGGCAGCCCTATGACTCCCCAGCCTTCCTTTTTATAATCCCCCACCAGCCACGAACAGTCCTAATCTTCCTCCTCTTCTTCCTTTCCCACCATTCCAACAATCAAATCTCCCCGCATTTGAAAATCTCCCTCTTCTCCTCCTTCTTCTTCTTCTTCTTCTTCTCCATTAGGGTTTCCAATCACTTCCCTTTCCCTCCTTTCTCTGGGGTTTTCCCCCTCTCATCCAAAGTTTCCATCTTTACCATTTCTTCGATCGAGATTCATTAGGGTTTAAAGGAAGCAGAACCCACTTCCTTCCAATCAGAGTTTCTCGTACTTACCTTACATAGATAGACAAAACCCTTTTTTTGTTTCTCCCCAAAGATTCCTTCTTCCTTAAACCCACAAAGAGAAACTCCCAGCCTCCCCTGTTTTCTCTCCTTTTTCCCCTGCCTCGTCCAAAAATGGCTCCCGCTTGTAACACCAGGAGGAGAAGAAGAGTCAAATCCATCAGCACCATCCCCAAACCGAAGCCAAGAACAACAACGGCAGCAGCAAAGAGAAGATCAAATTCCACTCGCAAAATAAAGATGGAGAAAGAAGCAGCTCGTTCAGCAACCGCCACTTCTTCTAGCTCCTCCTCTGCCTCTGAACACATCATTGATGGAGGGTTCGAGGAGTCCAGCGTTATCATCAATGGAGGGTTCGATTCCAGCGACGTTGTTGTTGTTGGGAACGAAAGCAGCATCATTTGCTCGACACCAAAGGGGCAGAGGTTTAGGATACCGAAGATCGATTCCTGCCCGCCGGCGCCAAGAAAGAAACAGAGAGACGAGGATGACGACGATGCTCTGTTTTCATCTTCACAACGGTCCAATTGTTCTTCGTTGCAGAGAAGGCCCATAGCGTTCTTCGCCCCGCCTGATCTCGAGCTCTTCTTCATGTTCGCCCGCCGACACATCTCAGTTTGATTGGTTTAATGTTAGTGTTGAAACTTTTTTTTTTTTTGTGTTTTTATGTAAATAGAGAAGTGGATTGATCTTTCTCTGTTTTCCAATTGAACACTAAGCTATAGTGTGATGATGGGAAAAGCAACAGAGTGGCCTTAGGAAATGGTCACTACTCTCTTTAGATTTTACCCTCATCTGGGTATTATTAGTTTAACTTGTTTTGTTAGTTAATTTAGTGTGCTTAGTAGTTTGGCTGACTCAGAGAGACAGGGGAAGAGATAGTTTTGAATAGAGATGTGTTTGAAGCTTGTGAGGTTCATTAATGGTGTTGGTGTGAATTTTTATTTTACTGTTGTTTGATCAGATTCTGTGTCTCTCTGATCTCTATGCATATGTAAACCCGCTCTGTTTATTTATGAGTTCTTTCTTCATCTTCATCTTCATCTACTTGGTTTCTGTGTTCATCACATGGTAATCCCTCAAACTGACCCCTCCAAGTAATTAAGCATTCACCATTGAGGGTAATCACTCTTAGTAGATGCCAATATTGTGTTATAGATGGGTATTTATCTCCTAAATATTTTGGTTTATTTCTATAGAACTTGATCTAACTTGTAGGTTTTACTCGTCTGTTAACATTCACTATCGGAGCAAGTAAAGTTTTACTCGTTTATTATCAAGGTGTCACCATTGAAGGAAGTCAACTTTACTAGTCTATTATCAAGGTATACACAATCAGAGGAAGTCGGCTTTTACTCTGATAACGATGCCTATCATCTAACACATCATATTCATTTATTCCGGGTAAAAACCTATCACAAAGGGAAAAATATTCTCTACAAAAAAGTAATGTAGCAAAACCATATCATACCGACTAGCGATACCGAAGATATAAGATCATTTTTCTATCAATCTATAAGGAAGTTGTTTCATAAACTTACACCATACTTTCAAATTCTTGTTCTTATCCTTATCAATTGATATCTCGATCATATGATTTCACAAATATTGTTTCTATACAATCATGAGCATCCAACCCTGTTCTAGCCCTTGACATTAGAAGAATGTCGAATCTCTCTATCCACCAAAACCGCGTTGATAATCATCTCTTTTCCTTCCTCTTTCTGGTTAGCCAGCCATGAGTACTATAGATTTGCTTTTCATGGCAGAAAGTGATAAAAAGTAGAAAGAGAGAAAGCAAGGCTGAGAAATTCCTGATGAGTGATAGTGCCAGAGGGCCACCTGAAATGGTGGAATGGAAGGATCATCATCATCATCCAAAGTGCTAAGGAAACAATATGGCCAGAGAGAGCAGAACAAATGTCTGTAATGGGCTCAAAATGGAGCTATAACTAAGATGGAAAAGAAACTGAATTCCATCAGCTTTCTTTGTTAAACTTTTCTTCTTCCTTTTATCCATCGGCATGTAAACAAAACAGCTTTTGCTAATCTATGTCATGATAGAGAATAGAGATGCGGATTACATCAACCATCCTAATATGCCGATCAAGTAAGGTATCGCACGGATTAATAGTTGACATATTCGAATTACATTGATCGATAATTACACTTGTTAGATGTATGAGGCGGCTCAAACTGTTGAATAGTATCCTAGCAAAAACAAAGTTAAGTATTGGTTTACTTTATTAACCTCATAATTGTTTGCGTCTCTCATGATGGAAGGAGAAGCTGAAGAAGTGGTGGGAGGGTGTCAGCTTGTCTCTACTCTCTATTTACCCCTAGCATGGATAAGAGAATCCAATGAAGAAGAAGAAGAAAAAAGGGGAAAATTTCACTCGTGCGGATTGTGATAATCACTTGCCACTTGCTATAATTATTTTTCACAGATTCTCAGCGGTCAAATTATTGATGAAACCATTTATCATATCTTGTGTGAAATCTCCCTTAAGTTATGGTTTGTATTATGAGATGTTTTGATCGATCATAATATGATCAGGTGGTACATGAATGATATCAACAGATCAAGAGTCAAACGCGTATGCAATCAATCGTTAGTATAGACATGAAAGGGGGAAAAATCGTGAAGAGTTTCATAACTAGCTAGCAAAACGGGTTAAGTATTGAAAAATATATATATATATATATAGATAACAAAAAAAGAAAACTCCCCCTACCATCTTGTTTTACTTCTAATATTGTGTTGCCTCCTTTTTTATAGAAAAGTGCATATACATATATAATGAAGTGCAATTTGTGAACTGAATGATGAGATGGAATGAAAGGGTAGTGGCCTAAGCCTTTGCCTTTATTCAAGTACGAAAGAATATAAATGATGACCATGCAAAAATAACAACTTTCTTATAGCTCATCATGCATGGGGTCGATTGATTGGTGGTATTTGGAGTTACTTTTCCTCATTCTCTGTGTGCAATATGATTTATTATGTCAATTTGCTCATTTTTTTTTCCTATTCGCTGCGCTTCGCGTCAAGCGAGCAATGTGAAAGGTTACATGTGATTGTAAGAGAGAATAAACCAATATGTAAGGAACACAAACTAAAAAAATTGCAGGCCTAACTTCCATCTAATGAAAAAAGTAGCCGGTAATAAAATCAATCACGGTAAGAAATTCCACGAATGCGAACATCTAAGCAGCTGAACAAGAATTGAGGAAACGCATTCACAATAAATTGAAGTAAACAATAAAAAATGGACTCGATGGCCAATGAATAGATACAAATTGGGGAACAACAAACATAAAAGCAAACTTGAAAATCCTTTTTATAGAATTTGAATTGTTGAGACTTATTTTTTTACATATAATTGTTGAGACTTATTACTGTGGTTCTCTTGTTAAGTCAAACAAAAAGATAAATGATTATGCATCTATTAAATTCAATAAACAAAAGGATAAAGTTAGAATTTACCCTGAATTTTCAACTAAGACGGTAAATAGAAGAGAAATAGAGGATATGAAGAAAGAAAAAAAAAACAAATGCAAAAGAAAAGAAAGAAGAACCTAGTATCTGGTTTCATTGATTCCAATGCCACTTATGTTTTTTTATGGGCAGTACGAGATTTCAATGTTAACTTTCTATTCGACCCCGATCAAGAAGGGATGAGTACAAATGTATAACCAAATACAAAATTCGGTTTCAATCTCGAGCGAGAGAGATGAGTACAAATGTATAACCAAATACGAAATTCGGCCTCGAGCGATTTCATTGATTCCAATGCCACTTCACACTTTTCGATTGTGTGATATTTCATCGTAACCTTCTATTCGACCCCGAGCGAGAGAGATGAGTAAAAAATGCATAACAAAATATGAAAGTTGGTCTCGAGCTATTTTATTGGTTCTGATGCCTCTTTCGGACTTTCGATGGAGAGTGAGATTTCATCGTTAACATTCTAATCAACATCGGGTGAGAGATGAGATAAATGCACACCCAAATACGAATGTTGGTCTTGAGCTATTTCATTGGTTCTAATTCCTCTTTTGACTTTTCGATTGAGAGTGAGAGAGGTGAGTAAAATGTATAACCAAGTACAAAAGTTAGTATCAAGCGATTTTATCAGTTTCGTCGTTTCGAGAGGTTAAGAATACAAAAATAAATAGGAAAGTTAATTGATTTTAGCACAAAAAACAATATATAAGGAATTTATGGAGAGATTAAAGAGGGAGAGAATCAATTAAAAATGATAAAAGAAAATAAAAGAAAAAGAGACCAATAATAACGTGTCATATGTCTCTCTTAGAAGAATGCAGTTTCGATCTCGAGCGAGAGAGATTAGTACAAATGTATAACCAAATATGAAATTCGGTCTCGAGCGATTTCATTAATTCCAATGCCACTTCGTGCTTTTTGATTGTGTGATATTTCATCGTTAACCTTCTATTCGGCCTCGAGCAAGAGAGATGAGTAAAAAATACATAACAAAATACGAAAGTTTGTCTCGAGCTATTTCATTGGTTTTGTTGCCTCTTTCAACTTTCCGATTGAGAGTGAGATTTCTTCGTTAACTTTCTAATCAACATCGAGTGACAAATGAGTAAAAATGCATACCCAAATACGAATGTTGGTCTTGAGCTATTTCATTGGTTCCGATGCCTCTTTTGACTTTTCGATTGAGAGTGAGAGATGAGTAAAAATGTATAACCAAGTACGAAAGTCAGTCTCGAGCGATTACATCGGTTTCTAGAGGTTAAGAATACAAAAATAAATATGAAAGTTAATCAATTTTAGCAAAAAAAAAAACAATAATATAAAAGGAATTGAGGGAGAGAATCAATTAAAAATTGTAAAAAAGAAAAGAAAAAGAGACCAATAAAAATGTGTCATATGTCTCTCTTAGAAGAATGTCATTAGATTTAAGATTATTTACAAAATAACCTCTTAACCCCCTGATCTCGAAGGAAGCGGAGAATTGGAGAGGAGGGAGAATTGGAGGTGAAGGAAAATTGTGATTTTTGGAGGAAAGTGTGAAGGAAAATGTGTATAGGAAATTGTGATGGATATGTTATTTTATTGGGTATATAATAGTAAAATAATTTAATTATATGTTAATATTTTTTTCATTGTTTATGAATTGTGAATTAAATTTGTAATTTCTTTCTAATTTTAGCAACTAAAACCGTAAATATATAACAAATCACACTACACCTACACAAATCTGTCAAAAGAAAGGTCCTGATTGTTGATGGATTTGGGGGGGGGGGGGACAATGATTCAATACGAATTTCTTACCAAACTTGGGTATCGATTATGTTATCTCACAAAGACAAGTTGTTTATATTTTTTTGGATTATTATTATTATCAGGGTATTCATAGTGGATGACAATGATTAACCCCTCGTATATCTTTCTTTCTGGTTTTATTTGTCTTTTGCCTACTTTACTTTCTTTTTTCATCCATCACTTGTTTATTGGAAGATTCATCGAGTCATTCTAACCAATTAGAGACGCCGATAAGGGGTTTTTTATGATTGTTTTGCCTCTTACTATGATTCTTTAATTGTCACTCACTCACTTTACTTTCTTTTCTATGTCTCTCAATTTTTTCTTGGAAGATTCAATCAGTCAAATTCAGATTGCGAAAGAGAATTATGATGATTTTCACTCTTTATATGCTTCTTTAATTATCACTCACTCACTTTATTATCTTATTTATGTCTATCATTTTTTTTTAAATTAATCAAGTCATTTCAATTATATGTCACTCCTTGATTATGAATGTCTTTGTTTATGCAGACGGTAGTGGCGCTTGATGTTGAGATTGAGAACAACCTGCCTCACAATGCTTATATGGAATACTTTGGCCATAATTATCTACTTCACCTAGAGGAGGATCCCAAACTAAAAAATGAAGATACAGAACAAGAGGTATAAAATTCATTATTAAACCTTTCCTAATACATAATTTGTTTGAAATATGCTTAAGTTCTCCCCAAAAGAATTGTACATTGAATTAAATGCTTAAATAGAAGTTTGCCGTAATGGGAGTGAGTCCGTTGCAACTAAGCGGAAACTAAATTTGTGGGGTGAGGTTCTAGGTATGAGTTATTCCTTTCCTGCACTAAAAATTAATTTCCTATTATTGGATTACACTTCTATGCATCTATTACGATAATTAATTATTTGTTCGGATTTTATGCTTTCCCTACCTAAAAATAAATAGTTCGTTTGCTTAATTTTCATGTTTCCAGGAAAAATTCATGCTCAACAATAATCAACATAAGCTAAATTCTCAATTCACATATTATTTAACTTCAATTTGCGGGCAAATTAGCTCTCACCGGAAGTTTCAGTGTGAAATTCAATGTCAACTGGTAGCTTTATTTTTCATCTTCTTTTGTTTTCTTTCTTAAACTTCTTTATCAGTTTGGCAATTAAAGGGTTCAAAATTCGAAAGAGGTGCAACTGAAGGTGTAAATTGAAGGGGGGGAGGAGGGGGGGGGGGAATTGTATTGGGGAGTAAGTTTGAGATGTAACTTGGTGTTTGAGACAAAAACTAGGAATATGAAAGGATGCAAAATATGTATAAAGTATAGAATTTAAATAATAAATATAAAAAAATAAAACAAAAATTCAACTCTACCCCATCCTTTTCTCACACTTCCTTTCTCTCTCTCCCCCGGGCTCCACCACACCCTCTCTCTCATTCTCCACCAGCGGTCCACCACTCTCTTCCTCTCTTCCATGGCCCACCACCCCCTTCTCCTTCTTCCGCCACAACGTTTATGCCCCAAACTAAGGGGAAGCCAGAATAGTGCTTTTGCACTTAGTTTGCACCCGCAGTAACTACGGTTGAAAACTATTCAAAGAAGGGTATTTGTCTTGGATTCCACACTTATCCCTCTATATTTCAACCCCTGACCAAATACAGGTTAATAATTCTTTATTATGTTTGGTACATCTAGTGTTTAGTACTTTTATTCTACGTGAATTTCATATTAGTTAGTATAATCAAGATACACAATGTGAGCAAGATCGGGGTACAGCAGAATCAAGGTACACAATGTGTCCTGACTTCGTAGTGGTTCTGATTTTTGAACATAATTTGTGGTTTGTATTTGCATAAATGTATGTATTGGCCGTTGGATTATTTATTAAAGCTAGATCATTCTAGAATCTTGTTCCTATTATGCGGCTGCCATGTGTGTTGAGGCTGCACACAACCTCAAGGATCATGCAGCCCCGCGCTCGGAATCATTGTCTGTGCAAGAGTTGCTTGATTGCGTGAGGAATGACAAATCCATCATTTGGGACAAAGCCATCCCAGTCAGGTCCGTTCTCCAATGGATCGCCAAGGAAGATCTTTCTCCTACACAGTATTACAAGTACCTAAACGGCCAGCTAGGGAACAACTGCAAAGGCAAAAGCACAGTAGGTGTCCGTATATCTTTTGGCTTTCAATGGTTAACACGTAACATTGATGTTTATTTGTATATATATATGATCATTCTGTGTGGCTGTGTTCATATATAAATATGCACGAAGACGGGCAAGCATAAGGCTCGAGCCATCCAGAACGAAATCATGGAGATGGGCAACATTGATGATGAGAAAGTTGTACTACTAAATGTTTTCTTTTTAAATTACATATTCATATGGGTTGACTTGACCCAACCCATACCCTACAATAATTTAGCTGACTTACTAAATAACAGGTATGTTATCGAAATACTTATCTCAATCTCCCCAATTACCATTCCTACCTAGATGAGAGAGACATAGAAATTGTTGAAGATCAAGCCAGACAACCCAATAAATATCTCTTATGGCCCTAGAAATTAGGATAAATTAATCTTCTGCGGAGTGGGCTTAACTAACGGCCCAAAACCGGCTAAGTGAGGCACGGATTACATTTGTGTGTTTTGTCAAAAATAGCCCTCCACAAATTAAGGGCGGCTTCTCGGTGGCTGAGCTGGCAAAACTCAAATATGTACTCGTGTGTATATATATATATATATATATATATATGGGTGGTTCTATCGTACCTTGAATAAAATCAAGGGTACGGTATACCTTGAGCAAGAAAACACTATATGGACCTCGAATTTACCAGAGTTTGACATCTGATATTATTCCCAAACCTTACAGATGAAACTCTAGGTCATAATTCTATAAATCTTATACACTAAGATCAATTTAATTAGAAACAAAAATCGACGGTCATGATTTGTCGAAATATATACAACAAATTACATGGACAATCTTAGGGGTTAAGCTCTATAATTATGAAAACTAAGACCTAGGGTTTACTCATTATGGGGTAGGGTAGGGTATCGTATCATGCCCAAAAATCCGGTTAATTCGAGGTCTAGAAAGCGTTTTCTTACTCAGGGTATATCGTACCCTAGATTTTACCCAAGGTACGATTGATTGGACTTGGAGCGGACAAAGTAAGTTAATATGGCTGTCATTATTTAATTATGTTTGTTTGGGGAATGAGAGAAAAGTGAGTTTATAGTAGGTGTAAACCTTATTTAGGCAATGATAATTAACTTAACTATTTAACTTTTAGACAATGATAATTAACTTAACTATTTAACTGACTACCTAATTAGTGTAAAAATTGCTAGTGGTGGTATAAGATCTATTATTAAATCTCTCCTAACAACTCGAGTTATTGAGATCAAATGATTTTTAACATGGTATCAGAGCCTTATGTGACCGATAGGTCTTGTGTTCGAAGTTCAGAGACCCCATTTGTGAAGCACATGTATTCTCGTATTCAGGACATGTGCAAACGAAAGCTCTAATGAGTTGACTAGTTTTTTTTTTAGGGGGTGTTAGTAAGAGGTATAAGATTCATTATTAAACCTTTCCTAATACATAATTAGTTTGAAATATGCTTAAGTTCTCCCCAAAAGAATTGTACACTGAATTAAATGCTTAAATAGAAGTTTGCCGTAATGGGAGTGAGTCCGTTGCAACCAAGCGGAAACTAAATTTTCTATTATTGGATTACACTTCTATGCGTCTATTCCGATAATTAATTATTTGTTCGGATTTTGTGCTTTCCCTACCTAAAAATAAATAGTTCGTTTGCTTAATTTTCATGTTTCCTAGAAAAATTCATGCTCAATAAGAATCAACATAAGCTAAATTCTCAATTCACATATTATTTAACTTCAATTTGCGGTCAAATTAGCTCTCACCGGAAGTTTCAGTGTGAAATTTAATGTCAACTGGTAGCTTTATTTTTCATCTTCTTTTGTTTTCTTTCTTAAACTTCTTTATCTGTTTGGCAATTAAAGGGCAAAATTCGGAAGAGGTGCAACTGAAGGTGTAAATTGAAGGGGGGGGGGGGGGAATTATACTAGGGAGTAAGTTGAGGTGTAACTTGGTGTTTGAGACAAAAACTAAAAATATGAAAGGATGCAAAATATGTATAAAGTATAGAATTTAAATAATAAATATAAAAAATAAAACAAAAATTCAACTCTAAGTCTCTAACCCACCCTTTTCTCACACTTCTTTTCTCTATCTCCCCCGGGCTCCACCACACCCTCTCTCTCATTCTCCACCAGCGGTCCACCACTCTCTTCCTCTCTTCCATGGCCCACTACCCCCTTCTCCTTCTTTCGCCACAACGTTTACGCCCCAAACTAGAGGGAAAACCAGAATAGTGCTTTTGCACTTAGTTTACACCCGCAGCAGCTACGGTTGAAAACTATTCAAAGAAGGGTATTTGTCTTGGATTCCACACTTATCCCTCTATATTTCAACCCCTGACCAAATACAGGTTAATAATTCTTTATTATGTTTGGTACATCTAGTGTTTAGTACTTTTATTCTACGTGAATCTCATATTAGTTAGTATAATTAATCGACAAGCATACTTAAGGGGTCTGGGCAGATACGGGCAGGTCTACCCTAAGCTTGGTGCACCCCACGCTAGCCCTTAAACCCGTTTCTTTCCCTTTCATTCTTTCCCTTTCATCCCCTCCAGCGATTCCCTGACGGCTGGGCAAGTTGGACCGGCGAAGTGAACGTAATCCTCCCAATTTCTATGGAGGGTATTAGATACAATATAAGCCGGGGATCCAGCCAGCATATGGGTAAGTTGTTTGCTGCCTATTTCCCTTCCATATCTGAGAGAAGAACTCTTTCCCTCCGATAATTCGATGGCGGCCAGAGTGATGGAAATTAACATGCAGAGCTCGAATTGCCATTCTCACATTGAGATGAGATGCTTTCAAAAACCTAGATAGGAAACAAACATGTAGAACCCAACTCCACTAACCAATGATATATGGTACCGTCTTATATTCATGTTATCCACAGGGATGAGATTATATAATGGCTAATTATGAATAAGAGCCACGCAAAGCAAAAGTTGTATGGGTTATAATGGCTCATTGTGGAGATTAGTAAAGCAGATGATAAATATCACAGTTTAAATTGATGGGATTAATGCTTAAAATTATAGTATTTAAATTGTATATGCACCATTCTCAACTAAAATTGTATGAAGGAGTAAATAACAATTCTATGTGGTACAAACACTATCTAATTATGACATTTCCTTTTTGTTTCGTGCTTCTTTTCACTATATATGAAATTATAATGTGATAATATTTTATTCGTTCCAACTCATTCGAATTTGAAATGTATCAGAAAACTGGAAAAAAAACACAGGACTATCATGTAGATATGTATTTGAGTCTTAAAAAAAACTATCATTGTTTAGCATTTGCGTAGCATATTTATAAACTAAGCATTTGATAATATTTTATTCGTTCCGACGCATTCGAATTTGAAATGTATGAGAGAAGTGAACAAAACGAATTAGGTTTATTCATTCTATAATTCAAAGTTCATTTTCCTACATTTCACATATGCATTACATCCAATCAAATTATTGCATAATTCATTATATTATAAATGATTTGATCCTTCAATAATTTAGACCATAAGTATAAAAGGTTCATTTACAAAGCCAAATATCACAACATATAAAAAAAATATCAAAAATAAAATTTTACAAGATCCCGAAGCAACACTCGGGCCAATTATCTAGTATTTATAATTCTTGTTGTATTCTAGTGCCTGAAATCATCTAGTATACACTGATTTTATCTAAAAGCCAAGTCTCTTGGCTACAGGTATCATCATTTAGCATTGCAGTTGAGTGTTGACATTGTTGTCTCTATTTTTTTTTATTTTACGCTTTTTGGAAAACAAAGTTTCAACGCCTCTGTATTTGGCAATATTGTAATTGGTATCCCACAGGTTATTTTTTTCTTTCTTTTGGCTCTCGACCATTTTCTAGGGTCAGGGAAAACGTATAATTGGAATTAACCAGTAGTTTAGTACCCACTTAACATTTGTTCCTTTCTTTTTTGTTAACAAAGTGTGATTGACTGTAAATGAAATCACCCACCATTACCTTCTTGGCTATATGATTTTGCTTTTGTTCACTAGTATGTTAAGCTTGGTAGCTTAATTTTTTTTTATTTGAACTTATAGAGTATCACCAATTATTTTGTTTACTATATCTTTAATAAGAAGATTAATTATTGATTTCATTTTATTTTCAGGAAGATGGGACAAGAAGCATCATTATGGGTCAAATTTGGGATATGACGGTTCAAGATAACAAAAGTTTATTCTTCATATTATTGGCGATACTGTCCCGACGAATTTCAAGCATACTTATTATTTATTATTTTGGATAATGACGATACATTAAGTACTACTATTTTAGCTATTTGAACTTTTGGATGCCATTTATGTCATTATTATTATTGGGCTTGTAGATATATTCTTTGTTTGATGGGAATGTGGATGATATGTTGTGTCGACATAACGGGAATGATTTGTTGTCTCTGAAAATAGTGCTTAGGTGACCTAGAATTCCTATTTCTCTGGCTAGGAAGTCTGAGATCTGTTAGAAAAAGAGGGACGAGGGTATTTGTACGAAAGTCCGAGACCGGGTGACTAGGATTGTGATAGAGTCGTGAACAAAGTTCACTTTCCGTAAAGAATATTTCCACCCTCAATCAAGCCTAGGGTTACAGAAAATTTCTTCGTAGGATAAAACTACCACCACTTTAAAATCTAGGCTTAAGAAACTAAAGCACACTTAGAAGTATTTAGTAGGAAGATAGAATGAATTATGGTCTGTGCTCTCCCACCAGCCGATCCCATCTATTTATAGATGACAATGGAAGGCATCGAAAGATTACAACCCTTCATCCTGATCGGTTGGCTTTTGGCCAAGCAACATATCTATTCATTTCAAATGAATTGTTGCCATAAGGAATGGTTGTGTTTGTTTAATTCGATTGGCTTGCCGGTTGCAGGAACCATACCAATTGCCTCCTGAGAAGACGCATCTCTTCATGGAGCGAAGTCTCCCAACCGTAGCCATTATCAAACTAAACCTCCATTTTATTTCATGAAGCGTTACATTGCCTTATTAAATTGCATGAACTGTTGCCATGCATGGCAAGCCAAGGCAACGTGGAGCAAACATATCCAATGGGGCAAACATTGCATGGAATGGCTTTCAAATTTAAATGAACACAATTCAAAACAATTTGCATGCCACCAAATTTCAACGTGGTCTTGGTTGGTCCAACCGGTCTAGCCCATATTACCTAGTTCGACCAAATTTCCAACAAGATCGTCCCTAGAATAGGCAAGCAAGATCCTCGACATTTTGCACTCCCACTCTGTTCACTACTTCCTGGAATAAAGCACAATAGCACTTGGACTTTTTACTATTGATACAGACTAAGTACACGAAACTACAACTCGAACCAGAACTTCGCCCTGTTTCGGTATATTTCGCTCGTCCTTCCTTCCTTCCTGGAATAAAGGACTAGAACAAAACTATACTACATCATTCATCTGTATTTCTATGACTACTAATGAACTATACTAGCAATTGTATCTGACAATGGCACATGATTAGTAACAGTGTCGTTGCAGTTGTTAGGAGGACTGGCTTTCTTGCTGCAGAAACTGAAATTGTTGCCTTTAATGGGTAATCGCAGCTTGTTGGCAAACACTTGCTCCCTTTGGGGCCGGTTTGCATAGAGTATCCAGAGAACCAAGCAGAGCAAAACTCCAACAGAGATTAACCCTAATCCCGCGTTTATGAGCTGGAGGTAATGCTCCAGAGGATGGCAGTACGTCGAGGTGATTTCTTGGACTGTGTCTCTCACAAATTTGCAGTCCTGAAGGCTGAGCAGGAGCGGAGTATAGTATTCCAGAGCGTAGGTTTCATTAACAGCTGCTACCAGCTGCCCATACACATCAGGTGTCACCCTTCCAACACTTGTGCAGTACCCCAATGACGAGACTTGGCATATGTAGCTCTGCCATACCAATGAGGCGTTAGCCATCGAGACCTCTTGGGCAGCACACTGGCGATCGTTGAACTGTGAGTCAAATGGGTAACACATGGGAGGCATTAGAGGTCCAGACTGGTTGTAGTAATTGAATTCGGACCGAGATGGATTTGCATTTGCAAAGGTGTATATGTACGTGTTGACCACATTCACAATGTCATTAACGACTTCTTTGCTTTGGAAGAGGGTCTTGTTTGTAGTACTCTGATCAACGCAGGGGAGGATATCACTGAGTGTTGTAGCTGCCTGAGGGTTTTGAACCCATTCGTTCATGGCTGTACAAGTGTCTGTCATTGCGCTGATACATAAACCAAAGAGCAAAACCATATCAGCGACAGGTAGGCATGCAATCCTGAATATGAGATAACTTGATAACTCGAATCTTACTTGTGGAAAATTATGAAGACTCCACAAAGAATGAACGTTATAGCTACTAACAACCACCCACTCAGCACGAATCTGCAAACAAAGAATTTGTTGCTTAAGATAAGTCGAACGGCAACGAGAGAGGGAGATGAAAAGTTTAACACTTTGCCTACAATAGGGTAACAATGTATAAAAAAGCAACTCACATATAGATCGCATGCTGGTGACCAAGGACGGAAAGAACTGCAGTAATGGAGAAGGTCAATCTCAAAGCATTATCATCTGTCAAAAATGGAGAAAAAACCAACCAAGAGAACCAAAAGCAGCAACAGATATGGGAAGAGTTTATGATACGCACCAAAACCAACCACAGCCAGTACAAGCATCACTGCAGCAACAGCAATTAGTGTAGAACGCCTGCAGATCAATTTCAAATTCATCATCAATTACCAAACATCACAAGCATAGCCAATAAGTGTCAATGGAAAGGGGGGGAAGGGGAAGGAAGGGATGTTTAGATACATACACCGCAGTGAACACTGTTGTGATCTTTTGAGAATTTTCACTGGTCTTCTCTTCCAGTGTGTTTGCTGCAGCATTCAGATCCACATTCAGTTTGTCTATGTTGTCCATTACATTGGAAGGAAGAAGCACTTGGGCTACTTTGATGGTTTTGGCAAGGGACAAATACTCCGTGACGTTTCTCAGGGTTTGAACTGTGTAATCAGATTGGTTTACAACATATTTCAAAGTATCCAAAGCTTCTCCATGAAATTCACCCTGACCAACAGAAAGAAGAATGCAGCCAATCCTGAAAATAAAAGTGGAACATTCATATTAAAAGAGGGAGGTAAAAAGAGGTTATGGTAGATGACATCTGTGAACTGATGCTATGTGACAATAACCATTCAACCGAAAAAGGCTTTGCTAGAAGCAGGATAGTATAACTTCTATGCAACATACAAAATGATGAAGATTATAACTTTAAACAAACACAGAACAGTGAATTGCAAGGCTAGAGAAGTATATAAGTGCTATTAATTTCAGTAACCCATCAGGGTCCGGATAAAAATGAAGGTCATTGTAACTTGTTTGAGAATTAAGATTATGACAGCAAAGGGAAATCAGGGCTGGAAGATCAAGCCACAGATTGCTGTAGTCAAGAACAACAAGATTCAAGGTTGAGATGATCATTACGCTGCTGCACATGTGAACACTATCAGCAGTATGAGACATATCGTTTGACCACGCCACCCTCTGTCTGCAATTTTCACCTTCCATCCACAACAATGGTGTACTGCAACAGCCAGTCCAAAGGAGATGAACCACAAGATGGCCAAAATGAAGCCAGAAGCACCGGTGAATCCAACAGACTGCAATTGAGTAGAGGGATCACACTTTATCATTCTATCGTGATCCAATAATGATATAAAGAAAAACAGACGAAAGCATAAGAGCTAGACCAAGAGCTAATCAGCAACCCAGATGTCAGAAAGACAGAAGCCTTCAGCAGTTGCAGTAGTTTTAATAAAGATCAATTACAGAAAATAACTATCAGCTCAATCGCCCAGACTCCATCCCAGAGGTACAAAAGTATCCATTTCTTAAATTCCCAGATGGATTCGTTGTACAACTGCATATAAAGCTTAAAAAAAAGGAAGAAGAAGTAACTTACAGCCCAGTAATGTCGATTGGTGATATCCCAACCTCCTTTATAGTGCTTAAACCCATTAAGTATATCGGGCCGATTAGTCCTCTCGGCGGCCAACAGAAGAGTGCTCTTAAGACCTTGAGTGGATGGTCCAGGCGCTTGTGCAATAGCCTCAGAGATCCCACTCTTCCATGATCCCAAATTCACTTGTCCTGCCAAATCAACGCACCATCATCAGCAAAACCCAGAAGCCAAACAGAAATTCGCAACCCATCTTCCGATTTTAGTGTCCTAAAACATAGCCAGCATTCCCGCTAATAGTTTAACGGCGGCGAGACGTTATCCACCGTCCTGCCGATTGGCTCCCTTGTTTCGGGAGGGAATGTAGCGAATTTTCAGAGAATCTCAGCACCTCCATAAATTCATCCGAACTATAACTAAATTACGCCACTAAACTCGCGAACACACGGAGCCAGAACAAAAAAAAAAAATGAAGTTTCTCGACGGGGAAAGGAAAAGCAAAATAAACCCAGACAAGAAAGAAGCAAAGAGCAGACGAAGCAGACCTAAGAAAAGCTTGGAGGAGCTCTGGATGGGTTGATTCAGAGGGTGAGCTGAAATGGAGCAGGCGGAAGTAACAGCAACCCAGAGCACCCAAACCAATCGGAATCTCACAACGGTGGACATTTTCAGTGACCAAAAAGACCCAAGAGACATCAATGGCTTCTCAGCAGTGCCGCCGCCTCCCACCGCGGAAACTGAAACAGACCCATCACGCAGAAGGAAGAAGGCAGCTGCTCTGGCTTGAGATTTGCAGAGAAAACGTGGAAACACAGGGGAGGCCTCTTTATTAATTGGGCAGGTGGCGCCGTGGCGGTGCTGAAAAGGGAGGAAAAGGGAAGGGAGGAATGAGTGCGGAGAAAAAAAAGGGCCGTTCACATGGAGAAAGAGGGACCGAAGGAGGGAAGGGAAGGAGGCAAACTGACTGAAAAGGCGGGTAGGATTTGATGGTGCTGCCTGCCACAAAAGAAACGGAGGAGGAGGAGAAGAGAGTGTGGAAACGGGAAGGAAAGAGACCAAGAGAAGGAATTTTCGGTGGGAGGCAAGGTTGTCAACCCGGATTGACCCGTCGGCCCGCTCGAGCAACCAAGTAATGGGCGACTGGTTCAATCATGGTCGATCCTGATTAACTCGTTTTATAGTTTATACCAATTTGGGGCAACGGAGATTATGATAGGCAGAATCGTATACAGTCTGGGGCAACGATCGCCTGGGAGAAAGATGGGATTTTGGATCTTGCCTCTTCCTCGGTTGAAGGAAGAGGGGGAAGCTTGTCGACTGCGATACGAAGGAGAAAGGAAGAGATGATTTGGAACTGAGAGTTTTGGGATGGATCGATCGGTACATCGGCCAGTAGATTTAGAGCTGGTTGTCAGAAGGAGAAATGCACTGAGGAACAGCGGCCGCGACCGTGGCGGCTAGGGATTCTGAAACGAAATGGCAGAGGTCGGAGAAGAGAGAACTCAAGAGAAGTGTTACTTTCGACTTTTTTTGTTTGGCGCACACTCCGCTCACGGGTCCACCCGTTCGGTTTTGTCGCGCTTTGACCGGATTGAAGGCCAGTTTTTTTTTTCATCGGGTCCAGGTCAACTCGAAATCGACCCGCATGTTAACAATCTTTGATGGGAGGTTTAGTTGTTGGGTTTAGTGGATAAAGCATGCAACTCCATAACGTTTCTTTCGCTTTTGTTAAAAGTTGACACATTTGCTTTGCTTTGTCCACTTTTCTGGCTCTTTCCCGTAACAAATTGCTGTTACTCGCTACATGACGAATACATAAATAAATGGAGGGAAGGGTTAGGGGATTGCGATTCATTAATTTATTCACAAGATTTAGTTTTTGTCATTATAGAGCTCCGGTGGTAAGAAAAGATTTGTTGTATTGGAGGAGGTGAAGTGACATGGCCGGCCATCACTCTTGCCTCTTTTTTTGACCCTTAATTGCCTGGATTTTCTTTGTTCAACAATTTTTAGGTTGTTCACCTACTTCATTCATCCTCCTTCATATTTTTCTCTCATTATCATTAGCAAAAAAAATTTTTTTAATGCATAGTTGGTATTCTTGACTTTCCTGAAGAGATAGGGCTTAGAATAGAGTCAGTAACCATTGGTTACTGATTTATAAGTAACTGAATCTGGACATTTCGATTTAAGTGAGTCTAGAAAATCCAGATTTAAAGGTTGTCAATTAAAGGCATTTTATTTTCCCTAGTTTTCATAATGGGCTCTTATCTTCTTCGTTTTAACTCAGATTTCTTTTTTTTTTTTTTTTTGCTCACATGGAACGAGTTCGTTGTGTTCTACAAAATGAGATCAATTTTCTGTATATTTCGAGAGAAATTTTTTTACCAACTACATATCATATGGTAACTTCTTCGTTTTTAAGTCGTTTTTTAAAACGTTTGATCAGAAGGAGCGAGTTCATCATGATTTATTGGATCTACAAATTTATGGGTGAAAAAAATACTGGACCAAAAATTACCATACTTTACCACTATGGTATGTGGGTGGTAACTTGTGGTAAACAATGATGAAAGTCGTAAATGACAGTTAGTATACTCCTACTACCATGTATTCAACCTTCTTACCATATTGGTATGTTCATACCATCATGGTACGCTTTCTTACCATATGGTATTAAATATGAGCATATCATATGGTAATGACTGGTAAAAAATTATTCAATTTTTTTGTACTAAAAATATATTAAAGTGGATATCATTTTAAAGAACACATTTAATTTGATTTATCTGTGCAAAAAAAAAAAAAATTTCAACTTAAAACGAGAGAGAAATCGTCCATTAAAGATTAAAGGGGAAAATATAAAAGACTTTCCAGGAGAGGGGATACTGATGGCATGCAGATGTAGACAGATTACTGATGGTTACTCACCATAAAGGTTATTGACCTGATATGCTCCCAAGAGATAGAGTGCCAACACTTACTTATAATGGTACTAGCTTTTGATTCAATCAGTTAGCTGAATTTTTTTATAATTTTCGTTTTGATAGAAGAAAAAAATCAGGTGTATAGGGCATAACAAAATAAGCGTCCGATACTCCATCAAAAAAATAATAATAATAAGCGTCCGATACAATCTATAATTTAAAAAATTTAATCTCAGTTGTCATTTTTAAAGTTAAGTTTAGATCATGAAAACTAACTTAGAGTTTTACAATAATAATGAAGCAAAAATCATTAATACAATTATTCGATCCCTGTTGATTAGCAATATTACCCGTATATTGATTTGAATCATGTAGAGAGCATGTGTTTTTTTCTGTCTCGTCCGCCTATTGAACAGGATTGGTTCATGGTAATTCTAAAAAATAAATACCGACTTAAGAATTATGCATGTTCAATACTAAAATTCTAAATGCAATATTCGAAACACTGATATCTGAGTTAACTGTGAACAAGGAGAGCTGTATACAAGGAGATTGAATAAGATCCACGCTCACAACATCTGTAAACAAGAAGATGATGTTCCAGTTGAGAGCTAACTGTGAAATCTCTGTACACTTACCATATTTCCAGACACTGCTGGCATGCTTTTTTACCTTTCCAATCAAGGCATTCTTCTTCCATCGTCATCTTGGAACAGAACACAAGCGATCCAACAGCACCTAACAATTTGATCAGGCTCCTTTCCCTTTGATTCACGGAGATGATTTTCTTCTACGTACGTCCTTGATCCTGATTAGGACGCAAGCGTTTCACCACCTTCTGCTTACGAACACAACGACGCTTCGACTGTAATGCTGCCGACCCACAACATAAACGAGACAGGTTACAAGATATTAGAAGCCACGCCCCATAAAAGAAGAAATCGAAAGAATAACGGGATGAGATGTACGCAGATACACAATGGCAGAGAAGAGAGGCTATGAATAAAGGTAAACTCGAGTTTATTACCTATGGCTATGATTGAGGGGAAGTGTTGTTAAAACTGTTGTTGTTCTGCACCAAAGAATCGTGGCTTCCATCGTAGAGACCTCGCAAGTCCTCGTACTTTGGAATTGGAGTAGGCCAGCAAGAGACTGTAAGGCTGCAACGCCCTCCAACTAGGTATATAGCAATTTAGTTCGGAAAAAGAACTCTAGCTCTCCGGTCCCCATCCTCAAATTGCAGGACAAGACAGTATCAACATGAGAATCATCATCCAAGTGGACTAAGAAGACGATTTCGGGCTTCTCGGGATGCAGATCAACTACAGAACAATTCTCAAGGTCATATTTACACAGTGATGATGATGACGATGTCCACGTCTTCTTCAACACCATTTCATATTGTTTGCTCCAAGACTGGTGATCTTCTTCCAATCTCCAAACAGTCAAAGGCATTCCTCGAAACCTTGACTTCGGAGGCATGTCATGTATTTAGCGGTCAACTATAAGAGTTGACCGCCACATCAGCAAAAGTTAACGGAGACCAACGGCCAGTGACCAAACTTGGGTTGTTAAACTAATTTAAGTGACTATAAATGGAATAAATTCATTTGAGTGGCAAACGTGAAATTTTGTAGCAATTCGAGTGACCAAACTTGCAATTGAGCCTTTAAAATTATTTTAGGCTCTTACTTAAGGTTGTCAACCCAGTTTAGTCTATGGTCCGATCGAGCAAGTGAATTGACTAAGGTTGTTTAACTGGTTTAGTAAGTGAAATGGCGCGATTGGTGGTATAACTAGTTTGTGTCGGTTCGTGCTGGTTTAATAAAATATGTATAAATGTGAAAACTCATTAGCATCAAGTGAATCTAATCATTATATAAACCATATTTCAAGACAATTTACTTAAACATTTATATTTGAATCCAACAAATGATAAAAACAGTTAACTTTTGGTTAGAAACTGTATATCGAGTATACCAGTCATACCGGTGATGTTCATATCAATTTCAAGACCAGCATCGGTTGAACCAGGTTCAACCGGTCGGCATGTCATCGCGCGTGATGTCATGAACCAGTTGGTCCCAATAACTCGAGTTGTTGGGAGAAGGTTATGTTGGATCTTATACCACACTCTAACACGCCCCCTCAAACGAAAGCCAACCCATGAGCTTGAAGTTTGCATAGGCTCACAATACCTTGTGCTTTAATCAACTGTTAGTATTGGGGGTCGTGGAGGTTCGAACACACGACCACTTGGTCAAACCAGCTCTGATACCATGTCAAGAACCAGTTGCTCCCAATAACTCGAGTTGTTGGGAGAAGGTTATGCTGGATCTTATACCACACTCTAACACGTGACAACCATGAAATTGAGAGTTCATGGTGCATCTGCTTTAGTTTGGGCATATGAAAAAAGTCATTATATTGTCCATACATTTATAAATTATTATCTGATCTCATCTAACATATGGGTAATAACCTATAATTTATGACACCCAAATAGCAGTTCGTATTTGGATCCAAAATGTAGTGAAAATTCAAACACACTCATATATCATAAATATTCAAATGTTCAACTTAAAATTCCAAAGATATAGTTAGGTGAAAGGAAAAACCGGAAAGAAGCGCAATTCACAAATAAAAAGGAAAAATGACATTGTACGACATCTCAAGGCTCCATCCAACCCAAGAACCTTGATGAGAGTTGACCCACGAATGTTTGACGCCTGTTATTCTCACACTTCCTGTATAAATATGATGCTTTTCCTTGACCTATCTTTTTATTATTATTCCTATGAATCTCAGGCCCCATGTATCACTTTGTGACAGCGGGTCATACTAAATTAGGGGTCACCAACATTTAATTTGATGCCAACAGGGCTTCGTTCCCGACAGCCTTATACCTCCGATAACACCAACGAACCTCACTTGGATTCGAATATGAGATCTGCACTGCACCTCCCAATCCTTCAATATCGCTGCAGTTGGCTAAGTTCATAATAAAGTGGATAATCCATTCTAATTAATTACTCACCAAAATGTATTTTATGGCACGGTTGGATAGACCAATTACAAAAAGGAAAATTTTGGCCAATTCTAATTACCCCCAAACAGTTATAAATGTCTCGAACAGTTATAGATGTTTTTCAATTATTTCAAAACAAAATAATTATTTTAAATTGAAAGAAAGAAACCCGCCGCAGCCCCTAGTACTGTACACGCAGACACCTTTTACTGTACAACGTGACTGAGAATTACTGTTTCAAACTGGCGTGTCCTTCGGTGTGGGCTAGAGTTGGGTGAGGTCTCATTGGAATCTAACGGAGTTTGGGGGCTCGGTCGGGGTGAGACTGGTGTTTAGCTTCTGGTTGGCCTTCGTTGGGGTCGTTTGGTGGCTCAGACGCGCGTTGGTCATCAGAGATCAGTGTGTGTCTTTGGCCCTATCGGGCGCGTTGGTCGAGGCACTCTGGTTGTACACTGGGTGGGGTCTCATTAGGTGGGTGGTGTCGTAATCACGGAGAGATTGATGCTTTTGGTGGAGTAGCTGGAGGGTGAGTGCTTAGGTCTCCGTTTGGAGGTGGGAGTTGTGCCAGGTTCGTGGCTCAAGGTGTTGGAGGTGACTGGGTGGGGAGGGTGAGCGTCGCTCCTTCTCCAACTCCTGCCTCTCACCTCAACTTTTCCCCCCTCTCTCTCACTCTCTCTCTCTCTCCACGTTAAGGCCATAAAGCATTTTGGGATTCTGATGGAATGTATCTGTCTGCTCTATTTTGATTTCTTTGGCTTGCTTTGATTAGGGCCCAGTTCTCTATGCGTTGATCGTCGTGAGGTTTTGGGGAGGCGAGAAGAGAGGTGAGCGCACTGGTGAGCCTGTGAGGGAAGCATAGATATTTTGTAGCATGCTTAGCGAGTAAGAAGCCACGTTGCTATTTGATTTTGGTCCTTCCATTTTATCTAACCGGCGCAATTCTCTATGCATGCTTTTCTCTCTAATTGGTTTCCGTCACCACTCATCAGAGTTGCCTCTCAGTGGGAGAGAGAAGATAGAGAAAGGGTTTTATCAACTTCTTCCTTCATTGCTTTTGAACTACTCTCACTTTATCATTCCTCCTCCTCTCATTTCTTCTCTTTGTTATGCTTTCTCTTATCATTGTTGATTATGTTCTTCTGTTTTTTTAGGCGGTGCGAGGATCAAAGCATCAATGGCAGATTGCAGAAGTCTGGGAAGGGTTCTGAGGAGAGCCAGGATCCGTTTGATTTGAGGTGATTATGAGAAGTAAAATTGATCAATGTTGACAATAATTGTTATCTGCCTATCTCGAGGTGAATGGTTATGCTCTTTGATTTTGACGATTTTTCTTTGGTTTTTGTGCTTTTAAGCTTTGGGGTTGAGCTTGTGAGAGCTTCCGGATAGTTGTGTTCTGTAAAAAGTGGTGGATTGTTCTGATGTGAACCCACAAAAAATTGCTACGCCTTCATTGGATTTGCACGTTCCTTGGGCCATTCTCTTATTTTAGGTGATTGGCCTTTTGATGAATTTGTCGTATCTTTCTCACTCTCTCAAATGGGGTTGTTTGGTCTTTAATGAGTTTGTTGTCTCTTTTCCTCATTTGATGTTTGGGTGGTTTAAGGAGCAAGCAGTGTGGAGCTTGGTATAGATTTAGACCCTGGATGCAGTGGAGGAGATTCCCCCAGTGAGAAATAGGGAAGCAACTCATGATTTATTGATGGGCGGAGGGAACCGTAATTTAGCGGTGATGAGAACCGCAAATTCAATACAAAAAAGCCATACAGAGCCTCTGGAAAGGAGAGAATGCATGGAAGCTCAAGGCCATTATATTTGTTGGGAAACTCAGTTGTAACTTTGATTCTCTTCCATCATAAGGCCCCCTTTTAGTAAGTCGTTCTCAAACAGTTAATACTATTTCACTATGAATTCTCTCCATTCCATTCCAGATCTACTCGGAAATTTTTTTTAAATCAAAGATCCATTCAGTAGTATATTATGAATAAGTGTTCTTTTTCTATTTCCAGATTTGTTGCGGGCGGAGTCTAGGGTCGGATCAATCGATTGAGGTACCGATCTCTTGCTTTCTTGGTGACTTTTTCTATCACGCCCGATTTTGTTTGAGTGCTTCGAACCAATCATTGTGTGCAGGGGACTCAAGTCCGGCTAGCGATTGATGGCCCTTCTGATTGTCAGTCCATTTTTTACGTGCTTGGTATTTTTGTTTCAAGTGGCCTCAGGAAAGTTTTTGATTGGAATCGAATTTTTCTCTCTCTTTGACTTTGTAGGATGGTTGCTGTGCTTGAAAAGCATTTTCTATATATTGTGATCGATTGTTCTTATTTTCATTTGTTCCTTAAGCTAACACTTCGAATATCTCGATGCATGCTGATGCTTAGTAAGTATTGCATTGCATTGCATTTTTAACTTCTGGGATTTTCCCCCTGCCATCTGTAATTTTAATTTCTATTTATGAAGACGGCTCATGTTGTGTCCTTTAATGGATATTCATGATTGGAGGGTTTAGAGAAGGTAGCCTTACGCTTAGAGACAGGGGCTTAGGTTTCATTTTAGTAATTTTTTGTTAGTAGTTAGGGTGTCTTCTTATGACTATTTGTGGTGTGTGAGTGATTTTAAAGTACAGGTTGAAATAAAATTGGTTACTGATTAGGTGACCCCAAGAACTTCAATGTGATATTTATGCTACTGTGGGTAAGCAGCTTATTTCCCCTGTTTACTCCTTTTCGATAGTCTTGAGGTTTGAGGTTTTCTAGGTTACCATCATTTTGGATCGTATTTGCAATACATTTGTTTATTGCTTTCACTCGATTTGTTTGCAACACAAATCTCAAAGGCTGTAAAAATGCTCCGACTTTTCAAGTTTTGAGCTATAATAGTAGGCAAATTCATCATCTAATTCTCTCCATTTTTGTTTCAGTTATCTACAAAGAGAAACGATGGCTACCCAATGGATGATAGAAAATCTGGTAATTCTGAACTAGCGACGGTTCAATTGTGGATTAGAACTTCTTAATTGGAGATTGGGCAGTGTTGTTACCAGCAATTAGTTAATGACCAAACTGAAGACATGTACTTTTTGTTTGATTTCATGCTCATATTATTACTTGGTGAAACCTAAACTCTCAAACTGTGATGCATAATTCTATTGTTGCTGGGAGAACGATATAAAAAAGGTGAAGATTTTGTTTTAGGGACTAAGTACGGTGTGTTTGTGAGTTATCAACTAAAAAAGTTGCTTTTGTTCTCTTACATTGTATTAAAAATATAACACTTATCCCGGCGCAGAGCCCGGGCAAGGATGCTAGTTAATCCATTAAAATTCCTTCTTTCAAATTTACAAGCCAAACTATTCTCTGAACTCTCTCAAATTGATGAGGACATAAGAGGAAAAGAGACAAAAACAGAGGAGAGAAAGAGGACAAGAAGAAATAGAGAAAAGCCCAAGGAATGTGTAGCTCGAGCTTAAGCTAGGGTGGTGGAGGAGGAAGGTGAATCCAGGTGTCTCCCTGCGATACCTACGTGGAGGCACATTGTGATCACCAAAGTCTCCTCCTTTCTTCCTCCCCTGCTCTCTCTCTCCTCGTCTCCCTTCTTTCAGACAATCCTCCAAGAATCTCCATTGATTCTCGCTCTACCTCTGTCTACATTCCTTTTCTTCCCGCTCGCTGACTCTCCCTCTCTACACCCTCCAACCCAACTCAGTTACCCAATTCAACTTCCCCGCCAACCCAAATTTAGGGTTCTCTCCTGCCCACTTGTAAGTGTCCTTTCCCAATTGCTTACTAGTACTTTTTTCCCTAATTGGCTTTCTCGTTTCGATGATCTTCCAATCGATTGATGTCGCTCCCTGATTTGCATGTCCACCCTTTTCCCCGTGATTCCCACGGTTCTTTCTTTTTATCCCCCGGCGGACGGCCGCCACAGTCCTCTGTTTTCCCCCCTCTCTTTATTTTGTCCGATTGCTTGTGTACTGCGATCAGGGTCGCGATGGAATTTGTCGGGTTTCCTTCGATTGCTGCCGCCTTTTTTATTGTTGAACTGAAAAACCCCAATTTCGATTGTTCGTCAAAGTTTGACTTTTAGTGGTTGGTTTTCCAGACTCGCACGTTTGCTTCCCCAACTGCAGACATGTCTGAACGCGGGGGGTAAAAGAATTGGGAGTTCTTGGGGTTGGGGATGAGTAAAAGCCTTTGCATGGCGTGATTAGATAGCTTAAAGTTGATAGCTTTGCATCTATAATGCGAAATTCTCACTTGGGTTGTGAAATTCCAGGTGTCTTGATGTACAATTCTTGAGTAATCTTAGCAGTTTCGATTATCGGATATGTCAATGTCAATTGTGAGCTTAGTAGCCAATTTAGAGCTCAACTTTGTATAGAGATTAGAGAATGAAAACTTTTATCTTACACCTCCACTGTCTTTTGCATATGTTGGTGCTTTGTAGTTGTATATACATCTCGGTTAGCTAAGAAATCGGTAGCCACCTGAACTACCAGCAGGAGGCAATGCAGTCTAAACCTGCTGCTGCACATAGCCTGCCACCAGATTCACACGCTGTCCTTCCATCGTATGGAGTTCCTTCTGAACCGTGGTGGCGCGGCGTTGTATATCACTCTGTAGCTGCAAGCATGCCCATAGGAAATGCCGCGATTTCAACTGGACGATCTGAATCAAATGATGATCAGTCTGTCTCAGATGACAGAACGGACGAGGAAGAGGGCAATGATGCTGCAAAAGAATCACAAGCTACTGCATCTTCTCGATCAGGTGACTCAGAGATGTCACAGTTTGCATTCTGATTGATAATCCAAGTTATTAGGAACTTAATTCTTTACGAACTACGAAGTACCTTCTGGTCAGACGCATTTTATTGTTTGCTTTCTTCTTGGTACTTTCATCCTGTAATTTCATTGTATGATCGCTGTAGTGGTTTAGCCACAATTCGACTCAATGTTTCATCAGAGAATTTTAATTTGGCAGCTTCTGTTCTCGGACAATTTCAGTTCTTATCTGGTTACTGAAGCTATAATGACCATTTTAACCGTGGTTGTAGATTTCACAGCTTACGAAAATTTAGATTCCTCCAGTTCCTTCTTGGAGTATCGGTATGTCACAAGCAGAAAGTGTACAGGACCTGACCACTGTGCTTTCTTTTTGCTTGTTCTTCAATGTCCCTTTACCAGTTGGGAATCATGGACAAGAGCATCTCAATCCGCAGAATGTTCCTCCAGGCATGACTACTAAGGCGCTGGATGGGACGCTTGTACAGCCTCCGCAATTTGAACTCGTCGGTCACTCTATTGTATGCACTCCTGCATAACAATCCTCCATTGTTCAATCCTCCATTGTTTCGCTACAGAGAAGCAAAAGAAAAACAGAAGTGTAGGAGTGTTAAAAGGATGAAAGGGGAATTGGGTGCTTTTAGGGATTGAGTGCTTGCTAGAGTTGAAACAATTTGTTCTCACTTCCTAAGATAAATGATTCCTCCTTGTCTGGCTTTTCCTTTTTGCAGACATGCGTACCAAATCCCTATCAGGATCCATACTACGGAGGAATGATGGCAGCTTATGCACAGCAGCCATTGGTATGTGAGTTATTTTTTCCAGGATGTTTGGGGATATTACTGTCTAATGCTTTATTAAGGGGGTTGTTTGGCTGCTAGATTGTTGAAATGGGTAGATTGTTAGAATAGATGGTTTTGAAATAGATGCGGGTGTTGGATTATGAATACGTAGTGGATTGTGGGGGATGGATCGGATCGTGGGAGTTGTGATTAAATGGCCTTTAATGCTTTTACTTTTCTTTTATTAGCGGGCAATTCGTGTCCGTGTGAAATTGAGTAGGAAAAAAATCAGTGTAAATTGTGGAGAGATTTCAAAATATCACCTCCCAAGAATCAAGATGGCATGTTTAATTCCGCCCATGTCTAAGCTGCCACAATCCACCTCCAATAAAGACCATCCAAACCAGAGATTTTGTAAATCCATCTGCTGATGGATTTGGGGCAACAATCCACCACCCAAATCTATCATCTTGTTACCAATATTGTGTTTGTTCTATTGTCAGTAACTGCTTTAATTGTGAATTATTTCTGCAATCTTCCTGGAATTAGAAACGTCTGATGTGTTACCATGATCACAGGGCTACCCTCACCTTGCTGGAGTTCCTCAGACGAGAATGCCGTTGCCCCTTGAGATGGCCCAGGAACCTGTTTACGTTAATGCTAAGCAGTACCAAGGTATTTTGAGGCGAAGACAGGCCCGAGCGAAAGCAGAAGTCGAGAAAAAGCTCATTAAAGTACGAAAGGTAGATGTCTATGCTCCTTTTCTGGTTGTCGAATTTATGACTAATGTTATCGCAATACTGAACCTTTTGTAAATTTCGTCTCCTCGAGTTAAAGATGTCCAGCGGGACTTTGAGTTTACGAAAGTTTTCAGTTTCTATTTTGTATAGCAACGTGGATCAAAATTCACTTGGTAGCACTTCTGAACTTTTTGCATATTCGATATTTCCCTCAGCCGTATCTCCACGAATCCCGACATAAACATGCAATGAGGAGGGCACGGGGTGCTGGAGGACGTTTCGCCAAGAAAACTGGGATGAATGATGCTTCAAACAGCTCAGCTGCTGAGATCAGGAGAAGCGGCTCCGGTCCAACCCCCTCATCTCAGTCTGGTGGATCGTCTGGTTCCGAGCCGCTGCTATCTGACGAAGGTCATCAAAACGAGGGCAGAGTCCACCACCACCGAGGGCGCTTTGAGGGTCACAAATACAGAAACAAAGACGGGGGCGGGCATGGTGGAGAGGATGGAGACTGTTCGATCCAGCACCGTGGGAGCATCTCGAGTCGGGCTTCTCAGAGGTCTGTTGCGATCCAGTGACCACCTCAGGCAGACCAGATGTGGCGGCAAATCATTCTTGGCTTTTGTGCGTGTGTGCTTGTGTGGGCTCACGGGTTTTGCTTTGGATGAAGCAGAGAAGGGAAAGAAAGCTTTCTTTTAGGCTGGCTTTCCTTTACCAGTAGTTCATTCTGCTGTTGAGCTCAAAGTCTTTACTTTTTTGGGTTTCTCCTCTTACTGTGTGTACATACCAACTGAGCAATAAACCTCTTGGGGGGAATGGATATATGATTGAACAGATAGCTTTAAGATTTTGATGTGGAAACTGTCAGTTATGCTTTACTACAACATTTCTGGCTTCATTTGGGAGTTTGATTGCATATATGGTCAGGTTTGTTCGATCAAGAAGGCGGGGCCAAATAGTATATGCATGGTTTGGTCCAACTCAAGCAAATTAAATCAACCAAAATCAACATAGATCTGAATTAAAACTCGAAAAAGAGTTACTGAATCATATAAAATTGAACGGATTCCTTGAGTCTGCCAGCCTAAGCATTCTGGTCCAACCTGCAAGCATTTCTGAACTAAATCTCGAAGAGTTACTGAATCATATAATATTGAACTGATTCCACAAGTCTACCAGCCTAAGAATTCTGGTCCAGCCTGTAAACATTTCTGGAACTGGGAATGTGATTGTGAATCAAAATCTTCTAAATTAGGAACCAAAAGTTGAGTTCAACTCCAACATGTTCACAACTTTGGCTACTATCATCCTCGGAGTTCTATATGTATAGCTATTACACATCCTAGTGAACAACCAAACTGCTTTATTTTTTGCTGTTGAAATTACAAGGTTTAACACTCAAAATCAAGGATCCTGAAAACAGACAAAAGCAAACTACTACTGTATTATGACCTGCTTGCTATGAACCTTCATTTTCTTTTATAATTTTATATATGATTGTCATCCTGTTCACCATGCCTGCTGGTGTCTTCTTCATAACTTCCTACACCTTCCTCATCACTCTCCACCACAACTTCATCCCCCTCACCGGAATCCTCAACCGGAGGCGTATTCTCCGGTTGTGCTTCACCACCACCATCTGCATAATTGCTTCCAGAATCAGTCACATTAGCCACATCTTGTGGCTTGTCCATGAACCCGGATAACGCTAGCCTTGGAGACCACTCAAGCACGTCATCGATAATGTTGGACATCCTCCTCTGATACCTGCAAACAACATGGATCCCGAATATCAGCTCTCTGTATGAAAAACTCGCTATTCGTGGTCTGGGACCGAATATGTACAGCAGAATTGAAGATGGTAGGAAGAGGACGGACCTAAGTCTTGCTGCCTCATCAGGTGCATGATGTCTTAGCAGCAATATAACTGACACAGCAACACCAGCATACAAAAGCCTCGTTGTCCACTTAGGACGTTCCTCCTCATCCTTTTGGGGCCAGAACCGGAACAACTCACTCAATGTAGCTTCCTCAGCAAGGATGTTAGGGAAGAACCAAACTCGTTTTCCTAGAACAATATACAGAGTACCAAATATTGTGGCTCTCACTGCAAAAATTAGCAGAGGAAATGTGAAATGACCCATAACCATAACGGTACATGCAATAATTTGGTTCACTGAATTAAATGGGATCATATCAACTAATAATTTGATTCGTGGTTTGATTCTCAAATTCAAGAGTTTTTATTCCATGGATTGTCTTAAAACAAAAGGAAAAAGAAAACCAAATCAAGACCAAACCGGATCGAATTTTCTTTTAATTGATTTAGGTCCTCCTTTTCTCTTTACTTTCAAGCCAACATATGGACCACACCGGATCATGCACACACCTATCAGCAGAGATGACCACATGATATTTCAACCTCAATCAACAAGTTAAAGAAAGCAGTACTTACACAAAAGGAGGGAGAGAATGAGCAAAAGGACACCCGCACATGAGTAGAGAATCAAAAGCTTGCATCGATGTGGATATACAGGAAACAAGCATATTGCTAAAGTCAAGACGGGCCAGAAAAACGAGAGAAGTGTTTGCCAAAGTGGCCTTCGTTTCACAAACGCCCATGCGAAGAATGCGTCATTATCTGAGAACACTTGATCCTGCCAAAGACAACATATAGTTAACACAAGTTTAATGAAGACAGCATGAAATGAGAATTTACCGAGAAAAATTAGAGATTTACAGGGAATATCTCTAAATGTGCTGGCCATGTTGACAACTTTTTCTTCCCAGGACGAATAGTTTTAACCACCCGATCACAACGCACCAAAAGGTTCTTACTCAACAGAATGTCAGCGATTTCTTCGACCTCCAAGTTATTTTCTGATTCCAGTATCTCCTTCACCTCTGGATGATTTTTCAGAAAGCTTACAAAGTCCTTCCCCCTGAAATATTCCACACGAGTTTCCTGAAGGACAGCCCAACGGGAAACTAATTCTTTGTGGTCTCTCACCTTCTCAGCAAACAACTGGAACACATCTTTCTTTGCAGCCTGTTTCTGAAGCAAATAACAAAAGCCCCACTTCAATAATGGTCAAACAAGGGGAAACATAACAAGAATACAACCACTGAAGTGAACAGCCGAAGAGAGTGGAAGAAGAAGTACAGCCAAAAGGCTCTCATGAATACGAGTGATCATAGAAACCAGACATTAGATCTAGAGACACTAAAACCACTCACAAGTGAATTCAATAAATAGCAGTGTGCCAATTCCATGGCACATTGTAAGGCTCACATGAATTCATTGGTTGTAATCAAAGGGGAGCAGATTGTAGAAATTATACACCAAAAGCACCCATACAACTTGGCTAGTACAAGTCTGTGATTCTGGCCAGCCAAATACATCTAGTGCAGCCCGAAGAATTAGCAACTAACAAGAGGGATTTCACTACATAAGACACTAGAAAAAGAATGGGAGAATAAACATACAGGGGGGACCCATAATAGCATCAAAGAATCCCATCCTCAAGCACCAAATCAACCTAGGCGTATGTGTGAAGAGATTGATTAACAAGCATATATTGACAAGAGCAATACGCCCTAATCCCAGTAGGCAGTGAGTGAACAAACACACAGAAACAGCTCAATTGTGGGACTAAAGACAAATGTCACAAGAACTTGGTCCAATTCGTAAACTCTCCCTTTTCAACTAACGAATTGACTAGTACGCACAAGCTCTAACTAACCCTTCTCTCTGCTAGCCTGCTACACCAAATTGAGGGCCTTTCCATAACCAAAAGACGAAATTTTCACAACTAACAATCGTACCCTTCAATCAAAATCCCCTTCCATCGACTTTTCTCGGCAACCAAACACGAGGGAGGCGACATACTGCAAAACGGAGACAACCCAACTTCACCAAAACCCACATCAACACAGACAATAAAAAAGATGGCACATTTTACATCCAGAAAGGCGGGTTAAGGACGACGATTAGCAGAGTAGATCAAACGAACCCTAGGCGGAGTATCGGTGCTGGGATCTCGGCCGCCGTTCTGCACCGCTGCCGACGATCTTCGAACCCTTTTCTTGTCTGCTCCGCCAGGTTTCTTCATCTCTCGCATTACTTCCCACTCTCTCTCTCTCTCTCTCTCTCTCTCAATTTGGAGGGCAGAAATTTTCCTTCTTTTCTCTCTGATTTCTAATCGTTTTCTCTGTTACTTCTGTTGTTCTGTGTGCCATTTCGATTTTTCATTTGTACCCTTTTATTTAAAATTTTGGTAAGAATTGACCGTTTTTTTTATCATTTATTTTTGTTCCTTTTTAAGCAGTTGAGATTACAAGCAAAGTTTTTTTTTTTTACAGTAAATTACAAGCAAAGTGAGTGCTGGAGAAAGAAAGCATTGGGCTCTCTCTCTCCTACCTGGCTACCTGTTTATGGCTAATGACATGGGTAGATCCACATGGACCACTAAGATCCTGCCAAATCATTGCATTTGGATCTTGAAGGGACCTACCTTGTAATGTAATCAATTTTCTTTGAGAAGGATCCCTGAAATAAATAAAGTGAACACATAATACAATTAAAAAATCTGAAATTTCTCTAATCAAAATAAATATCTAAAAACACTAAACATGGATGATGGATGGCAGTTAATTTAGATGGTTATGTTGTTCTATCGAATTTCATAGACGATACTTGTGTACGCGGTTAGTAGTTGTATGTTTAGAGAGTTTACACCATCAATTGGAAAGTTGCTTCATCACTCATGTAGAAATTTGACAAGTCATTCTACATATATCGTTGGTGTAGCGGTTATTATACCAGAAGGTAGTACTCTAATTTGACTCCACATGGGTGATTACTTACTCTCATTTTGGTCTACGATGAGCATCAACATGTTAGATTTGTATTACAATCTCAAAGTCTCATTCGTCGATATTTAGATAGGACGGACCTCTAGTATCTATTAAAAATGTAACTTGCTCGACTTCTTAATGGTAAGAGTCTCCTTATACCTACAAGTTTATATTTGGTTTATGTTTAATCCGAATGTTGTTTATTGGCTAATGTATTTAAAATAAAAAGGTTTCCATCTTCTACTATTGATAGAGGCAATGGAGATTTAACTCGTTTTTAATCAACAAATAAAGAAGAGAAGAAATCCAAGATTAGGATAGACACACATGAGCTACCAAACATTTTCCCTAGTAAAACAGAAAGCTGCAAACTTTGCCTCATGTCTTCCCTTCCTTTCCTTCCTTTTCTTATCCAAACACTCTTCTCAGCCAGTTTCCAACTTACCCTTTTCTCTTCCCTCTCAAAAGAATCAACAAATTATGCAATCTTCTTCCTGTTCTTCTTCTTCTTCTTCTTCTTCACTCCAACCACTACTCTCCTTCCCACCCAATCACAAGCCTCTAACCTTCATTGAAGTCTCCCCAGCTCATGGCATCTTCTTCAACAGAGCCATCAGAAGAAAGTCTTGCTCTTCAAAGTCTTGGGTTTCTGTTCATGCAGTAGAGAAGAAGAACTCTCAACAACAACAAGAAGAAGAAGAAGAGCAATATGAGATAGACACAGATCAGGCTAAGCAAGCCCTGCAGCAACTTGACCAGCAGCTCCAACAACTCTCCACAAAGCAAGTCTCCCCTCCAAAAGTTAAAGGTGAAAACACAGTAGCTTGGAGTAAGAAAAAAAAAAGACCACAGCTTTGTGTAAATTTTGGAGTAAAGTTACAAACTTTAACCGAAATTTCACCTCAAAAGTTAATGGGGATTTGTAGTTTTACTAGGGAGGGATGGGATTGCAGCAGAATTGTGTCTTCTGTTGTTGAGACTGTAAATCTTGTTTTGGTTGGGTGCAGCTTCAGAAGTGAAGATTACAAGGGAGCAAGTGAAGGAAGAGTTCAGGGAGATTCCAGTATCTGTGGTTCCATATGTTGTGGTAGTTCTGTTTGCCTTCAGCATCTTCTACAATATTCTGTTCCTCACTGTGATAAAACCAGCCATAGATGGACCAGAGCTAACCCCTGGAGCTACCATCAGGGTGGAAATGGAACCATCTCGGTACAGAATTATGCAGTTGATGCAGCCATTAAACCCTGAAGGGTTCCTGTAATTATGCTTACATTACATATATAGAGATGATTGTGATCAATGGTATATACCAAGATTCATTGTTCTCTGATGCATTTGAGATAATTGGTAACAAGGCAATGGAAGCTGATGGGGCCATCTGAAGAGCCATTCTTAGTGCTTGTGGAATACATGGGAATGTGGAGGTGGATGATAATGTTGGCAGGAATGTGATTGAGTTAGAGCCCTCAAATCATATCAACTATGTGTTGCTTTCAAATGTTCATGGATTGGTAAATAGATGGGGAAGTTGTTGGGAAGCCAGGGAAGGAGATTGAACTGAAAGGGTTGAGGCTAACTCTTTGAATGGTGTAGTTCATGAGTTGCTCAGTTGATGGAGATGTTGGTTGGACACATTGTAAGGTCGTGTGTTTGATTAACGTCATCAATCAGTATAAAATTATTGAGCAACATTCGAGTTGGTCGTGTCTTGTGTTCGGGTTGCTCGGTATGTTCAGATTACTGGATATCACATAGTCCCGATGTTTAGTATGCCTGCGACGTCACTAATGTAGTGACTAAAAAGGCGCACCAACCTTTGTTTATTAACATGCGAGGAATTTGAACTACAAAATCTAATTGAAGTACAAGTAATACACCAAAAAGAAATAAGGGGCAGTAAAAGTAAAAATATACTCTCCTATTCACATATCATTTGACCTACAGTAGCTAAATGTTTTGAAACAATTACCCTCCCGAAAAAACATACTCAATAAGAAATGTGTCATAATGAAGCATCTGTAAATCTAAAGGTAATAGTTGTTGAATTTAGCGGTCTCTATCAAGTGAACGACCATACGTGAATCAGACCGCAGAACGGCCTTCTTTCTTAACCCTCAAATTCCTATGGATGATAGGTATTAGAGAGAACAAATAGAGTGATATTAACACTATTGTTTCTTGTGTTTGTTTGTCCTTCTTATGAGTTTGTTCGTAATTCGAATAGATAACGACGGTTAGTTGTTAGCCAATAATTTGTCAGTAGTTTAACTTTAATTAATTGTATTTTGTTTAATGGTTAACCGATAACGATCTACTATCATAACCGCATATTCGTAAGAAAAAACCACCCGAAGTGAAGAACACCAAATTTTCTTCCAATCTTTGACCCGGCGGCCAACAAAAGTTTTCACTGCGGCGACCCGGTTTGACCCGACTTCTCTAATTGGGCTTGCGGCCCATTTAAAGACAGTACGGAATAGCGTCCATGTTCAATGTTCCACAGAATCCAATTTGGGTTTCGCATGTCTGCCACACTGCCCACTTTGTATCACGCGCCGCCGTCTCTGTTCGTGTTTTTTTTGCCACTTGTTGCGGCCGAGCCCATGGCGGCGCGTGTAAATAACCAGGTACTCGTGTCATGCTCCACCTTAGGCCAGAATCGCCAGATATATATTTAACCACTTCTCCACTTCGACAGCCACACTCCTCTCAATTCGTCGGCTTTCGCTTTCCCTTCCTCCCTTCTCCCATTTCCCGTCTTTCGCTAATCCATTCCTCCTCCACTCGCTCCTATGGCGGCGACGTTCGGAGCTGCCAATACGGCGGCGGCGTTGAGGGAACCCGCGATTCAGCTCCGAAGCTTCGACGGGTTGAGGAGCTCTTCATCTTCCTCCTCCTCTAATTCCCTCGCTCTCACCAGACATTTCAGTGTCTTCTCGCTTCCATCTCCTCGGCGCCCTTCCACCGTCAAAGCGGTCTCCACCGTAAGATTTCCCTCGCGCTTTCTCGTTTTTCCCTTTTCGTTTCTGCTTTCTGGGTTTTTCAATTTGATTGAAGATGTCTTTACTTTTGCGCTTGAATATGTTTCTCTGTTGATATTACTGCCTTGGATTGGATGCAATGAAGATGGGATTTTTTTTCATTCTTTTCATGTTCGTTTTGCTGTTTGGGAACTGGGAAATGAACGAATTTGGTTCGTGATTTGCAGCCGGTGAAGCCTGCGACCGAGACTAAGAGGAGCAAGGTCGAGATCATCAAAGAACACAGCAATTTCATAAGGTATCCACTCAACGAAGAGCTGTTGACAGAAGCTCCCAACGTGAACGAGAGCGCGGTTCAGCTCATCAAGTTCCATGGGAGCTACCAGCAGTACAACCGTGAAGAAAGAGGCGGGAGATCCTATTCCTTCATGCTTCGTACTAAGAACCCTTGTGGCAAGGTTCCCAACAAGCTGTACTTAACCATGGACGATCTCGCAGATCAATTCGGGATCGGGACTCTTCGCCTGACCACCAGACAGACGTTCCAGCTCCATGGAGTTGTGAAGAAAGACCTCAAGACTGTGATGAGCAGCATCATTCACAGCATGGGGTCGACACTTGGAGCTTGTGGAGATCTCAATAGAAATGTTCTTGCTCCTCCTGCGCCGCTAGCGAAAAAGGACTATCTGTTTGCTCAGCAGACTGCTGAGGATATTGCTGCCCTGCTGACTCCGCAGTCTGGTTTCTATTATGATATGTGGGTTGATGGGGAGAAGTTCATGACTGCTGAGGCTCCTGAGGTAGTGAAGGCTAGGAATGATAATTCTCATGGGACAAATTTTCCTGATTCGCCTGAGCCGATCTATGGGACTCAGTTCTTGCCTAGGAAGTTCAAGATTGCGGTTACTGTGCCAGGGGACAACTCCGTGGATATTCTGACGAATGACATTGGTGTGGTTGTGGTTAGTGATGACAATGGCGAGCCTCAGGGTTTCAATATCTATGTAAGTTTGAATCAACTTAGTAGTCTAATTGCTTTGTTAAGAATGTTACGAGCTCTGTTTTTTATAAGGTGCGGTTTTGTTTCAGGTTGGAGGTGGCATGGGAAGAACACATAGGATGGAGAGTACATTTCCTCGGTTAGCTGAGCCATTAGGGTATGTGCCAAAAGAGGACATATTGTATGCAATCAAAGCTATTGTTGTTACTCAGAGAGAGAACGGTAGGAGAGATGACAGGAGGTACAGTCGAATGAAGTATTTGATCGACTCGTGGGGGATTGAAAAGTTCCGGGGTGTTGTTGAGCAATACTATGGGAAGAAATTCGAGCAATTCCGTGAATTGCCCGAGTGGGAGTTTAAGAGTCACTTGGGATGGCATGAGCAGGTTTGTTCATATTGCTATCCAATTTTTGTCACACAAATTGTCCTTTTTTCCACATAATGTGTGTATACTGATGGGTTGTGAAAACTCAGGGAGATGGTGCATTGTTCTATGGGCTGCATGTTGACAATGGCCGAGTTGGAGGGAAAATGAAGAAGACCTTGAGGGAGGTGATAGAGAAGTACAACTTGGATGTTCGTATCACGGCAAACCAGAACATAATTTTGTGTGGGATAAAGAAAGCCTGGAAGCGCCCTATTACCACAACTCTAGCTCAAGCTGGCTTGCTGGTAAGTTATCCAGGCCATTCATATGTGATGTTTTGGTTTTCAATTCGTATTTCTATTGTCCGGGTTTCTAACGATTCTCATTGACATTAACAGCAACCAAAATATGTTGACCCTCTCAACTTGACAGCCATGGCATGTCCAGCTTTCCCACTTTGCCCATTGGCCATAACTGAAGCTGAACGTGGGATACCCGATATCCTGAAACGCATTAGAGCTGTGTTTGAAAAGGTACTTTAGCTTGACTTGCTGAACTAGTTCATCAGACATCTAGACTTGGACTCACTTATTGAAGTTCTGCTGTATTAAGATCCCAATCTGAGCTATAGTCGCAGAAATTTTAATTTTGTGTTTGGTTCAGTGTCTTTATAAATGAATGTTATTTATCTTTAATTTCATGTTATGGCAAATATTTCTCTTCTAATATATCCAACCAAATGATCTGTTAAATTGTTTTTCAGGTCGGTCTGAAGTACAACGAGTCTGTGGTGATAAGAGTGACTGGCTGTCCTAATGGCTGTGCTAGACCATACATGGCTGAACTTGGACTTGTTGGAGATGGTCCCAACAGCTACCAGGTATATCTTTGTTCAAGTTTGATCCATGCTTCTTTCTTCCTGTCACTCAAAGAACCGAACTTGAACATTCTTGTTCTGTTGAAACAGATCTGGTTGGGGGGAGCTCCAAACCAAACCGTGTTAGCTAGAACATTCATGAACAAGGTCAAGGTTCAAGACCTTGAAAATGTCTTTGAACCTCTGTTCTATCACTGGAAACGGAGAAGACAATCCAAGGAATCATTTGGCGACTTCACAAACCGAGTGGTAAGCTACTACTCGAATCCCTATTTCTGAACCTTGCTATCTGCATTGATAGACACTCGTCTTGACGTCAACCACCTGTTTCCAGGGATTCGAAAAACTGCAAGAGTTGGTGGACAAATGGGAAGGCGTGGAAGCTGCACCAACGAGGTACAACTTGAGGCTGTTCTCGGACAAGGATACGTACGAGAAGATGGACGGACTAGCTAAGCTGCAGAACAAGACTGCTCATCAGTTGGCTATGGAAATCGTTCGCAGTTATGTTGCTTCCCAGGAGAACGGTAAAGCAGAATAACTCCGGCAGCAGGAGGGTTGGTTCCAAGGGAGAACGGAGATCCTTCCAGGTTTTGATAACGCAGCTTGTGCAAGAGGATCAACAAACCTGGTTCTGTGTTTTTGGTTAGCCATTTTGTACTCCATTTTTTTCCGCTTAGCTGTACAGGCTTTTCCCTCGGACCTGTCTTTCCTAGAGTGGCTACGAATAATAGCGGGAGCTTTAGCCATGTACTCACAACTGATTTGGCGGGAGATTATGTGGTTCTTAATCTCTCTAGCTTTGACGCAAGAGTGTTTGATCTGTTTTTCATCTGAAATGCCACTTTTCTGGGCATTGATTATCAAGTTGTTGGCTCTCCAGTTTGCTCAGGAAGAACTTCATGAACAGAAAGTCAGAAATCAGGCATGATTAGAACCTGAGACTTCAGCATACATGTATTCAACTATTGATGTCTCTAGCTAGAATCAACTTGATTTTATGAAAGGTCAGAGGATTCTGAATTGTGGAACGATTCACTTTACCCCAGTAACAACTTAATCAAACTGTCTCAAATATCTGAAGCAATTTTGACTCCCAACTTAAAAGAGTTCTGCTGTTGCTTCCATGGATCCTCTTAACACAGAAAGTTTTCAATCAAATCTTCACTTCATATGATTTTGGTCCGAAATGTTTCCATAATTTTCAATGGCGCCCTAGCAAATCCAATTCTGTAGTGTACCATCCTTTCTTACACCAATTCAGTCAGGTTCTAAACCAGGCTTGAGTTGACCATACAATTGAAGAATGATCGTTGAACTTTAACAGCCATAACTCAGTTTGCAGCTGACTGCACCTGACTTAAAACATGAAACTAATGCTTGGTGCCATTGTATGCATCCTTTATTTATCTCTGATCAGCTATATCCATAAAGAAATCAACTTTGAGGAAGATTAACACCAGAGAGTACTGAAGCTGAGAGAGGCAAAGAGAGCCAACTTTTGTTGGTTATTTCAAACCAGAGCACAGTCAAGGAAAAGAAAATGATGGAGAATTTGAAGAGGGGTTTGTCTCTCGGAGAAAGAAAATACAGAATGGATAAATACATACAACCCAGAACGAACTCCGACATTATAACTCTGAACACTGCATTAGTACATCAAATCAAGCACCAAATTCAAAAGAAGAAGAGAGGGAGATAAAAGATGCGAAAGCTGTCATCTTTTTTCCCCATCAGTTGCGACAGATGCGAGCGGTGGGCATGGTGACACAAATAGGAGCATACTTCTTCTTGGCTTGTGGGGAACCTCTCTTGGGCTCAGCTTCATCGGCCATGGCGACTCTGGCAATGGAGTATGCTGCTGCTGCAGCAGCTCCGAACATCAAATCCCTTCTCCCATTGTTGCTCTCTTCCTTCTTGTTGTTCTTCATCTCCACATCATTGGTTGATGATGCCTTGGCAGCCACGATCAGGCCTCTGCGTGGAGCTGTGATGGGCTTGGAGATGGTGGATCCAGCTAGGAAAGATGCTGCAATGGTCATTGACGCCATTTTTCTTTGCTTAGCAGTGTTTGGATGAGAATCTCAAATTCTGTTGAGTAAAATGAACAAATGGGAAAATGATAGTTGGCTATTGAGATTTCAGTTCAGGAAATGATGCATTTCCTTATCCTATATGGACGGCCAGGACTATTCGATTCTTGCCACCTGGCATTTTGGTTTATCTTTAGATGGGATTGGATTTGGGCTCAAAGATGAAAAGGGTTGGCTCAGGTTAGATTTGGATTTGAGCCCAGCAAAGAGTTTGAATTTGCCAGTCAGCAATTGATTTAGTCCTATTTCGAATTGATTTATGACGTCAGTGGTTGATTTTAGGGATGGACCATGGGTGGGTGGATTTTGTCCTATGATGATTGATGGGAATGAAAAAAAATGAGCCACACCCACTCATTCGTAAGAGTGTGGGTGGATTACAGCAGATGATGGGTGTGTTTGACGGTTTTGGTGAGTCAAATTATTTTTAGATAATTACATAATTATGAAGCCATAAATATTTGCATAAAACTAATTGAATATTAATACTACAAATGAAGAAAATTTATAGCTATTAAATGTAGTTTATTGCATAATAACTCCAATTATCTAATTTGCGAACACAACATATTTTGTTGATAGTTAGCATATAATAAAATGATCGATTTTATGTTGTAGATCAAGTAAAATTTATAAAAGATAATTTGAATGTAATTGAATAAATCACGATTGAAGTTTTGGTATAAGAAAAAATAGTGCTTTATTTATAGAATGTGCATTAACGACTTTAAATGTCATGTGATTTTGCAGGTAATGACCCACCCACTACCACCTGTCATCCATCCAAATTTAGTGAGTGACAAAAACGATGACCCACACTCACCCACCACTTCCACTCAAACATGTAATGGGTGGGTCTAGCGGTTGACCAACCCTTTGCGCATCCCTAGTTGATTTGATCCTATCATTTCTTTAATCATGGGAAGAGAAATTTGCTTATTATTACTTGAAATGAAGTTTGTTTTAATAATTAGTTATTTATCGCTCCCTTAAGCCATCAATAATGTGAAGAACTGGTCACGATGTTATAGATTAGCAAATGAACTTGCTAGTCCTTAGATATTTATTTGGAATACATAAAGAATCGAGGGATTAGCATGCTACATATTCGTTTCTTTCTATCAACATTGGACATCTTTTCCACTTGTGTACACAAAGCTTTTCCATTTTGGTATCAATAACATTTTTAAATTCCAATGAATACCATAATAATAAAGATAGAAAAAAACAATCATAGCTCTTGAGAGTTTTTACAACTAACATGATCTGAAAGCTTCCACCCACAGGTAAGAAGTTACACCATGTGATGTATGATGATGATGATAAAGAAGCTACACAATCGGGAGATTTCTGCCCCCATGAGAATTTAAACGTCGTTCGATGCAAATTCAATCAAAAAAAGATAGTCAAAGCTCCAAAAAGAAAGTGGCTATGAAAGAAATTCAAATAACAAGAATGCATCGTCGGATGATGATGAAGAAAATGTTTCATACTTATCTCCCAAAACATCTAAATTATGATATTTAGTTTTCCTCCAATATCTTAAAATAAACTTTAGAGAGTAAGCTTTTGATAATAGCATCTTTGATTAGCTCTCCTCAATTGATTACCCCATGCTAATAAATAACCAAGTTCAACACTTACCAAAGATCTCTCATATCATACAAATTATACATGGCCAACATGCAGATAGTGTTTAGCTACTTGCATCCACGAGAGTAGCAAGTTGAGTCGAGTTCAAGATCACATATATCTCTAGGTTCTTCCATGGCTTAACCAGGCTTGGTCCAAGGTCTATGGGAATTTTATTAATCCCTCAATAAGTCACAATAATGTCACAATTTGACTATGATTAATAATACCGAAACTAAAAAAGATAGATTATTTTTCGACTCAAGTCATCCGAAAACCGGGTGGTATGGACCAAAAGATGAACAACTTGGTTACAACTTTCTTGCAAAGGCTCAGACAACCTGGCCCATGTGTTGGGCTTCAGCCCGAATCTCCTTACAGAGTCGGCCCACTTCCAGGAGAGAAGTGGAGAGCCCGTTCAGTTTCGATACAACTTGCAACCTCCAAGCAATCAGTCTCGATGATGATGACACGGAAATAGCCTTTCATTTCCACCAACCCCAAAGCAAATCTGATCGCCTGGAGCTCTGCGATCTCCGGGCTCCATCCATTGCCGGCGATCTCGTCTCACCGCCGCCAGCACACACTTTTCCAGCCGAGTCCAGTACCACAACCCACCCCAGCACCCGATCCCTCCCCATTTTCGTCATTCTTTCCACGTTTTGTTCTCTGCTGCGTCGATTAGTTCCTGACCCACCAGCTAGTCGAGACGAAGGAGAACATCGTGAGAGACCACGTTTCCAGGGGGCTGACCGGCGGCGACTAAGAAGTAGGTCGACGCCGAGGTGCGTGGGACGCGAGCTTCGTAGATCCATCGGCGGGAGAGAGCCAGCATCGATACAGCTTTCAGGTTCGTTGACGATTCGTCTTCTACGTTCTGGGTTCGTGTTTGGGGGTTTTGGTTATAGTGACTATCGGCTTCATCTGCTGCAACTGATTGGTGTATGTATTGTGGTTTATACCTTTTTTCTCATTCGGAGGGTTCATGGGTTCTCGCTCACAATCTACAGCTCTCGTTGGGTTTTTGTGTTCTGGGCTTTCTTCCTGCTGGTGTCTGCTCCTGCTGTCTTAGTTTGTTGTTTCAAATTTGAACTTGTATACACGCTGCTAATTAGAATAGCATCATGAACCAACAAAGCATGGCATCTCTGGGTTTATGCTGCCTGATGTGGATTTAGTTATTGGATATTGTGTATGGTTGTTTCAATTTGATGTCAAATCTCAGCTTTTTTAGGGTATCCTTCCGAGAATCAAAGATCCGGCTGTGGAGATTCCAGATTCTTGGTAGCTCTGTTTGTTCTTCTTGCTTGGGTTTCATGGGCAATCTTTGGATTCTATTTTATGCAGATTAGTTTCAGAAAGATTCGAGCTTTTGCTTGTTGGTGCTGAGATTTTGGGATAGACATGGGGAACTGCTGCGCAAGCCCTGCTAGTAACAGTTCTCCCCATGGGTCCCCTGGGAGAAAGAACAAACAAGATAAAGCCAAGAACAAGAATAAAGGCAGCAACCCATTCTTTGGTACTGACTACGTCGTCAATGGATCCAGTGAGAAGCTCTACGTGTTGAAAGAACCCACAGGGCGCGACATCTCAGCTCACTACGAGCTAGGGCGGGAGCTTGGCCGAGGAGAGTTTGGGATCACATATTTGGCCACCGAAACGAGCACTAACGATAAGTACGCCTGCAAATCGATCTCAAAGAAGAAGCTGAGAACTGCGATTGATATTGAGGATGTGAGGAGGGAGGTGGAGATCATGAAGCATTTGCCTCATCATCCTAACATTGTGTCAATTAAAGATACATATGAGGACGATAGTGCCGTCCACATTGTGATGGAGCTTTGCGAGGGTGGAGAGCTTTTTGATAGGATTGTTGCCAGGGGGCATTACACTGAGAGGGCTGCTGCTGCTGTTATGCGCACGATTGTTGAAGTTGTTCTGGTTAGTTTAGTCTTGACCAGCTACTCTTTTATTTTTTAGCTTGGTCAAAGGTAACTGATTATGAATTCTTGTATCTGTGCCGATAGATGTGTCATAAGCATGGAGTGATGCACCGTGATCTGAAGCCGGAGAACTTCCTGTTTGCGAATAAGAAGGAAACGTCCGCATTAAAGGCGATTGATTTTGGGCTGTCCGTCTTCTTTAAACCTGGTATTGTACTGTATGTATGATACTATATGCTATGGATTCCTAATCTTTGTTGTGATATATATGCAAGTTGTCATTTCGACGATTCTAATGGTTTGAATGTGTGCTATTGTTATTTACCCAGGAGAGAGGTTTAATGAGATAGTGGGAAGTCCTTATTATATGGCTCCTGAGGTCCTGAAACGGAATTATGGCCCAGAAGTTGATGTGTGGAGTGCTGGAGTTATCCTCTACATTCTGCTTTGTGGAGTGCCACCCTTCTGGGCAGGTTTGTTCTTGGAACTGAAATGTAACCGATCTTTATTTATGGTGCATGTTAGATCACTAAAAGTGCCTCATCATGTTATCATTGCTATTCTCCATTTGCTTTGCAAACCATTTTAGTTGTTGATTTTTATGCTAAGAAACTGCTTTGTTTGTTCATGCAGAAACGGAGCAGGGCGTGGCACAGGCCATTATACGGTCCGTCATAGATTTCAAGAGGGATCCATGGCCTAAAGTTTCGGATAATGCGAAGGATCTAGTGAAGAAAATGCTTAATCCTGATCCTAAACAGCGCCTTACAGCTCAACAAGTGCTTGGTATGGTTATGCTTGCTGATCAGCTCTATTCCACAACTTACTTTTTATCTTAGCCACATTGGCTCACTTGTTTCCGTGTTGCTGTTTTCAGAACACACTTGGCTACAGAATGCAAAGAAGGCTCCGAATGTCCCGTTGGGCGAGACTGTGAGAACAAGGCTCAAACAATTTTCAATGATGAACAAACTCAAGAAGAGAGCTTTGAGGGTAATTATCTCTACTAATTTGGCTGTGTAATCTTGCTTCAACTAGTTACTTCAAAGCTATGTTATCTGCACTGCTGCCACTTATAGGTTTGAGCTGTTCATTTGTAGGTGATAGCCGAGCACTTATCATCAGAGGAAGTGGCTGGCATAAGGGAGGCATTTGACATGATGGACACTACCAAAAAGGGCAAGATTAATATCGATGAGCTACGAGTTGGATTGCACAAGCTCGGCCAACAGATTACTGATCCGGATCTTCAAATCCTGATGGAAGCTGTAAGTATATTTTCTTCACATTCAACTCCCCCAAAATGAACAAGTAACTCTCGAATAGGTTTGACTGGTGGGCTGACTTGACCTCTTTATTTTAGGCTGATATTGATGGTGATGGAACTCTAAACTATGGAGAGTTTGTCGCTGTTACCATTCACATAAAAAAGATGGGAAACGACGAGCATCTGCATAAAGCCTTTGGATTCTTCGATCAAAATAAGAGTGGTTACATCGAGACTGAGGAGTTGAGAGAAGCCTTGAATGATGATATTGACACCTGTAGTGAGGACGTTCTAGTTGCCATCATGCAAGATGTTGACACAGACAAGGTTTGATCTTTTTGCAAAACCCACAAACCTTAAAATAGGTATACCAGATCGTTAGCTACTGTGATAATGAACATATGGAGGGGATTTCTTGCAGGATGGGCGAATAAGTTACGAGGAGTTTGCAACAATGATGAAAGCAGGCACAGACTGGAGAAAAGCGTCAAGGCAATACTCGAGGGAAAGATTCAACAGCCTAAGCTTGAAGTTGATGAGAGATGGTTCAATGCAGGTAGTTAGTTAGGCGCGAATCAGGAGGAAAAACCAAGTGTGTCCCAAAGGCAAGAGGGGAATCTTCTGTTGTCTGGCTTCTCTGAACTTGATGTTACTACTTCACCATTTTTTTTCCTTCCATTTCTCTTGCTTCCTGGGTTGTCATTGGGGATGTTAGGCAGTAGAGAGAATAAATAGTGTGATATTAACAAAACTGTTCTTGTGTTTGTTTGTTTGTCCTTTTTGTGAGTTTGTTCAGAATTCTTTTGTTGAAAAGAGTTGTAGAAAAGCAGGAAAATCAAAGATGTTTTTTTTTGGGGAGGAGGGGGGTGGTGGGAATCTGTCGAGTGAGTGAGGAGGATGGTTTGGGGAGCAACAGAATGAACAAGTTGGTGGTGTAAATATATTATTTGATAGTTTCAGATGGTTAGCCTTGTTGTTGTTTCTATTCTCTTCAGCCAATGTTTTTGGAGAGTTTATTATTTGTCCAAAATTGTTGATTTGATAACCATTTATTTGTTCCTCACTGTTCTGTCCATAACTCGTCGATATACTCTAATACTTCATTGTTCTTGCCGATTCGATATCAGTTATCTTGCTACTTAGAACTAAGATCCAAGATGTTTACTTGGTTTCTAGTTTGATGATTTCCAGCAGTAGAGATCATTTTACTGAATATCTCAAGTTTCTCTTTATTTTCATGTAATTTTTTTCTATATTTTCCAGCTGCTGGGGAGAAATGTGGCGGTAGGTGAGAGTGGACGGATGAAAGGTTGAATTCATCAGGATCATAATGTATATAGTAACCAATTCCCATGACAAAACTGACATGATTTGCTGAAAACAGCATGTAATCGCCCAAAACATTGCTGAAACAGAACACATATACTACAACAAATAAATTAAGTAAACTGTTATTCTAACACCTTTTCTTGCTTCTTGACATTTATGACTCTGCCCCGGCAAAAATTGCACGTACAAAGGAACTCTACCAAAACTGGATGAAACAGAATAGCCTACTGTCTTTTCCATTTCTCACGATTTCACCATCACCGGCTTCAGTCTGTGCCGCTTACCCTCGGTTTTCGACGACTTCGGCGGTTGTTTTCGCTTTTGCTGCTTCTTTTCACCACCTTGCTTATGCTGCACCACCTTCTCATGTGGGTCGACATCCTCATAGTTAATCGGCTTGATGATCACTCCAGGTTTCTTTAACACCTGCAATGGAAAAAAGAAACATAACGACGTGGTTAGCAGATTCTCGCCGAGTAGTATTTGTAGCCAAACCTCATTAGGGCATGAGGGAAATTATGTTCAAGCGTTACATAGTCACTCACCTCAGGTCGGTTAAGAGCTCCAACGGCTGTTGCAGGATTGAACTCAGGTCCAATCGGCATTCGGATGCTTTGTTCGAACACTTCCTTGGATGTGAAAGGGAAAGGCAATGACTTCGTGTGTAGTTTTTCAGCCTGTGGTATTCAAAAGTCAGTCTAATTGCCGAAATGTTTACACAGTAGCAGCCTGAACGAAGGATCTTATTAACACAGGGACAAAAAGGAAAACAATGGAGATGTGCTCACCTTTTTATCCAACTTCTCGGATATAATAACATGCTTGAGATGCGCATCCTTCCTTTTCTTAACAGCCTCGTCTCTCTTTCGCTGAGCTAGTTTATGCTCTTCCTCCATCCATGAAGGCAAGCCTTTCCTTTTCTGTACATTAGTCCATTGGCCCCACCCAGGAAGTAGAACAGGCTTTTCGGGCTCAGGATTTTCTTTACTCAATGCTTCGTCCTTATATTTGGCAAACTCATCTTCCACATCATCTCCAGCAAAAGCCTCATGGATAAGCTCTGCTTGAGAAGGCAGCTCATATGCTGTTCTATGGCCTGATGACAAGTTCCCATTGATCATCTGTCTTTCATCATCACTATCACTTTCCACAGCAGTTTCCTTCAAAATCCACTGGGAGTGAGAAAATATACTACTTGAAAAAATAACACCAGTAAAATCAAGCAATAGAATAGGGAGGTTATTACCTCTAGATGTTCATTCTCCACAGCAGACTGAACATTGGTTGGAGCTTTTTGGGTACTGGATTCCACTTCACTCTTCTCACTCATCTACAAAGTAACAGCAGGTCAAAAGAGAACATAATTGAACACGGAAACACTGAGTTTGACAATAACATAAAATAAGAACACACAAAAAGGGAATCGAGAGATACTTTTCTCCATTTGTTTGATGCAAAAATCGCAACTTCATATGTCGTCTTTGGGCCTGCATCCACACCAATGTACCCAGAATCCTGCAAAAGACATGGAATCAGACTACAGAAGCTGTCTAAGGACAAAACCGCACGTAAAATCCAAACAAGAAAAGCAGCATGCATACACAGAAAACACTACGAAAGCTGAAAGCAAACCAAACGTAAACAAACCGCGGAGAGAGGTTCTTGATTAGACTCAGAGTCTTCATTAAGCAAGGAATAGCTGACACGAACATCCTTTTGCCTCCCATCACTTCTGTCATCAACAATATTTTCTTCAGCTTCAAACTCAGCCCCACTGTCACTGTCGCTGTTGGTAGAGTTCTCATTCAAATTCCTCTTCTTGGTTGGTAAAGCAACATTCTTTGTTGGCCCTCCAAATACCCTTCTACTATTCCCCGCAGCTGTTATTGTATCAGCTGAGTCCTGTTTCTGACCCAGTGCGGATTCATACTCTTGAAGCGCAAGCTTAGCTTCTTCATTAGCCTCATCCTTACGTTTTTTCAGTCCCCGTGCCTGTTTCAAACCAGGGGAAAAGATATTAGATCCAGGTTCTACAAAAGAATAAAATGTTAAATTACATCATTATTTACTAAATTGTCGTTTAACGTGATTCAGCAGGAAAATGTCAGAACAGGGTGCAATAAGGATACTCTCTCACTCCTCTGTTTCTCTACAAACTTTTTCTGTTTCGTGAATATAATTCCTACCATAAAAGGCAGAGAAAGAACTCCTGATGTAGGCACTTCATCTTCTTCCTCTAATATACTTTGTGTCTTTTCTTTTGCTTTCATCAACACCTTAGAAGCTCTATCTCGTTCTGAAACATCGGAATCTTCATCATATTCCTCGTCACTGCTGTTATCACTGTCGCTACTGTCATTCATAGAATTCATTTTTCTAGTCAAACGAGCATGCTGACTGAGTTGTTCTGTAATGGCTGCCCGGGTACCCTCATCTTGAGCATTCAGACCACGCTCCAATACACGTTTTGCCCATTTTGACTTGTTTTTGTGCCTTAAGGTCAAGCGTTCCTGCATACATGTAGAGTAGCACAATTTTTTTTAACAAAAATCTACTCAAAAGCGGCTGTTAGGGTCTGTGGCCAATCAAGTGGAAGAATATCACAAATTTATGACACTAAGAGTAACCCCTTGATGACCTCAGCTCGCTTGAATTCTTGCTTTATTGCCAATTCTTTAGCCGCTTCAGAATCCATCTGCATTTCACCAGATGCTACCTTTATTCTGTCTTTCTTCAACATCCGGCGATGTGTCTTTGACTTTATCTTTTTTAAGCGTTTCATCTTCACTTCATGTCGGAAGAGAAGAGTTCGCATTTTAGCAATGTGATCCCGGCTGTTTTTAAAATCCTCTGAAGATATCTGCAACCAATCGGCAAGACAAGAAATAATGAACAATTGAGAAAGAACAATAAGGTCAACGGGACACATCTGAAGAACGTAAAAAAGGTTGAAAATATAAGGAATTGGCCAGTCACCAGAGAAAGTGTTAAACACAGGAGCACATAAGAACGCAAAGACACAAACAAACCAAAGCCCATCGAAGTTGCTGCAAATACAGAAGTTTCCCATGCAAAAATCATCCAGAGAGGCTTCAAAATCAGGCCCAATGATCATCACATTTCATAAGAATCTAGCTAGGATTCTATTCTTGATCTGGAAACACTTCAAGGAACAGGAACGTTTCAATTCTGCAATCTAGGGAAAAGGCTGGGATGATACGATATAATTGAACTCTGGAAAAGACTAACACGTGTCAAAAACCACCCAAAACGTTTGCACCAACACCAACACAGCCAGTACTAGCTAATTTGCTTGCTTCAAACTTCATGGACCAAGACAAGAGTCTGAACACAGGTATCCACAGAAGAAAGATAAAGTGACTCATCCATGAGGTAGGATCATCGCCTTTCCCTTTATTTTGAAGGACCAACTTACATAACTAGCATTCGCTTTAGCCAACAGTTTGGCTTCAAAACCTTACTGTGACAGTCAGATACATATCAAGATTAAACCTCTAACAATCAATGTTGTACCATCAGCACAAACATCCAGGATTGAATAATACATAATATGAGAGCCACAATTGGAAGTTGAACCAACAGATCCCAAATCCATTACCTTATTCAGCTCGAGAAGCTTGGCACCATCTTCTTTGTGAGCTTCCATAACCTTCTCATCATAAACTAATGAAGCCATTTTCTTCTCAAAATCAGTTCTAGGTTCAAATTCTGAAGCTATGGCTCCAACCGTTGAAAACCCCACATCAATATCTTTGTCGAAAATAACAGAAGGGGCTTCCCTGTTCCTCTTAATCAAAGGTTCCCATTTAGTGATATGTTTCTTAGATATTTCATATGCTTTTTGCCTCTCCACCTTGTCTATAGCTTCCTTGGAAAGTGGAGCTGCAAGGGGCATACTCTTTGCCTCCACATGACGCATTTCTTTCCTGAGTTTGCTGTATGCAGGATTTTGCTGAAGACTTCCCAGAAGATCACCAATAGTAACACGCCCAACACCGTCTAGAACATCACTGCTGGGATTGTACTCCGATTCTGGATAGGGCTCTGATACAACAATTTCACTCGTTTTCCGCCTGCCTAGAAATCGAGACATGAAACAAATTACCCAGACATTAGCATGAATGAAGTTTTGGGAGGAGACGAGCAGAAGGAGGAGAGAAAAATATCCTTCAACAGTTTAAGGAAATATCGTCCATGAGTAGTTCCATATCCACTATGAACATTTAACTTCCTAATCGCTTACACCCCATTAAACCGAAAGTCTGAAACTTAAAAACCCCATGATTATTCATTTCTCATTCTACATCTCTTCTCCAGGGAGTTAAAGCAGGCAATGCAAAGAAATACCTTCAAAAACTTCACTTGGCATCTGAGTAATTTCTTGCAGCATCCTCAAATGCTTTTCATCATCGGCAGTTCCTGATCTTTCCTTTCCAGCATTATGGTCTTCATCCTCGCTGCTGGCACTGTGATCATCATCATCATCATCTTCTGATTGTACATTCTCATCCTGCACAGCCATTAGCAAATCAAGTCATTATTCACCGCATCAATTTGCCAGCTGCACAGAACCCTTAATGCCATGTAGGAAAAAATCTTAAGACTTTGGAGCTCAAATTGAAACTAGGACACAGAAAAATTAAGAGAAGGTAGAACGAAAGCAAATACCACGAAATCCTCCGGCAACTCGTAGTCATAGTTTTTAATAGCATCGAAACGGCGGTTTTTCCCAGCTTCCTCTTCAGCCACCTCCTCCTCATACTCATACAGGTCTTTCCCTCCATCGGAGCTGACGTCGTCGTCGTCGTCGTCAACCCGGATACTAGGGTTTATTCGATCCAACTGTTTCAAGAGCGCGTTGGGCAACCGAGGACCAGTCCTCTTACCTTTTTCCTTGCCACCCTTCTTGATGCTCGACATTTTTCTCGACTTATTGTTGCCTTTCTCCCTTCCCTGCCTCATCACATCTCTGGATTTTCTCTTTCTCTCAACCATCGCCGCTAATTAGAAACAGCGTCGACGGCGAGTGCTGTCTGTAGTAGTAGAGGCGGCTTGCTGGAGTTGAGGCACTGAGAACGAAAGAGAAGAGTAGATTAGGGATTGTTTCGAATTTAATAAATTTGAAAAACTCTTCTCGATCCCTCATAATTATGAATCATCATTTACGATACCCAAACTTCAGAAGCTCTACATTTTAGTCCATTGTAGAAAAAAGACGTACTGGGTCGCAGAGTTAGTAAAATACGGTACGGGAAAGTTACGTATAAAATATTTTACTTCATTTCTATGCTAATGTTATGTTTAATAGTACGTTAATTGTCATAAATATATAAAATTAATTATTTTAAAAATAATAAATATATAAATAAATACGGATATTAAATATGTTATACGGGTTTTAAACGTGTTTAATACGGGAGCCATCAAATGAACGATCAAAAAAGAAACGACTTGACAATAATACGAATACGAAAGTTTTAAACGGATAAAGTACGTACGGGTACATATACGTGTATTAAACGGAATATTTACTAACTATGCTGGGTCGATTGCTCCCGCCAAAAAGAATGAACATTTCCTCTTGTTCCCGCCAAACGTTTGGGGGAATCAAAATCTGGTATCAATGTCCAGAATTTCTCAAACTCACAAGCCACCCTGAAGAGTGAAGAGTAAAGACTAGCAAACCTTTCTAAGGATTCGAAGTTCCGGACTCCCAGTTTCTCATATCCCGCCAAAGCCCTGATCGCCGCCATGAAAATCCGAACACTGAAGCTACGAGAAGCGCACAAACCAAGCCCTGGGTATGGCGCAGCCAATGGATCCTCCTTCTGCTCCATCCTATGGGACCAGCAAGCTCGTCACCTGGTCACTGCTTCCTCCTCGGATTCGGGAATCTCCATCCACGACGCTCTTCTGCCGTCAACCACTCCCAAGATTCTCCGGCACCACCGTGATGGAGTCACCGCGCTGGCGCTCAGCCCTAATTCCACCTGCCTCGCCTCGGGTTCTATCGACAACTCCGTCAAGCTCTACAGGTTCCCGGGTAACGTCTAATTGCTTCTGATTTCACTAAGTAAACAGAAAGAAATTGGCTTTTCCGCTCAAACAAACATTTGTGAATCCTTTGCCCTAAATTACCCAGGTGATTTGCTATATTTTTTAGAGTGACTACTGACAGCATAAATGGTTTATTCTTCATTTGACTGGTAAAGGTGGGGAATTTGAGACAAACATCACCAGGTTCACACTTCCAATCCGTGCCCTTGCATTCAATCAATCAGGGAGCATGCTGGCGGCTGCAGGGGATGATGATGGTATTAAGCTGATAAACACTGTTGATGGGTCAATAGCAAGGGTTCTGAAAGGGCACAAAGGATCTGTCACTGGATTAGCTTTTGATCCTATGGGTGAGTACTTGGCATCAGTTGATTCCATGGGAACAGTCTTATTTTGGGAGTTGCAGTCTGGGACTATATTACATACCCTAAAAGGTGTAGCTCCTAATACTGGGTTAGACACTTCCCTGGTCAATATACTAAGCTGGAGTCCTGATGGGGAGATGCTGGCGGTCCCTGGTCTGAAGAATGATGTGGTGATGTATGATAGAGACACAGCGGAAAAGGTGTTTACATTGAGGGGCGACCATTTGCTCCCTTTATGTTTCCTGTCTTGGTCGCCTAATGGGAAATATATGGCTACCTCAGGTTTGGATAGGCAGGTTCTGATATGGGATGTCCTTAAGAAGCAAGATATTGACCGTCAGAAATTCGAAGACAGAATCTGTTGCATGGCGTGGAAACCAGTTGGTAATACATTGGCTGTTGTTGATGTTTCTGGCAAGTATGGCCTGTGGGAATCAGTTATCCCATCATCCATGAAATCTCCCACTGATGATATTCCACAGAGTTCAAAAAAGAGCAATGGACTAATGTTATTTGAAGAAGAGGGTCAGGAGCCTTGTTCATCTGGTAGTCTAGGTGATCTCGGTGAAGATAGTGTAGGTGAATCAGGCCCACCAAGCAGGAAAAGAATACGGAAGCGGTCTGAATTTGATGAAGATGATCCCGCTGAGAATACGCTCGATGGGTTCGGCCTGCTTCCTCAACGCATGGCTCCCAAAAGAACACATTACTCTGCGAGAGAACACTTGGACAAGGGATCTAACGAAGAACTGAGAAGTACAGCCATGTCTGTGAGGTCCAAAATGCAGGAAGCTTTCCAGCCTGGTGTTACTCCTGTGCAGCCAGGGAAGAGGCGCTTCTTGTGCTACAATATGCTTGGAACTATCACTACAATGGAATATGATGGGTACTCTCATATAGAGGTAGTTGCTCAGGATTTGACCATTTTAATTATGTAACTCTTTGTGTTTCTTCTAAGTTATTGCTCATTGTTGTCTGCTTGCAAATTGTTCATGTCCACCTGGTGCAGATAGACTTCCATGATACTAGTAGAGGACCGCGAGTTCCTGCAATGACGGATCATTTTGGTTTCACGATGGCTTGTTTGAATGAGAATGGGAGTGTTTTTGCCAATCCTTGCAAGGGAGACAAGAACATGAGTACTCTCATGTATCGCCCGTTCAGCAGTTGGGCAAACAACAGTGAAGTAAGATGCTTTATCCATTGAAAATAAACTTTTCCATCTGGGGATGCGCTGCACCCTGCTTAATTCTATTACTTGTGAAGCCTGTGAGTAAATATCGCTTTAGTTAACATTTGTTACATGTTCAAATGTAGTGGTCTATGCGGTTTGAGGGAGAAGAAGTCAAAGTTGTTGCACTTGGAGTTCATTGGGTTGCAGCGATCACTAGTCTTAATTATCTTCGCATCTTTACTGAAGGTGGTTTGCAGGTTTGTCTTATAAACTGGTTGATTGCCATGATTGCAGTCTTCTGATTTTATGTAATGGAGCATGTTTGGTTGGGGTGGAGTGTAGTGGCGAGCAGAATTAGGAGAGTGTAGATCATATTTGTCCATCTGATATCTTCTGTTCATGTATTTTGCTTAAATTTAGAAGGAATAGAAGAAAAGGATGGAAACTTTAATTTGTATAATTTTGTGTACAACGGATCCATAGTTGATCTATTTACGTAAGTGGATGTATTTTTTATACTTTGTACCTCCAAATTGATTTCTAATGCCATCACGCAGTGTCAGCTGAGTAGCGTAGGTTTGGTCCGGAATTTCGATAACTTGTTGTTTTCATCTAACATCAAGAGTTTCACTCTATGATTTGCTGCGCAGAAGCATATTCTTTCCCTTGATGGTCCAGCAGTGACTGCATCAGGCTCCAAAAATCAGCTTGCAGTTGTCACTCATGCTTCTAGCTGTCTTCCTTCAAGTGATCAGGTCTATCCTTCTCTTTGTCACTACCTCTTTTCATTTGTTCCCAACTGACAGATACAAGCTTCATCCAGACTGCAAACATAACTTGCTTTCACGTAGACCTTATTGGCTGAAACAAATGATATATACCAGTATCTATGAACTTTGGAACTATTCCTAAACTACATTTCTTGGTTTGAACCATGCAGGTGCTTGAATTCCAGGTGTTTGATATACGTAATGGTACAAGGCCCTCGAGGGGGCGACTTCCATTATCTCCTGGTTCACATCTTATTTGGTTTGGGTTTAGCGAAGAAGGACTATTGAGTTCATATGATTCAAAGGTATCTACTACATTCATTGTCCGTGTTTAAGACTGAGTAAGTATATCTATCACTTCATTGCATCCAACAACTATGAGCTAATTTTGTAGGGTGTCTTGAGGGTTTTCACAAGCCAGTATGGCGGCAGTTGGCTCCCGCTTTTCAGGTTAAAAAACTCTTCTGTGAATGCAAAAACATGATCCTTCGTACCCTTGTTTTTTGCCTTGGAAGTAGAATATAATGTGTTGGTTTGTTTCCTGCAGTGCCAACAAAACAAAGAAGTCGGACGAAAACTACTGGGTTGTGGGCCTGAACGCAAACAAGTTATTCTGCATAGTTTGCAAGAGTACTGAAGTATTTCCTCAGGTAGACAGAAGATTGTTGCCTTGACTCCTGACTTCTGGTTATATAAGTACGTCGTAATCTCTATACTGAATCGTTTGCCTTTGTTCAGGTGATGCCCAAACCGATTCTCACGTTGCTGGATCTGTCGTTCCCCCTAGCATCTTCCGATCTGGGAGCAGATGTCCTTGAGAATGAATTTATCTTGAACAACCTGCATCTTTTTCAGGTTTCTTCTTTTGTACCTTCCTTCTTAGAATAGGCCATGCTTTTATCTATGCTTTGTTACACTTGGGATGATCAATTCATTGTTCTAGCAAGTTGCCAAACTTGTATTTACATGTGCTGTCTAAATCTTCTCTTCCCAATTTGATTTCTGGCAGATCCAGAAAAGAATAGAAGAAAGTTCATCTGACGACGGTAGGGACACCACCGAACTCGATGATGAAGCTTTCAGCACGGAGGCAGCTCAAGATAGATGTATCCTGAGACTCATTGCTTCCTGCTGCAACAGTAAGTTCACGAGAAATCTGGTTTCAGGGATAGGATTGAGTGGATTAAGGAAATAGTGATTGCATATGCATGCAACCAAGGATTACATTTCGACCTGCTGCAACCATTACGTCCGAGCTCTAAACTTGATGGTGGTTTGCTTGAACTTACAGGCGACAAACTCGTACGAGCCACTGAACTGGTGAAACTCCTGACGCTGGAGAAATCGATGAAAGGAGCAATCAAGCTCGTCACTGCTCTCAAGCTTCCTAACCTTGCAGACCGCTTCAACAGCATACTTGAGGTACATAGCTCGATCTCCTCGTCGTCTTCTTGGTGAACCAACTTTCAGGAGTTTGGTTCTCTCCACCTGGCAACCATTATTAATCATTAGGAGGTTTCCATGGATGTTGCAGGAACGAATGCTGATTGAAACCAAAGGAATGTCAGAGACAGCTGGTGTTGCGGTTAGCCAGGGTTCGGGTTTGGCACGAAATGGGACAGCAAGTGAGGTACCATCAGGGCCCAGCTGCATCCCATCTTCATCCACCACATTGTCAGCGCCTCGTTTCTTCAAGAAAGTGGTGAACAGAGGTGAACAGAAAGGGAGGAATGATCATAACCTCCAAACTGCGAGAGAAGTTCAGCCAGAAGTTGCATCGAGTGGGGGATCGACGGAGCTCAGAACAGCAGCAGCAGCAGGAACCCAGGAATTGAACGGTACATCCAATCCATTCTTGAAATCATCAAGCAATGGTCCAACCAAAGAAACAACGTCCCAGCGCCCTCCTTCCAACCCCTTTAAAAAGTCAGCAAAGTGAAGATGGTTGATCAACCACCTGTGGGCAAATTTGGTGTAGAGGCGCGCGAACGAAAGAGGGGGAGCTAAGAGATGGAATTCTTGAACAAGTTTTGGTCTTTTACTCAGCCCTTAGCTGATCGTGATTTCCTCAGTTGAATTTTGCAGGTCCATTGAAATGACTGGATCCCATCTTTGTACTAAGTTCTTTTTTAGGAGTTCAATCCACCCAAGTAGAAGTCAAGACTTTATGCAAACCTTAACTACTTGACCTACTGTGACGGTTACGAATCACAGGAGCAACAAACCTACCCAGATGGCTAGATGGAAAGCCATAGCCACTCTGCTCCAAATTGGTTTGGAAACCATGGAATCACATGCTCAAAGCAAAGAGCATGCAGAATAAAGCCGTACATTTACTGAAACAAAGTAGTAGCTTAACACAAGAGTAGTAGCACCAAAGAAGCACAAAAACATATTCCAAAACTCATGTCATTGCCAAGACAGGAACATAAACCAAAATGATAACACGATTGTAGCTCTCAAAACAAAATCTAAATACTCAGCTACTAATGTCATGGCTCTCTATTTAATAAACTTTAACAGCTCAAAGCTTCGGAAGAAGAATCAAGCTTCTGGTACGACATCCTCAAGGATGAGTGCTTTGGTTGGCTTTCCCAAAAGATCAGTGAACTCCTGGAATGGTGACTTGGTGAAACGAGTATCCTTCCAGAAATCAGGTGTCAAGAAACCATATGTCTTCAACAGGCAGTCAAATGTAGCCTGCAAAGTATCATTTACAGAAAAATGGGTTAAATTCAGCAAATGGATTCATTACATCATAATAGAAACAACAAGCAAGCAAACTGTGAGAACACGAGTTTAAGAGATTAATCCTAAACTACTAGGAGTACATAATAGCATAGAACTAATAGGGAACTAAACATTTGAGGGCCAATTCATAAACAATAGCATCAAATCCATTCAGGTTCCCCGCAAAGTACAGCCATCAAAGAAATCCCATCAAGCCACAGGAACCCAACACTGTTTAGAACCTCAGCATCATACCATCAAACAATAAAAGATTCCCAACATGAAAGATAAACACAGACTTATCATGGTCAATTAAGGGCCATACAAAGTGCAGTGATTGATTATCATGAAATGGCTTGCTGGGATTTCAAAACAGAGTGATTCATTATTATCAAATGCTACACTAAGCCTCTAGCATTCCCCATACCATAACACCCAACAAATTAATTAATACAACATTCATCCAAATTCAATCATTTCGACTAAAGCTGAGAAAAAATCCAAACCTTGACGAAGTTGCCAAGAGTCTTGGTAGACCCACGGGAGGAAGTGAACACATCTTCAATCCCAGCGAACTGAAGAACCTTCTTGGGCACCCTAGCAGCCACAATCCCAGCGCCACGAGGAGCCGGAACCATCCTGACGGTGACGGAACCACACTTTCCGGTCACCTTGCACGGCACAGTATGAGGCAGCCCGATCTTGTTCCCCCAGTAACCCCTCCTCACCGGAATCACAGACAGCTTCGCCAGAATGATGGCGCCACGAATGGCGGTAGCAACCTCCTTCGAGCACTTCACCCCGAGCCCGACATGGCCGTTCCCGTCGCCGACGACGACAAAGGCCTTGAACCTGGTCCTCTGACCGGCGCGAGTCTGCTTCTGGACAGGGGAGATCTTCATGACCTCGTCCTTCAGCACGCCGGGGCCAACGAGGGTATCGATGATCTGATACTCCTTGATCGGGAGCGAGTGGAGGTAGATTTGCTCCAGGGATTTGATTTTGCCCTCCCTCACCAGCCGGCCGAGCTTGGTGACTGGAACCCACTTCTCTTCCTCATCGCGACGCCCGCGGCGGCGGCCCCTGCCTCGGTCGCCACGTCCGCGGTCTCCGAAGCCTCTGCGTGGCGGTCTGTCTCCGGGAGCTCTGTCAGCCATGGTTGGTTTTTTTGCGTTGGAGAGAGTTAGGGTTTGAGGCGATAGCAGAGAGTGATGGAGGAAGCGGCGTTAAGGCGGGGATTAGGGTTTTTATAGTAGGAGATGAGTAGAGGGAGAATTCTACTCTAGGGTTTTGTGAATTTTGGGCCGAGGAAAGTTTGGGCAAAGGAGCGATGGCCTGTGGATTTTAGAGGTCTTAGGTTTGGGCTTGGACCGTCGGGCCCGTTTCATCGTGGACTGAATGAGAATGAAGGCTCGCGTAGTATGTGCCTGTGCTGTGTGCTGTTAAGCCCATGTTTTGAGCATGAGCTTGTGGAGGTTTACAGATTGAGGTATTGGTGGATATATGTTGGATTTTGTAATTGTTTGATAGGAACAACTTTGCTACTTTTGCTAATCTTACTCAATTGAAGTTAAATAATTAAGTGGTTGAATAAGATCATGAGAACTAAGAGTTTTGTTCGAATGTTGTTGATACGAACCATGTTTGACGGCAATACCATTATCATTGTCCATGTCGTATTCGATTTGGACCTTTTTATATAGTGATAATATGATAGATTCTGGATACTGCAAAAGTGATAGCGAAAACGAACAAGATGCAATTTACGTGGTATCCCCGATTGACGGGACTAGTCCACGGGGGAGTAATCACTCTCCGATTTAGGTTTTATTATTCTATTGCTTGTGGTGGCCGATGACCATTACAACCAGCACACGTACAAGGACTAGCTACATAGCAATGCATAGAGACGTGTGGATGTTTGGGCCTCGACCTGGTCAGCACGGCCCAATAATAATTCGATATAAACGAAAGCAAATAGTAACACAGACAACACAAGCTCAACAAAATATGTAGTCACTTATGCATCGTACGTTCTTCTATCGTACTCTGCCCACCCCTCTTTCACTCGCACCATAAAGGAAAACCACCTTACACGAACCTAGCTAGCTAAGTAAAACACCAGCATCGAACTCGAATCACCTTACCTCAAACTACCCTCTTGAGTTTAAAATTCGAATTCATTAATCAAACTAGCTATGAATTCACATTGTGTTCTTCACGGAGAATCTCTAGCCTCCAGTAAGTAGCTAGCTAGGAAGTACCTTCATCTTTGGGGAAACTTACGTGCATGAATGTGAACGGCAAGAGGAAGAAGCAACAGCACAGTGTGCTCGTGAACTCCATCATAGACAAGGAAAACGCTACCATAAACGCTATCCCTTCTGTTTCCATGGAGGAAACTATGACTAAAATGATATGGTATTCAAAGTTACAAACACAAGTAAAAGATAACACGAATTTGATAACACACTCCTTATCGAGTTGAATTTTCATGAAATATATATATATATAATCTGCCCTCGTAAATTTGTCTGGCATTCATGAGAGTCGAAATACTCATAATTCATAAACGTATGCATCAAGATCTCTTTTTATATAATAAAAAAAAAACAACAACCGCATTCTCATCTCATCAAATTGAGCCATTCGTAGTCAATTTATCGCTAAAAAATTACATATCGCTTATGGAGTTATGGCAGAGCACCTCACATAAACTTCCTCAACTTTTGAATATGATTATAAATCTATACGAAGTTTGTGATAAATTTGAAAATTATAGTAATTAGTAATAATAATCACGGTTCAAATACTTTTTTTTTTTTCCCTCAACCCTCAACTCAAAGTTCTGGCTTCATATTTCATCATGGTTGCTTAAACTTATTCTATCAAGAATCACATCCTACTTCCTAGTAATCCCCGTCCAGTAAACTTTTAATGGGAAGATAGGGCTGGGCCGAAGGGGAATGAGAATTTTTTAAAGAGGGCCGGGAGTGGTCCAACTCGAACGAGGACGATGGGGGCCCACGTTATCTAAACCTACACCAGAGTCCGTAGTAAAATGTGTTGCGATGGGGAAAATATTCTTTCCAAATTATTGCTTTTGCTTGGATGTGTCACATATGGATGAACAAAGACAAAGAAAGAAGCATGGCCACAATGTGTTTGAGATTGAAATATTCTTCCAAATTTTGTACTCATAGAGACTTGCGATTTGAATGATCATTATCTCTATGTGTGTGGCTAAGTAGTTTAAGTATGGAGCGAATTAAGCTATCCACACCAATTGGGTAATTCTCGCAAGTACGGGCTAGTTACGTTGTTTGTTCGTTCGCTAAGGTCAAGCGTGCAATCGTTATTTGAGTTTGAGCAGGGCTCATCCAAACTCTCGTTTGTGTGCTCGTCGTGCTTGTCACAAAGTGAAAACGAGCTAGTTTTGTATAACGTGCTTTTTTCGATATTGTTCAAGAAACAAAGATCAAATTTGATAACTGTCTAGTTCATGCTGACTGTGTTTTACCTTTACTTTGGTTGGTGTTGTGGGTGCACATTGTTGAGACAACATGGGTGATCCCACATGAACTAATTGCATGCTTGCAACATTATCGATCTGCCCTTGAGTTTGTATTTCATTCAGGCAATCCCTCATAATTAGTTGCGAAGTTCTTATATCTTTCAATCACGTCTGTTTTTTTTCTTTCTTGTATCACTACATGTATGTTCGTACCGTCTATCAAGTACGAGACTTCCAGACTTAGTACAAGTTGGCCAACATCTCAAGGGATCATATGCTCTAGGTTGGATGCATATGGACCATACTTTGCCTTTTAGAGGTCACTCAATTGCCACAACAATAACCTAGCTAGTGTTTCAAACTAGTTTGAATATTTCTTGTTTTAGTTTTGGGTTTTAGGGTTTGAATTTCCCATTGTTGCTTTCCCCACGGGGTATGGCAATTGGCAAGTAGCCACTAGCCATCCCCATGATAACCATTATATTGGATATATGCGCTCCCCCATCAATCTTATTTGTTCCTACAAATATATAAACATTTTAATTATTGTTTCCTCTTTTTTTTTTTTAATTATGCCAATACTATTGAATCATAATTAAGTACACATCCGATTCCAATGCAAAGGAGGGTATGGAGACAAGACAAAATCATGTCTTGTATTTTGTTGTATAGTTGCCAACAATGCATATGCATGTATATGTGTAAAAATTATTTAATCGATTTTAAATTCTATGAAAATTGCGTTGCAACATTATATATGCAAGGACAACATTGAGTTGAGTGATGGTTGGAGATTTGATGCAATTGTGGTTACATATGGGTTGTGCTCAACGTGGGTTTCTTGTCAATAAATACAAATGAATAGAGACAAAAATCCTCCATCTCAAAACTTTGTAAACTACATATGGATGTGTTATTCGAAAACCAAAATCGATATTGTTTCATAATCACTGGTTGGCTTGATTTAAATTGGATGGGTTATTTTGAAAACTAAAGATCGATACTATTTCGTAGTCACTAGTTAGCTTGATTTAAATTGTGGGTCTAGCATTGTAGCTAAAGTCGTTTATCGCGACAGTTTGATGTCGATATTATAGTTACTTCAATCATAACTCTTACGATGGGTAGAGAGTATATGTTGAGACAAACAGAAAGGTCGTACTATGTACCAAATTAGCCACCCAACAAATATGTACAATTGGGTATGTTATTATAATTTTTAATCAAAGCAAATTGGAAGTGGTCCATTATAATATATAGTAGGTGGGTGTTCGAAGTTCAAATAATTACCAACATTTTGGATCGGTTTTGGTGCAATACATGACATACATATATATGTAACATGTCACTCCATGCATGCATGTTATTCTGTAATATATTATATAAATAATGACTCTAGTATAATTAATCAAATTAAGATGCCTGTTTTGTCTTTTAAGCTAGTGTTGTCTGGTTAACATTATGTATAGGACGATATTATAATTTAGGAATCAGCCAAACCAATTCAAGTTCACCCAAGGACAGTAACTAGCCAGCTATTTGTTATAGTAGTAACGCATGTTAAATTAATTTCTCCTCATTTGAATTATCGAATTGGAAAATCAATGCATAAATAAAACAGAACCCTTGAAGAATGAATTGGGTTTGTTATCTTCAAATTTTATCGAGATATAGACGAGAAAAATGGCGAAAAACGGATTGAGAACACTAACCAAAACGTTTTTTTTATCGTACCATCTCGAACATTATAGAAAATATCAATAATGACTTACACCATACTTATATACGTACTACAACCCTAAAGATCCTAATGAAGCGCAACTATACAAGTAAAGAAATGTTACATAATTTATGCTGAACCGTACAAAGTTAACATGGAGGTCCTGTAAACTAATCCATCTTCTAAAAATTAAACATCACTCCACCTATCAGGAAAAAAAAGAAGAAGTTAAAGGTACATGCCTTTTACTTTTCGTAACTAGTTTCATACTACCCTATTTTAACAAACAAGTTCATGTATCGTGAGTATGAGACAACAGTAAGTCCTTAACGAGTCTTGAACCTAGAAAAGAAAACGTTCGAGAATCGTCAGACATATAAAGGTGTGTGTTCAGATGATCAAATGAAGAAGTATAAGAGTGGAGATAACATTTGACCAAATATTATAAAAATAGGGGCAAGGTAGAGAGAAAAAAGCTTCTTTGGGTTTAGGGCTGGGGTGGTCTCTTCCTTGTGGATTGGTGTGCTGTTTCCATTGGGAAAACTGCTACGTGAATATCAAAGAGAGAATCAGAGCTCTTGTAGAGAAGAAGAAGAAGACCCAATTGAAGAAGAAAGAAAGAAAGAAAAGCCAGCTTCTTAATAATTTACAAATTAGGGTTTTTGTTTCTTCATAATTAGAACCAACCGACAGAGTGTGTCAGATTGGAGACTGAAGAAGGAAAGGGCAGGGGAATTAGTTTTGTCAGCTAATTAGGGTTTTGTTGGAAATGTAACAAAAAAAGTTAAAAACGCCCAATTAACAGAAACCAAGTAACCAACGAGGAAAGAAGAAGAATCAAAATCCTAGTCAGTCATCAGTCAGTAATAATAATAATAATTATTATTATTATTATTAAACAATTATTATTACTATGAATTACTATTAAACAATGACCAAACATTTGAACTTTAACGGCACGCAGGTTGAATTCAATAACCCTGTTGGTAATTATTAGTTAATTAATTAAAATTGTTTGATACTATTGGTCTTGTAATGCACAACTGTTTATATAGTAATCATGCTTCAAAGAGAGACGTTGGATTAGTACCTTGGCAAGCATTTGAATGAGATTTAGGGTTGAAGTTGACTATTTTGGGTTTGATTTCAGGTTTAAGTTGCATAATATTGACTATCGGAAATCACGATGGCACTTGACAATGTGAGATTTACGACTTTTTTTTGGTTGAAAATGATTAAATACATGATTATATTCGACAAACATTTAATACGCGTGATATATGTCTCTTTTCTTCTCAAATGTCCTTCACAAACTCCCATTTAAATAAACTTTTTACCTCTCAAAGAGAAATTACACTTTTCATCTCTCAAATTAAATTTCATTACAATCGCGGATGAACAAAAGAAAGTGCCAGTAACCTTTTCGTCTCGCACTTGCCTATGAAAGCTACAAACAACCACTCCATATGTTTTTGACAAGAGGACATTGCATTTCCATTTCATTGTTGCAAAAGTCAAGAGTTACAGAAGGGGGGATACAACGTCAAGAATCTGGACCCATTCAGTAGGCAAAGTATTCTTGGCACAAGACCTAGCTACCCAGTTTGCCATTGAGTTGCTCTTGCGACCAATGTGCTTGATCCGAATCATCGGGTTGTTATCCAGTGTTTGCTTGATACTTCCAATCCAAACTGCCGCTCGCCAAGGCCATGCCGTCGGTTGCTCGCTGAGCGCTTTAACAAGAGGCAAGCAGTCCGAGTGAACAAGGCATGGAGAAAGAAAAACTCCAAATGTGGCTACCTATAATTCTGAGACAAAGATTCCATCATCACTGTGAATTTCCAATTGTATTATTATTTATTTAATTAGAGAAGTAAAACCAGGGGCAGCAATTTGAGATACTCTAATTAAGAACTAACCCCTCCTTGATACGTGCAATATCTTGCGACCTTGATCCTTGTAAATGTTTTTCCCCTAACGTAAACTTGATTTTCACTCATAATTAAATTGTGTTGTCGTGCAAAACAATTTCAAAACTCTGGCCACTAATTCAACCAAGTTGATTGAGCGATGCAATTATTATTATTTTTTGTACTATATATATATATATTCCTCTATTATCATTCATAAAAATGCATTCTACAAATCTTAATATCAGCGACGAAGCCAGAAATCTAAACGAGGGGAGGCAGGAGGCTGACTGTGAATCGTGGTAATTTGAGAAGCGACTAAGCCTTTCGAGACTAGTCTATTTTCTAAATTAGTACAAATTTTACATGTAATTTTACTTATATTTCAAAGTTGAGAGAACTACAACCACTTCGGGATAAGTGGATATAAGCTAGCTCCGCCACTAACTAATATTACAATGAATATATATATCGAGATGAATATGGGGGAAAAAACGTCATTTGTGACTAACAGGCTCTTGTAGTTTCAGTCTCCCTTTTTTGACCATGACGCGGGGAGTTAAGACCGCCGGCCGGTTACCCTGTTTTACCGGATTCAAAAATTATGAGCTAAGCTCCTCCAAGGCTCCCAAAATACTTTATGATCATATCATCATTCCACTCCAATCCATCTTAGTGCTACAAAACAATGATGTCCAATTCAATCAAATCCACGATTCAAAAATCTTTTGATTTGGACATGTTAAATTGAAGTGGGTCAGGATTATTGTCAAGGAAAAAACATGACAAAATGGCCGTGTTACCACATTCTTAAATTTGTAAATCTCCCTTAATTAGCATGAAATATCTTCTTAAACCGAATGGTACTCGAGGTACTATTAAGGTGTGTTCTCGCACGAATCGCGTGTTCAACCTCGTAGGACTTACTGTACGGCCCTCTTCATCTAGTACTTGAAAACGGTTCTTCAGACCTCAAACACATCATAGTACGTCTAGTACCGAAGTCCCGACTCATGACAACTCGAAATGATGGCAATAATCCCAGGTGGTGGGGAGTCTTCTATTGGCGAGAGAGTTAACAACACGATTGCCGGCCTTCACGAGACACACGGTTGATGCGAACCACCCAAATCTCTTTAGAGGATAGAACGAACATCACTTATCATATTTCTATACATGTGATCCTCCGCGTCGCTCTTGGTGATAATGTTGACAGTCGTCAAAGAATCCGTTTGCAACTCCATGCTCTTCGGAGGATACCATCGTTAGTGCTTTTTTTTTTTTTTGTAATCAGTGAATATCATCTATAAGGATTATTAGTCAATAATGTGGGTTGATTCACCTTACTTCACCAGATAGTTACAAACTTACGGTGACCGAAATTTACTGTACTTTCAACGAATGATCTTTCGTCATACAAAAAACTAACTACATACAACATTAATCAAGCTCTCCATATCAAAGTAAAGTTTTTTTTTTTAAAAAAGTTGCATTCAACTCCCCATTTCAGTACAAACACATTAAACAAACTGATCAGAAACTGAGAAACTCAGAAGCATCTCATGTCACCTCACTGTTCTTTGTAGCTTTATAGCTCTTCTATAGCTAATCAAAACCATGGTGGGGGTAAAAAAACAAAGAGGGAATTCTGTTTTGGCCCTTACCATTTTGGGGAGGCTGGTCTGGGTTGTTTGGATGTATCAGTATTCAGTACTTACTGTCCAATAGAAATTAGGAAACTAAACAATGAAATTTAATACTCTCTGTTAAAAGGGGTTCTGTGTAAGGTTGTGGGGAATCATGAAATGAAGTGAAGTGGTGAGGCAGAATGGTTATGAGAAGGTCTAGTACACTGCATCATCCACCATTAATAACCTACACATTACATGTCCTTTGTTTTGTGGCAACAAGTTGGAATGAGAAAGATGAGTCGGGATAGAAGTAGCGAAACAACGGACAGTGAATAGCGAAAAATTTGAATTCGGTTCTCTCTTTAGTGACGTTGTTTGGTACGAAGTTTGAATTTGTGGTAGATTAGGAGTTTCCATCCGTCTGTTTGTATTATGTAGGATTCGTATGATTGAATCTTGTCGTTTCTTTCAAATAGGTCGAAATATGGATTAGAAACTAGACCAGAAGGTCATTGACAGTGCAATTATGAAAATTTACCTCATTAAGAACTTTCACTAAGAAGAATTACATTGAAAAGTAACAATAATTTCTCCTAACAGGGCCGAAAATGAAATTTGTTCCAAATGGTAGTGAAAGGAGGAAATCGTACAAAAATCCGATACAACCCTTTATCTCTTTTTCTTCTTTTTTCCTTCACGATGTTCTTGTTTTAACCTTGGTTTTGAAATGTGTTTGATGTTCTTTATCTATTAAGGTCATACTAGTTTCTAACTCCATCCATTTTCGAGTTGCAAATCAATACTCTAGTTAGTAATCAAATTAACATGTCTACTTGAAAAAAACTATAACATAAAAATAAACATATGTTCCTTCAAAACATCCGATAAAATTGGATCAAGAAACACATCTAACATTTGCAACACTCTTATTAGAAGCATACATATTTTAGCAAACATTATAAAGAAGGAAAGACACAGAACACCAAAAACAGAGTCTCACTCAAACAACCAGCTTTCATTTGAAAACCTCTGTTCCTTTCACATACCCGAGGTTGCACGCCTTTGGCCTTTACCTCTCCCTCTCTCTCTCTCTCTCTCTCTCTCTCTCTCTCTCTCTCTCTCTCTCTCTCTCTCTCTCTCTCTCTCTCTCTCTCTCTCCCACTTGACAACCATAAAAGCCTCTCTCTCCCAAGTCCAACTTTCCATTGCCCAATTAAGCCCCAGAGAAAGAAACCAAAGCCAGAGAAAGATCGAAACTTTGATTGCCCTTGCCCCCTTCTTCTTCTCCCCCGACCTCCAAACCAGCAGAAAAAAGAAGACTTTTGGTTTTGGCATTGTCGTCCTTATACGACCTCCAAAAAAACCCACCTTCCTTTCAATTCGTTGCTGGCTTTTCAATACCCAGAAAAAAGGAGAAGCCAATAGGAAGAATGTGGTTCAGATTCTTCTGTTAAGGGTATGTTTGTTTGCTTGCTGTTCTGTTTTCACCTAAGCCCATTTCCCCTTGTGAATTTTTTTCGAATCAGAGAGGGGAAAGTGAAGTGGATACCTCCTCTGACGCACAGTCTCACTTCCCTTTCAAACAAAAAAGGAAAGAGGGAAAACAAAAAATTTGACTGTCACTGATTCAGTCCTCGCTCCACCATCCACAAGACCACAACAACAGCTCTCTGTTCTGTACCCAACAAACTCTCTGCAAAAAAAATTTCCCCTTCTTCCTTCCTTTGTCCTTATTCCCAATTCTTCCTTCCCATTTCTCTGTGATTTCAAACCCCAGAAAGAGATTAGATACCCGCTTGCTTGTTCTTCTTATCCCCACATGTGCTCTGTTCTTCACTGTTCTTCTTCTCTCCTCCAGAGACTCTGTTTTTAAGTTTGAGCTGAAAAGAATGGAGAAACCTTCAACGATAACTACGTTAACCACTAGAAGGTCGAAGTGGAAATACACACAGCCACCGCCGACCCCGAGAATCCTGCACCTGCCTCGGAGGCCTCTTCGCCGGAAAGTTGCACCGCCGGCTCCGGCGCCATCGAAATCGAAGTTGGACAGGAGAGGGAAGCTGGAGTCTCTGTTTGATCAGGAAAGGGAGTTCTCCAGAGGAGCTCTGCCAATTCTAATGGTGAGGGATGAAGTAGTGGGAATGGAGAAGAGGAGGGAGAGGGTTGAAGAGAGAGATAGCGGGGCGACGGCGGCGGTGGTGGTGGAGGATGAGAAGTGGAGGCTTCAGGCGGAGATGCTGAGGGCAGAGTGTAATGTGCTGAGGATGGAAAAGGAGATTGCTTTGAAGAAAGTGGAGAGGAGGAAGGTTAGGATGCAGAGGACTCTGCAGTCTGCTGTTCAAACTCTGCTCTCTGTAAGTCTCCCTCTCTCTCACTCTCTTCTAGCTCTGTTTAGGAAAGTGAGAAAGTTTGGAACTTTGGGAGTGATCGGTTTGTATTATTTTTCCTTTTTTTAAAAACAGGGGAGGGAAAGGATTAGCAATGGGGAGAGCGGAACAATTGAATTGGAAGAAGAAATTTTGCATTTGGCAGAGAAGATTGAGAAGCTACAGAGCAAATCATGTACAAGGAGCAAAGAATCCAACTCTAATGGTGCTATCAAGAGCAGCAACTTCGACAAGCGAATTGCGCAGATTCAGGAAATGGCGGAAGCGAGCTTGTCTATCAGAAGCACTGATGCGGATTTCGTCTCACAAGCAAACTGCAATGTATATAAGTTCAACTCTGAAACCAGAACCTTTTTCTTTTGTGAACATTCTTTGGTGTTAGTTTGTTTGATTGTTCCTTGTATTGATTAAAAGGTCGTGCAGATTGAGATACTGAGGAGGAAAATGGAACGATTATCGAGAGGGACATTGTTAGAGAGGATGGAAGACGAGTATGGATCGATGCTTTCGACAGCCAGCAACTCTGCAGCCAGCTCTGCCTCCAATTCCAGGAGGATTGAGCTTACTGAAATGGCCATGGCTTCTGTTAGACATCCGAACAAGGTGAAATTTCTCATCACATATGTTAGACATCCATGTTTTCTGCAATCCTTGGTACGAAACTGGCCACCGAAGCGTCATAGATTTTGAATTATGGGAATTTGCAAACATTGCAGGAGAAGAAGAGCAGGGAAGAACAGCAGCAGCAGCAGCAAGCATGTACAGGAAGCTGCAAGGCGATCGTAAGGAGAGTGATGGAGCAAGTTAGAGCCGAGACAGAGCAATGGTCGCAAATGCAAGCAATGCTGGGGCAGGTTAGGGACGAGATGGAAGGGCTTCAAGCTTCGAGACAGTTCTGGGAAGATAGAGCACTCGACGCTGATTCCAAGCTCCAGTCTCTACATTTATCTGTAAGCAAAAACAAACACCGATCTCCTCTGAATTCTGGCAGGAAAAAGCTGTTTAACTAACTAAGCTTCTTTTGTTCGTTGGCAAAACAGGAACAAGAGTGGAGACAAAAAGCTGGTTGCTTGGAGGACAGATCGAAGGAGCTCGAAGAGCAAGTTTCCGAGCTTCAGAAGGAGATCGAGAGGCTAAAGAAGGAAACAACTAGAGATAACAGAGCCATCGGACGAAGAAATTTACCATTACAAACTCCCAGTGAGACAGAGAAGCGAGTTCTGGTATGTCGGATGAAGGAGAATCGACACCACGAGCAACAGCAATTCAGACTGAAGGACGCATTGAGAGAAGAGAGAAGGAAGTCGATTTCAGCCGGTATTGGTGGTGGACTCAAGAGATCACCATTCAAAGATGTTGGCAACTCAGTACCATTGCCATTGCCAAAGCAACCGTTGTGGCTGTAGAAAACCTTGCAAATGAAAGTCTTTTCTTTTCCATATGTGCATATACAAAAAGAAGATTAGTATTAGTAGAGAGCTTTCTTTCTCTTCCCGAGACCAATAACACAACATGTCAATGAGAAAACCAGTTTGCTCTCTTCTAAACAGGAGACTTTACAACCGACATTATGCAGAAACGAAATCAAATCGAAATATCAAAGCCGAATAATAACATAGTTAAAAATTAATCCATATCGATCCGGAAAAAAAAAACCGAGAGAGTTTTCCTAAGTATTTACATATAGGTAGAACTTAGCTTGGTAATATCACAAGCTCCAAAGGTTAGGCTGGGAGCAGAGCTGTCCCATGTTGTCATTGCAAGAGAAAGAGAACTACTAGCACCGTGGTGCTGTTGTGGATGGCTAGTCAAGTGGTCATCGACGGCCACAACATGATCATCGAGATGATGATCATAGCTGATCAACTGTCCATGCGACGGTCCCCAGAAGTCTTCGATTAGGCTCAAGTCATCGTCAGCAAATGTTTGTTGCAGAGGATAATGGATTCTTCCGAAGTGACCGACATTCATCTCCATATGTGTCTGGTTAGCGTAGTGAGTTGTTACCATCGACAAATTATCTACGGTCGTTGGGGGATCGTGGACGGTCTGGCCAACGATCGTAGCATCCCGAGGCTCGTCATGATCAGCAGTACCATCAACATTGTCGGGCGAGAAGTCGCCTGCCAAGTCTAATTCCCTCTGTCGAGGAGTTCGTCTAAGACCGCCATTGCCAACTTTCTTGTAAATTCTGCACAGCACGTAGTCATCCAACTGCACAAAATGCAGACCAGAGAAATGGATCATCAGCACATCTTCACAAATTTGGTCAAATTGTATAATCAAGTAGCCGTTGGAGTAAACTGCTACTTGTTCTAATTAAATTACTTATGAGATTCTAGGTAAACAAGATGATCAAACATAAGATCCAATCAAACAAAGGTAAATCACTACAAAAATGCAGTAATCAAGTAATTCCCCTCATCAACACAAGTCCTTAGCACGTGTTCATATTACCAAGAGACAAAAAGTTTTACCACGTGGTTGGAATTACTTTTCGAGATTCCGTACATAATCTATTGTTTATAGAACGTACCTCTATGTTTCAGCCTTCCAAATTGGTAAAAATAACATAACCAATCAATCATTTACCTTAATAACCATACAGAACAATCTAACTATTTTCTCCATTTCTATATTAAAAAAAATGTGTTCTTATTTGTAGGAAGCAATCGGAATTACGTACTAAACATACAAGCAAAATCGCGAATTGTTTTTCTAGTATTACAAATAAATTCTCATGTCGGCCTCAAGATTCGAACACACAATTACTTACCCTCATGTCATGGGCTCCGCCGTTGTCAGCTCGCGGACGCGGCGCGGGTTGCTCCTCGACGCGATACTCGTGCATGATCCAGTTGGTCTTGATCCCTCTCGGCGGCTTCCCTCTGTAGAAGACCAGAGCCTTCTTGTACCCAACCTTCGCCCCGCTCGCCTTCCTAACCGGCTTGTCCGCTCCGGTCGCCTTCCAGTACCCGTCTCCCGCCGCCCTGTTGGGCCGCTTCCCGTGCTTGTACTTCCTGTCCCTCGGCGTGAAGAAGTACCACTCATTCTCCCCGCAGTTCCTGTACTTCTCTGGTTTTTCCAAACGATACCAAAATTTGGTTCAGACATTTCGTCGAACACTTGAACCGCAACAAAAAAAAAAACGACATTGTGAATTTTTTTACCGGCCAGTTCCTCGGGGTTGTACTTGTAGAGATTGACCTCCACGATCTTGTTCAACGGGACGGGCTGGCCGAGCACCTTCCTGGCGAGGTAGTGCTCGACGAGCTCGTCGTCGTACGGGTTGAACCGGTAGCCGGGAGGGAACGAGTCGAAGTATTCGTGATCGATGAAATTGACATCCTCCTCCAGCTCCCCGCCGCCTTCGTCCTTGGGAAGCCGAAGCTCCACCGTCGCCGGGAGAGGTGAAAAGCTCTCCGCCGACGACGAACGGGTGAGTTCGGTGAGGGAGGACGGTGGCGACAGGGCTTCTTCCATGATCGGAGAGAGTTTGAATTGTGGTGGGAGAGGTACGTAGTCAGGAGTTTAACGTATTGGTTTAGGTCACGGTTTCTACAATATTTATATATTTTCACAATGAAAAATATTTCTCCTGAATTCAAAATTCTATTTGGATAACTCTTGAATTTTTTTTATATATATATGTTAATCCGTCTTCAAATCGAAGTAAATCTCTGGTGATAACCACCAAAACATAATTGGTTGAGATGTTTTATTTAGATAAATAAACGATGCTTAGGTTACATAATTATTATAGGAATTAATAGTAGCCAACTAGCCATGCCATGCACGTAACGTAGTTTAAAGGGAACGAACTTCATTGTAAGCCATGCATGCACGTTCCAGCCGCCGGCGAGATCAACTGAACCGTCGGCGGGGAGTTTAATTAATCAAGGGACCTAATCAAATTTCTTGGAATTAGTATACTCTACTAGTCAATCAATCTCTCACAAAAGAGAGAGAGAGAGAGAGAGAGAGAGAGAGAGAGAGAGAGAGGAGAGAAGAAGAAAAAAAACCAAGATTTGTCTAATAAGTTTCTCTCTTGTCACTAACGAAAGGTCGATCACCATCCTCTCCACTCGCAGGTTTCGAAATCGAAACCCGCGAGTGTTGCAGCCGCTGTAATGAGCGACACTCAGCACCGAAAAAAACGAGAGATTGAACGAATGTTGTGCGCTCCTCTCTCTCTCGTTCTTGGTGGAAGAAAGACGAAGTAATAATGTATGAGATCAAGAACGCAATTTGAGAGAGAAGGCAAAAAGGTCTAATTCGAGGTCCCGAAGGGATCTTATAATGATGGAACGAAACCTATAGGGGCGCGGTCTCTGTTAATAATTGCCATGCACGTTTCTTTTGTTAAATTAGCAGGTTCGTATAATTTGTTTTACGTCGGCGAGACTAGTGCGCGCAGCAAATCACTCAACCGCCTTGACTAGATTTTTCCACCTTTGATTTTTTCCCATCCAGGAAACCGAAAGGGTAAAAGAAAGAGGGAGGAGGGGTCAAACTGAAAATACCAATTAATTTGTTCGAGGTGGGTTGGATAAGAATGAGAATTCGTTTAGCTCATTTGATTTAATTGTCATGTTTTATGTAATAGATATTGGGTCGGACTCAAATTGACCATATGTAATTTTAATAATTTTTATTTATTTTGGTTTAGATTTGAATGGACTCCAATTTGTGTCGATTCTTTTTGCTCATATCCAAATATATATATATTTAAAACCAGATGATTGTACACACAAAAGACAATATCGACCATCTAATTAACTGTCTTCAACGTGGTTAAGATGCTTACTAGAAGGGCGGGGAAAGGGGAAACGAGTGTCGTCCCTGGGATTCAAACTTGGGAGCTCCAGGCTGAAAATCAGAGATACGATCACTCAGCCACGACCTCGTTCGCACGTAGCTACTCCTTTAATGTTTGTGTTTCCACCTTTTCGGTTGTTTCATAATAAAAAAATTTGCATGTATCCATATTCATTTGAGTACCCAACACCATGTGTCCAATTTAAATCCAAACTAAAATAAAATTTTGAATATAAAATCTACTTATAAACAAAATTATCCATAAATAAAATGAGTTTAGGCAATATTGGATTTTTTTGTACATTCTAATTTTGGATTGACTATTGAGATTATTATATACCACTAATAATATATCTTGACCCGTCGGCAAGGTTGTCAACTCGCGGGTCGACCCACTTTGACCCTGGCCCGGTGAGAAAAATGGGCCGCACGCACCCGCCGGGTCGACCGGTACAAGGTACCGGGTTGGAGGTCAAATTGTGTCATTTTTTTCTTTGTTTTGCGAAATGCGCCTATTTTCCGATTTTTCTTTTCGCCTAACTCAATCTTTGGAATCCTAAGTTGAACATTTGAATATTAATGTTATATAAGTGTGTGTGAATTTTCACTATATGTTGAATCTAAGTACGAAATGTTATTTTGGTGTAATATTATATGTTATAACTTATATGTTAGATGAGATTTGATATAATTTATCAGGATAAGTACAATATAATGACGCTTTTCATATTTCCGAGCTAAACCGGGTTAAAACGGGTGACCCATTAACCTTTGACCCACTAGCTCAACCGGGTCCGGGTCAACCCGCGGGTTGACAACCTTGCCCGTCGGACTTTTCACTTTTGGGCTGAAACTATCTCATTCGAAACCTTCCCGCGCTTTCAGTTTCAAACTGGGCCCCATGTTATATGGGCCAGGAGGGAATATAACAATTTTGCGCGGGGTTCAACCGGTAGCAGTATTGTTTGCGCCATTGGTTCGAGATAACGGTCTCGACCACGACTCAGTTTCCAATTCATTCTAACCAACTCCTAACAATAAATTGAATTGGTAGGAAATCGGACCTAATCATTCGATTTAAGTCGATTCGAACTTCGAAGTTTCGAACTCATTGCGTCATAGTAGCCTATCTATTCAGCCAAGAGTGTACTGATCAAGAGAGGAAGAAGAAGCACAAAGCAGGAGGACTAGTTGATATGATCAAGCCGCAGAATCCTGATAGTAGTAGTAACGACTAACGAACAGACGACATCATCAGAAGAAACAGAGAGCTACAACAATGACTCCTACACGTACAAAGGTAAAAAACTCCTGAAGCTAAGGCCAGAGATTTCCAGACAAGTTCCAGAGGATCTCTTCATTTTATTTGATTTGGCATTCTAGCTGGCTGGATAGTAAGGGTAAGAACTGAGAAGAGGGGAGAGAGAGCTCTCTCACAAGTCGACAAACCCTTTCTCCTTCAAGCTTTCCACCGTCTCCTTGAGACTCACCTCCAACGGGATGAACTCGATCCCCAGAGATTTCGCCTTTTCCTTGGAGACTTGATACGTCGGAACGTAAGGCTTGTCATCCGCACACCTGTAGAGAAGAGAGTAAGAATAATAATGTTAAGAGGGTTTGGTTCTTCGGTGAGTGATGAATGATGATCAGAAGGTTGAGATAATTAAGGGAATGGGGACTCACTTTTCTGGGAGTTGGACGCCAGGGTAGAGCTTCTTCAAGGTGTTCACCACTTCGGAGTAGTGAGCAACTTTCTCAACCAAGCAGTATCTTCCGTTAGCGGATGGAATCTCGAACGCCTTGATGTGTGCCTCGGCCACATCTTTCACGTGTACCCAACCGAACGTTGCGTTTGGGAACGTTTGAGCTCCTGCATTTCCATTAGATGTGAGAAGCAAGATCAAATACGCTATTCAACTCCAGATAAACCGATGTCGTTTTGTTTCGGTTCATCTCTTGGTGTGATAGAAATCTTTCTAAAGCATGAGTTCCATTATCTTTAGCACTACCTTTCATTATGCTTAGAACAGCTGCAGCACTTGTGTTAAGAGTTGGCTGCAACAGTGGTCCGATGACCATTGCAGGGTTTATGGTGACCATGTCCATGCCTTTCTCCTTGGCAAGCTTCCACGCAGCATCCTCAGCTAGTGTCTTCGAGACCACATACCAAAGCTAAAAGTAGAAGGAAAAGAAAAGAATTCATTACTATCAAACCCACACAATGCTTGGGAAAGGAGATTCTCAAAGGCACTAAATGGATCTCTTCCACGGAACCAATTGGGCAGGAAACATTCATTGGAGGCAATCAGTACTACCCAAAATGGAAAACCTTCAAGAGATAGACCAGTAAGGGAACATAAAAGGATAGCCAGAGCATCTTCCACACAAACAATTTCTAGTCACCCGATGGGAACGAGGAAGATGGCTTCCTTCAAATCTAGCAGGCACTGATACATCATCTAACCTTAGCTGTTTTCTAACCGATCAGAAACGTAAACACAACAATGTGCGACATCTAAATTCTCTCACAAGAAGGGGCCATACACTTTCAACATTCATATCCAGCAATCAACTAATACTCACTGCCACCCAGAAGCCATTACTATTTCTTCCAACAGTTCCAAGAGGAACATACACATGCAGTGTCTACCTACAGAAGAAACAGTGCTCCTAGATAAAGATTTATCACCAACACACACTGAATTCAGGTAAATTCTTGCTGGGAAGACACATAGGATACAAACCACCCACCTTAGTTTCCCTGCAGAAGTCCGGGTTAGAAAACCACGTCTCATCAAGTACAACTTCCGGCGTCCGTGGCTTGCCGTTGTAAGCCACCGCTGCAATCGAAGACGTCAGGACAACTCGCTTGATCGACGGCGTCTTAGCACAAGAATTGAGAACATTCAGCGTTCCTTTCACCGCCGGATCAATCAATTCTTTCTGCAATAAAGAAACAAAATTCAGAAACTCTCACAACCTAAAAACTCAACTACCAGTCTACCACAGAACAACAAGATCGAACCTAACAGTCATCAAAGGGAGGAAGAAAAAAAAAAAATCAGAAAGCAGAGAAATCCAACCTGAGGATCCTGGACGTCGTGGTAGAAAGGCGAAGCGGTGTGGAAGACGCCGTCGCAGCCCTGGACGACGGAATCGAACGAGCCTTCCTCGAGCAAGTTCGCCTTGAACAGCTGGAGCCGCTCGGAAGCTCCGTCGAGCGCGCGGAGGTGCTCGGTCTTCCTCGGATCGTCTGCAAACAAACAAACCGCCGCGAGCGGTGGTGAGAAAAGGGGGGGAAAACGGAAAAGAGCGACGAAATGGAGAGGGAAATGATGAGGAAAACTGACTTGGATCGCGGACGGAGGCCCTGACGGTGTAGCCGCGGGAGAGGAGGAGCTTGACGAGCCAGGAGGCGATGTAGCCGGAGGCTCCGGTGACGCAGACGGTTTTCCCGGCTCCGGTGGACATTGATCGGCGTCTGTTCCTCTCTTATCCTGTGTGGGAAGGCGAGATCTGATGAGGGACTGACGGGTGTTCGTTTGGGTTTTTTTATAGCTCGTCTCGCTCCGTTTGTACGGAACGGTGGTCTTTGTCGCGACGGAGGTGGGATTTTTGTCTGGGCCCGCCGGCTGCTACTGGGCCCACGAGCAGGTCCATGATGTTCTGTCTATATTTGGGTTAATTTACATTTCGGGCCCGGTGAAGGCTTTGCCGTCTACCTTTGTTTCAGTTTTTTGTTTGGCCTCTTGCTTGTTCTCGTAGGAAATTGGAATCCGTTTCTTTGTTATTTAGCTTTGTTCTAACAAATAGAATAACAAATTTGGTTTCCTGTCGAGTTTAACATTCCGCCTCAATCCTCATCGAAAAATATATATTATATAAACTCCCTATCCAATAATTAGACATAAAAAACCTTGTTCAGTCACACTCAAACCGACACGAGTATTGCCGAAACCGAAACATTTATCCATGGCTCGTAGTTCTAATCTCTAAAAAAAATCCTCGTCTGACAATCTCTCCCCCCGCTTACCACTCTCTCCATTTGTTTTCGCCATGTGTAAGGTTCATGAGATATCTTTCACTATCTCACCAATCACCAGCCCTCCATAGTTCGTACCATAGCGATACAATGAGCTTTGGGCTCGATTGAGTTCGATTGTTTATTTTCTTGGTTATCGGGGAGTTGTATTATTATGTGCTAGTAGACATCTTGATGAGGTGCATTGCTTCTTTGAACGAAAAAAGTCGACGAGTCGATAAGGGAAGTTGCAGGTGATGTACATACTCAAAATCAAAGTGTTGTGCTCAATTCAGCATTTACCTTAAAATTAAGGGATCATTTTCCACTCACATAGAACATGCTTCTGATTTTCCCACGAAACCTTCCTGATTCACACTTTCTAATTCCCTCACAACTAACGCCTACCCACCCAATTCTTGGTCAGTTCCTTCTTCCTGCCTCAACTATACATTTGTCCTAAACTGGTACCCAAACTTCACTTTCTCCTCTAATTAAGACCCATGCAGTAGACAAGTCACAAGAGCTTTAATTTGTTATATCTCCAAGTTGGCTCCAACCAGTGACGGAGCTAGAAATCCAAGCGAAAGGAACGAGAAAAAGACGAGCAAGGCATTCGAACCCTAGCAGAGCTAGGCACGAGTAAACAATTCGTAGCAACTAGGTAGGGGGGAAACAAAGAAGTTTGAGGAACTTGAATCCTAGTAATTAAGCAAGGGGTTCGAACTCTTATCGGTTGATTATACTTATCGATTTGCTACAAGTTTGATGCCTAATTTTAACCACAGATTGAAAGTTGAGAAGATAAGTGATCTCCCCTGTGAAATTGTTCAGCACGTGGCTCCGACTATATCGATAACGAATATGTAAATTACGAAAATATATGGTTGAAAAATTTATTCGGATCTATAATTTGATCGCGTGACATGAAAGTGGAGAAATCATCGTTGCTCGAGACTTGTCAACACACTCTGTAAAATCATCATCTCGCTAAATAATGAAAACTCTTATCGTTGGAACGAAAATATGGCTACAAGTATGGAAACTCAATACGAGTTTCGAAGACCTATGTGTCATGAGGTTGAATCTCAGTGAAACAGATACATATAACTGCACTGGTGAGAGACATGCAAGTCATGGTCTAGCCAGCTAATAGACACACGAACACAGTTATGCTAAAAACATATACGAGGTCTGCCACGAATACATACGAAATACACATTAACGTAACTCGCGTACACCAACACAACACACGCTTCGTTACACTTTCTATCACTTGTTTGAGAATACAAAGTAATTTAGGTACCAAAACGTAACTTCCTTTGCAACCCACCCAATTCATTGGCCCAAAGGCCCAGACAAACAACACAGGTAAGAAGTAGACAAAGCCAAAACCCCTAGGCGCTAAAACCAACCGAAAAACCAACAGCCAAAATAGGCGAAAACAGAGCATAGCAAGCTTCTCGCATAGCAAGCTCTCAGCCAGGCGCCAGCCCACAGCGCAGCAGCAGAAAAGGAAGACGATTGACTTCCTTCCTGCCCTTCCCTTCCCTTCCCTTCCTTTCACAGTTTCAGACCAAAAACACTCCATAAAAGTGAACCGCTTTCACTTTCCCCCCTGATCCAAAAAATCCTCCCGAATCTCTCCCCTTTCTCTGCCTTCCCTAAAAATGGCGATGTCCGCCTGCTTCCTCGCCGCCGGCTCCCTCTCCTCCTCCGCCGCCAAACCCCGAATCCACCTCCCTTCGTTCCAATCCCCTTCACCTTTCCAAACCCTCCGCCTCAGCTCCTCCTCCTCCCCTGCTTTTTCCTTCCGCCATCTCACCAATCGACAACGCCTCCTCCCTCTGTTTGTCCCTTCCGCCTCGCTCGGCGGCGGCGACGACGGCGGGATCAACCGGTTCCCTCCCTCCGGCAGCGGCGGGGGAGGAGGGGACGAACCCTCTGATGGCGACAATGCAGGGGACAAGAACAGGGTAGAAGCGATGATGGTGCTGGCGGAGGCCGGGAGGTTGCTGGAGAGCCTCCCGAAGGACCTGGCGGTGGCGATCCAGGACGGGAGGATTCCTGGGGCGGTGGTTTCGAGGTTTTTGGAGCTGGAGAAGTCGGCGGTGATGCGGTGGCTGCTTCAGTTCGGCGCGTTTAAGGAGAGGTTGCTGGCGGACGATCTGTTTTTGGCGAAAATCGGGATTGAGTGCGGCGTCGGCATCTTCACCAAGGTACAAAAAGGGAATCGGCGATCTGTAGCTTTATTGTCCAATTGAGAAAGCCCTTTTCATTGCTCTGTTTCTGGTTTCTACTTTCCCCCCCTCGTTATAGTGTCAAATCGTAAATCTGGATTCTGCTTTTTCATTGTCGTTGCCAAGCTTTTTTTTACCCTGTTAGGCCATTTGGCCAAAGCTTGCATCTTTTTCAACTGGGATTTGCTTATCATTGGCTGAAATTGGCCCTCATTCATTTCTTAGTTAATGTTCTGTCAAAAAAAAATTTAACCTTTGTTCAGTTTAACTGTCAATTCTTGCTGAAAGGTTAAACCTTTTGTTCATTTTTCCACCCCTTTTTGAATATGCCCGATTGGCAGACTGCTGCAGAGTATGAGAAACGCAGAGAGAATTTCTTCAAGGAGCTGGAAATTGTGTTTGCTGATGTGGTATGTGGCTCTTCACTAAGAAGAATTCTCTTTTTTTGGGATGGGTTAGTTGCTTTAATGATTCACCACCCACTCAAGTTGTGTACATTTTGCCTTTTAGGTGATGGCCATATGTGCAGATTTCATGCTTGTTTTCCTCCCTGCGCCTACCGTCTCTCTCAGACCAGCTCTGGCAGGAACTGCTGGACCTGTTGCAAGGTTCTTCTATGGTTGCCCTGACAATGCTTTCCAGGTAAAAAAGAAGACTTATCTGTAATTTCTCTCGCCAACTTATTGAGTTGAATGTGGAAATGAATTTAAAGGACTCTGCTTTCTCTTTTGCTTTGCAGACTGCTCTTGCTGGAACTTCGTATTCATTCGTGCAGAGACTAGGCTCAGTTGTGGTAAAGAAAATTTTACTTTTTTTTTTTGCCTGAGTTTGAACTTGGTTTCTGTCAATGCTTACCAGTCTTTGTTATCAGTAGTTCACACTCTATATCTCTCAATTTTACAGCGAAACGGAACAAAGCTCTTCGCTGTTGGCACTGCATCTTCCCTGGTAAGCTTTTTGTTTGCTTAGATGTTGGCTCTTTCTGGTCTTTTACATCTCCTGGAGCAAGTCTGTAACCTAGCAACTCCTCTATTAAGTGGTGAAAAAACTGTTTGGTGGGAAACAACACTATTTGTAGGTCATTAGTATGGCAAAATCTGCTGCAAAATTAGTTGATTGAAACATATTGCAAGAGATTAGAACTGACCAGGAGCAAACTTAGAACATAACTCTCATCTGGTCCTTTTACCATGTGAAATTCATAGATCACATATTCACTTGACTCTGATTTTGATTCCCTAAATGGTTGTAGATTGGGACAGTGGTAACAAATGCCCTGATCAATGCAAAGAAGGCTGTGGACAGTACCGGGGAAGTTGAAAACGTGCCTATACTCTCGACCAGTGTTGGCTATGGTGTCTACATGGCAGTTTCTAGCAACCTCAGGTTCGTTAACATATGATTTCTTCCTTCCACTTCCTCATTTTTACATAGGAACTAGTAATGGATGTGGAAGTTGTCATCGGTCAGATTCACATGAGAGAATGATTCTGTGGTGCAGGTACCAAATCTTGGCTGGTGTTATTGAACAACGAATCTTGGAGCCTTTACTCCATCAACACAAGCTCATGCTCAGTGCAATCTGTTTCGCTGTTCGAACTGGCAACACTTACTTGGGCTCACTTTTGTAAGTTTCCATCCTTGTATAACTCTCTAGCAAGCTTCTCGCACATCTAGTCACTATTCTCATGATGGTGCAATTTGTTTGGACCAGGTGGGTGGATTATGCTCGCATGATCGGGATCCAAAAGGCCCAAGAAGAGCATAATGAACTGGCTTAGGCAGATGCAAGAGTCCAGAACCTTGTGTGGAACTTATTTTTTTACTTTGTTTGACCCCCCATGTTAGTGTAGAGCATGAAGAAAGTAGGTTATATATGAATTGGCATTTTCCCTGGGAGAGATTTAGGCGGCATTGCTTTTGGAAGTTCGTTTACGTCTGAAATTAGTCGATAGGCCTTCTAGTTGATATTGGTTTTCCGGCTCATCCACTTGATTTGCTTTTGTATCATTCGCATGATAAGTTGAGTGTATTGATTTCAGACACCCTGAATTGTTCAGTTTGATGATTGGAGTTGGAGACAGGTTATATATGAAGTACAATAAAACAAGGAATTTGTTTCTTTTCCTTTTTCCCCATTGATGATATGGCTGTCACCATTGCTTGATTCTTTACAGTTGAGTTGCAGGTAAGGTTACTGCAATCTTTTGATCAGTTCAGATCATGCATTAGGAGCCTCTAGCCAGCAAGGTAGGTTAACAACAACATACCTAGAAACAGCTTCCTGGTAATCTGTTAATTCATTGTTTCAACAGCATTCTACTGCAGGTGGCGATCTAGTCAATTCTATGCAATGACTTCATCTTTCAGGCAACTCCTTATTGTGACACCCACAACATTAGTTCCAACCTTGTGATCAACGTCACAGCATTCTATCACACCAGCCTGGGAAGAATAATAACACACAGATCAGGGGGAAAAGAACACACTTGAATATCTAAAGAACAGAACGGGGTCCAAACTCACCATCTTCCGAGTCCTCCCTGGAGAAACCACCTGAATCTCATCCACACGACTGGCAGAATGGTTCCCGGCCAACTCACAAGGCTGCAAGTTAGCTGGCCACTTTCGAGCATACGTAGTGATGACCTGGTCCCCTACTATTTCAGATGCGTTCTTGTTCTTCTTCCAGTCGTCGACAGACTGGAAGTAGAACACGTGGGGGGACTCACAAGCATTGCCATTCAGCCACCTCGTGTTGAACATGAAAGCTGGGTACTTAGTGTTCCTAACCCATGCTTTGAACGTCTCGAGGGGCTTAATCAATGTGCTCCTAGGGATGATGTTCTCGTATATGTAAGCAGAGTAGCCCCAGGAAACCGAGACAGACCAGTTGCTCTGCCTGTGATAGCAGATAGTCTGCTGCGAGAGACGAGATTGGTCCACTTCTGCTGCTGTCATGAGGTGTCGAATGGCTTGAGGGCGGTCCATGGATGGGAAGATTGGATCTATGGCGTCGAAGTGGTGGAGGGTTACCAAAGGGGCTTGTGGGTGAGTCGATAGAAAGCCTGAGATGTCACCATGGAGATCAATCTGCAATTGTTGAAGCTCCTTGTTAGAGGTTGTTTGAAAAATGAGACGGATTGAAACGATGACTACTTCACCTGGTGAATCCCCTTCTGATGAGCTACAGCAACTCCAAGATCAGCCAAACAAGACTGAACCATATGGTCACTAACGAACACTCGCGGGTACCTCTCAATGCAGCCATCCAGCTTGCTCGACAGTGCCTCGACTAAAGGCCAGCTCAAAGCATAGCCAGCTCCACCAAACCCCATGTCGAATGAGAAGTCAGCATTGGACCTCACACTCTCGGAGTTGCCTCCAATGTAGTGGTACTTGGTGTGATCAAACTTGCTTAGAACCTCCACCAAGTTATCCACAAACACCAATGTGTCATCGTCGCACACCATGAGCCACCTCAGTCCTTCGTTGGCCCGATCACCCTGTCGATACATGTCGAGAATGGCTCGAACCATTCGGACCTGAGGCGGGTTGACAAGTTTCGGATAGACCTTCAGGTTGGTGAAATTGCTACTCACTCGGTATGGTGGGGAGGTCGCGGGCCATGGTAGGAACTCTGGCGTGGGCTCCTTGTCTAAGAATACATAACCTTCAAGTGGCAAGAGAATCAGTTCAAAATCATTCTGATTGTGGAAAAAATCTCTTACCAAAGTCATTACCTCTTGTCACATTTGGTCTCCACCAGGACTCTATGTAGTGCTTTCTCCACCTCCAGGTGGGCAACGACCCGATCACGACGAATCCTACGTGGCTGATCTCCATTGGCGAAAGATCAGCTCGATCCGATGGAAGATAAGCCCTACTATCACCACCACTACCACTACTAGTGCTCCATTTGTGAGGAAGGGTTAGAAGAGGAAGGATAGTGGTAGTGTTAGCATGGTTATGGAACAATAAGGTGTAGAGCAAGAAGAGCAGTAGCCCTGAAAGGAATATGCTTTTGCACAGAACATCAAGATGGAACTGTTGAAAAAAGTACTTTTGCTGCATTTTGTGCTGAAAGAAAGTTGAAAGTGGATGGCATTGATACAACAAGGAAAAGGGTTGGTTTATCTCTACTTAAATAAGAGGTTTGAGCAAAGTTTTGGCCGGTTGTAACTGTTAAAAAAAATATCATGAAATATTCTCCTAACCCTAACTTGAAGATCAAGGAAGGAGGACATGAAAGGAGTACTGCAATCTACAGCATTATGGGCAATGTGAAGGATGAATCAATCAATGAGAGTCTCTGTGGAATGCTTTCTGTGCAGCCTAATGTTCTTTCTGGGCTTGTGAATGGCCGTTATGAACTTTATAGTAATCAATCAATTGTGGAGGGAAGAACTTAACGGTTTTGTGGCTCAACTAAAACCTGCCTGCTGTTGCTTGCTTAGCAGAAGAGGAAGGCGTGAATGGATCACGTGAACAACAAGGAAGGGATTTTGATTGATCAGTTGAAAAGGGACATTTTAGTAGCTAGTTTTGATTCATAACTTTAAACATGTCCGCAACAAAAGAGAGATTATCTTCGTTCTAACATTGGAATGGATAAGAAGTACCTAATTACAAAAGCTAATATCCCTTTCACAAATGTCAAATTTTGTTACCATTCTTATTTACTACTCATCACCGTTTTCCTCTATGCAATGACTTCATCTTTCGTACAAGATCTTATTTTGATCTCTGCAATGTCTGCTCCATCCTCGTACTCAACACCACAACATTCAATCACACCAGGCTGAATATAGAAAACCACCAAACATAAGCAAAAGAAAGAAAGATCAATCTTATGAACAGTTGGTTTGATCTAAAAAAATGAGAAGGAAAACTGACCATCTTATGAACAGTAGCAGGAGACAGAACCCTGATGGTGGAAACGGAATCTGCAGAATGGTTGTGCCCGGAAACAGAACAAGGAGGCAGGACACGAGCTGAAGCTCTACCGTAAATCGTGGCAACAACAGCTCGATGATCGTTCGATGATGGTGGAACGAGCTCGATGGATTGGAAAAAGAACACATGGGGAGCTTCACATGGATTGTTGGTCACCCTCCTTGTGTTGAACATGAAAGATGGATACTTGACATGATTGTTCCAAGGCTTAAACGTCTCGAGAGGCTTTCGAAGGATGCTTCGAGGGATGATCGTTTCGTATATGTGAACAGAGTAGCCCCACGAGACGGAGAAGGAGAAGTTTTTCACCCTTTGGTAGCATATGGTTTGTTGCAGCATTCGTGATTGGTCTGCTACTACGTTCCCCGGTTTCATGATGTGTCGTGCAGCTTCGTATCGATCCATGGAAGGAAATATTGGCTCCACAGCATCAAAATGGTGGAGGGTTAGGGCTGGAGACTGTGGATGGGATGACAAAAGGCCTGATATGTCACCATGAAGATCAATCTGCAACACCCCAGAAAAGAGAGGAACCATCATAGGAAATTTTCCAAGTAATTATGACACTATCCCAAGTCAAATTTGACTGATTTGAGAGCCGATTTGAGGTGGATTTTTTACCTGATGAATCCCTTTCTCAATGGTGAGAGAAATTCCAATGTCAGCTAAGCATGACTGAGCCAAGTGATCACTCACATACAAGTAAGGGTACCTTTCGATGCAAGCATCTAACTTGGGTGCCAAGACTTCCACCAAAGCATAGCTCAAGGCATACCCAGCTCCTCCAAAACCCATATCAAACGAGAAATCAGCATTGGACTTCACACACTCCGAGTTCATCCCAATGTAATGGTACTCGGTGTGATCATACTTCCCTAGCACTTCGACCAAGTTATCGACGAAAATGAGAGTGTCATCGTCAGCCATCACGAACCACCTCAGCCCGCTGTCTCCAACCCTGTACATGTCGAGGATCGAGCGCATGATCCTGACCTCCACCGGGTTCACGAGCTGAGGGTAGACCCTCAACTTGGTAATGTCTTCATTGACTCTCCACGGTGGGGAAGTCACCAGCCAAGGGAGGAATTCCGCTGTAGTGGGTTCCTTGTCTAGGAAGACATAGCCTCTTGTCGAGTTCGGCCTCCACCAGGACTCTGTGTACGGCTTCCTGTGCTTCCATGTCGCCAAGGAGCTCACTACTATGAACCCGATGTGGCTGATATCGGTTGGAGGAACAACGTTAGTGCTGATATTGTTGGGTGATGAAGTTGTTGTGAAAGGGGAAGTTGGCCATTTGAGTTGCAGATCGGTGAGAAGAAGATCTGCAGCAGTGTAGTTGTTATTGGCATGGTTGGACCAAACCGTGTAGAGCATGAAAAGTGCAAGGCCTGAGATGACAATGGATTTACATAGGGCTCCATTGGAGGTGGACATTGTGGAGGGCTTCATCTGAAGGGCTAAATGAACAAGAAGTCTGGTTTTTGGTATATGACAGTAGAACAAATAGTGAAGAGTTTCTTAGGAGTTCTTTATATTTATGAAGCCAAGATTGCTTCTTAATTCATGTCCCCTATGCAACTACTTCTAGTGACTTTCTGGGTTTCTTTCATATGTGGTGTCTTTTCTACAATGGCTTCTTTTATGACATGGTACAATGTAAAGTGGGTTAATACATTTAGGGTAAAAGGAACCTAGACAATCCCAATAGAACAGGATCTTTGCCTGGACATAGTAGTCCAAGTGTATCTTAATTGCAGGCCTGATTCTCTTCTTCAATCTGTTTTGTTTGCCTGGCCAATTGAACATCTCAGACTTTTAGAATAGTGCAAGTTAATACTATGAACAAAAGAAAGGGTAGTCCAGGATAACAATTTCGACGTAACTTTGTCGGTCAGATCTAACTCAACCTACTAGGATGGCTGGACTTGGTTCTTGCCTGTTCTTGATCCGTTCTGAGACACCCCGTTTTTCTTCCGTTCTATCACACATTATGATGAATCAATTGGCCTTTTCTCAGTTTGAATCCTTGATCATTCTCCAAAAAAGTACACTGATGAGTGCTAGTAACATAGGCTATGGGCAACTAGTACTCTAAAGCAAACAATGAATGTGTTGACATCTTTACCCTACAGTTTACACATGGTGAATTTATAGCTCTCCTTACTCTTTACCACTCTTTGAAGTCTTTTTGCTTTGCATGACAATAAAGGGTTCTGTTTGACCCTTGAAGTGCAAGAAATGTTATGTGCAGAAAATAGCCAACTCCTCAATTTCACCTATTCTCATGTGCAGAAAAGAACCATTATGTCCTTAGGCAATGACTTCATCTTTCAGGCAACTCCTTACCGTGACACCCACGGAACTCCTTCCAACCTCGTGATCAACATCACAGCATTCCATCACTCCAGCCTAAACACAGAAAGAATTTGATTCATGTCAGGGCAAAAAGAACACACTTGAAAATCTAAAGAAATGCATTCAATAGAGGATCCAGACTCACCATCTTACGAGTCCTCGTCGGAGAAACCACCCGAATCTCATCCACAAGACTGGCAGAGTGGTTCCCAGCCAACTCGCAAGGACGCAAGTTGGCTGGCCACTTTCGAGTATACGTAGTGACAACCTGCTGGTCCCCTACTACTACAGCAGACGCGTTGTTCTTCTTCCAGTCTTCGTCGAAAGACTGGAAGAAGAACACGTGGGGGGACTCACAAGCATCATCATTCGGCCTCCTCGTGTTGAACATGAAGGCTGGGTAGCTAGTGTTGATAATCCATGGCTGGAACGTCTCGAGGGGCTTGATCAATGTGCTTCTAGGAATGATGTTCTCGTATATGTAAGCAGAGTAGCCCCAGGAAACCGAGACAGACCAGTTGCTCTCCCTATGATAGCAAATGGTCTGCTGCGCTAGACGAGATTCGTCGACTTCTGCTGCTTTCATGAGGTGTTGAATGGCTTCGGGGCGGTCCATGGAGGGGAAGATTGGATCTATGGTGTCGAAATGGTGAAGGGTCACTAAAGGGGCTTGTGGATGAGTTGATAGAAAGCCTGAGATGTCACCATGGAGATCAATCTGAAACATTTGAAGCTTTTTGTTAGATACTAGGTGTTGTAAATTGTAATGGATTGGAAAAACGGTGAAGTACTACACCTGGTGAATTCCCTTCTGATGAGCTACAGCAACTCCAAGGTCAGCCAAACAGGACTGAACCATATGGTCACTAACAAAAAGGTGTGGGTACCTCTCAATGCAACCTTCGAGCTTACTCGACAATGCCTCGACTAAGGGCCAGCTCAAAGCATAGCCAGCCCCACCAAATGCCATGTCGAATGAGAAGTCGGCATTGGACTTCACACACTCCGAGTTGCCTCCAATGTAATGGTACTTGGTGTGATCAAACTTGTTTAGAACCTCGACCAAGTTATCCACAAGCACCAATGTGTCATCGTCGCACACCATGAACCATCTCAGCCCTTTGTTGGCTTGATGACCCTGTCGGTACATGTCGAGGATGGCTCGAAACATTCTGACTTGAGGCGGGCTCACGAGTTTCGGGTAGACCCTTAGGTTGGTGAATTTGCTGCTGACTCGGTACGGTGGGGAGGTAAGGGGCCATGGTAGGAACTCTGGTGTAGGTTCCTTGTCTAAAAACACATAACCTGACAGTAGGAAGAATTAGTTCAAACTTCTTGTGACTATGGTTTGAATTCTTATTGTTTATGTTGTTACCTCTTGTCACATTTGGTCTCCACCAGGCTTCTATGTAGTGCTTTCTCCAGGTCCAGGTGGGCAAGGAGCCTATTACAACGAATCCCACGTGGCTGATCTCGGTTGATGAATCTGGTTGATCAGATGGGACAGGAGCTCCACTACCACCACTACTACTGCTCCAATTGTGTGGAGGGATTAGAAGAGGAAGGACAGCAGTGTTAGCATTGATGTTATGAAACAGTAAGGTGTAAAGCAAAAAGAGCAGTAGGCCTGAAAGGAGTATGCTTTTGCATAGGACATCAGGATAGAATTGATTAAACTTGTGTTTGCATTGTGCTACACGAAAGAAAACATTACCAAGTTGTCATGGTTGGGGAAGATGGCCATTTGAGTTGAAGACTGGAGAGAAGATCTGAAGCACTACTGTAGTTACCATTGACATGGTTGGACCAAACCATGTAGAACGCGAAAAGTACAAGGCCTGAGATGGCAATGGATTTGCTTAAGGTTCCAAGATTAAGATGGTGGAAGGAGACATTTGGGGATGCAGCATTGGAGGTGGGCATTGTGGACGACTTCATTCATCTCAATGGCTAAATGCAGAAAATGAAGGTTGGGTTCTAATATGGGAATAGAACAGTGAAGTGTTTCTTGGAATTGAAGTCTCTTGATCAGTTCTTTATTTGTTAAAGCCAAGATTGCTGCTGAATTCATGTTCCCTGCAATTCTTTCTATTGACTTTTTAGTCTTCCTTCATGTGTGCTGCCTGCCTTGCCATTGCATACATGAAACCTTTACATTTGTGAAAGTTAAAACTACGAAATAAAAGGGTAGTTCAGGTCGAGGATGATAATTTCGACATAACCTACTCTCTTGGATCCGACACAACATATTCAGACGGGTAGGCATGGATCTTATCTTTACTTCATCCACTTTAATACGTCTCGTTCTATAATTTAGTTAGGATCAAGTGTGAGCTTCTCACACCTAGATCAAAGGACAATATTCGCAACCCGCCCCATTTGTCATTCCTGAATCCAGACTTTTCACAGCTCGGATCTTGGTCATTCTGCAAAGTCTCGTAACATAAAGTCATAAGCTATGGCAACTAGCTAGTACTCAAAGGATAAGGAAAGAGATCTTCTAAAGTTCTGCTGTACTTAACAGAAGCAAATTCCTCTTATTCTTTAAAAAAAAAAAAAAAAAAACTTTGCAGAAGCAAGCAATGAGGGTGTTTGACATCTTTAGTCTTTACCCTTCAGTTTTATATACCTTTCCTTACTGGAAAATGGACTCAGTCTTTTAGGTCTTTTTGCTTTGCATGGCAACAAAGGGCTCTGTTTGACCCTTAAATAGCAAGCAATGCATGTGCAGAAAAGAACCTTCCTTGGTTTCACCGATTCTCATGGTACACACATGCCCATATTGGATATAATATGCTCTGCTTGGCTCAAACTGATGCAAAAGGACATGCAAGACTCTAATGGAAGAGTGCAGAAGGGAGAATGTTTGCATATCCAACAACCATACCAATATCACAGGCAGAATCTTATCGATAGGATTGTTCCATGTGCAAATTTTCCATCTCAACAAAGAACAGTTTCCCAAATTGGCCACAACACCGGACTGCAGAAGCTTTCCTAGATCGAGATAATGAAAACAGGAAGAATGCTGGAAAAGAGTTTCTGTACTAAAGATGTAAGGAATCCAAATATCAATCTTATTTCGCTTCCTCTCTACGTTACAATTCTACGTATTTTCATCAACTGTAAGCTCTGTTCTCTACATTACAGATCTACCAAATCCGGTCCCCAGTTCGATATCCAGATGTATATCAAGTCTCATTTCCTCCTACTACATTCTTTTCATCATCATCATCATAATTAAAAATATCGAACATTTAACTAACTTACTGATCTCACGATTCTCGTGGCCCATCGAAAGACTGAGTCTTTCTCAAGTTCCAATGGAGTCCCTCATGTATGCTGCGAAGGAAGTCTCCCGTGGAATCCACAGAACAGGCAGTGGGGACAGGCCATGGAGCCATGCGGCACACAAGTGCATCGCCAGCTGCCAGCTGCTTCCTGTCCTTCCCGTCAAAGGATGCCCAAGCAGGGCTCCTGCTGTTGAAAGGAACTTGCACTCGTACAGTGACATTCTCTGGAAGTATCAGAGGCCGAAATGACAAGGAATGTGGGCAAATTGGCGTGAAAAGAATCCCAGGCACCTGCAAATAGGAAGACACCAGATTTATGATTTGCCTCTCATCTACCCTCGAGATAGAATGAACTGAACTTTTCCAAGAGGTGAATGTGTATACCTGCGGGTGAACCATTGATCCTCCAGCTGCCAATGAGTATGCAGTGCTTCCAGATGTAGTGGATAAAATCAAACCGTCTCCTTGAACAGTCGTGACGAACGAGTTGTCACAGTAGCACTCCAGATTTGTGAGGTATGATGATATCCCGCGGTCGATCGTTACCTCATTAAGCACGAGTATCGGGTCCTCAGTCTCGTACTCGTTCTTAGCTTCATCTCTAATGACATAGCACTGTAGCCTGTGCCGCAGTGTTATGCTGACTGGACCCCTCAGGATAGAATCTAGGCAATCCCGGTAGTGCTCGCTGTCTAGAAAAGACAATGTCAAGAAACCAAAAGTGAATTTTTTTAGTCTTTAGACGAGCTTTAAGAAGTTGACTAAGTAATCGTAGTGAAAGGATACGGAATGGTGTCATGAAGCCAAGAGAGCCTAAAGAGAATGGGACGATAGGAGGGACTGGTCCTTTGAACATTGATGCAGCCTGCAAATAAAGAGGATGTGTGATATATGAATCACAACAATTAAAGATGGCACAGAGTAAATACATATATTACGTAAAAAGGTAAACAGGAAGTACCCAAAGAACAGTGCCATCACCACCAAGAGTCACCACAAGGTCAACCTTTGAGTGCAGGCGCGAAATTTCTGAATCTGGAATATTCGAATATCAAAGCCCAAAGGACTCAAATCATGAGACTGACATACATGTGTTGAGTGAAAAATCTCAACAAAGCTTAGGCATGATAACGATGGTCACTTGAAGCTTTTGAGATTCACAATGCTTGAAACAGCAGGCTATAAAACTACAGAACAAGTGCTTGATAATATGGAAGGGAAGTAAACAGCAGGAGCTCACCATCTTTCCAAGTCTGCACAAACTTGAAATAAGATGACTCGGCCAAAAGTTCAGAGATCACTCGTGGTTCGACAAAAATATTCAACTTCTGATGCTCTTTCAACCATCTGGATATTTGACAATATAAAAATCAGTAATATGAAGAAAACATTTCCGATTGGTTTAATACATTCCTCTCAACCATCAAAATTTTGAGGAAAGCTGAAACCTGCAAAAAAAGTTATCACATGTTTGATAAGAAGGGGCAATATAATCGACATACCCATCTCAAAACAAAAACTAAATCATACCCTGTGGAATGATACTAATTGGTCATTATATCAAAGTCACCTAATATCATTAGGAAGGCATCGAACTTGCAGGTCACACCACAAACCTAATTTTAAGCTTTTGGGTGCCCTCCCGTCAGACAAGTGCCAAATTTTAGCTAAGTCAATTCTTATCTGAGAGTAACGCTTGAAATAAACTCTGGAACTACTATAATACTAAATTTATGGTGCAGGAGTTGGAGAATGCAAATCAAGAGATTAGAATCACTGGCACATCACAAGAAAACATAGGAAGCAACTGATGCTGCAAGGAGAGCAGGAAAGATAAGTTTTCGAAACTCAAAATGCTAAACAATGAGGAAAGCATGTATTCAGACCTGACCATTTGTGCACATAGAATACGAACAGAAACCGAATTTGGTTTGGTCAAAATAAGCACCGTCTGTGGGTTGGTCTCCCACTTCAAAGAAATCTGAAAACAAAAGATGGGGGTTGTTGCCATTCAGACCCATATACACGGGGAATGTACACAAATGAAGTACGCAGAATTGCATGAAAAAGTGACCCCTCGGATAAAACAATTCCAAGGAAGGCGTGGTGAAAGAGTGCTGGTGCGCCACTTTCACATGGCGCATGTTAGTACTAATCAGTGTCCCACATTCCATCAATATTGTACATGTTTTTATGAGGAAAGAATCCTAAAAGCTAACAACTTAATCCAACCAAATCTATATCGAAAAGCAAGAAGTAACACCTGCTTACTGGTGCGTCCTGCAGTTGTGATGTTTCCTTTTTCAAATGATACAATATCGTGTTTGTCCTGATTGCCATCGTCACCCTTGCACCACCAGGAAAGCTTGAAAGATGCCTGTTTCAGGGTAGGAATTTGGATGATTGGATTAGGTGTCTTCATTGCATTAAGATTACCTTAGGGTAGATTAAATCTAAAATTTTCAGTTCAACCATCCAATGAACCTAGACAAACAATTATGCACACAATTAAAAAGGTAGTGCACAGCCGAAATGAATTACCTTTCTCATCATTCTGTTTTGAACTGCCTTTGCATCAGAACTAGCCCCTCCGTCCTGGAGAATTTCGTGAGAGCAAATACCATTTACCAAGAAGTCTTCAGATTTTCCGTTCGTGTGATTTCCTGGCTCATATGGGTTGGTTGAGGTCTCTGGCCTTTGACAATCAGGACCATTATTCTGCTCCATGTGAGATGGTTCTGCAATACAATCTGTGGAACTCATTACTATAGAGAGCAGGAAGATAAAATAATGAACAAACCATGCTATAGAACAAATATTCATTTCAAAGTTGACATCTGTTCTCTCTTGGTTGGAGTTCATCTCTCAAGTTGGCACCTACACTAAGAGAATATATTTGCAAGAGTCATTATCACAAGAGATCAATTAGATCCTATCCAACAAAGAGGGGGAAAAGGAGTAGGGTGAACGGTAACTGTTAGTTGAAGTTACAACAGACGGCAATAATGTCCTGTAAGAGAAGAGTTCATGTTATCTATCTACATAGTCACTCAAACATATCTTGTAAAAACAAAGCCTAGCATCAGTGCACTAATAAAAAAAGAAGAATGGTAGACTATCTTCAGCAAAAAAATGCAGTTACAGAAATTCACAACTTCTGTTTCCAGTGAGAAAGCATTCCTAATTGTGATAGTTGAAAATTTTGCCTTAAAATAGCTAATTAAATGTTGCTTTTCAAAAATTAAAGACCACTATCCAAAAAAAAAAAGATAACGACAAAACTATTCTGATGAAAATCAGTGACGTGGTTTTATTCAGGGCAAAAGCAAAATACCTTCAGTAACACTCCTATTTTGTTCTTTCAAAACTTGGCAGCAAAAAACACAGGGAAGCACTAATCTTATCATCTCGGTGGCACTAAAAACAGATGTCGGAGTCCACCTCTGAAGCATTTCACACAAACTGTAGCCTGATAGTGGAATAGCCACAATCTGATAATAATGAGTCCAAATTTTGATTAGTTAAATTAATCAAAGTCTTCATTTATCAATACGTGAAAGTTCACAGGGAAAAAATATGAAATCTCGACAGAAAGGTTCACGAAGAGAAATAAAGCCCCAGATTAGTTACAAAATTATGCTTCAAGAGAAAAGACGGATCAATTAGAGACGGCGAAGGAGTATACTATTGAGGCAGTTCACTAAATACAGAAATGGTCACCTTAAATTCCATTCACACTACTCTAACACTGGTTGCATATATGTAATTATTAACTATCATTAACACAACTCCTCCAATATATATATGCCGCAGCAACACAAGACAAAATGGTACACTGTCTGTCATCATGGAATTCAGCCAGACAGACACTTCAATGCCTAACAACTAGAAAATTTAAGAAATATGTTGGTTTTCATGAAGACAACAAGAACTCCCCTTGTATTTCATCATTGTAATGGACCAAAAAGGGTACAAAATTAGGTGGTAGTCAGCACAAAATTGTTAGGTCAAAGGGTATTTGTAAATCTAAGTTAGCAAAGAAGATCTCACAACACCGTCTAATGTTCCATTGGATAGGCCTGATGCAAGGAATTCTGTCCTCAACCCTAATGCATTACCAAAAGATACATATCAACTAATCATGTGATTTAACATTAAAAAAACCTTTATGGTTGCGAGCCATCTCCAGTTCATATCGACGCTTCCATTCAGCAGCCTCGGCCTGAGCTGAAGCCTTTCCTTCCGCTGCTCGTCTCAATGCCTTCACAACAGCTAAGGTGCAAAAAACACAGATCACAATCACATGTCTGCATACTTGTTCTAAAAGGTGAAATGAAAAAACAAAAGAAAAGAATCCTGACGCTTACTTCTTAGAGCCTCAGAGAACTCTATAAGATGATCATCAGTGCCTAAGATTGGAGTCTGCTGAAGAAGCTCCTGCACTGCCTTCTCTGAATGGAACAGAGACAGCGAATCGCTAAATTCACTGACACCGTTTTCAGGACGTGCGTATTGGATGTTGGCATCTCCAGAAGCGTTCTACATTATCAAAAACAACAAAAGTTTCAGGCGCCAAAGCCAGGGAGAGATCACATTACATAACACAGTCATCAGTTTAGTCCACCAAGTAATGAGCTTGAAGCTCTAAACGAACAATAACCCCATTTCGGAATTCGAAAACCTAACCAAGATTGTTAGGAAACAGAGGAATGACTCTCTACAACGTTCATTCCAGCTACACTACTCTAATTCTAATGATCAAGACCAAAACCAAAACCTCTTGCTATTAACTCTTCCAAATCAAAAGCTAAGACCTTTACGCCTCTCCGGCTACTCTCTCTCTCTGCCTAATCAGCTAGGCAACAAGCCAAAAAAATTGTGATTCAACTTCCAGAAAGCCATGGCAAAAAACAGATCAAACTACCCCAATTCGAAAACCCAAAAAATACCGAGAACCCAATGGTCAACAAAGCCAAACCGATCATCTAATCAGCACAATTCAACGAACCCAATTCAGTGGAAAAAACCAGAAACATAAGGAGAAAGAGAGTTACAGTAGAATTGGGCTTGCTGGGAGCCATGACAGAGTTTGCTTGAAATCAAACCGAATTACCGAAAACCCAGAGAAGGTGAACGTCGAACGACGACAGTGGAATCGAGAGAGAAGAGAAGAAGGATGTAGATTCCTCTCTTATAGGAGACGGAAATTCTCCACTGAACATAAAAATGGGGACTTTTTCGCCAAGACAAGAGGGTCAAGACTCACGACGAAGGTTAGGTGGGAGGGAATTGAAAGGGTTGTAGCGGCCATTGTCCCACGTCCATCGACCAACGGCCGCAAGCGGCGGCGTAAGAGGAAGGAAGAAAATAAGAAGAGAGATTTTCCTGTGGGACCCGTGCTTTAAAAAACGCGTGGCAAAGTCAGAGACGACTACAATGCTAAAATGGAAAAAAATCAAGGTCTTAAATTTTTTTACTGACATAAATTTATTAACATTCATCTGAAATTCTTCGAATTAAACTGAACCGGAAAAGAAACCTCCCGTTGAATTATATACCCGCCATTCTTCGCGCCGGCGGCAGGCATGTGGGAAGTTGGAACGGTAAGTGGCCGGCGATTCATGATCGGCTTGTGGGTTCTAAACTTCCGATGATCTGATTGATTCCCGTACTCTGTTTTGGTTCTCCCTTTTGTTTTTCCATTGATGGGTTGTGATCGGAACTGGGGAAAGGTGCCTGCTTTCCGACTTGGGCAACGTTTGGTTGTTGGGAATCTTACTACGGGTCAACGGCGGGTGGACGAAGCCGTTGTTCTTCTCGTGGGTTGGATCGGATTACAAGTTGATCAGATTATGCGTTGATCGGATTACAGGTCAATCAGTTTCGGGTTGGATCGGATTACGAGTTGATCAGATTATGCGTTGATCGGATTACTGGTCAATCGATTTCGGGTTACGGACGAGCATTGGGTTGTTGACTTTTGATCAAATCGGGTTACAAATGGGTTGTGGCTCGGGTGGGTTGGACAGGTTAGTCGGGACGGGTTCAATTTTCACCGCTCTACATTTTTTTCACCTAACCATTGCGGGTGGTCTAAGTTTCTGGCCCGCGAAAAACTAACTATCCAGTCCGACGAGGAGAAGGCAACGGGTAGCAACGGTATATGTGCCTACTTAAATGGATTGGGGGCTTCGTTTCGTTCCTATCCATCGACTCTCTCTCTCGGGTCCTCTGTCACCTCCGGCGCCGTGTTTTCTCTTTCAATCCGACCGTTTTCTGCAGTCTACATATGGCTAAGCTCTCTCGGGTGACTGGAAACTGCATTTCGGATTGGGATCTGCCGCTAAGCTCACTCCTCCCCTGTTCTGCCCCCAGAAAAAGGCGCCGGATCTGTGCAGAGGAGAACCCTCCTCCTCCACAGATTAGCAAACTGGGAGACGATCTCCTCGTAGAGATTCTGATTCGCCTCCCTGACCCTAAATCCGCCGGACGGAGCAAGGCCGTCTGCAAGCTGTGGAGCACGCTCATCTCCGACCCCGGCTTCGATCGCCGGTTCTTATCTCACCACCGGAGCAGGAACGAACGAGGCCCACCTCCGCCGCTTCTTTTCTCAGACGACCCTCACTCCATCCTCAGCTTCCTCCCCGTGCCCGATGAAGATCGACGGGATCTCGTAGTTTGGGATTCCTTCAAGGACCTGCTTCTGTGCGGCTTTGAAGACAGCATTGATGCCGAGCCTGAAAGGTCCTTCTTTATCTGCAATCCGTTCACCAAGCAGTGGATCGCCCTTCCTCTCGCGCCCAGAAATGGGGACACATACGTGGTGCTTGGAGACAGAAAGACATTGGCGGCAAGGTTAGTTTGTGAACCCCGCGGTAGCAGTATTAGCAACAATCATAATCTTGCACATCAGCTAGGAGGTGAACCATTAGCAGAAACTACTGCCTTTGTTTATTCCGAGTATCAGTTTCGTGTGGTGTGTATGTATGAATCGCGGTCGGGCACAGCGATGGACGTGTTTAGCTCAGAGTCTGGGAGATGGAAGAAACAGGCTCTTGTACTATATGATCACCGGAGATTGTTTGATTTCCGTGTTGTCTCGTGGAACAGCGAGCTGTTTTGGGTGTATTATCCAGCCGGTGATCCCCGGAGCTTAGAGGTTGTTGCATTTAATCCTTTCCGCCTCAATACACCGCCCACGCCCACATCTTTGAATGTACCTTCTGAACTGTTGACGGGATTGGAGGAGGGAAGTGGGAATCTTTCGATCTCACAAGGAACTGCGCACATAATTCTACTTGGAGTTGAAGGCCCTGGCAGTCGTTGCTCGAGGGGTGCTTTGAGTGTTTGGAGACTGGAAGAAGGTGGCAAGTCTTGGAGCAAACTATATGAAATGGCATTGAGGAACCCGACATTGTCTTCGTCGCCTTATATATGTAAGTACTGTCAGGTACTCGATCTGCATCCAGAGAAGCCGGAAATTGTGTTCTTAGCATATTTGAAGTATCCCGATACGGGTATATTGTCCTGCAATTTGAGGACGGGAGAAGTAGAGATGCTTGCTGAACCAATGACATGTTATTTACACAATTGGAGGGTGTTCCAGCCTAGAGTGTCCTGCTGGCCTACTCCAATTCCAAGGTACGAGAAATTACGGGGTTACAATGGAAGCAAAGGAACTCTTGGGCATTGTTTTAAGAAGCAGAAGAAAATTCTTAGGTATTGTGGTATTGGTTAATCATGTATAATTATTATATTTTCTTTCTTGCCTGTTGCCTAAAAAATGGCTTCTGTTATTTGTTTGCTGCTAAGATTATAACTGGTTTCCCTTGCGTTTTCAAAAGCTTCTTATCGAACCGTCTTCTTTTTCAATCCGTGTTGGTTGTAAATTGTGGTGTTTGCAATGTGATGATGATTGGAGCTCTTTTGGCAACCAGATTTTGTGTCGTAAAGGCTAAATATCCTAAATACAACTAGCCATATCATCAGTAAATTGTGTTGTAAACGCTGAAAGAAGTAATAGTCACATAGAGAACTTACACGACCACACCATAACCACGTGGTTCATTAGTTTGACCAACCTCCGCTGTATCCGCTCTTTATCCTTTTGTTGGAAAACTTCAGTCAGAAAATTGCAATAGGAGCACCACCCTAGTTCTTATATGGATCATCAAAATTGCAGAACCCAAGATGGGTCTTTGTAAATGAAACAAATGAGAAAATGTCTCAATCTCTTGTCTCTGAGTTGTTTGATGGTACCAATTATACAATGTGGAGTAGAGGAAGTAGTGTACATGAAATATCTCTCGCAGTCTTAGCACCTTCCGCTGCTCAAGGCAATACTGACATCCATATTGTCAAACTAATGGTATTGGCAGATTGGTTATGAGTTAGATCGGATTACAAGTTGATCAGATTAAGTGTTGATCGGATTACAGGTCAATCGATTTCGGGTTACGGGCGGGCATTGGGTTGTTGACTTTTGGTCAAATCGGGTTATAAATGGGTTGTGGCTCAGGTGGGTTGGACAGGTTAGTCGGGTCGGGTTCAATTCTGACATCTCTACATTTTTCTCACCTAACCATAGTGGGTGGACGAAGCCGTTGTTCTTCTCATGGGTTCAATTCTGACATCCATATTGTCAAACTAATGGTATTGGCAGATTGGTTATGAATTAGATCGGATTACGAGTTGATCAGATTAAGCGTTGATCGGATTACAGGTCAATCGATTTCGGGTTACGGGCGGGCATTGGGTTGTTGACTTTTGGTCAAATCGGGTTATAAATGGGTTGTGGCTCAGGTGGGTTGGACAGGTTAGTCGGGTCGGGTTCAATTCTGACATCTCTACATTTTTCTCACCTAACCATAGTGGGTGGACGAAGCCGTTGTTCTTCTCATGGGTTGGATCGGATTACAAGTTGATCAGATTATGCGTTGATCGGATTACAGGTCAATCGATTTCGGGTTGGATCGGATTACAAGTTCATCAGATTATGCGTTGATCGGATTACAGGTCAATCGGTTTCGAGTTACGGGCAGGCATTGGGTTGTTGACTTTTGATCAAATCGGGTTACAAATAGATTGTGACTCGGGTGGGTTGGACAGGTTAGTCGGGTCGGGTTCAATTTTGACAGCTCTACATTTTTCTCACCTAACCATTGTGGGTGGTCTAAGTTTCTGGCCCACGAAGAACTAACTATCCAGTCCGACGAGGAGAAGGCAACGGGTAGCAACGGTATATATGCCTACTTAAATGGATTGGGGGCTTCGTTTCGTTCCTATCCATCGACTCTCTCTCTCTCTCTCTCTCTCTCGGGTCCTCTGTCACCTCCGGCGCCGTGTTTTCTCTTTCAATCCGACCGTTTTCTGCAGTCTACATATGGCTAAGCTCTCTCGGGTGACTGGAAACTGCATTTCGGATTGGGATCTGCCGCTAAGCTCACTCCTCCCCTGTTCTGCCCCCAGAAAAAGGCGCCGGATCTGTGCAGAGGAGAACCCTCCTCCTCCACAGATTAGCAAACTGGGAGACGATCTCCTCGTAGAGATTCTGATTCGCCTCCCTGACCCTGAATCCGCCGGACGGAGCAAGGCCGTCTGCAAGCTGTGGAGCACGCTCATCTCCGACCCCGGCTTCGATCGCCGGTTCGTATCTCACCACCGTAGCAGGAACGAACGAGGCCCACCTCCGAAGCTTCTTTTCTCAGACGACCCTCACTCCATCCTCAGCTTCCTCCCCGTGCCCGACGAAGCTCGACGAGATCTCGTGGTTTGGGATTCCTTCAAGGACCTGATTCTATGCGGCTTTGAAGACAGCATTGACGCCGAGCCGGAAAGGTCCTACTTTATCTGCAATCCGTTCACCAAGCAGTGGATCGCCCTTCCTCTCGCGCCCAGAAATGGGGACTTATACGTGGTGCTCGCAGACAGAAAGAAATTGGCGGCAAGGTTAGTTTGTGAACCCCGCAGTAGTAGCAGCATTAGCAACAATCATAATCTTGCACATCAGCTAGGAGGTGAACCAGTAGCAGAAACTACTGCATTTGTTTATTCCGAGTATCGGTTTCGTGTGGTGTGTATGTATGAACTGCGGTCGGGCACAGCGATGGACGTGTTTAGCTCAGAGTCTGGGAGATGGAAGAAACAGGCTCTTGTACTATATGATCAGTTGAGATTGTTTAATTTCCGTGTTGTCTCGTGGAACAGCGAGCTGTTTTGGATGCATCGTCGAGCCGGTGATCCCCGGAGCTTACGACGGTTTGCTGTATTTAATCCTTTCCGCCTCAATACACCGCTCACTTCTTTGAATGTACCTTCTGAAGTGTCGTCGGAAATGGCTGAGCGAAGGGGGAATCTTTCGATCTCACAAGGAACTGCGCACATAATTCTACTTGGAGTTGAAGGCCCTGGCAGTCGTTGCTCGAGGGGTGCTTTGAGTGTTTGGAGACTGGAAGAAGGTGGCAAGTCTTGGAGCAAACTATATGAAATGGCATTGAGGAACCCGACATTGTCTTCGTCGCCTTATATATGTTATTTACACAATGACATGTTATTTACACAATTGGAGGGTGTTCCAGCCTAGGGTGTCCTGCTGGCCTACTCCAATTCCAAGGTACGAGAAATTACGAGGTTACAATGGAAGCAAAGGAACTCTTAGGCGTTGTTTTAAGAAGCAGAAGAAAATTGTTAGGTATTGTGGTATTGGTTAATCATGTATAATTATTATATTTTCTTTCTTGCCTATTGACTAAAAAATGGCTTCTGTTATTTGTTTGCTGCTAAGATTATAACTGGTTTCCCTTGCGTTTTCAAAAGCTTCTTATCGAACTGGCTTCTATTTCAATCCGTGTTGGTTGAAAGTAAATTGTGGTGTTTGCAATGTGATGATGATTGGAGCTATTTTGGCCATGTTTCTCGATAAAACACAAGAACCAGATTTTGTGTCATAAATACTAAAGATATCATGAGTAAATTGTTCTGTAAACTCTGACAGAGGTAATAGTCAGAGAACTGCGAGTAAGCGGCACAAGCTCTTGCTTGATATGATCGAGGAGATAGAGTAGACGAAGCCGAAGTAAAGTTGCCATGTCACCGGTGTGCTTACTTAAACACAAGAAGCGTGGGCCTCTTCGATAGAAGCACTTTCTTTTTCAAGGTTGAGCTTTTTCAATTGAAGCTAATGTTATGTTGCCCTTCCTGGAAGCGAGGAGTGAACTCAAGGAAACGAGACAGTGCTGAGCCAACTAGTTCAAATGTATTGATCGCCACTGTAATTTCTTGGATATGCAACAACAGGAAGATCGAAGAAGCAGGATAGAACGTCGACAGATTTGAAATCCGAGGAGTTTCGAGATACTCGGTGACGTTGATTGAACGCACTTTTATCGACAGATTGTGTAGAAACAAGACAGTGGAAGAAGATTCTTGCTGCTGAGTTAATATCAGCAAAAGCTAAATCAAAGTTGCAGCTTTTAGAAGTTAAGTATTGTAAAATATTAGAGTTGTATCACCTTTTTGTATTTGAACACAAGTAAGTGACTGTGTTTGTAATTAACCTAATCTGGAGGGACTGTAAGTCTGTAACCTTGGCGGGAGTAAATGAAATTTAAAAAATTGGCCCTAATCAGATTACGAGAAGGGACAATGTAGAATTATATTGCACTCCATTTTGGATAAAACTGTTGTAGTTTGCTCAACGAAGAAATTCTTGATCATATAGGTACATAGTAGAGAAAATTGTGTTCCTTTTTCTTGTTTTGTTTTGTTTGTAAATAATGGTAATATGATATTGATGTTAAATACTTTTCATGGCTACCTATTTTTATCATATTGTAAACATTTCTCTAATATAAGAGTTGCTTATGAATATTCACCAATCAACCTAACATGACTAGTATTGTCATATTGGTTACACTGAGTTAGTGCTTTTAAATCTTAATCTAGGTTAATATATTGTCTAAGTTGTCTTGAGTGATTAATATATATTGCTTTATTTCATTTTTAATCCTTGTTAAGACCATTTGATGGTTAATATGTGTTGCTCCACTTCATTTTTTATCCTCTAAGTTGAATAAATTGTTTAAGTTTTCAATTACATATGTTTTTTTATAACACATCTCAAAATTTCAATTACCGAACAACTGTTCAGTACAATCAGCATGTAGTTGGGAAAGAGTAATAATCGGTGGTTTGGTTAGCCAAACTTCACTTTCCTACCACATGCATAAGGTGTGTCTATCAGGTGAGCAGATTCATTTCCTCGTCGCCCCCAAAATCGTCATTTCACCTCCCCCCCCCCCCCATCGCTTATGCCTTTCTTTTGATGTCTTCCACTATCGTTTCAATTTCCATAACCGATTTCTCTTTCTATATAGTTTATGAATTAGAACTTGCCATTCGGATTCCAGAAGGAGAAAGGTGCATGTTGGCCATCTTCAAAGCCCCACCGCATCCAACTCAATTGTGTCCTTCTCACCTCCATCATTTGAAACCTTCCATTTCCATCTCGAATAACCAGTCTAGAGCTTGTACCACATGTTCCCATCATAATCGCGTCGACGTTGAGCTTATATATTCCCAGTTATGGCTTCTCTCATCTATAGCTTTGCCGACTCAACACTCAAGTCTCTCCCATCTTTGCTCACCTGATGCATCAATAACTCTTCAAGGTAAGTCACCTAAATATAATTTCACACACTTCCAATTTCATGTTATTGAACTTGTGATTTTTGCGTTATTTCCACATATTATTGGGCTATTGCAAAAGAACATAGGTCTTCATTTGATACTGTTTCCATTACTTCACATAGCCAACCTTTGCAATTTTGTTCATCCCCCAATATGAACAAATTTCCCAGTAAACTCGGTCTCCAAATTCTCCCTACCCAAAGTTGTAGAACCTCATCATTAAGAAACATTAACTTTCTAAAACATCATTAACGTTTTTATTCCATATATTAACAATATATAAGATCATAACAATATTTTTTATGTAGATAGAGTGGAGTTGCATTCTACAATATTCTCAAGTCTCAACCGCATCGAATGAATCAGTTTTAGGAGAATCAACCCATAAATAAACTTCATTGGACTGAGGCTTAATGTCATAGTTGTCGTAAGTTGTCTTTCTTTATATTTTATTTTTTCTTTTGTTATTGGTCTCAAGGTTCGAACTCATGGTGGGTGGATGTTCTCAACCCTTTAGGATTCCTTCCTCACTGCATCACCCTCATCCAAAATTAATTTCATATCTTTCACATATATTTAATTGATTTATTGGAGGGAGGGGGAAAGAAATTCATGATTTATTTCCATGGGGAGGAATTCTTCTCTCACTTGTCACCCTTCCTTGTGCGACTCCTCTGCCACGCCATGCCGCGTCATCCATAATGACGTTTGTTACTTATATGCAATGATCTTTACAATAATTGTGTTGCCAGAAAAAGATAAGACCGATGAAAAAGAAAAGAGTAGTTTAAGGAGAGATGATGACTAGAAGGATTCAAATAATGATGAGTAAGCTTGTTAGCATATTGGAGAAGATGAGTAGCACAACAATCCTGGTGGCAGTAGGATTCTTGTGAAGAAAAGAGTTCACCAATGAAGAAATGTTTCTCAATTTTTGTTATTAAAAGAATGTCATTTTGGTTTGTTTGTAGTTAGACGTTGTTATGTACAGTTTAGTTTGTAATAGCCTACCTGGCTTTCTGGACCTTATATTCTTATTTAAGTTGTTAACTAGGGACGAAGCTAGTATTTCGATTTTAGAGAGGGTGATAATTTTTTAAAAATTATACCTATTTATTTTATGTGACAAAATAAGATAAGTAAATGGTTGAATTCATATTTAAAAAAATTATTAAATGGATGATGATATTTTTTATTAATTTGTAGTTGATTTCATTTTATTCATAGCTTAAGATACACAATTAGTAGATGTTGAAAGTATCAAAAGATGAGCTAATTTTAAAATACACTCTACATCGAAGAATGGAAATGATCCAGCCCATCTGTGCAACGCCCCAAGACATGCTGAGGTTTCATTGTCCTTCTTATCTCACGTTTTTGTAAGATTCATATTCATTCTCTATCAAGAAGAAATATGCACTATTGTACAACATTGGTCCAGATTGTCCTTTATTTGATGGAGCTTTTTTATTTTTATTTTGTCAAGTCTCTACGGGCGGTTCCATTGGAGCGGCTGTGACTTCAGGAGGTCGATATTGCCATTAATTGGGTAGGAGGTCTACATCATGCAGAAAAGAATAAATCATCTGTTTTTTGCTATTCTTTAGAAACAAATTTGTTTTTTTTTTTGCTCACGCGCTAATCTTTATCCTTACATATTTGGGTGTATCGTGTTCTTTATAATTATAAAATGATATCCACCATATAAATGGGGTGGATGCTGCATTTTACCATACAGGTCGAGTTTTGACAGTCTCTTTTCACCACTATGATGTACACAATGATGAAATTTTCTTTCCAAGAACAAGACATATAGTAGATATTGATACTTTTGAAGGGGAAGGTTATGATATCAACGTCCCTTTGCAAAAGGCATGAACGACGAGTGGTTCACTTGGTTGTATCATAGCATAATTGAAAAAGTGATGACAATATACAATTTCTGATGTAATTGTTCTTCAATGGTGAAATACTCTTTGGCAGGAGACAAAGCAACAAGATACTTTAACTTGAGCTCCAAAGGGCATGCTAACTACTTTCGTTTCATAAGGGTTTATAACCGTTCTCTTATTATCTTGGACGACGGGGGCAACTTTTCTGAAAATGTAGCTCATTTATGAACTCAAGAAGTAGGTTGCTTTAAGTCTCATATTGTTTCTAATATTAAAAGAACTCTATTAAATGTTATTGTTAGTTTGTAGTTTTAAGTGTAGTTCTAGGGGTAGCTAGTGTTGCTTTATTTTTGGCTGACTTTTAATTGATTATATTGCACTCCATTTTGGATAAAACTGTTGTAGTTTGCTCGACAAAGAAATTCTTGATCATATAGGTACGTAGTAGAGAAAATTGTGTTCCTTTTTCTTGTTTTGTTTTGTTTGTAAGGTAATATGATATTGATGTTAAATACGTTTCATGGCTACCTATTTTTATCATATTGTAAACATTTCTCTAATATAAGAGTTGCTATGAATATTCGCCAATCAACCTAACATGACTAGTAGTTGTCGTATTGGTTACACTGAGTTAGTGCTTTTAAATCTTAATCTAGGTTAATATATTGTCTAAGTTGTCTTGAGTGATTAATATATATTGCTTTATTTCATTTTTAATCCTTGTTTAAGACCATTTGATGGTTAATATGTGTTGCTCCACTTCATTTTTTATCCTCTTAGTTGAATAAATTGATTAAGTTTTGAATTACATATATTTTTTATAACACATCTCAAAATTTCAATTACTAAACAATTGTTCATTACAATCAACACGTAGTTGTGAAAGGGTAATAATCGGTGGTTTGGTTAGCCAAACTTCACTTTCCTACCACATGCATAAGGTGTGTCTATCAGGTGAGCAGATTCATTTCCTCGTCGCCCCCAAAATCGTCATTTCACCTCCCCCCATCGCTTATGCCTTTCTTTTGATGTCTTCCACTATCGTTTCAATTTCCATAACCAATTTCTCTTCTCTATATAGTTTATGAATTAGAGCTTGGCATTCGGATTCCAGAAGGAGAAAGGTGCATGTTGGCCATCTTCAAAGCCCCACCGCATCCAACTCAATTGTGTCATTCTCACCTCCATTATTTGAAACCTTCCATTTCCATCTCGAATAACCAGTCTAGAGCCTGTACCACATGTTCCCATCATAATCGCGTCGACATTGAGCTTATATATTCCCAGTTATGACTTCTCCCATCTATAGCTTTGCCGACTCAAGTCTCTCCCATCTCTGCTCACCTGATGCATCAATAACTCTTCAAGGTAAGTCACCTAGATATAATTTCACACACTTCCAATTTCATGTTATTGAACATGTGATTTTTGCGTTCTTTCCACATATTATTGGGCTATTGCAAAAGAACATAGGTCTTCATTTGATACTGTTTCCATTACTTCACATAGCCAACCTTTGCAATTTTGTTCATCTCCTAATATGAACAAATTTTCCAGTAAACTCGGTCTCCAAACTCTCCCTACCCAAAGCTGTAGAACCTCATCATTAAAAAACATTAACTTTCTAAAACATAATTAATGTTTTTATTCCATATATTAACAATATATAAGATCATAACAATATTTTCTACGTAGATAGAGTGTAGTTGCACTCTACAATATTCTCAAGTCTCAACCGCATCGAATGAATCAGTTTTAGGAGAATCAACCCATAAATAAACTTCATTGGACTGAGGCTTAATGTCATAGTTGTCGTAAGTTGTCTTTCTTTATATTTTATTTTTTCTTTTGTTATTGGTCTCAAGGTTCGAACTCATGGTGGGTGGATGTGCTCAACCCTTTAGGATTCCTTCCTCACTGCATCACCCTCATCCAAAATTAATTTCATATCTTTCACATATATTTAATTGATTTATTGGAGGGAGGGGGAAAGAAACTAGTTTCAATATACATATATACAAAAGAAAATTTATTGGAGGGAGGGGGAAAGAAACTCATGATTTATTTCCATGGGGAGGAATTCTTCTCTCACTTGTCACCCTTCCTTGTGTGCTTCCTCTGCCAAGCCATGTCACGTCATTCATAATGACGTTTGTTATATGCAATGATCTTTATGAGAATTTTTTATTAATAAGAAACTGAGGTTAGATTACTTCTACATGTCATGAAATGAGAGCTCATCGAGTTTTGATGACGCAAGAGCTCATTGTCAAGTACACCATCCATCGTGGCATGAAAGTTAGCATTCATTTCATAACCAACTATCGTGTTGTCTCGTGAGTAAAAGACTAATATGTTTTAAGACTAACTGCAATGGGGGAATAAGGGAGTGTATGCTAAATGGCCTGTACCCTCCTCGAAAATAGAAACAACTGCGACCCGAGGGCTATAATTTGTTGTTTTCTATTAGGGATTAAAGTTATATTTTAGGTAAAAAAAATTCAAATAGCAATGCACGTTTCAAATTTCCACCGAAATGGGTTTCATTAGGAAAAAACCACAAGAAAAAATAATCAACACGATTTTCAAAACAATGAAAAATTGTCTCCTAAATTTGGCCTCATTGTAGCTCATTGGTTTCTTTTATTTCTAGTGTTTGTTCTAGTAACCTCCAATAAAAAATTTGATAAATAAGTTGTCCACAATGAATATTTTGAGTACTACGGTCCAAACTATGAATTGCATGCCAAAGCTTTGGATAAGAAGAACATGAACTCCGAGAAAGATTTGAATACAATAAGGTAATGTTATCACTTTAGTTTTTTACTCATTGTTGTAATATTTGTTATTTGCATTAATGTTAATAAAATATTGTATCACATATTGTTATTATCATAGAGAGATTGTGTTGAAACATATTAGACTGCTGCCTCATGCACTAAACATTCAATTTCATGAATCACCACCTTATTCTTAGATTTCATGAATAAGTCGGTTGGTCTTCATTTTCTGAGTGTGTTCAGTTATTTACTTATTTTTTTGTTTACAATAATTGTGTTGCCAGAAAAAGATAAGATCGATGGAAAAGAAAAGAGAGTTTAAGGAGAGATGATGACTAGAAAGATTCAAATAATGATGAGTAAGCTTGTTAGCATATTGGAGAAGATGAGTAGCACAGCAATCCTAGTGTCAGTAGGATTCTTGTGAAGAAAGGAGTTTCACCAATGAAGAAATGTTTCTCAATTTTTGTTATTAAAGGGATGTCATTTTGGTTTGGTTGTAGTTAGTCGTTGTTATGTACGTTTAGTTTGTAATGGCCTACCTGGCTTTCTATCATGTGCCTGTCTGGACTTTATATTTTTGTTTAAGTTGTTAACTAGGGACGAAGCTAGTATTTTGATTTTAGAGAGGGCGTAAATTTTTAAAAATTATACCTATTTGTTTTATGTAACAAAATAAGATAAGTAAATGGTTGAATTCATATTTGAAAAAATTATTAAATGGATGAGGATATATTTTTATTAATTTATAGTTGATTTCATTTTATTCATAGCTTAAAAATTAAAATGCACAATTAGTAGATGTTGAAGGTATCAAAAGATGAGCTAATTTGAAAATACACTCTACATCGAAGGATGGAAATGATCCAGCCTATCTGTGCAACGCCCTAAGACATGCTAAGGATATTTTTTTATAGAGGGCGTAAATATTTTAAAAAATTAGAGAGGGCGTAAATTTTGTAAAAATTATACCTATTGTTTTATGTAACAAAATAATATAAGTAAATGGTTGAATTCATATTTGAAAAAAACAAAGAAGATGCAAAAGTTCGATCAGAAACCAAAGCCTCGTCGAGAATTTAAATTTCAAGCAACAAACAAAAAGGACACTGCAAAAGCATTCATCTATTCAGCAAAATGGTGGGTTTCCGTTTGAACCTCGATCCTGCAACACAGATGCAGGAGCAAAGCAAGCAAACGAGACAAGCGGAGAGGAGGAAACGGCGTCGAAAGATCAAAGATGGGATCTTTACGTCGCAACCGAGAATGGATACATTACCCCTATTCCAAATTCAAACCTAAATCACAATTGAAAAATCTCACCGCCCCCACCGCACGACCTCTGCTTCTCGCCGCCGCTGCGAGCTTGACGGGAAGGAGAGGACGAAGAAGAAAATCCCAGCCGGCCAAGGAGGAACAGGCGGTTTGAAATCTCGGCCAACCCACGTCGACCTCCTTCCTCCTCCTGCTGCTGGGCGCCACGACGACGACCAACGACAAGCGGCAGGGTGGATTTCTTCCTCGATGGCAACCGGGGAGTGGGCTGGTGGTATCGTTTTGGGTTTGGAGGAGGCGGCAGTGTTTTCGGGGAGAGGGTACTAAAGACGGTGACGGGAAGGGCTGGTGGTGTATTTGGGTTTTGTTAAGAATAGGGGCAACATCGTCAGTTTGGATAATTTTAGGGCGATTAATTCGAATATTTAGGGGTCAATTAGAAGTTCAGTCCATGGATTTGGCGGCTACTATTGCCCTTTTTTTGTAACAAGAGGCAAACAAAGCAAAAGGAGTCACAGTGTTTGGATGTGACTCTAAGAAACAGTGCAGCCTTTGCTTGTTCTTTTAATAGAAGAATGAGTGCAGGCTGCAATTATTTGTCTTTGTCTACTGAATTGGATGATTTAGAGAATCACATCTACCTACATCTACTGTACAGGGAGGGACACTTTGATTGGGGGTTTATTACTTGGAGGAAACGTTCAATAGAAGAAAACAATGGGGAATAACAGACCTGGGAATTGAAGCAGTGGAGGCCGCAACAACAGCTTCCCCTATTTAGAATAGTATTTGATGGAGTTGAGCGATCCAGGAACATATTAAGCCTTAAATAATCGAGTTAAATTTTTGGTGCCCACTAAGCATTGGAGAAGAGATTGAGAAGCTTTGTAGAATACTAGAGCAAGGAACATAGTCTGAAACTGAAAACTGGAGGAGGGTGGTAGTCATTATACCATTAGAATTCGAGATAAAGAAACTGACGGTAGCATTGGAGATTAACTAATTGGTTCTACAGTAAAGTTTATTATTGTGAATACAGGGAACTTGAAGCATTGGAACTGACGCTAAAGAATGGGCGGCCGATAAAGAATGGGCGGGATGAATGTCATGGGGGAGGGAATCCAATCCAAGGATATATATATATACACGACATCTACTGTACAGGGAAGAAACGTTCAATAGAAGAAACAATGGAATGGAGGATAACACACCTGGGAATTGAAGCGGTGGAAGCCGCAACAACAGCTTCCCCTATTTAGGATGTTGTTGTCCCGCGCAGAAGGGGAAACGTCGACTTCAGGAATACAACGTCGGCTGATGAACGTGCGGAGTCTACTCGCTGCCGAAAATAGGGAGAATTACAGAGAAAGGAGTGGGGTTGGAATTAGGTCACCCAATCCGTGGGTTTGACCTACACGTCCCCGCTCTAGCGCGTGAAACCGCGAATTCTTAGTAGATCGTGATTAATTCGCGTACCAACAATTCTGGGAGCGCGAATTTTGTTTTGTAGAACGCGGTTTCTTGAATGAATGTGAAAGCTTCCCCAGCAAAAGTGATTTAGATCTTTTGCATCATCTTCACGAAACCCCGCTGCTGCAGGTAAGGCCTAGTGGACAGATCTGCGGTTAGGGTCTTGCAGAAGAGAGCTAGACCTAGAAGACTGAAGCGGAGGCGGCATCTGCCAATCCCGACTTCAGGGTTTCGTTGTTGGGATCTAAGTCAAGCCCTTTTTTGTACGCGACAATAGCTTCCTTATACTGGGTTAAGCCGATATGAGCAGTGCCAATCGGTTGGAGTGAAGGGCGTCGTTGGTGGGAGTGAGGGTGATGGCGCGGAGAAGTGATTGATGGCGGTAGTGTAGTCACCGGCGGAGAATGCCACTTATCCCATTGCTTTGGCTTTGCCGGTTATGGAAGACTGCGAATTAGATTCATTGAAAGGATTGGAGATAAGGTTTTGCAGAATTTAAGTAGGATTAGGGGGGAATAGTGAAGGAAGAAGGTAATTAACTAATTATAGAGAAAGAGAAAGAAGATGAGAAAGTTCTGGGCGATTTTGCCATGGAGTGAGTGGGAGGGTTGGAGAAAAGAGAGTGCATTCTGGAAGGTTCTTCTTTGCTCAAAATTGGTTTATCCGAGAACCCGGTCTTTTATCATTTTTTTTGCTTTTTTTTGTATTTTTCCAGTATAATTGTTATTAATTGGGTAGGAGGTCTACATACAAGAATAAGTCATCTGGTTTTTGCTATTCTTTAGAAACAAATTTGTCTTTTTTGTTGCTCACGCGCTAATCTTTATTCTTACATATTTGGGTGCATCGTGTTCTTTACATTTATATTGATATCCACCATAGAGATGGGGTGGATGCTGCATTTTACCATATAGGTCGAGTTTTGACAGTCTCTTTTCACCACTATGATGTACACAATGATGAAGTTTTATTTCCAAGAACGAGACATATAGTATATATTGGTACTTTTAGTTGATTATGTTCGTGGATGACATTTTATTTCAGGTTTCTTCTTTATATTGTTCTACTTTTTGCAGACAACTGGAGCAGTTAGAGTTGAAATTGATAATAATTTGCGCCACAATGAATATCTTGACTACTATGGTCCAACTTATCAATTGCATGTCAAGGCTTCGGATATGAAGAACTTGAACTCTCGGAAAAATTTGGATGATATAAAGTAGTCATATCACTTTTAGTTGTTTACTTATTGTTGTGAGATTTGTTATTGCTAATAGTGATAAAAGTTTGCATCACATATTAATATTACTACAGAGAAATTGTGCTAAAAAATATCGGACAACTACCCCATGCACTGAGCGTTTAGTTTCATGAAGCACCACATATCTTTAGGCTTCATAAACAGTTTGGATGGTCTTCATTTTTTAAATC